TTTTAGTTACGGTACACCTGAAACTAGATTCGCCATACGTATACGAGATTATTTTAGTAACGATACACCTGAAAATAGATTCCCCATACCTACGTACACCTGAAAAATTATGGGATTATGATCGATCGTATACCTTGCCTCACAAACAAAAGCCCTAATTTGAAAAAGTTGGCTTAATTTGGTACGTCAAATCACTCGGGTTTAGTATCTAGCAAAGCATTGTATATATCCAATTTCCGAACACAATTTTATATATCTATGGAATGTATAACGTCTTTATCAAAAGTAATAATTTCATACAAGTTGATCGTAACATGTTCTCCTTTCTTACTTTGGTTCTATTCATAAAAGAGATGGTAGGGTTATGATTTCTATTAGAGAATGGTAGGGTCTTATAAACATGTTTCACCAAAAAGAAAGAAAGAAAAAACAAAGTGGTTTCTAAAAAGACAAGGCATAAGCATGTGAACTTCATCCATTAGCTCCACCTGATATGTTCCTCAAACTATTACTCTCCAATAACTTGCGGTCACGAACTCTTTTTTTTCCCTATATATACTTTACACACTTACAGAAACTTCCTTACAAACTAAACCTAATCCATTTCTAAGCCCAAGATATACAAACATTCATCAGCTTCACTTCAAAAATTCCTTAAGTTTTAGTTACTTGCATTAATCCTTAAAGATGGGCATTCAATTGATCGGACTATCTCACGCCAAGCAAAAGCTTCAAAGAAGCTTATCTGCGAGAATCGCGAGCCTCTTGGCCATGTCGGGTACTAATAATGTACCAAAGGGTCATGTGGCTGTCTACGTGGGTGATGCTTACCAAAGGAAGAGATTCGTGATACCTATATCGTATTTGAACCATCCATTGTTCCAAGGTTTGTTGAACCTCGCGGAAGAAGAGTTTGGGTTCGATCATCCCATGGGAGGTCTAACCATTCCTTGCACTGAAGATTACTTCAATGCTCTAGCTTCAATTCTAAGTGGTTCATGATAAGGGAGCTCACTGATCATCACAATATTCGTTAAGTTTTTTTATTTACAAATATATTTTTGTGTTTTTCTTGAAGTAATTAATGTATCTATGGAAGAGGAGAGAAAATAACTCGAGATTGAGATACTAAAGTGAGTCGATCTCTTTCAATTTTTGATCTAAGAAGATCTTGTGAGTTCTTTTAACCATTCCATTTGTAAGGAATTCATTTCCTGAAAAATTAATCTAAGATTCATTTTCTGTAAATTTGTTTACTTTTCTGTCATGTTATTTTTACGGAAGTTATTGCTTGGCAACAATTGTTAAATTTTACAAGGATAAAATCTAGAAGTAAAATAGTTCATAGTTCATAGTTCATTTGAATTTCCGAATAGGAAAACAAAATTCTGTAAAACTGAAGAAAAAAACCATTTTTATTTAATAAATTTTATATTTTCATAATATATATATTTTTTAATCTTGAAACAAATTGAAAGGAATATTTTTAATATTAGTAAGCAAATAAAAATTTCTCAGTCAATTTTTATTTTTCTTTTATACATTTTGGTTTTGGTGTTGTTATCCCTACGGTATGCTCGCTATTTAATTAGCAAACATAAACGAATCGCCTTGGTGAAGCTGATGATCAAACCAAACAAATATTTATACTTCAAAGTATCTAATTACTTTTAATCTTAGCAGTAATATATTTAAAACGATTCAGACGAGAAGTGACGTTAATGAAAACATCTTCAGCACAAGGGATGGTGAGAGATTTCCTCGAATGATCTATGCCAAATTTATCTTCGGCTTTACGCAACAGAGCTTGGAATAAAGGATGTTCCAAATAAGAGATTGGAACCATAAATCTCTTCGCCTCTTCTTCAACTTCTCCAACGTATACTGCGAAGTGACCCTTTCGTATGTTGATTATGTGCCTCAAACGTGATACTCTTCTAACTACTATTCTTTTTGCTTGAAAAACTATATCTTTGAACCGAATCATATCTATCTTTGAAATCAACTATAACTTTGTTCTAGTTTGAAAGGAGACGCATGTGTTGATTTTGTGGCTACATGTACTTTTATAGGGATGAAGATTTGTTGCTTTAAGTGTAGTTATCCATTGTTATAAATACTAAAGGATTTCATAACATATATGGAGAAAGTAATTACATGAAAAATGGTTAATTTGTAAGTATCTAAAAACATATATTATTATGATGTTTTTGTTGTCTCTAAATTTAAGAATTAAAGTATATTTTCTCTCTTAATATGATCTTGTCACATTTTTGTTGTTGTTGTTGACACTACTGGATTTTTGTCTATCTTCTCATTTTTATTTAATTATAAAACATAAACTCTTATCCCTTTTTTTGTTTCACTGCACTCTCATTGAAACAGTTTTCGTCAAGTAAGTTATTCATATTTTACTTTTTGACTTCCAAACAGATTTTTTTTTTGGTCAATTTATGATTTGTAAACAATGTGATGCATTCCAAAATTCCAAACTGAACACCAAAAATAAAGGTATAGTCTACATTTATCGGTGGATAGGAGCATATATATTTAAAATAATACTCATAAATATTTTTTGATTTTACCAATTAAAATTTTAGATATCCTGATGAATATGTGTTTATATATCTAATTCCTTTAAATTTTTAATCTAACACTTAAATTTGAAGTAGATATATATTAATCTAAATATTCATTAAAAATATTGTTTTCTTTATGTTTAATAGAGAATTTTGCATTCACTGACACTCGCAAACTCACGATCAACATCGCCTCATCCAAGAACGAAAATAAAGTGACAAACAATTGACTGTGAAGAACACACAATAACCTATATCAAGAAATGGAGCACAAACTTTGTTCTACGTAACGTAAGTTGCAATCTGTTTTAGGCTTATATATAAATCTCTTTAGTTATCATTGTAGTGTGTTCGAATTCGATTATAGGGATATGATTCAAAATATATATTGATTAATGAAAGGAGCCACTAAAGCAGCACCAAGCCCATTCGAAGAAGGAGAGTAGCGGAGGATTTCGAGGCAAAGTCGGAGATAGGATCACGACAAGACGACAGACGTGGTCACATAGACATAGTCGATCAGTTTCATACAACATGTGTACGAAAAATCATGCATATTTTTTTACATGCTTTATTCATAGTGACATTATAAACGCCATATAACTAATGACATGTCAGTGATATGGCAACTTTTATATGTAGGCAGTAAGCTCATAGCCGCCCACGGTTTCATACATTAGTTTATTTATTTTTGACAAACGGTTTGATACATGAATTTCTTAATTTTTTTTCCTTTCTGTATTTTGTATATTATATAGTTTCGGCGGCATCTTCAGCGATGTCAGACTAACAATGAGTAGTCGATCAGTTTCATTTTTCTGATCCGAGATTTCATCAACAATTCCATGTTCCATTTGCATGTGTTACTTCAATTGCCGTTATATACCATTAATGTATGGATAACATATCATATTAATATATATACTTGGTTTCATCAAAATACTAATCATCTCTACATGTTAGTATGATAGAAATGCCTCATGCAAAGGAACTCTCTACTAATCTTTATAACACTATGGATCTTGGATTTTGTTAATCGATACGGTATTAAGAAATTTATATACCACTATAATTATTAAATAAGTTTAACAGTAAAGCTACAGTTGTGACAGAAAGACCCAAACAAAACAATCATCTGGTGTCATAAATAGTCACCTAAACTAATCGATAATCAGAATTTGAAGCTATAATTTTGAGAATCTATGGGCTATATATACACCTGTCCGTATGATTCGACATTGAACTTAAAGAGTCACCAAAGTGGTCCACCTCTAATATCTGCAGTCCCCGTATATTTATGCACTAGATACTTTGGTCCAATAAAGAAAATTTGGTATAACTTAAAAAAGTCGATAAGAAAATGAATTTATAACCTCTTCTCTTTTAACTCGACATTGAAGTCAAAACGCCTAAGCCAAATATGTTACTTTCAAAAGTTTGTATCTGCAAATCTACTCTTTTAACATATAAAGGATACCAATCACTAAAGATTAATCTACGTAGAATATTTTTTTGGTCCAAATGCAAAGAATATCTATCTGCCACACTCAAATCAGCTAAGAGAAAAAGGGGAGTAGTAGGCCACAGGCAGCAAATAGATATAGATCTATGAGGATTTTGTTTTCGATCTATTTCGATCGCTAAACAGTAGTATATTGTGTATTCAAAATTCTGTCGTAGCAACAATCACAATCATCATCATCATAATCACATGCGGATATATATGTGCTTCTGTATTCAGATCTTATCCAATGCCTAATAAGTTGATCAAACTATTTACAGAGCTTCATTTCAATGGAAAAATATAAAAATTAAATCAAATAAGACTCTTATATCAATAGACATGAATATATTAAAACCATCTGTTTACACATTATATCGTCCCAGCAGTACGGCCCCTAGTTTCAGAGCAAATAAAATATCTATCTACTTTAAGAGTTGGAACTTATTATACGTACCGATTCAAACATAAGTATCTATATACAGCTAAAAGTGGCTCAAGAACTGGACTCGCTTAGGCTTAGTCTGACCTAAGTCACACTATTCACCATTTCGAGGCTCTATTTTAAAAAACTTATATACTGGCAATCATATAAAAACGTACATTATGTGCATTCTCCTTTTATATATATGTTTACATAAAGATGATGAGCTAAGCCATGTGAGCCAGATGGATGACGGGAGGGCCCAACAGCCCACAACTTTTGGGGGTTTTCTAGTGATAAAGAAAGATATCGCATCTTACTGTTATTTTCGAGCATTTAAGCCTTTCCTTATCTTGAAGTTACACACTTAAGTTTTACACCCTCGCATCTTACTATAAATAGAAACTTCTTCTCCTCCTTGTAAATCAAGTCACTTCAAAAACAATTTGGGTCACATCCTTAATTTGATAAGTCGAATTGAAATATAAAGAAGAAGATGGGTTTAATGCGGTCGATGCTTCCAAATGCTAAGCAAATCTTCAAATCACAATCTATGAGGAATAAAAACGGATCATCATCCTCATCATCATCAACAGCACCTTCAGATCTTGTTCCCAAAGGTCACGTAGCGGTTTACGTTGGAGAAAGAATGGAGAAGAAGAGGTTTGTGGTTCCGATATCATACTTGAACCATCCTTTGTTTAGAGAGTTTCTTAATCGCGCAGAGGAAGAGTTCGGATTTCATCACCCGATGGGTGGCTTGACGATTCCTTGTCGAGAAGAAGCGTTTCTTCATCTCATTACTTCTCATAAGCTACATTGAGGAACACAATGATAAAATAATAGTCTTATAAGGTTTTGATGACGCTTTTTTGTTCTCTTTCTAAGAGGAGAATTATAGGAAATTTAGTTATGTGTGTATATGACACTTGTTCAGAGCTTAAGTTGTATTTCGAAATTAAGTAAGAGTTAAAAGCTGTACTATGATTCATATTCAAACCATCAAAGCCTCAAAATATTTAAGTTTGAAATTCTAAAGATAACAAATTTTGAGCTTATCGAGAATGTATATAACATGGTTAGATATTATATACTGATTTTAATAGTAACTGTTTTAAAAAGTATAATAGAAAAGGAGAATCTTCACGTAATGAGAATTCTCTATTATAAAACTACATTTAGTTTTTTATTTTAAATAACCAGCTTTGGCATACATTATAAATATGAGAATATGTAAGACTTCGTCAAGGAGTTTAAAGTATTTTAAGGAATGGTGGATCACATGTACTCTGAAAAAACTAAAATGGGTTGTAAGTGATGAATAACAATATCAAATAAGACATTTTTTATATAACATTTTATTGGAAATGATTGAACAGTAGTACTGCGCAATTTTATTTGATAGTGAAACTTATCATAATTAATGCAATAAATCATATCCAAATAATTGCTTGTTTAGATTGTCAATCACATGTTACTCTCCGTTATTAGGAAGAGATAATTGTGATCATAATAATGCAAATGAAACACGTGACCACCTTTTCAATAACTGAATTTTTTTTTTTTTTTTTTTTTTTTTTTTTTTTTTTTTTTGTAAAAGTTCAATAACTGAAAGTTCTTGGAATAACTAATTAACTCCTTTAATCAAACAACGAAAATGAATATTCAACCGAATGAATTTATTTTATGTTTTCGAATTTTTCATCGTGATGTTGTTGATGATAAATGTTGGTCTAAATAAATTCATAAAACTTACCTAAATGATGACGATATCGATAGAACTATATTGTTGTTAAGTTCTGGCATTCCAACGGAGTTTATCGAGCCCAAAAACACCTACTACTCTACCGAAATGTCATATTGAATTTGTTGATTCAACATTGTACCCAAAGAAACCAAGCATGTTCAATGTTTCTCATTTTCATGACTCCAAGCTTGGTATTACAGATTCAATAATAAGGATTATTATAATATAGGTAATAAGTCTTGTAAAGTCAATTTTATTTAAGAGTTAAGACGCAAAATGGTCCTCTTAAGTGGGCTACAGGGGCAACACATATAGACCAAAAGCCACCATTTTCAAGAGCCAACGAGAGACTTGTCAAAATGTCTATTTTCATCAATAAGGACACTTGTTTCTGTTGTCTATTCATCATAACCAATAGGACCAAACTTGTTTCATGTAATGGCCAGAGATTTTAATATGTGACAGAGAGTGCATGTGACTATGTGAGTCTTGTAACTCTGGTGGGTCCCTATCTGATTATATTCTTAAGTCATCCAGAAAAAATCAGAATCAGCTTGATGCCTTTTCTAGGTAAACCCTAGTTTTTTTAAGTAGTTCCCATGTGAAACCCTGCAAACTCCTAATTTTTAAATACAATATCAATAAACAAAGCTTTTGGAAATTTGATTCTTTTTTACCTGTAAAGGACTCTATAAATAACAACTAACCGAAACACAACTCCACCAAAAACATCAATCTTTCTCTGCTTTCACAAAACAGACTATTATATATTTGTAGATCTGCAAGAACTCTTGCTTGAGACATGGCGATTCGATTGTCGCGTGTTATCAACTCTAAGAATTCCCAAAAACAGCAATCTCGAGTTCCAAAAGGACATGTTGCGGTTTACGTTGGAGAAGAGATGGAGAACAAGAAGAGGTTCGTGGTTCCGATTTCGTATTTGAACCATCCTTCGTTTCAAGGTTTGCTTAGTCGAGCAGAGGAAGAGTTTGGTTTCAATCATCCAGTTGGCGGATTGACGATTCCTTGCAGAGAAGAAACATTCGTTGGTCTTTTGAATTCTTATGGTTGCATTGTTTCAACTTGAGACATCTTTTTGGGAAACACCCAAGTTTTTTTCTTTTCTTTTTTTCCTTTTCTTTTTATAGATATTTTTTTGGTTGTTCCCTTTGTTTATTTCCGCAAAGGAGAAGAGACTGAATCAGCATGTAAATATGTTGTGTAACCAGTCAAACCAAGTTATACTATTATGTGCTTCCACAAAACATTGATGAAAAACGTTTTCATGTTTTGGATGATAATCTATTATGAATTCATTCGGAAGTATCCAACGTACCCTATAGCTTGATTGATGATTTTGAGGTAGAAAAAAGGAAATCTGTTTAATCAAATGGTTAAAAGATTATTTCTGCAGCATTTTTCAACCAGAGTTCGACTACGCCTCGCTGCTAAAGGTTGGAAAAAATGGTCTAATAATTTTCGTTGACAAAAAAAAAAAACAGCGTTAAAGTGGTCCCATTTTACAACTCTGTCATAGAAAATCATTTCCATTTATTTATTATTTCTACTCCATTACTTACATGGTCATATGAATATATAAGCTTGACCAAATGATACTTTCATGGTCATATCAGTTTATTCATTTAGCAATCGTATAATACACTCGTTAATTATTACACTCATTGCCCATTAATTATTCAAGTGTAAATTCAAAGACTTTCGGTATGGAATTATTTGATACTTACTGGAATACTAAATAAAGGGTATAAACATATTTTTTAAACAACATAGCATAAAGATTTTGAATCGGGATCGTTCTAGACACAAGACTGTGATGCGTTAACTTCAGTATCATGTCAATGTCATTTGCAAATATTTTCAGTTTGAGAATACATGGTAGGTAAGATCAGGGCGATTATATCGGTTATTACATAGGCATTAAAGAGAATGACATTTCAACAAAAAGATCACAACAGCCCTTTAGAACATCTTGGAGATTTCAAATAATTTGCAATATTACCGAATTTGTTTAACGTAGTTTTCCAAATATAACAAATGTTGACTCTCCAACTAGAAAATCAAGAATGATTCCAAGAAACATTCATATGATTAGAGACTGAAAATTGGGTGATTAGATGCGACTCAGGAAATCAAATTATCAAATTGTTATAACTTATTAATTGCAGCTTCAAGAAATTTAAGATAGTTGCGGCCGTAATGACTTTCTACTCAGAAGATTCGCATATACAGTATTAGACAAAAGCCAGTCCAATGATTAACCAAATTGAGCATTTATTCTGTTTTAAATCTGAGATATCAGATTGGTTATATGTATCCTGAATTTTTGCTTCATGTTCATTGTTATTATTTCATCCAATGTGACAAGTTGTTCACTATCTTCTTTGAAAGTTCTTTGTCCACTTGTTATTATCTTTTAAAAAGCACACACTTCTATGTTGAATGGAAGCAGAATATTTTTCATAAGTTTGATTTAATATTCAGAAAATAGTACATCATAATAATATACTGTATTTGATTTTTCAACTTAGTTTTATTATTATTTTACGTAAGTAAAGAACAGAGAACCTTTTGTTGGAGAACTTGACGAATGAGTTAAGCCATGTGACAAGATGAGATAAGTCAACCAACTTACATGAGAAAAGAAAAACCATTAAATGCCCTTAAATCATTGAAAAGCTACGAATTGTTATATTTAAGATTTTCCATTATTATAAATAGAGGCAATCATCGCCATCTTTCTTCATCTCAAGCATTGTAGTGAAAAAGAAACAGAAATATATTTTCGTTTAACATCTTTGGTCCTAAAGCAAAAAGAAAGATGGGTGTAAGCCGTTTTGCGATTTCAAATGCAACAAAGCAAATACTGAAGCTAAACTCACTGGCGAACAGAAACCGAACATCATCACCATCATCGGATCATGTTCCTAAAGGACATGTGGCAGTGTACGTTGGAGAACAGATAGAGAAGGAGAAGAAGAGATTCGTGGTTCCAATATCGTTTCTGAATCATCCTTCCTTCAGAGAGTTCCTTAGTCGAGCAGAGGAAGAGTTTGGATTCAACCATCCAATGGGAGGCTTGACCATACCTTGTCGAGAAGAAGTGTTTCTTGATCTCATCGCTTCTCGCTTACAGTAATCTTAAATACAAATTTTAGGAGAGTTGTTGTATTTATACTAGAGACTTTGATGATTTGTTCTTGAGATTGAGAATGTAACTTTTCATCATTTTCTTCCCATGTATATTTTTAATCATGGAGAATCAGAATAATTTGATCTATTTCATGGAAAATACCACAAATTGATCTTTCCCAAAAATACCACAAAAATAAGTTGTTCCAGAAATACCACAAATTGATCTTTCCCAAAAATACCACAAAAATAAGTTTTGTTCCAAAAATACCACAAATTGAACTTTCCCAAAAATACCACAAAAAATAAGTTTTGTTCCAAAAATTACCACAAACTCGGAATGTAAGTATGTAACCTATCTCATATTTGGATATAATCTAATGAAGTGACGTACACAAGTTTTTGGATAGCTTAAAAGAATCATTTACCATTTTATTTATGAATAAATACAAATTTATATAGATATACAAGACCAACTGCTTTACCATGCATTTGATATAATGTCACTATGCAAATGCAACATCCTCATGTGGACACCGCAAGAACTAAGTTCATGCAGAAGAGTAAAGAAACAAAAAACTTGAATGTTCACCTTCTTGCTGCGATGCCGGAGGAATGTGATGTGACATGTACTGAGTATGAAGTTGCGTGGAACTACTAATCCTTCAACAACAACAAATACCAAAAAACTCTCCGAGGTTAAGGATCAAAATGAGAGACGCCTTCTCAGATTCTCACTAAAGTGACAAGTTCCCTAGCCGAATGCTGCGTTGCTGACGACTAATCTGGTTTCCTAATGGTACTTGTGATGATCTTAAATCTCCTGGTTTGCTAGAGAAAGGCGAATCAAGCTTTGGTTGAAACCAGTTCTTCAGAGAAACGCCATTGATTCTTAATCTTGAATCCTTTCTATGATATGGTATCCCCAACCTTCTCAACAATGCGGAAATTTCTTGACCGACCCTGTCAGCAAAAGCAGATATTCTTAGAAGAATATGACTTTAGATAGTAAACATCATCACTGCATAATTTTGAAACAAATGGGATACTCTCAATTCACACCTTCCTGCAAGATCAATTGTCTTCTCTCTTTCCGGAATCGTAAGTTCCTTCTCTTCCACGGTAATGATCACATTAATATGAGGTATCTTCGCACCTGATACATATATGGGCTTAGTGAAGACTTTCCAACTAAGCTTATTCTAGTTTGAAAGGCAATGAGTCAAGAAAAGGATGATCTTACCAGCTGCAAGACGATGCTTAAGACCTTTAAAGATGGTTAAGAGGTAAACCTGCCAAATTATTCATGACATAGTTAGATAAGTGAGAATCCCAAAAGTGCTAAAACAGTGATACATTGATTCATGTTTTTCTCTTTGAAATACAGTAGAAGCAATCATGATCACCGAAAATTTAAGAAAATATCAGGAAGGATTGAAAGCAGCAATTGAAGCTAATCGATAACTTTCTCTAAGAAAATGGAATTACCTCAGCCACGTTGTTCGGCAATTCTGTCGTATCAAAAAACAATGGAACTTTATTGAAGGACACAGAAGGAAGAACTCCAAGAGAAGTAGCTTCCTGCAAATCATGAAAAATATTAACTCTGTAGAACTAATAAGACCCAGAAGAATGTACCACCATACCTCAAGCAAGGAGAATGCACGAGGATCATACTCTCCAAATCCTTCAACTAGTGGAAATATGTTATGTTGTTTTTGCGAAGAAGTGTTGCCTAAATTCGAAATCAGCCTATCCCGAAAATCAGCATCATGTGGAAGTTGCAAGCATCCCAAAACTTGTGAAACTACTTCTGTTGTAGGAACCGTGCCGCCTAAAATCGCCTCTCGGTAAACCATTAAGGCCATTGATGTCCTGAAAGAAGGGAATTTTTTCAATATTAATCTGGAACTGGTTTCTGATGTAAGTCAAATTACAGAAACCTCATTCAAGATTGTATTAACTGGGAAGCATCACAAGAAAAAAGAGTGACTGACTTAGTACTTGAAAAAGGAAGCTACACTGACCATTTATTTTCAATCTGAGGTCGCCCTGATTTGAAAGACACAACAGGTTCACCAGCAGCGCAAGCCTTCTCGAACCTTCGCTTGCACAGGCCTATATAATAGCAAAGAAACAAGAAAGAAGCATAAGTGCTGTATTAAAGCATATGTAATTCTGCAAGCCTAATGAAGAAGGAAAGACAAAGCCAGTTCCTGCTCTGAAAGATTCATAAAGATGATTATTTCCTCTTAGTGGATAATCATTTCTCTGGTTTCAAAATTTTCCATTTATCATATTTTCAGTAGTTGTAAAGTTTCCTACTCCAGTGCACCTCAGCTAGATAAAACTACTATGAATACAAAATACGAGCTTACTGGTTATGCATCTGCACATAATGAAGTTTGGGGATATTCCATCTTCTTTTGCTTGAGAAAGGAGCTTGAAGCTTACCTCAAAGTCATCCTTTCTACACAGAGAAAAGTCAGAAAATAACGAATTCTCAAATCTGCACTGATTACTGATCAACAAAGCCTACATGATTCAACTTTAAAGAAGTTACCTTTCACTTGCCCGCATGAGCATAGAGTAAGTGATAGTGTTTGGTGTTAATCCCAGAGTCTTTATCTCATCAAGATATTCCATAGCCTTGGGAAGTTGACCACCTTCACCTGTTGATAGTCTAAGGAGTCATACCAGTAATTATATTTTGTTTTGGATATTTCATATACTGAAATTGTAGTTATACCATATTGCATTTTTCTTTACCGTCTTGTACTGTATCACCCTTATTTATTATTAAGGGGAAAAGATTAAGATTAACAATATATGAAGTCTTACACAAGGCAGTTATAAGGGCATTCATTGTTGAAACAGTTGGTCTAAGTCTGATTGACTTGATCTTTTCATAGAGCTCCAGTGCTTTCTTCCAGTTTTTCGCCTAAATCAGAAGAAAAATCGTATCAGTAGTTTCTCCATACTCTTAATCCAAGAAAGTCAATGCGATCAACAAAACTAGACCTAAGATAATGACAACTATATCTAAAGAACTAGTAATATTGAAGACATCAACAAAACTCTTGCTATAGCTATAAAAGGCACATACATTACAACAAGCTCCCATCAGTGAGCTATATGATATAGTTCCCAGACGTATTCCTTGAGATCTCGCATCCTGAAGAATGCCAAAAGCTTCGTCTAACATTTTCGCATGTCCTGCAACATCGATCAGTGCACTGAAAAACACCTGCAGAAGGTCAAAACCAATATTGCATGTATAAGCAAGATGGACTTAGAAGCACTTCCAACAAATTTCGCTTAAATAAACAGTTGCCTCAGTTCAGCCACTTCCATGAGTTTCAGCAGACTCTTACTAACTTCAAAATGAATTTGTTTGAACATGACATACCTCATCAGGGGTCACACCTTTCTCTTTCATGTCATTGTATATACTACATGCAAACTCCCAGTCTCCAGACTTGCTGCAACTATTGACAGCAATGGTATAAACTTCTGGAGTACCCCTTATTCCATATTTTTGGATCATCTTGTATACTTCTTTAGCTCGTTCGACCTGTAATAAACTAATTCTCAGTCAAATAGAAAGAGAAAAACAGAAACAATAAAGAACAGAAACAAAAACAAACCACACACCTGACCAGCATTAAAACATGCTTTCATCAGTGCCCCAATCGTGATATGATCAGGGTCTATAGGGTGCGTCTCAGCATTCATTTCAGCTAACACATCAAAAGCACGATCAACAGCTCCTGATTGACCACATGCAGAGATGAGGGCATTGAATACAACCCGGTCTGGCTTAACATTCTACTGCACCGAACATGCAATCAATGTAATAGTAGCCTTTAGATTCCAAAACATAACGAGCAAGATTCGAAACATATTTAGTAGCCATGGAGTACGAGGATGAAATCAGCGGTGTAGAAACATGATAGGAGGGAATACAAACTTGTGACAGGCTTACCTTAGACCTTAAAATTCCATAAGCACCAAATGCCTTAGCTACTTGTCCAGCTCTGGCACAGCCATCAATAAGTGCTCCATACGTGTGAAGATTGGGTTCCACTCCAGAATTTGCCATCTGGTGGAACACCTGAGAATATAACCACGGAGAGATGTAAAGAAGCTCACAATACATGACACTGTTTAGGATGCTAATAGAGATACCAAAGAAGCATCCAAATATTTATGTTCGTCCAAGTAACATTCGGGTAATGAAGATTGCTATACCTCAAACATTGCATCAACTTTCCCGCTTTTAGCACAACTTGATATTAACGTTGTGTACAGTTTACAATCAGCCATCAAACCGCTCTCTTTCACCAGATGCAAAACTCCCCGAGCTCCTACATAAGTAACAATTCAACATTTTCAAAGACTGAACATTAACAAAGCCAAGACCTTAATGGGGAATACGAATATCACCTTCTATGTCCTGGGAGCTTGCACAGACAGACATTAACATATTGAATGTGCTCAAGGTTGGATTTGGAATCAACTTGGTAAAGCGAAATGCTTCCTTGACAGCCCTTTGCTTCTTGCAGACTTTAAAGAAGCTTGCATGATAAATCTGATGTGAAGAAATAGGAAAAAGAAGGTCACTGGAAAAGTTCCAATATTCAAGGAGAAGCAATACTAATATCTCATCCATATTGCTCAAGATAGCAGCCATACCTTGTCCATGTCCAATATATCCCTTTTCTCCCAATCTTCAAGTAAGCTTATGCAATCCTTTACCCTATCATATATGGATATTACACCCTCAAAATCAAATATTTAGTAACTTTTCTTTGGTACTAAAACTTCCCAGATAAGACTACTAATGACAGCAGAAGAAAAAAGAAGGCAGCCAAGATAGAGCATTGTAATTTCAAACCAGAGAATATTTATTACCTTCCATCTCTAAGTAAACGGTTGTAGGCATCACTAGTTTCTGGAGAACGCCCATTACTATTAAGTATCTGAGAAGGGAACTGAGGCATGCTTTCATCAGTTTGGTGAACCACATGCTTCCCACCGTCTGGAAATTTCCAGTCTCTTCTTTCCTCTTTCCTTTTGTGGGTTAAACCGCCATTACCGTGTCCCACACGTGTTTCTTCTTCAACATCACCTACAACTGAAAGTCACTTTAAAGAATCATTCAACAGATTGGAACTGCAAGCTTCTCAGAAGTCAGAAAGGAAACATAAGAATGTGTGACACAGCAAGTACCACATTGTTAACGTACCAGTAGCATGACCAGAACTATGTCCTGAGAACTGAGTATCAATGATTCCATTGCTCTTGTGGTCCAACAATAGACTATCAGTTGCAGAAGAAGTAACAGTAGGAGAGACTGCTTTAACACTTGGCAACCTTGAAGACTTGGCTAATGAATGATTAGGCCCATAAAACGTGTGTATATCTTCTCTCTTGGTCTCCGTGAAGATGCTGTATTCAATAGGCTTCTGGAGCAAACCGTTATACTCATACTCTACAGCACGTATATCATCATCAACCACATGTGGAGCAGCAACCGAATGATTCCCCACCACTACCTCTGAAAAATCATAGTCCATACCCTTCTCTTCGATGCTTTCAACTTCTTTTTCAGGTTTTTTTGCTCCCACTGTAGCTGTTTCCAAAGCAACAGACCCATGGCTAATAGAAGATGAAAGGGATTCATCTATGAAACTATGTTCATTGGCAATTGTGCTGACACTGGCAACAGCAAACCGCGAATCCTCAGCTGCCACGTACTCCATCACAGCAGTTTCCTGGATTTGATGAGCCTCCTCTTCCTCCTTTTTTCTGAAACCTCCATTGATTTCCACAGGATTTCCTTCATGAACATCTCCACCATCTAAATGACTTTCCCGCCGATTCTCAGTACTGATTTTTCCACCATGAAGCGTTACCGGAGGAGATGCTACAACCTGAACAATTTAGGCAGTCAGAATCTTTACTCGAATTTTCATACAAAAATCGAATCTTTTTAGATTCCCCATTTTTTCCATTACACATGAACGTCACTGGAATTAGCAACTAACAATAAATGGGCAGATTTTCTGAGAAAGTGAAACCCATAATTGGCTATAACGAGTAGAATAGGTGAATCGGAATTTCAGTTACCTCATCGGAAATCTTCCGTTTTCTGAAAGTATATTGGCAGTAAGCGAAAGCAATGGCAGAAAAAGCGGTCACAGCCACAACAACAAGGATCAAACCAGAGTCGATGGAAGCTCTAACGACCAAACGCGGCGATCGAATAGAAGAACGACCAGATTTCCGTTTTCCAGCGCGCGTTCGAAGATGATGAGGAGGACGGAGAGTATGGCAGCTGCCGAGGAAATCAGCGCGGATGGAGCGGAGACTAGAAGCCGGAAGAATCACCGGAGAGTAGGAAGTTAGGGTGAAATATTTCGACGATCTGGTGGAGATGAAGGTGGAGCTTACCTCCATTGGAGAAGCGAGAGAGAAAGAGAGAGAAACGATGAGAGGATAAAGCAGAAGAGGAGAGTGAGGATATGAAATAACGAACGACTCGCTTCGGATTGTGGACCATATGCTGACGTGGCATAAACGGCCGTCAAGTCGTCAACGTTTTTCTTAATCTTTTAATATTATAAAACAAAAACAAAATAGAATTTATGTCTGAGTTGGATCCGGGTCGGAGCCGGGTTGGTTGGTTAATTTCCCTCTTTTAGACTCTTCTTCTAATGTTACAGTTCGTTCCAATTTTCCGGGGGAAAATCTATAAATTTTAATTTTTTTGACGAATCGCTATGGCTGCTCACGACGGCGACGGATTCTCAGGCGCTGCTATGGAAGATCTTATGGGTCAAGTAGAGAAACGGCCGATTTCTACCATCGTCTTCATCGTCGGTACTATCTCTCTCTCTCTCTCTCTCTCTCTCTCTCTCTCTCTCTCTCTCTCTCTCTCTCTTCCGTTGATGTTTTTTTCGATTTTGAGATTGTTTATGATAACTGTTTTCGCAGCTATGCAAAAGGAAGCTCAGCCTCTGATCAACAGACTCCGGCTTGTTAAAGACGTTAATCCTCCGTGAGCTCTTTTATCTCTTCGCTATTTATTAAAATGTGATTGCTTTCTTACTGTTTCTGTTTCTGATTCTGATTCTGTCTATTAGCTATATTCCTTTGGAAATGAAAAAAAAAAAAAATTGAATTTTGTAGGTTTCCAAAAGAGGTGACTTGGATTCTGTTCAATGGAATGTATAAAGACTTGAACATCAATATAGTGTGTCCAGGAAAAGATTCAACTCTTGGTATGTATCCATGTGGTTACTTAACTTGAATGTCTCGCTTGTAGGTTTATTTGGGTCAATTCTTTTCACTTTCAGGGGTTGAGAGTGTATGCACGGTTCCTGCATCTCTCGTCACTTATGCTTCCATTCAAGCAATTCAGCCAGACCTAATCATTAATGTTGGAACCGCTGGTGGCTTTAAGGTATAGACTATAGAGACATTAAATGTTGCTTTTGTTACATAGTCGTCTCATGCCTCATGTGTATCAGAAAGAATCAACACCATACTCATTTTGTTTTAATGTGTATGTGTTTAAGGCCAAAGGAGCAGGTATTGGCGATGTTTATGTCGTCTCAAGTGTTGCTTTCCATGACAGAAGAATACCAGTTCCTGTGAGTGCTCTTTTGTATTGTTCCTGTATCACTGTGAGTGGTAATGTAAACCTGTTTTTCTTAAGCATAATACTATGAACCATTTCTCTGTTATATCTTCAGGTTCTTGATCTGTATGGTGTTGGTATGCGGAAATCCTTCCCTACACCCAACCTTATAAAGGAGCTGAAATTGAAGGTGTATACTTTATTATATTGCTCTGAGCTCACCATTGGACCCTCATGCAATTTTTTTTATCTGTTTTTGCATATATACAGTGCCATAAGTGGTAGATTTACGCTTTTTTTTGTGATGTTTCCAGGTAGGACGGTTATCAACTGGTGACTCTATGGATATGTCTCCACATGACAAAGAATCAATCACAGCAAATGATGCTACAGTTAAAGACATGGAGGTAAACAATGTTTATGAACTTTGGCTCCAATCCATGTGTTTCTCTTTGCGTCTTAATCAGTTACTACTGCTTATTCTGAGTACCTTGGAATTTCAGGGAGCAGCAGTGGCCTACGTGGCTGATATTTTTAAGGTTCCTACGATAATTATAAAAGGAGTAACTGATATTGTGGATGGAGGTAGACCAACTTCAGAGGAATTTTTGGAGAATTTAGCTGAAGTCACTGCCAATCTTGATGAGTCAGTTACCAAAGTGATCGACTTCATCAGTGGGAAGTGTCTCTCAGACCTCTGACGAGCCATACATTCTAACCTGTTAGTTTTCCTATACTCAACATCTAAGTTTCATCGGTGACAAGGTTCATGTATGTGCATTGGCTAAAGAAGGGATATAAAGATTCAAGCAAAGGCCATAGGCAAATTAGGCAATAGGCTGGAGCAGAAATTTCATTGTAACTCCACTTTTTTCTCATTTGTTGTTCACTCTCCACCATCATATATGCACACACTTCGCAAATTTTGATATTCAACCACATAAAATTAGGTATTTATTTTCTTCCTTATTGATGAGACTATGAGATAATATTGTGAGACCAAGAAGATTTTAGTTAGTTTCTCTGTTCATTCTTTTTAAGTCTAAAATTTTCTAGAATGTATCATCTTATCATCTTATCTCTATCAATTAATTAGGCCCAAAGACAATGTATCAAGAGAAAACTCAAAATCGAGTTTGGTTTTAGAAAGAGCCAATGCAATAAACATGAAGCTCTCACACCTAATCTTCACCAAAACACTAACTAGACAGAAAACACCGCACAAGATGCAGCTGATAAACTTGCAAAACCTGCAGTGTATATATATATGCCTTCGCTTTGACCCTTTTCCACAGACCACAAGATTGAGTGTTTGACAAGAGAAAAGAAGTAGAAATGGGAAACATCGATGCCGCAGAATTGGGCTCAGAGAAGAAACCAAACCCGGGGAAAGCAACAATTCTTTCTCTAGGAAAAGCCTTTCCTCAACAGCTAGTGATGCAAGAGTATTTGGTTGATGGCTACTTTAAAACCACCAATTGTGATGATCCTGAACTCAAACAGAAGCTTACTCGTCTCTGTAATGTCTTCACTTAACCTTCTTTCTTTTAACTTTTTAATCTCATTTTCTAAGCTTCTGAGAACAGAGCTTTCTTAACTGTTCGTTTACTATATTATAGGCAAGACAACGACAGTGAAGACGAGGTATGTCGTGATGTCTGAGGAGATACTCGAGAAGTATCCAGACCTAGCCATTGCAGGAAAATCCACAGTGAAGCAGCGATTCGATATCTGCAACGACGCTGTAACCGAAATGGCAGTGGAAGCGTCGAGAGCCTGCATCAAGAAGTGGGGCCGTTCTATTTCCGACATAACTCACGTTGTCTACGTCTCCTCAAGCGAAGCTCGTCTTCCCGGTGGCGACTTGTACTTAGCCAAAGGGCTTGGTCTCAGTCCCGAGACACACCGTGTTCTACTCTACTTCGTCGGATGTTCCGGTGGCGTTGCGGGTCTCCGTGTAGCGAAAGACATAGCCGAGAACAATCCTGGAAGTAGAGTTTTGCTTGCCACGTCTGAGACAACCATCATCGGGTTTAAGCCACCAAGTGCGGATAGACCGTATGATCTTGTTGGGGTTGCCTTGTTTGGTGATGGAGCCGGAGCTATGATCATCGGATCCGATCCAGACCCGATTAGCGAGAAGCCTCTCTTTGAGCTACACACTGCAATACAGAATTTCTTGCCCGGTAAAACCATAAGTCTTTCTTCCATCCAATTATGCCTATAACTTAGATGACATTTTTTTGGATAAACTTGGACTGCATGCATTTTCATGGCGCAGACACGGAGAAGACAATAGATGGGAGGCTAACGGAAGAAGGAATCAACTTCACGCTATCGAGAGAGCTTCCACAGATAATAGAAGACAACGTGGAGGGTTTCTGCAAGAAGCTGATAGCTAAAGCGGGACTGGCTCCTAAAGACTATAACCAAATGTTCTGGGCGGTTCATCCAGGTGGACCGGCAATCTTGAACCGAATGGAGAAGCGGCTTAACCTGTCGCCTGAGAAGCTGAGTCCAAGCAGAAGAGCTCTCATGGACTATGGCAACGCAAGTAGCAACTCGATCGTTTATGTGTTGGAGTATATGTTGGAGGAGAGCAAGAAAGTGAGGAGCATGAACGAAAGTGAGAACGAGTGGGGTCTGATTCTGGCTTTTGGACCTGGTGTTACATTTGAAGGCATCGTTGCTCGAAACCTTGATGTCTGAAGGGTAAAGCAACGAGGCATTGTGTGTTTACCTTGCAGCTCAAGAAACAATCCCCTTGAAGCTAAAACAGAGGAACTTTTTCATGATGCTTAAGTTTTTCATAGTCTAAAAATATTTCACAAAGCAGAGAACGTAAAATGTGCAAATTTAAAAAACCAAGTAAGAGACTAAGAGTAGAGTTTATCAACATTAAAACCAGGAATCATGAAGTTTCTTCTTAAGCTCATCAACTTTCAACAAGTCCAGGAGTTGGATCTTCTCATAACGGGTTTCATTTGTTTGTCTTCCTCGAGAGCAATCATACCAACATGTGAGGGATCCTCCAGCATCATCTTTGCTACCAAGTATCCAGCGATTGACCAAGTCTGGCTTTTACGTGCCTGTTTCCCAACGTATCTCCCTAGCTTTCCATCATAGTATTCAGGCCAATTGTCCTTGTGAAGCCTAGCCTCTGCTACTTCAATCGCTCTTCTTGCTATTTGAGGTCGACCCGTTTTGATACACGCAGCCGTCAGTAGCCATAGCAACACTGTACCATTTGAACATAACAGCAACAAACGTCTGACTAGCTTTTACATATTAGTTGTAATCCAAAGCAGAGCGTGGAGGAGAAACAGAAGTTAGTTTACCTGGCCAAGACCCTCCATTGTGGTAGCTCCATCGAGTGTTTTTGGGGTCACAACCAGTTACGATTCTCCATTCATGGCTTTCTATTGCCGGATAGCAAACTTTCAGTGGCATTTCTCCAACCAACTCTTCCCAGCGAGATTCTATGAGATCCATAATTGCTGTAGACTGTTCAGGAGTAGCCAGGGAAGACAATATGGCTATACAGTTTCCCAAGGCAAACCAACGGAAGTCCATTCTTGCAGGGCTTACATTGCCGATGAAAAACCCACCGTGAGGAGGCATAAAGTCGAAAACCCATTCCGGTAGCGAATCAGGGATCACGTTGAATTTGTTGACAGCAGTGTGAGAGTATTCCTCCGTCTTGTACCGGTAAATGTCGTTAAGCTGCTTCAAGTCTAGCCAAAAGTAGCTCCTCATGTGGTAGCTCAGTGCATGAAGTCGCTTAACTATTTGTTCCACCAGAAATTTACCTTCTCCTTCATGTTTAAGCACGAGCAAGGCACACCTTAAGGCCATAAAGAAAAGCGCCTGAATCTCTATCGGGTAACCATAAACTCCCTACAAAGCAGAAAACACCAGATTAATATATCGAACCTGCAAGAAACAGCTAGCTCAAACTGAAAAAAACCTTTGCTCACCATTCTACGATCAATCATACAGCAACCATCAGCGCACAAGAGAGTGGGGAAGGTATCAAATCCCTCAGACAGACACAGGCTTAGTATCAGACGGATACCCTTCTGGCACTCAGGCATGTCAGCAAGAGAAGAGTCTCCCGTAGATTTTGTGTAGGCTCTGAGCAATATAATCCACCAGAAACCAGAATCAACTGGCGCTACTCTTCCAATAGCGCTCTCTCCGAAATCAGCTATCAGCGTTTCATGGTTTCTAACAGGATCATGGAAAACTTTGAAGCTAGCAGGCATAACTCCCTCACCAAGCTGGAATCTATCAATCTTTTTCTCCCACGACTGAAGACGAAGAGTCTTCAAAAGGAAGTTTCTGACTATTTCTGGCTCTCCGTTCATCAAGAATGCTAAAGCACTTGGCACAAAGTCTCTCACGAACACCTGTAAAGAATAAAGTCAGGCAGATACCAGATCAACCAACACACAATTTAACAAAATGTGGTTTTAGTCAGAATTTTTTCATCAAAATGTTAAGGCTCTTCACCTGATCATAGTTGAGTTTTTCTTCAGAATTATCCACTGCAGCAATCGTCCCAACAGGTTGTCCACGGAAGTAAACCATCGAGCGCCTCAAAGCATCCCAGGCCTCTCCCACCATTGGATGAGACTCAAATCCTTGCACTGACCTCGGAGTATTGTATCCAGACCTCCTACCAACGCTCGGTGAAATCACATAATCTGCGTGATCATGGAGCCGAGAAGCACTATCCACATTTCTAAGTTGTGGCGACGCAGATAACTCAGTCAGAGACCTTTCGTCAAGTGATCTCAGTCTCTCAATATTCAACGGCCTTGGCTTCTCTAGCAACTTCGAGAAATCAAAGTCATCAATATCGTCCAGTGTAGATGAAGAATCAGCATTCTTGACATTCCCATTCTGGTTCACATCTACATTCAGATTAAAAGCCGACATTGCTCCAGATTGATTCAGATAGCAGCCAACAACAGTCCAATTATCACGCCCTGCATTACCACAAATCGATCAGATCCATTTGCTACAGTGAAGAGCAATTTTCATAAGAAATTGGGGGAAACAACACACAGCAATCACATGATCAAACGTGTTACAGGTTGAAACGCAAACTTCTCATATTGATTCAGATGGTATAGTTTTCCAGAAATCATGGAAAGAATCCAGAAAACCGTAATCAATCAAACCGTTCTGTGAAACGGAGAAACGCGATCAATCCGGACGCAGAGTAGCAGTAACAACAGAGAAACTTCATGAACAACAACAACTCTGAGCACAAATTGAACAATATAACATCGGATTTCAATGTAATCTTAAAGAACAAGAGATTAAACACCGGAGGGACTACGAAACGATTTCAACGACATCACGCAGAGAACAGATCGGAAAATAAACTCTCATCAAGCTAAACAACGTTAAAAAAATATTCTGCGGAGATCCGGCGATAACAAAGCAGGGATTAACCTCATCAATCCTCATCAACCGGAAAATGTTCCTAACCACAGCAACACGTAGAGGGATCACGAACCTTATGATCAAGCGTCGAACGAAGACGAAGAAGAAGAATGAAGAAACGAAGGAGCTTTCCCTCTCTGCTCTGCCTCTCTCTCTCTCTCTATCTTCTGTAGAAGCGATAGTATCAGTAGTCGAACAAGTAATTAAACCGGTGAGAGAGTCGAAACGGCGAAGGTAGTAGACGTATTAGCTAAGGAGGATGTGGGTCCACGTGTACGGACAGGATGTGACTGTGACGGGAAGGAGGAAACGAGGACAGTGACTCTAGAGATCGGGAGGGTGTAAAGGAAAGGCTTTCAAGCCATGCATATGATATGATTGCACGGAGGTTGTTGTTGCTTTTTTGAGTTTCAGCAGTACTATTATTTTAAAGCATACATTAACATTTTGATAATATATAGTTTTGATAATAGTATAAGTTAATAAACTAGTGACGTGAGAGAGTATCTTTGCAGTGAGTAAGATGTTTGGTTGTCCACGTGTACGGTGGCAGCGGATCTCGTGCCCTGCGCAGTCAGCTGACGAATTGTTGTTGGTTTCTGAATTCATTTCAGTTTTGAATCGTAAATATTTAACATTCTTGTTGATAATGACAAAAAACCTAGTCAGTCATAGTTTCCAACGTTAAAGTTGAGAACATAAATTACAAAAACAGTGAAAGTTGTCTATTGGACAACTCCAAAAGTTTCTTTTGCAATGCTTTTGAACCTTTAATTTAACCTTTGGATATTGGGGACGTGATATTTCTTTTGTTTGATTAGTCTAGACAATTATGTGATACAAATTGCAAATGCATGGTAACATCATCACTGCCGCAGATAAAATAATATGATGTAAAAAAAAGTAAAAAACTGTGAGAGTGAATGATAGATTTCGTCAAACCATACAACTGAGCAGTCATTGGGCCTAAAACCGTACGTATAATGTATATGATGAAGAACTAATGCTGTTCGTAGTTTTCTTCGAATTGGATTCACATCACGACGTAGTGATGTGACTTTGTGATAATAATCAAATTACTTTGGCAAACAATACAGATTAAAGTGGCCTAATCTACTAAAAGTAGAACCTATACTGATTAATCTCACCTAAAGTCCCATCAACATCATAACTACTGAATCACACTCATTCTACCTTCAATCAAAGAGTTAATTTATCAATACCTATCTTTGTCTCCTACATTCATAGGAGTATTTTGTCTTTTGAAGAGTGTGAAAACGGAGAGGTTCAAGAAAATACCAACTGCTAAAGAATCATAAGATATTGGGCTAGTACTTTTGGACTCGGCCCACCTAAATCAAAACGCCGTCATTCTGTCGGGTCCATCTAATGGAAAGTGATTTATTCGCAGCCTCGGATCCACACAACTTTAAGCCCTAGTCAGCTTCGATCTAACCACGGTTAATCTTCATCTCCTAACAGCCATACACGTGTCCTCTAATCAACGGTCACTGACATCATTTCCTTTTTGGAGATTACACCGCTTTAGAATAAAAATCCTCTCTCTCTATATAAACCTTCCCAAAAATCCTAATTAGCATATCACCACCAATTCACTTCACAGTCTCTCTTCTCTCTTCTTCGATTTCACAAGATGCCTAATCCTAGAGTTTTCTTCGACATGACCGTCGGCGGTGCACCAGCAGGGCGGATCGTGATGGAGCTTTTCGCCGACGTCACCCCGAAGACGGCCGAGAATTTCCGTGCTCTGTGTACCGGCGAGAAAGGAGTCGGAAAGCTGGGAAAGCCACTCCACTTCAAGGGATCTGGTTTCCACCGTGTGATCCCTCGATTCATGTGCCAAGGAGGCGATTTCACCGCCGGGAACGGAACCGGTGGCGAATCGATCTACGGTACCAAGTTCGACGACGAGAACTTCATTAAGAAGCACACCGGGCCTGGGATTCTCTCCATGGCCAACTCTGGTCCTGGGACTAACGGATCTCAGTTCTTCATCTGTACTGCTGAGACGTCGTGGCTGAATGGGAAGCACGTTGTGTTTGGACAAGTCGTCGAAGGCATGGACGTCGTGCAGGCGATCGAGAAAGTCGGATCTGATTCCGGGAAGACTAAGAAGCCGGTGGTCGTCTCTGACTGTGGCCAGCTTTGTTAGATCTGAGTTAGATCTGAGTGAGGTTCTGAATCTTATGATGAATAATTATGTTGCTTTCAATCGTTTTTCTTCTTCTTCGCATCCTCTGTTTTGGGGTTTTTAGTTTTTGATTTGGGATCGTGTTGAGTTTGTAAAACCCCTTTGTGGGCTTATGCAATTGACTATCATGAATAATTTATAAACTATTTTCGAATCTACTACTCATGTGTTTGATTTGCTTCTGCAAAACTTGGTTGAGATGCTCATCTGAACCAATTAAGTAATTAATTCGATCTTCGGATTCTGCAAATGTGTTCTTATTGTTGAATTTGGTAGGAAACAATATAAGCGAATCAACAGAAAAAAAACTCTTTTTTTGTTAAGACTCATTGGATGTGGTTAAACGGCGAATCAAAGGCTCTTCTTTCTTCACCTCTAAGTGACTTGGTCAAAATTTTATCTCTCTCTCTTTGCTTTGAGACTATTCCTTCTTTCTCTCTAGCCATATGATTGCTCTGCGCCTTCCTCTTCTACTTCTTCTTCTTCTTATCCAATATGGGTCTCCGTCTCACGTCAAACCAAGCTCAACTTTCTGCATCCAAGAAGCCACCATTGAAGACATTAGACTTGCTTTCAAGGAAAAGAAACTGACATCAAAGCAGCTCGTTGAGTTTTATCTCGAAGCAATCTCCAAACTCAATCCGATACTCCACGCAGTCATCGAGACGAATCCTGATGCGTTGGTCCAAGCAGAGATGGCAGACAGAGAACGTGACCTCCTCAAAGACGACAGCACTAAGCTTCCTATGTTGCACGGTGTTCCGATTCTGCTCAAGGACTCCATCTCCACCAAGGACAAGCTTAACACGACGGCTGGCTCGTTGGCCTTGCTTGGTTCGGTCGTGGCTCGAGACGCCGGTGTTGTCAAGAGACTGAGAAAGTCTGGTGCTGTGATCTTGGGCAAAGCCAGTTTGAGCGAATGGGCTTATTTCCGTTCTAACTCCATCCCAAGTGCTTGGAGCGCACGTGGCCTCCAAGGAAAGGTCGATCTCATCACATTGTATCAGAAGTGTTGCAGCTTTACAAATTCTCATACTGTAAAATCTTCAAATGATACAGAATCCGTACGTTTTATCAGCAAGTCCGGGTGGGTCAAGTAGTGGATCGGCTATATCAGTGGCGGCTAATCTTGTGGCTGTGTCAGTTGGGACTGAAACTGATGGTTCCATTCTCTGTCCAGCGAATCAGAACTCGGTGGTCGGGATTAAACCGAGCGTTGGGCTCACCAGCCGAGCCGGGGTGGTTCCTATCTCCCCGAGACAGGACACTATTGGGTGAGAAACCAACCAACCATCACCACAATGGTCTACTTTTGTACGAGTTTGCTCAGAACTCTTCTCTGTTTTGCAATGTCAGGCCGATGTGTAGGACAGTTGCGGACTCTGTTCATCTCCTTGATGCTATTGTGGGTTATGATCACTTTGATGAGGCCACACATACAGCTTCCAAGCTCATACCGGAAGGCGGTTACAAACAGTTTCTGAAAGCTAGTGGTCTCAAGGGTAAGAGATTAGGGGTTGTTCTGAAGAATCCCCTTCTCGATCAACACATCAACACATTAAGGTAAAAAACTTTGTTTATGTTGAGAACACTGTATTTAGCTAGTCATAGCTCTGTTTTTCCTTGGATGAAGACGAGAAGGTGCGATCGTCATTGACAATCTAACGATACCAAACATGGAAGTCATTATGGACTGGACTAAAAGCGGTGAAGAGATAGCACTTTTGGCTGAGTTCAAGATCTCTCTTAATGCATATCTTAAGGAGCTTGTGAAATCACCGGTCCGGTCCTTAGCAGACGTTATTGCCTACAACAAGAAATTCTCTGAACAGGTAATGTATTCTCCTTTTTCCGAACGAAATGTAAAATCATGGAATTGACACAAAATTGCAGGAAAAGGTGAAAGAATGGGGACAGGACGTCTTCATTGCAGCAGAAGCAACCAATGGAATGGGTGAGAAAGAGAAAGCAGCGTTGCAGAAAATGGACGAACTTTCGAGGAATGGAATCGAAAAGCTAATGGAGGAAAACAAGTTGGATGCAATAGTGACGCTTGGTTGGACGTTGAGCTCTGTCCTTGCCATTGGAGGGTATCCAGGAATCAATGTCCCTGCAGGATATGATAGTCAAGGAGTTCCCTTTGGGATTACCTTTGGAGGACTGAGATTCTCAGAGCCAAAGCTCATTGAGATTGCTTATGGCTTCGAACAAGCCACTTTGATCAGGAATCCGCCAAAGTTTACAGCTTGAGGCACTTGTAGATTTTAATCAACAAAGTTACTGATTTGTAGAAACATGTATCTTTGTAGTGTACATTTATTTGGAGACTTGGAATAACTTACAGATATGACTTTGTCACAATATACACTTACAGATATTTTACATTTACTTTGTCACAATATATTTTACAAGTATATCTATACTTGTTAACAGCTCAAACACTAAGCTTAGGGGAAAAATCTGAACTTACAAAAGGAGATGAAAACTCGTCAAAACAAGCCATCCTGATACGCTCTGGAGTGGCTGGAGTCTCCAGAGGGAACCAGTCGGTGAGACCCACCTCTGTTCTAGCCGCTTTGATAGCTTCTTTGATCGCAAAGAAGACCGATGATGCAAGGAAGAACGGTGGCTCGCCCACTGCTTTAGATGAATGTATTGCCTTTACATTTGGATTCCCCTGATTGAAACAAGTATACAATCTCATGTTCAGTTCCAAATGTGTTGATTGCTACCAATTTTAAAGCTTGTTCTTATAGTCGCATACCTTGAGAAGAGAAACATTGAGGTGGAATGGAATGTCGTTAATGGTAGGTATCTTGTAGTTTCCAGGTCCACAAGTGAGTAACGTTCCCGGTTTAATCCATTTATGAGCTGCATCTCCCCATTTGAGTTCTTCAAGAGCTACCCAACCTAGTCCTTGTACAAAGGCTCCTTCTATCTGCAAATAGTGATTCCAGATAAAACACTCTTCTTTTTACAAAAATTGCAGAAAAATGAATAGTTGATTGAGAGAAGAAGAAGACGCACTTGTCCAACATCAATGGCTGGGTTAAGAGAATATCCAAGGTCCAACATTATATCAGTGGCTCTTGTGTGGAAATCACCAGTCAATGTATCTATCTCAACTTCAGCAAAGGCAGCTCCATATGTGTAATATCTGAATGCATTTCCTTTTCCGGAGATCCAGTCAAATCCAATGTCGGGAACGATGTGGAAACCGTGAGCTGAGAGGTCTATCCGTTGAAAGTAGCACGCACTTACCAGCTACACACGCTCAACAGGAAAAGAGAGTCTTTCATCAAAATCTTCCAGAGGTTTTTTAATATCAAAAACTGTGTGTTCATGTGTTGATGAGGGAAAAAGAATACCTCAGCGAATGTGTTGAAATTGTGCTTAGATGCAACAGGCTCCATTCTTGCTATAATCTGCTCACATGCGTCTAAAACTGCAGCACCGTACATATCAGAGCTTGCAGAAGCAGCAGTTGGAGACGCATTTGGAACCTATCAAGAAGGGAGAACATTTTTTTTTCTGGTTATGTCTTTGGCCTAAAGTGCTCTGCTTGTAACAGAGTTCCATCTCCCTAAATTCAGATGGTGATATAAATGTACCTTGTCGGTGCTCGTCTCTGAGACGAAAACTGAGCTAAGCGGAATGTTAAAGGCGGATGCAGCAACTTGGGCAACCTTTGTATGCAATCCTTGACCCATCTCCACACCTCCATGTGTCACCAAAACAGTCCCATCCGTGTAAACATGAACAAGAGCACCGGCCTGTAACAGCCACATTATGTGTAAGTGATACGAAGTTTGAAGGAAAAAGGATCCAGTTGAAACAAAGATTACCTGATTCATGAACTTTGTGGTAAACGATATGCCAAATTTTGTGGGAACTATAGCTACACCACGCTTTTTCCACCGATTTAGACTATTAAACTCGTCAGCTTCTCTACGAGCCTTTAAGAAGTTGCAAGATACTTTCAGCTCCTCCCAGAGCTGATGCAATGTGCAGTGCTGAAGAGACTGAGAGTAATGTGTGATCGATCCTTCTACTTGAAAGTTCATCTCCTAAAGTAAAGTAAATACACCAGAAAACATTAAAACAGGAAACTGACAAAAGGAGGACAAACTGACAAAAGGATGTTTAGAAAAACATTCAACTCACTTTGATTTCTTCAGGTCTTTTATCAAGCTCAGCTGCGATTCTCTGAATCCAGTTTTCAGTAATAAGCATACCTTGGGGACCTCCAAACCCTCGGAAAGCAGTGTTACTAGGGAAATTAGTAAAGCAAACGTTCCCTATGATCCTCACATTCGGGATCTCATAAACATTATCTGAGTGAAACATGGCACGTTCAAGAATAGCAAGGGAAAGATCCAAAGAGTTTCCACCATTGTTATAGATTTCAAGGTCCAACGCCAATATTTTTCCTTCATTAGTAAATCCAACCTGTAATGTGGTAGCAGAAAACAATTAAAAGGAATTTTCTATTCTCACTCTTTCAGTCATTTCCATGTAATTGTCTACTGACTGATTACCTTGTACTTTCCAATGAAACTATGACGATGACCAGTTATCATCATGTCCGCATCTCTGTCCAGTATGAGTTTCACTGGTCGATTCAATAGGAAGGAAGGAACACAAGCTGCAGCAGCAATGAAGGCTGATCTTGTTTCCTTACCACCAAAGCCACCGCCGATTCGTTTGGTTTTGCATACCACTTTAGACATTGGAAGACCGAGAACATGAGAAACATATTTCTGGTGCTTTTGAGGAGCCTGCATATAAATCACAACCACAGAGTGAATTCCACTCAGTGGAGTATATGACAGTACCCTATTCTAAATGATGTAAAATACTAAATGGTGTGCTTACTTGAGTGGATGAAATCGTATGAACTTCGTTGCCTCCATCAATTGTCCAAACCAAACTACCATTAGGCTCCAAGTAAAAGTGCTCCTGACCACCCATTTGAACCTCTCCCTCTATGATCCTATCACACTGACCAGATTGAAAGCATAGCTCTACATCCCCTTTTCTCAACCTTTTCTCTGTGTTCGGATGGAAACTTTTAGCAATAATAGCCTCCTTGATTGATAATATTGCCGGTAGTTCCTCATACTTAACGTCAACTTTTGCTGCTGCAGTTTTTGCATTTTCATGTGTATCCGCAACAACCACACCAATGACCTGAAATAACAGATTCGATTCAATGAAATAGTTGGGAATGAAACATATACATACAAATATATAACAAAATATCTGAAAATATAAAAAACTTAGTTTACTTTACTGAGATTAAAACAAAAGGTCACAGAGGAACAGTTTTGCATGTAACACATCGTCTAAGACACAGAGAAGAAACAGGTTCGGACTGAATATTGAGGTTTCAAAATTTCTTACTTGTCCCACACATGTGACCACTTCTGTAGCAAATAATTCTTCGTCGGCAACAACTGGTCCAATCATATTATCCCCAGGAATATCTTTGGCAAGAAACAGACCAACAAAACCAGGTGAACATTTGGCTGCCGAATCATCAATAGAAAGGATGCGAGCATGTGGCACTTTGCTTAGCACCAAGGCAGCATGCAGAGTATTAGGAGGAACCGGAGTATCATCAGTATATTCTGCTTCCCCTGTGACCTACATGAAATTATAATAGTGTTGAGATAAGCTATTCTTCAAAATTATCACCAACATACATAGAAAAGCAAAAAACAATGTGCCACATAAACTGAAGTTGCTAAGAAAACCAGTTTGAGAATCAAAGTAGAGAAACAATTTGAGTACGGTAAATGGACCAACGTACCTGCATTCTCGCAGAGAGATGGATCTCCGACAAGCCAACAGCTGTTCCCTGTTTCACTGTCTCATAGTCTTGCTTTCCAACTCTAGACAACCGAGGAACAGGTTGCACAGCTGATATATGAGAAGGTGGAAAGGTCTCTACCGTGGGCTTTACGTTATGTACATGATGAGAAACCCATAAGAAAAACTTAAAGAAGAAGCTTAGTGTTAGAGATTTCCTAAACTCCACCATTCCACCTGGAGCATCTTCCTTAATTATCACATCGCTCTGTATGACCTTAAGCGCGTCTTGCAGAAGACTTTTATTCCAAATCTTTCCAGTTAGAAACTCCTCAGTCTTTCTTGCACGCAACGAAAGAGGAGCCACACCACCATAAGCAATTGATGCATCAGAAACAATCAATTCTTGACCTCTCTCTTCAAGAAACACACGCATTCCACCATTGACAATAGCTATATCATCATCCCTACGATGAGCCTGCTTAAACTCCTTCACATACTCTAAGGGCCTTGTCCATGGAAGGAAGACCGACAGCAAGATCTCGTTTCTTCCCATATCCACTTTACGATAGCCAAGGAAGAAATCTTTCGCAGGGATCGACCTAACATCTCCACTGCAGTTCACAATCCGAAACTCTGCTCTTGAAGCCATCCAAAGAGGATTCAAATCAGATATTGGACTAGCTGTACAGATGTTTCCACCAACGCAAGCAACATTTCTTATCTGTGTCCCAGCAAACCACTTCAGCTGTTCAATAAAAGCCTTGCACGCTGATGTTTCATGTGCAGGACGCTCCTTTACAACCCTTCTGAATAACCTCAAAAGTTCAGAAAGCTTCAAAGACGAACCAACCTCTACTCCATTGTCATTAACATTCAACGCATTAAGTTCTGGGACTTGAGCAACAGAGATTAGCACTTTATACTGTAACCTCTTCATCCTCATTTCGATCCCCACCTCTGTATTCCCCACCAGTAGTTTTGCATCAGGATAATTTCCTTTGAGCTCAAGCAGTTTCTGAAGACTTACAGGTCTAAACCAGGTAAGACCACCATTCCCCTTTAACTTCAAAGGAGCTAACTTCCTCAGCAAAAGCTCAGGCGGAAAAATATGCTCCTTTTCTGTATACTTAGCCCCATCTATATCGCTATAAGAAATTGACTGAAATCTATCTTCTTTACAACTGGCCGCTTCATCTTTTGTCGTTGATCCACATGAACAAGGTTTGCCAGTGGATGGGCAAATATTTGAACCATCTTGAAGGCTAAGTGAAGACACACCACAGTAGAGAGCATCATCAGATTTTGCGAAAACCCGAAACGCATCAACAATAGGTCTATAACCAGTACAGCGACATAAATTCCCAGCAAGGCATTCTTCAATCTCCTCTTCACTAGGTGAGTTTTTACTTGACCTCAACAACGCATACATGGACATGATGAAACCAGGTGTACAAAACCCACACTGGGAACCATGAGAAGATGCCAAAGACTCCTGAGAGAATTAAGATCACAGCACGTTTTTGGCAGCGCCATACATAGATACTCCAAAAAAATGAGAAGAAGTAAGTACAAAAACTTACCTGAAGTGGGTGCAAACCAAGTTTGCGATGCCCAACTCCTTCAATGGATATTACATGCATTCCTTCTACTGAATAGAGAGGTGCTAAGCAAGCGTTGACAGCATAATGCCTGCAGTAACATTTTTTTTCCGTAAGAATCAACAAAAAGGCCTAAACTTTAAGCAAAGAAGAGCCAATAGGACAAGATACGCACACACAAGTCTTGGATTTCTTGTCGTAATTAGAGACCATCACCGTGCAAGCACCACAACCGCCTTCGCCGCATCCCAGCTTCGTCCCGGTCAATCCTAAATCTAAAAGGAAACAAGAAACGCGTTTGCAAGTTAAACAATACTTCATGATCGTTTAGAACAAATCATTTCTACAATCCACTCTTTTTTTTATAAGAAACGAATCTCGTTCTAGATGCATAATCAATCATTTTCAAATTAAGAAACATAAGTGAGCTAGCTAGTGAATCAAACATAATCTCGATTTGTGAAAATCCGGATTCCATAACTCAGATAATTGTCAAATACAACCATTCGTATCTGTATGAATATTCCTTTATCCTGATTCTTCATAAAAATAAAGTTTCAGTCTAAAACTGATTTGAAATTTGAGCGTTTTGAGCATAAAAGAGCACTAAAGCTCACAATCATCTCAAAAACCAAAACTTGATCGGGAAACTAAAGACCCAAAGGAAGTAAAGTAGTTAGCTACGCCTACGCACCTCTGAGGTACTCGAGAAGCGTCATATGAGCCAATCCGTCGGGCAAGACTCTACGAACGCCGTTAACGTACAGTATCGCCTCCATAAACTCGTCTCCCATCTCTCCCTCGTTCTTCAGTGAACCCATTTCTCAGTAATTTCGGAATCTGCGATTGGGATCGGAACAAAAACGAGAGAGATGGCGAAGTTGATGACGCTAAGTCAAAGCTCAAAGAGGAAGAGACGAAGAGCTTCATTTCCTTCTTTTTTTATAATATTTTTTAAAAATAATTTATTTCCGAGAATAACACATGTTCATGTTCATCGTCATTAAACTAACGTCAAAATCATTAAACCTGTGCCCACTGATTAAGCTCCTCCTAATTAATTCATAACAAAACAAAAAGCCCATTAAGCAATAGTTATACGGCCCAAATTAAGTTTCACCCTTCTTCTTCTTCCTAAAACCTCTCTGTACTATTCTCGCGCCGCTCTCAGAAACTAGCTCCATTAAAATTTCTCTCTCAAGTAAGCTTTTTTGTCGATTTCCATGGCTAAGACGAAGTTTAAACCTGTGGAGGATGCGAAACCGGAAGTGGAAGAAGCTGAGAAAGTTGAGGAGGTTGAAGAACAGAGAGACGCCGGAGAAGAGGAATCAGAAGTAGTAGAAGAAGAAGAGGAGGTGGCTGATAAGAGTTTTGAGGAATTAGGGCTTGACCCTCGTCTAATCCGTGCCCTAACGAAAAAGGGTATTGAGAAACCCACTCCTATTCAGCAATCAGCCATTCCTTTCATCCTGGTAAATAAACCAAAAATAAAAGTCTCCATCTTTTACAAATTTCGCTGCTTTGGTTATTGCATTGAAGTGAATTTGAATTGTTTTGTGTTTATTCTAGGAAGGAAAAGATGTGGTTGCTAGAGCTAAGACTGGCTCAGGCAAGACCTTGGCTTACCTTCTACCATTGCTCCAGAAACTGTTCTCAGATTCCGGGAGCAAGAAGAAGTCTGCTCCTTCTGCATTTGTACTCGTTCCCTCTCGAGAGTTGTGCCAACAGGTCTACACAGAGGTTTCTTCGCTTATTGAGCTGTGTAGGGTTCAGCTAAAAGCTGTGCAATTGACTAGTAGCATGACTCCATCTGATATGGTCAGTGTTACATTTCTCACAATAATTGTCCTACCGTAAGCATTTAATCAAATTTTATAACCATTTTTATTTGAATTCTCTTTTCAATTGCAGCGTAATGCATTGGCTGGACTGCCTGAGATTCTTGTCACCACGCCTGCTTGTATTCCAAAATGTTTTGCTGATGGAGTTTTAGATCCTGCAGCTATCACTGACTCGCTTGAGTTTCTGGTTCTTGATGAGGTATGTATGATAATAAATGGTTTTCCTGAGCTTTAATGATTTACAGTTTGTGATGAGAAGTAACAGTAGCTTTGTTAGATGTTTTGAGAATTCACTAATGTTGATATATTTATGTTATCAGGCAGATCTTTTGTTGTCATATGGATATGAAGATAATCTAAGGTCGGTAACTTCGAAAATCCCAAGACGTTGCCAATGCCTTCTTATGTCTGCTACCACGAGGTAACACATTTTCCTCTGAGTAGTAATGATTCTAGACTTTCTAGTTAAGCTCACATTTGCCTCTGAGGTTCTATTGAGTTGTTGAATCATGTTTTGCAAAATGTCAGCTCTGATGTTGAAAAGCTGAAGAAATTGATTCTGCACAACCCAGTAGTTTTGACCTTGCAAGAAGGTGCTGACAAGGAAGAGGCCGTCCCAAGTAATGTTCAGCAGTTTTGGGTATGATTCTTTCACTTATATTTGGTCTAAATTAGTTTTGCTGATTAGGTTTTGTAAGTTTCCTAGTTGTTGGTCCGGTTAATGACGATTAGTGTGTTATCTTGTCGTAGATTTCTTGCAGTGCTCAGGATAAACTGCTCTACATTCTTGCTCTCTTGAAGCTAGAGGTGGTTCAGAAAAAGATTCTGATATTCATCAATACGATTGACATGGGTTTCAAGTTGAAATTATTCTTGGAAAAGGTAAATTTTTTGGTCACCAGTATGAGCAATCTGATTTTTATTACTTTACCTGTAGTAACAAACGTGAGTCAATCTTGTTTTTGATTCTGCCAGTTTGGTATCAAGTCTGCAATCTTAAACGGGGAGTTGCCGCAGAATTCTCGACTTCATATCCTTGAGGTACAACACTTGAACTAAGTTTTTTTCCTGAAACAGCTGCGTTTCTGTAATTTAATCACTGTGTGGTTTGTACAGCAATTCAATGCAGGTCTTTTTGATTATTTGATTGCAACGGATGAGAATAGCCAGGCTAAAGAAGCGGAAGAGGCTAAGGGTGAAGATAACAAGGAGAACAAGAAAAACAAAAGACGTGGCAAACCAAAGCTTGACGCTGAGTTTGGTGTGGTTAGAGGAATTGATTTCAAAAAAGTTCACACGGTATGCTACTCTACTCTACTCTACGTTGCTCTCATTTGACTTCCATTTTCTTTTCTTTGCTTTTGGATTCTTAACCTTCCCTGAAACCATGTTTATGCACAGGTCATTAACTATGACATGCCTCAAAGTGTTACTGGATATATCCATCGCATTGGACGTACAGGGAGAGCATATAGCAGCGGTTCTTCTGTTTCTCTTGTGAGTTTCTTCTTATGAATGTATTAAACCGTTCTGTTGTCATGATCACTTCAAGAAATTGCTTAGTCTAATGCTCTGCTTTATCTGCCACAGGTTTCTCCTGATGAGATGGAAGGGTTTGAAGAAATAAAAGCCTTCTTATCAGGCGAAGAGGACAAGGATACTAATATTATCACACCCTTCCCTTCCTTGACCGAAAATGCTGTCGAGTCTTTGAGATATAGAGCTGAGGTGAGTAATCTCTCTGCAGTAAGATGCTTACTTTTGATCAAGTGAGCACGTATTTAATGAATGTTTGTGTTTTCTTCTCTTGCAGGATGTTTCAAAGAGTGTCACAAAGATTGCTGTTCGAGAGTCTCGAGCTCAGGATCTAAGGAATGAGATAATCAACTCCGAAAAGTAAAGCAAGAATGCAGCTGCTGAGTGTTGTTTAGCTCTCTGGTTTTGTGATTTGTGTTTATAGTTTCTCTCTTTCTTTTCGTGTTCAGGTTAAAGTCTCATTTCGAAGCTAATCCAAGAGACTTGGATCTGCTGAAACATGACAAGCCTCTGAGTAAGACTGCGCCTGCGCCACATCTGAAGAACATTCCCGAGTATCTAGTGGATGCGAAGACTCAAGAAGCAAGCAAGATGGTGAAGCTAGCCAGAGCCGCAATGGGCAACAGTAGGAGATCCGGTGGAGGTGCTGGTCGCAACAACAATAACAAGAAACGATCCAGAAAAGGCAGTGATCCACTCAAAACTTTCAATGTGAGAAACATGACTGAATTTTCTATCTTTTTCTCTGCTTTTGTGTAATCTGTGCTAACTTTTTTCTCTATGTTGTTTGCTTTCTTCAATGAAGCAGGGATCTAAAAGAGGACACGGTGGCCAGAAGAAGGATGGTAAAGGATCAAGCGATGGCTCGACCAAACTGAAGAAACAAAAGACAGTCTAATGTCTTCGTTTATGATCACGCAAAAATGAATTTTCTATTTTGTGTTGTTACAATGTGAATGAAATCATATGAATTTCGTTGCCTCCTTCAATTGTCCAAACCAAACTAGCACGAGGTTCCAAGTGAAAATGTTGTTCCCTTTTCTCAGTGATTGATAATATTGATGGTAGTTCACAGAGAAAATCCTCTAAGCCACAGAGAAGAAAAAGCTAAGAAAGAAATCAAATAACTCTTCAGCGGCCACAACTGGTCTAATCATATTATCACTAAGCCACAGAGAAGAAAAAGCTAAGAAAGAAAGCAAATAACTCTTCATCGGCCATAACTGGTCCAAATCTGGATTCCATAACAATCCGCAAGTCTAAAACAATCCGCAAGTGTAAAACTACTCAATTCTTCTTCTACTTCATAAAGCATAAGCTCCGTCGATTCCATAACAACATCCTCTTTTGTTCCTTCTGTCTTCACCGTGACGAGACTCTGGTTGCATTGTGAAATCAGATACTCCTTCTCTTCATAAATGCATCGCTGCCCTATGCACCAGTTTCCACGTTGACAGGGATTGTCCATCACAATCTGATTTGGTGTTCCATATAACATGTCTGGAGGAGTTTTGTCTGCAGAATCTCTATAAAACCAATTTACCCCAGTTTTGTCAACACTATGCTCTGTAACTCTGGCCCATCCTTGAGAGGGCACCACCCACACCCTCTGACCCAGATGATAAAGGTTTTCCATGGCCTTCTCCACACTGCTCTGGTAGAAAGGTTGATATAGGTCGACAGAAGGATCATCCACAGTGAACTTTTCATTCCTTGAAGCACCTTCCATGGAGAATGTTACTCTAAGCTTGACTGATCTGACTCTCCCTACGCAGCCTTCAAACGAGACTTGATCTGTGAAAGAAATTCTGAAAGGTTCAAGGCCGTTGACATCAACCTCCTTTATCTCAACATCATCGGCGGTTAAACTGACGGTTCTTTCAACATGAACCACTTCCGAAACGCCCATTGCCTCTGGATATTCAATGGTGACAACCTTATCTCCTTCTTTAAACAGACGAACCCATAAAACGTCTTCCTTCCCGAGTGGAATTTTTGCAGGATGAGACAAAGTCAACACTTTTTGTCTTCCGTCCTCTTCCAAGATTACTCCCTGTACGCCTGTCTCTTTGTTTCTTACGATATCTCCATCGATTATATCCAGCCCTGGTATGAATTCATAAGTTTATAAATCAACACCATTCACGTTCACATACATAGCATCATTGCTAAATTGCAGAAAGAGACTTACTTTCTGAACATGGAGAGCCCTGAGCCAGAAGAGTGCTGTCTGCAACCGCTTTAGCCGCCGAGGAGTTAAGGTTGAAATCAACACTCACATTATCTGCGTGATCATGGAGCCGAGAAGCAGAAGCAGAAGCACTATCCACATTTCTAAGTTGTGGCGACGCAGATAGTTCAGTCAGAGAACTTTCGTCAAGTGATCTCAGTCTCTCAGTATTCAACGGCCTTGGCTTCTCTTGCAACTTGGAGAACTCAGAGTCATCAATATCGTCCAGTGTAGATGAAGAATCAGCATTCTTGACATTCCCATTCAGATTAAAAGCCGACATTGCTCCAGATTGATTCAGATATTAACCAACAACAGTCCAATTATTATGCCCTGCATTACCACAAATCGATCAGATCCATTAGCTACAGTGAAGAGCAATTTTTCCACACAGCAATCACATGATCAAACGTGTTACAGGTCATAGACATGCTGGATGCTGGATTCGGTTGAAACGCAAACTTCTCATATTCCTAACCACAGCAATACGTAGAGAGATCACGAACCTTATGATCAAGCGTCGAACGAAGAAGATGAACGGAGAAGAAACGAACGAGCTTTCCCTCTCAGATATTAGCCAACAGTCCAATTATCATGCCCTGCATTACCACAAGTCGATCAGATCCATTTGCTACCGCAATTCAACGCACAACAATCACATGATCAAACGTGTTACAGTGCTGGATTCAGTTGAAACGCAAACTTCTCATATTGATTCAGATGGTATAGTTTTCCAGAAATCATGGAAAGAATCCAGAAAACCGTAATCAATCAAACCGTTCTGTGAAATGGAGAAACGCGATCAATCAGGACGCAGAGCAGCAATAACAACAGAGAAACTCCATGAATACCAGCAACTCTGAGCACAAATTGAACAAGGTAACATCGGATTTCAATGTAATCTTAAAGAACAAGAGATTAAACACCGGAGGGATTACGAAACGATTTCAACGACATCACGCACAGAACAGATCGGAAAATAAACTCTCATCAAGCTAAACAACGTTAAAAAAATATTCTGCGGAGATCCGGCAATAACAAAGCAGGAATTAACCTCATCATCAACCGGTAAATGTTCCTAACCACAGCAACACGTAGAGGGATCACGAACCTTATGATCAAGCGTCGAACGAAGACGAAGAAGAAGAAGAAGAAACGAAGGAGCTTTCCCTCTCTGCTCTGCCTCTCTCTCTCTCTCTCTCTCTCTCTCTCTATCTTCTGTAGAAGCGATAGTATCAGTAGTCGAACAAGTAATTAAACCGAGTGTCAAAGCGGCAAAGGTAGTTATCAGCTAAGGAGGATGTGGTCCACGTGTACGAACAGGATGTGACTGTGACGGGAGAAAAGAAAACAAGGACAGTGACTCTAGATATCGGGAAAGGTGAAAAGGAATGGTTGTTGCATGGAAGTTGTTGTTGTACGGAGGTTGTTGTTGCTTCTTTCATGTCAGCAGTACTATTATTTTAATATTTTATACTCCTTCCATACATTACATTTAATTCAAATACTTTTATTAGTTTTGATTGTCCACGTGTACGGTGGCGGCGGATCTCGTTGTACCTTTATAACAAAACAAAAAACCACTTTTTATTATAATCAAAATATGGGTGAAATTAATGCTAGTCCACTACAACAAAACTATTTTTTAGTATCGTTTATTTTGTATCATGTTTCATAAATGATGCTAAATTAAAAATTAATCATATTAGAAAGCATCACTTGTTCAAAATGACACTAAGATAAAGGTAGTTACATCATTTACTTGTAAATGATACTAATAATTAGTTTTTAGTATCATTAATCTAAAAATGACACAAATAAACAGTATTTAATATCATTTCATTGTAAGTGACACTAAAAATCAGCATTTTCAGTATTTTTAAAAATAACTAATGATAGTTTTAATTAAAAATAATAAATTGCCATTCAAACAATAAAAGAAAACAAAAAAAATCAGAAAAAGAATTCAGCTCTCTCTCTCTCTCTTAGTCTTAGCTTCGCGAGCTCGATCTCGATCTCGATCTCTGATCGAATCACCATGGCGGAGGTTGTCGATTGTTTAGAAGCTTCCGATCATCACCATCGCACAGTACTCAGGTTTCGTTGAACTCAATCTTGTGATTTTGAGATTCTGAGATTTTGCTTGTGAATTTGGTATAACTGCATACCGAGTGGTTTTGCTTGTGATTTTGGTCTCTATTTGTGAAATCAACCTCTATTTCGTGTTCTATTTGCTCGAATTTCTTTTTCATTTTAGTTATTGTTGAATCAGAGTTGGCGAAGCGGCAAGATGAGTGAATTTGTTTCTGCGTTTTCGATTTCGGGTGTATATTGAGAAAATTCTCTTGATTCGTCTTCCTATTTTAGTGTATTAACCTCTATTCGTCTCAAGATTTCTTGTGCTATGCTACTTGTCTTCATCATTCTCGAATAAAGTTATTCCATTCTCATAGTTAGGCTTGAAACTCCTAAGTATGATGTAATTCTGAAATTCATAGATGAATTCTCATGTGGTCAACGACTAAAATGATAGGACTCCAATTGGTATTGTTATTCCAGGGCTCATTAGTGATTGTACAGCTGCAGATTGGCAAAGGAAGGATGGAATATTGTTGGGAGCAATCACCGTGGAGAAACTTGAGGTACTAGAATTTGTCGTCTTGAATTGGGGGGTTCACATGTTGCTTAGATTAGATAATGCATAGATTTTGTGTTGGTTTGATTTCAGGTTTTGAGAGCTTTTCTTCCAAAGCATGAACTGGTGAAGAAAGTCAATAGTTTCACCGAGTTGAAGGAAAACGTAAAGCAAAAATTAATCTGAATCTGCCTGCAGTCATAAGAGTTTTTTTTTGTATTCCTTTTTAAAGATTGAAGAAAGTTCGTGCCTCCTCTGCCATTTAAATATAGCGGAGAGACTTTCCTGGAAAATGTGGAATCAAACCAAAGTCTACCCTTCTCTTTTCACCTTCTTCTTTGTATAAAGTCTTCAAGCTTCTTCTCCTCGACCATTATCCAACAAAGAATTCAATTTTCCAAGGTACACACGTTTTCTCCTCAATCCTCTCTATTGTTACTCGCTATACTTTTGCTCTTGTTGACTTTTCTTGTTCCTAGAATCCGATAAAGTCTGGTTTTTTGTTTTACCCTTTTGAGCAGGAAAGTGATTGTGATGGATAGTGAAACTATAGCTGAACAGATCCCTTTATTGGAAGGAGAGACTGACAATTACGATGGTGTTACTGTAACCATGAAGGACCCCATGGATGCTCAGGTTTTCACCGATAGCCTAAAGGCTTCCCTTTCCCATTGGAAAGAGCAGGTATTGAGCAATTTTGAACTCAGATTTCAAATGTTTCTTTTCAGTTTCTTAGTGAGGGTTTTTTTATTTGCAGGGGAAGAAGGGAATATGGATAAAGCTGCCTCTTAACTGTGCTAATCTTGTAGAGGCTGCAGTTAGTGTAAGTGGATGTTTTGACTTTGTAAGAGGTTTATATGATCATAATGGTGAATTGGTGTGATTATTCTTCAGGAAGGGTTTAGGTATCACCACGCGGAGCCTGATTACTTGATGCTTGTAACTTGGATCTCTCAGACTCCTGATACAATCCCAGCCAATGCTTCTCATATCGTTGGCATCGGTGCTTTGGTCTTCAACAACACGACTGGAGAGGTAAACCACAATTTATCAATCCTCCAGGGACTGAACAAGACAAGTTATTGTCTCTGTTTATTTTTCTTTTCTCAATGTTACTTTGACTGAATCTTGATGAAACACTTGAATGAGTGCAGGTCCTCGTTGTCCAGGAAAGGACTGGTTATTTCAAAGATAAAAATGTGTGGAAGCTACCTACCGGTGTTGTCGACGAGGTGATTTTACATCAGACTATTTTTGTTATCTTGTCATCTTTGTTGTCTCCATAATGTAGTTTCCATCATGAAGAGTCTAGCTTTAAAACGAGTTGAGTTTGAGTTAAGAGTTTCTTCTGTGTTGCCTTATGTTTTCAGGGCATAGTACGTGAAGGTGACAGGATAAGACAGGATTATACATTTCATAAGGTAATTAACTTGTTCTGAGTTATTGATACGTGTAGTATTGGTATGAATCAAGTTGGTAGTCTTAGTTTCTTGATACGTGTAGTATTGAGGTTTGAGGTTTCAGCTTATAAGATAGGTTTGAGGTTTGAGGTTTGAACTAAGTTTCACTTGATGGTTTGATGTTTCAGCTAAATATTCTTTGCAAATAGGTTTCTTATAAGATATTTGATGTTTATGATGCAATTTGCTCTTTATTTTGGCAGGTATGAGATGCTTGAAGAAGAGAATACAAAGAAGAAGACACAAATACACATTTATACATTTTACTACAATTAAATTTGAGGTTGTATACATTTTACTACAAGTAAATTTTAGTTTGATTACTATATAAGGATATTTTAGCTTGAATATCTATATTTTTTTTTTAATTATAATCTCAATTTTAGTATCACTTTTACAAATGACACTAAAATTAAATTTTAGTATCATTTATTTACAAGTTATACTAAAATGATTCTAGTATCACTTGAACAATTGATTCTAATCTCAATTTTAGTATCACTTGTTTAAGTGATCTTAAATGTCATTTTTAGTATCACTTGTAAATTAATGATACTAAAGTTTAATTTTAGTGTCATTTGTTAAAGTGATACTAAAAAAACTTAGTATCATTGATTTTAGTGTCATTTTCTGAAATGATACAATAATTCTTATATCATTTAAAAAATGATATTAAACTTAAAAAAAAGTGACACTAAAAAATATGTTTCTTGTAGTGGTCGGTTATAGGTTAAAACGTGGGCGACTTTTTATCCACTTACTAGCTATTTTTATGTCGTGTAGATTTTTGCAAATAAATCATTCTAGTTTGATCATTAGTTTGTTCATCATTCTAGTTTTTCAGTATTTCTTATCAAGTTTCAACATTACTTTTACATTCACGTTTTACATAGTATTTAAAAAAAGACCAAAAAATGAAGAGTATAATTAATGTTAGGAAAAAAATCATAATACTAATCAACTCCAATACTAAAGTGTTTGCTTTTTTTTTTATCTTTTGTCACGACAAAGTGTTTGCTTTTTTATTTGCAAAATACTTCAAAAAGTTGGTGGTCTCATCACATCATTAAAAAAACATAATTTTGCTCTTGTGTTAAATTACAGCACTGCATATAATGTTTAAAAAGTACTGCCAAATTTGACCTGCTCTGATTTAGTACTTGATTCACCTGTTTCTTCACCCAACTCTTTACTCTTTCTCAGTCCTATGAAAATTCGAGTGAATCACATTCGAGAACGCCGGACTATCTGCTGGTTTGTACTCCGGACTGAGCCGACCGGACTTAAACCGAACTTCACATGCATTACGTAAGGCATTACATGCAGTGAGTCCAGTGACCCGAGCTGCTCCTGGTCAGTCCTCTGCGGATGTTCTCCGAGCAAAGCAGCATGAGCCCGAGCTGACCTTAAAGCACTGCACCGAGCAGAGGCATCGGCGGTAAAGGTGAAGAAGGTGATGATGAGTTCAACAATGTTGCGGCTTGTCTTGATCGTTCCTTTCACAAGTCACAACATGCCGTATCTGGAATAACATCATGTTCAAAAACTTCAAAGCTTAAGTAATTCATAAGGCTAGCATCTATAACATGCATGCACTAACATCAAGTTCCATCTTATTTTATTAATAATATTTTCCTCTATTTTATTTGGCAAAAGTGTAACATTTCCATGAGATTAAAAACTAGGGATCAAAAATGAGATGTGTAGAATCCAATCCAAAATTATCTTTGCTTTGAAATTTGAAATGAGAATCGGATTTCTGTTGGCAAGTTGATGATTGTGGTAGAAAAAAAACTGGTTGTGACTGGGTATATGTTATCGGAAAATGTAAAAAGAAAAACAAAATCATGTTATCAAACTAGATTTTAACCTTCTAGATAAAAGTAAAGATATACCAGAAAAACAGAGAAAACAGAGCAATAACAGAACACCACCATTGTATCAGTATCATATATATATATAGAGAAAAGTGGTCTATGAGATACAGAGGTATAGACATATCAGATAGAAAAACTATATATTGTTTAGGTCAGAACGTTTGAAAAGTATTGACAAAGATCCATAAACGAGGCGTGTGAATGAGCTAAAAAGAAAAGAAGATAACAGTTTTGGAATAATATTTAATCCAAAACTAACAACACAGTTTCAGATTTTGCAAATCGAACAACATGAATTAAAAAGAGCCACAAAAACAGCTAGGTACAAGCATGGATGCTTATAATTAAGGAAATAGTTCAAATAAAAAAATATGAGTTTCACATGGAAAGCGATTGGCAGGTCAGGAGGTTAAACGACTTGTAGGTATCATACACAACAGCATTGCACTGTTCAACGTGCCCCCGAATGTTGGTTCCGAGTGGATCCACACGCTTCTCCAACCTGATCACCGCACACCATATATTCCTGTCTGGTTGAATCCTCCTCCGATCCATAAACAGTGTCCGCTGGTGCCATATAATTACCAGTTTCCCCGCATGGTTAACTAATTGAACCGTTACGGTCTTACGTAAACGCTGCCCATACAGACGTGACAAATCTTCAACCATTAACCAATCTCCACACCTTGAGTCATACCACTTGATCCTACGGCCATGTTCCGCAAACAAGACATTGTCTATGACGCAACAAGGTCCAGTTATTACAGGTTCTACTAGACCCACAAACCCCACCACATCTTCCACCCATCTCTCTTCTTTCGGATCATATGCATACTTCTTCTTCTGTTTTGTGATTACGCATAGCCTTCCTCCCAAAACTACGACTTGGTGATCCGAGTCCACCTCTCCCTTCTCGCTAGGGCTAGCCAATGGCTTCCAAGTCTGACTCTTTATGTCCAACACCTCACCCCAGCTCTCCGACTCCTCCTCTCCTCCTCCGGTTACATATATCTTCCCGTCTAGAAAGCTAGACTTGGCGCTTTTCCTTGCCACTGTCAGGCCAGCTGCGCGACGCCACGTGTGACTCCGACAATCAAGCACATCAACGTCTTTGGATCGTTTGCCTTCCACGGTTCCGCCCATCTGGTAGATCTCGAAACCGACGATGACACTGGTTGAATTTAACCGAGTAGGATCATAGGAGGAAGAGAGTCTTACCGGTTCTCGACATATTCTTCCTGAGAACGGACCTAAGAAATCCCCATAATCTAAGAAATCCCCATAAGAATGATTAATGAGAGTGAACCAGATATGATTATTGGTCCTCGATGAGCCCAAGCATACGTAGAGGCAAGGCTCTGCGACTCCGATATGGGATCGGACATTGTAGATTTCCGGACCTGAGACAAGAGAGTAAAAGCTCTTGGACACTAAGCAGAGTTTCTCATAGTAAGATCTCGGTATCCGGGCTAAGAAACTCTCAACAATTTCATCTGGAAGTGACGAAAACGACGGAGGCGATGCCTGCGGGAGTAGAGGAGGAAGTTTAAGCATCTTATTTTTCTTAGGATTACTGATCATCTTTCTTTCTCTAGGTTTCTCTATATATTTTTTCTTAGGTTTCTTTATATATTGGGTTTAGGATAATTGGGCTATTATTATTAAATGGGCCAATTCCCAAATAATGACTTTTATTGTGTTTATGTTCATAGAGGGAGAGACTTACTACTTAGTTGAAACTGGTAGAGGTTGTAGATTAGATGGAGAGCACTAGTCCCCAATAATTCCGGTCTCCCAAAACGTATCACTGGCCAAATCAAGTTTTACAAGAGTGAAATACAACATATATACAATGTCACATAATACTCACTTCAAATGAAAAGCCATGTATGTTATCATCTCCTCTATAGAATCTCACAAAACCATCAACACTTACTTGCTCATCCTAAGTATATTGTTACTATTTTCTTGTTCCATTTCATAAGAGATTATAATGACTTTGTGTTGCGTGTGTCTTAAGTTACGCTATTTATGAAAGTGTGAAGTTTGTATAACCAGGTGATGTCTTTTCAGTTGATTACTTTTGCTTAGGTTCTTGTATAAAACTACATCTATAATAATTTCTAGTGGAATATCGAAATCTTTACGTAAAGATTAGTGTCTCCATATCCGAAACCATTAAAGATTTGTGTAGTCGCCGTATTTTTTAATTCTTGAGGACACAAAGTCAAAACAAAAATGTTATGTGTGTGAGACAAATGGTAAGCGAGTTTGGATCTTTCTTTGGAGCCAACTGTAAAAACTAACACATCGTACCTTATAAGATAATATCAAAAACATCTACCTAGTTAAACACTCACAATCGAGTTCATTACCGAATGAGAAATTGAGAATGCTCTAGACTTGGAAACAGTGGAAAACGAAACAAGATTACAAGTGATCGACCCTTCTAAATCATCCAAAAGAATTGTAGGTAACAAAAAATTTCAAGATATGAAATATGACTATATGAGCCCCACCCTTATATTAAATAATGCTAACGCGTTTTATTTCAATTAGTTATGATATTAAAAGATATTTTAGAACATGTCAAAATATGATAAAACAAACAAATAACTTGGATATTATATTCTCAACGCATCGCAGAAAATGTGGATGATATATACAATATACTTGTAAATCGTTGACAATATCGCATAAACGGTGATCTCATCTCTCAAACATGTCTTTCTTCGAAAAAATCGCAGGTTCTGTAGCATCTTTTGCAAACGACTCTGCGAAAACTATTGTAAAAGAAGTGGTAAATCCGACGGTAACTTTGGCAAACGATTCTGCCAAAACTATTGCACAAGAAGTGATAAATCCGACGGTATCTTTCCTTGACAGTCCGATCCAGCGGCCACGGTACGTCCTTGAAGAAGCACAAATCCTAGACAATCTCCAACGATCCGAGGGTTCACATTTCCCAGGCGGCGACTACCGTCCGTACGATCGAAAAAACTGGATGGCCAGTCTGACGGTCGAGAAACTAACTCTGAGCAAGATCGTGTGGCCAGGAACGCACGATTCAGCCACAAACGAAATCGGACTACCTTTGATCTCTCGTCCTTTAGCTGAATGTCAAAAGAATGATTAATGAGAGTGAACCAGATATGATTGTTGGTCCTCTGTGACCGCAAGCATACGTAGAGGCAAGGCTCTGTGACTCCGATCTGGGATCGGACATTGTAGATTTTCGGACATGAGACAACAGAGTAAAAGCTCTTGGACACTAAGCAGAGTTTCCCATAATAAGATCTCGGTATCCGGGCTAAGAAACTCTCAACAATTTCATCTGGAAGTGACGAAAGCGACGGATACGATGGCTCCGGGAACAGATGTGGAGGAGGAGGAAATTTCAGCATCCTCTTTTTCTTAGGATTAGTCGTCATCTTTCTCTAGGTTTCTCTATATGTTTTTTTTTCTCTAGGTTTCCGTATTTATATGTTGTGCTTAGAGGTAGATTGGAAAATTGGAAAATTTCATCTCATTTAACTAGAGGTAAGATTGGAAAATCTGGCCCAATTATTTATGTTTTTTCTTTTTATTTTAAATCATCCAATGATATTTAATTTACTTATGACGATAGACACTATTTAAACAAATATGCTCAAAATTAGAAAAATAAAACACTAGAAGTTTATTTATGGACGAAGTTTTTTTTATTTCTGTTGTTACAATGTGAAAATCTTTCTTTCAAACGAATATCATCCCTGTTGATGGAAAATTATTATAAGTAAATAAAAAAAAACATGGTAAATCTTTTATAGACCAAATTGGATTTTTATATAAATATACTTAAACTCATCGTATATTCGCTTTGTTTAACAATAACAACCCGTGTTAATCATGAGTCGTGGCCTTAATGCTCTTCAATTATTGTTGGCGACTTTAAATGAGACAGCCAATCAAATACGTAAAGAAGTCAAACTCCAACCAATCCACAACAAATAGTTGCCTTTGATGTAACGTTTTACACGATAAGACAAACACTCCACGATTTCTCTCAGATTTATATAATTGAAAGACACTAAACACCACCAAGTTGTAAAACTCATCATCCACAAGAAAAACCTTATCTTCTTCTTCATCTTCTTCGATCTCTCAAAACATGCTCTCTTTTTTCACTAACCAGATCGACCGGCAAAAAGATGTCTCTCATGAAGAACATACCCTAAACGAACTCGAAAAATCCGAGGGTTCACATTTCCCTGGCGATGACTACCGTCCGTCCGATCGGAAAAACTGGATGGCCGGTCTCGAGGTGGAGAAGCTAACCCTGAACAAGATCGTGTGGCCAGGAACACACGACTCAGCCACAAACGAAATCGGAATACCTTTGATCTCTCGTCCCTTAGCTGAATGCCAAACGCTCTCCATCTACGAGCAGCTAGTCCTCGGGACACGTGTCCTCGATATCCGTGTCCAGGAGGATCGCCAAATCTGCCACGGGATTCTGACGTCATACGACGTCGATGTCGTCATCGAGGACGTCATCAGGTTCTTGTCGGAGACTCACTCGGAGATCATAATCCTGGAGATAAGGACGGAGTACGGGCACAAAGACCCTCCGGAGTTCGAGACTTACTTGACTGACAAGTTAGGTGAGTTCTTGATACAGCAAGACGATAACTTGTTCTGCAAGACTGTATCGGAGATCTTGCCCAAAAGGGTTATTTGCATCTGGAAGCCGAGAGAGTCTCCTAAACCGAGCCGCGGTGGACTTCTATGGAACTCAGATTATCTAAAAGATAACTGGATCGACACTGATCTTCCATGGACGAAGTTTCAGAGCAATTTGAAGCATTTGAGCGAGCAGCAACCGATATCTTCTAGGAAATTATTTTACCGTGTTGAGAATACGGTTACGCCGCAAGCAGATAACCCGATTGTGTGGGTTAAACCGGTGACTGATCGGATCCGGAAACACGCGAGGCTTTTTATATCTCAGTGTGTTTCCAAAGGATGTGGAGATAAGTTGCAGATTCTGTCGACAGATCTCATCGAAGAAGATTTCGTCGATGCCTGTGTTGGACTTACTCACGCAAGAATTGAAGGGAAGGTTTGATACCATTACCATAAAACATGGTTGATCTCCAGCATTGTAATAATTTGTAACGAAGATTATTTTCCATTTGTGTTACGTGTGTCTTAAGTTACGCTATTTGTGAAAGTGTGAAGTTTGTATAACCAGGTGATATCTTTTCAGTTGATTACTTTTGCTTAGGTTCTTGTATAAAGCTACATATACAATTTCTAGTGGAATTTCGAAATCTTTCCGTAAAGATTAGTGTCTCCATATCCGAAACCATTAAACATTTGTGTAGTCGCCGTTTTTTTTAAATTCTTGGGAGTTGGGACACAAAGTCAAAACAAAAATGTAATGTGTGTGAGACAAAGGGATGTAAGTTTCGAGTTTGGATCTTTCTTTGGAGCCAACTGTAAAAACTAACATATTGTACCTGATAAGATAACATCAAAAACATCCACCTATTTAAAAACTCGCAATCGAGTTCATTACCGAATGAGAAATTGAGAATGCTATGGACTTGGAAACAGAGGAAAACGAAACAAGATTACGAGTGATCGACCCTAAAAAAAAAAAAAAAAAAAAAGTGATCGACCCTTCTAAATCATCCAAAATAATTATAGGTAACAAAAAAAGTTCAAGATATGAAATATGGCTATATGAGCCCCACCCTTATATTAAATATTGCTAACGCGTTTTAGTTCAATTAGTTATGATATTTAACGATATTTTAGAACATGTCAAAATATTATAAACCAAACATATACTTAAAAAAAAAACAACTTGGATACTATATTCCCATCATCGCAGAAAATATGGATGATAAATACTTGTAAATCGTTGACAATATCGCATTAACGGAGATCTCGTCTCTCAAACATGTCTTTCTTCGAAAAATTCGCAGGTTCTGTAGCATCTTTTGCAAACGATTCAGCAAAAATTGTCGTAAAAGAAGTGGTAAAGCCGACGGTATCATTTGCAAACGAGTCTGCCAAAACTATTGCACAAGAAGTGATAAATCCGACGGTATCTTTTTTTGACAGCCAGATCCAGCGGCCACGGCACGTCCTTGAACAACAACAAATCCTAGACAGTCTCCAACGATCCGAGGGCTCACATTTCCCTGGCGACGACTACCGTCCGTACGATCGAAAAAACTGGATGGCCAATCTGACGGTGGAGAAACTAACTATGAACAAGATCGTGTGGCCAGGAACGCACGATTCAGCCACAAACGAAATCGGAGTGCCTTTGATCTCTCGTCCCTTAGCTGAATGCCAAACCCTCTCCATCTACGAGCAGCTTGTGCTAGGGGCACGTGTGCTCGATATTCGTGTACAAGAGAATCGCCAAATCTGCCACGGGATTCTGACGTCATACAACGTTGATGTCGTCATCGAGGACGTTATCAGGTTCTTGTCGGAGACTCACTCGGAGATCATAATCCTGGAGATAAGAACGGAGTACGGACACAGAGACCCTCCGGAGTTCGAGGCTTACTTGGTTGGCAAATTAGGTCCATTCTTGGTACAACAAGACGATAACTTGTTAAGCAAGACTGTATTGGAGATTTTGCCGCAAAGGGTTATTTGCATCTGGAAGCCGAGAGAGTCTCCGAAGCCATGCCGTGGTGGACTTCTATGGAACTCAGATCATCTAAAAGATAACTGGACTAATACGGATCTTCCATGGACGAAGTTTCAGAGCAATTTGAAACACCTGAGCGAGCAGCAGCCCATATCTTCTAGAAGATTCTTCTACCGTGTTGAGAATACGGTTACGCCGCAAGCAGATAATCCGGTTGTGTGGGTTAAACCGGTGACTGACCGGATCCGAAACCATGCGAGGCTTTTTATATCTCAGTGTGTTTCCAAGGGATGTGGAGATAAGTTGCAGATTTTGTCGACGGATTTCATAGAAGGTGATTTTGTTGATGCGTGCGTCGGACTCACTCACGCAAGAATCCAAGGGAAAGTTTAAAACATCTCCAAGTTTCATAATCATTGGAACCAATATTTATTTTCTTTCGATTGGGGTTACGTGTATTGTAAGTTTCTTTCTTTCTTATGTGTTTTACTTATACGCCGATAAACTCTGTGAACGCTTTCTTATTTTTTGTTGTTCATAAAATTTGAAAATAATTGCAACAGTACCTTCCTATTGTAGAATTGAGCCAGCATACAATGAGATTGTTAATTTGTAGACTAATAAATGTTTTAGTACAGAAGTAGCTAGGACTGGTCCAAACCAAGTGTTTTGATTTATGGACATGACTCACTCAGTTTTAGTGAATCTCTTCTCAATTACATTTCAAGACAAATCATTCTTATACTACTACTAAACAAGCAATTTCGCGGAAAATATGTAGAAAGTTCGATAATAAAAAGATCACCTTCATACATAATTTAAAGAAATACACAATTTCGTACTTCTGAAGCTTAGCTGTCAATGGTTCCTATGCTCTTGTCTATCAACAGCTCTTCGCCACCACATGCATAATGTGGTGTTGTTAAAGAGAGAAGCGAGTTTACTCAACACAAAAATAATCATAATAATATTGATTCAAGCATCATCATAGTAAAGTTGCATACATAGACCAAAAGAAGCCAAGAGTATTACGGAAAATAGTCCAAAGCCTCTCATCAGAGAGTGGGAGCAAGAACCTTGATGAGATCAAAATTCATACCGGATGTGAGCACATGGTCAAACCACTCAACTTGCCCCCAAATGCTTTCGCTGCGTCGTTCAAGAGAAATCTCGGCGCACCAAATCTTGGTATGATAGAGGACACAAGCAAGCCATCCAGAAGGGATCTTCTCCTTCCAAAAAACCATCATCTTTCCAACACCATAACCAGCCAATCCAATCCGATCAAAAGAACCCAACTTTGGTAGTCCATCCAAACCGTTCAAGTTTTTCCACTCGTGTACCTCATAGTCATACCATCTCAAGTCTCCATGGGGAGCAGAGTACAACACATTCTCTACCACGCAATAGGAATTACGTGATAGAGAATGTTTCTCCATTACTGATCTTAACAGGTCCCATCTACCTTCCTTGGAATCGTAAGCAAGGTCCACTTGTGAGCTAGTCACCACGCGGAACGTTCCGTCAATACATGCTGTTCCGTAGACGCCATGATAACAGGTGCTAGGGTTTGGAGGCAGAGAATCCCAAATTTGAGTTTTGGGGTCCAACACCTTGAACAAGTTGACAAGGGAAGCGCCATCGCCATCGCCTTCTCGGTAGCGTCCTGCTACGTATATCTTTTCATCGACGACGCTAGCAGAACATTCCCATAGCTTCACCGGGAACCTTGGAGCCTCGCGCCTCGTGTGAGACCGGCAATCCACAACTGAGGATACAAACTTGTCAATTTGGTAGATACTCGAACCAACCGCCACGAGACCCCCAAAGTTAGCACCAGGACCAGTAGTAATATCGGGAAATGCGACTCTAGCCAATACCCACTTGACTTTGACTCGGTGTCATCGAGGGTTTTATCAGGTTTCCGGCAGAGGGTGTACCAGCGCCTGCCACTACCGCACCGTATGCACACATAGAGACATATCTCCGTCGGCCCATGAGTGACCGGGTTTTGTAAAGCTTCGGTGAAGCCAGGAGAGCTCTAAAGCTCTTGCACACAGGGAGAGAGTCGGATAGTACAACCTTGACAAGCGTGCCACGCAGTTTAACAACAAATCATTGGGAAGCGACATTAATAGGCTCCATTGATTTTGGGTCGTCCGAGGCGGCTCCTCTTTCTTCCTCTTCCTATTTCTCTTATCCGGATACAACATCGCCGGATTTGGGGTCGCCAAAAGCGGCTCCTCCTTCTTCTTTCTCCTTCTCTTTGACGGGGACGGCAACGGCGGAATTATACAAGACTAATTGAGTCGCCGTGAGGTTTAAGTTTTCTTTTTTCCGCTGTTGGGCTTTATGGGGCCGTCACTTAATTGCAAGGCTTTCATCGGTATTTCTGATTACATGTGAACTATTAAGGGTATGACTGGTTTAACCGCTGCGGTTGCGGTTGCGGGAGTTTGCGGCTGCGGGAGTTTGCGGAAGCGGGAGTTTGCGATTAAAAGCTGTTTGTACGACTGGTATAGCAATTCATAGCGGTTGCGTTTGCGGGATATTTTTGACTGGTTAGCCAGCGGGTGCAAGAGCGGTTTAACCAAAAGTTACTAAAATAAAAATAATATATAATTATTCAAAACATTTATAACCATATTAATAATTTTTTTTTTGAAATATATTTTTTGATGAATTTTTAATTTGAAAACTACCCTTTTTTTTTGGTTTTGAAAAATACACTTTTTATATGTAAAATGATTATTCCTAATTTAATAAAAACGAAATTCAAATAAGAAATATAAAATATTAATATTTGATAATAATTTTGTATCATTTTAACATCCTAATTACCTGTTTAGTTTTTTTTAAACAATTTAATAAAAATATAAGATTGTTTATATAAAGTTTAAATGGGGTGAGATTAAAGTTGTTTATGCAAAGTTTCAAAAATATTTAAATTTTTCAAAAGATAAACATTAAAAATGAAAGATATATTTCTCCACTTTTAAATTTTTAATAATTTATAAACTTTAAATATATGTAAAGTTTTAATTTATTTAAAGTTTCATTTGGTTTGAATGTGTATGAGGTTAAGTTGTTTATATAAAGATCCAAAATATTAAAATTTGTTTCAGTTTAACATATACTATATTTATTTGAAAAAAAACTTATTAGTTTATTATTTTTTTAAATTTTCGTTTATAATTTGTAATTATTTATTATTTTTTTGTTTAAATCACGTCAAAACATACTTTTTACATTTTAAAAGTGTATTTTTCAAAACAGAAAAAATTTAGGGTATTTTCGAAATTTTTAAACATAATTATGGTATTTTTCAAAAAAATATACCCTTATTCCAAATTTGGAGATATTATGTTTTTTTTTTTTTTTTTTCAAACCGCAACCGCCCGCAACCGCAAACGCTTGCGGAAAGGAGCTTTTGATTTTCAGCGATATAGAGCGGTACAGAGTGGTATAGAGCGGTTGAAAGCGGTTGTCGTGATTGTTATAAAACGCTAAGAACCGCTACGAACCGCAAACGCTGCGTTTGCGGGTGGTAGCGGGAGAACCAATCATCACCTAAATTGACAAACATTTCCAAAAATTGGAATTATGATGTTACGGGGTTCACTAAAGAGAGACAAGCTTGTGTCCTTGATTGTGTTATGTTGTGCCAATTACACTCGGTGCATTTATGTTATTGTCCACCGCATGCCGTACCAACTTAGATAGATCGAATTTTTTAGACATTTATGAATATGGTATGGACATGATCTTCGTTACAGCTTAATTAAGATGGTATGGTTTTTCTTACAATATACTAATGTCACTTTGGTTTTCCGTGAGAATACATACACGAAGTATGAATATAAGGCCTTGAAAGACTCTTAAAAAAAGGACATATCATGTAATAACCTAGTTTATAGAATTATTATGTGGCACTGGCACATGAGAATTCTTCTTCTTTTTAAAACTTGATCTGACTACTTATATGACCAAACCAAAATATTCTAAATTACTTAAGATGCAAGGCCAACAATTTTCAAAAAGTAATTTCAATGAGGTTTGAGAAAATGAGTCAACATTAAATATTTTGGCTTAACCATGCTCAACATTGCGTACTACTCACTTGGTTGAAATACAAATACTACATAATTAAACTATATATTATTTGAATTCGTCATATAAGTGAGCTATGGACCGTTATAAATCTCTACTACTCTAGCAAGAATCTCAAATATTCGAATAATTTATGTCGCTATAATTATACTTGCGAGTATTCGTTTCAGTTTCTGTATATAAACACAAAGTTCTTTTGGAAGAAAAATAAATGTCTATTTTTGGGGAGCTTTCCTTCTTCCTTGTAAATTTCAGAGAAATTAACGTTTCACCAATCTCTCATTTTCTCTCTGCGTCCCTCTCTCTCTCACCGCCTCGCTCCACCGTCGTCTCCGGCGATCGAGGCCACCATTTTCATTCATCAGCTTTTACTTTTGATTGATCACACGAAACAAAACCAAAAAAAAACTTCTTTGATTGATCCTCATGGCGGATATCGTTAAACAGATATTAGTGAGACCGATCCAATTAGCGGATCAGGTAACCAAAGCGGCGGACGAAGCTTACTCATTCCGTCAGGAATGTCTAGAGGTCAAAGCCAAAACAGAAAAGCTCGCCGGCCTCCTCCGTCAAGCTGCGCGTGCGAGCAACGACCTCTACGAACGTCCCACGCGCCGTATCATCGACGACACAGAGCAGGTCCTCTTCAAAGCCCTAGCGCTCGTCGAGAAATGCCGCGCCACGGGGCTCATGAAACGCGTATTCACCATAATCCCCGCCGCCGCGTTTCGAAAGATCACCATGCAGTTGGAGAATTCACTCGGAGACGTCTCCTGGCTCCTCCGCGTCTCCGCTTCAGGCGACGACCGCGACGACGAGTACCTAGGACTCCCGCCGATCGCAGCCAACGAGCCGATCCTCTGCTTGATCTGGGAGCAAGTCGCGATCCTCTTCACCGGCTCTCTCGACGACAGATCCGACGCGGCGGCATCGCTCGTGTCCCTCGCGCGTGACAACGATCGGTACGGGAGGTTGATAATCGAAGAAGGCGGCGTTCCTCCGTTGCTAAAACTCGCTAAAGAAGGGAAAATGGAAGGTCAAGAGAACGCGGCTCGAGCCGTGGGGCTATTGGGACGTGACCCAGAGAGTGTAGAGCAGATCGTGAACGCAGGTGTCTGCCAAGTGTTTGCGAAAATTCTCAAAGAAGGTCACATGAAAGTCCAGACCGTTGTGGCTTGGGCCGTCTCCGAATTAGCCTCAAATCATCCCAAATGTCAAGACCATTTCGCTCAGAACAACATCATTCGCTTCCTCGTGAGCCATTTGGCTTTCGAGACGGTTCAAGAGCATAGCAAATACGCTATCGTGAGTAACAAGCAAACTCTTTCTTCCATCCACACGGTTGTGATGGCTAGCAACACGAACCCAACGGAGAGCAACGACCAAGACGAGACGAAAAGCAATATCTCGCATCCCATGAGTAACCAGACACCGAGCCAGATGCACAGTTTGATCGCAAACACGTTGGCAATGAAGGGTGGTCCGGGTTCAGCTCCAGGTTCGGGTACTAGTAGCAAGAACCAAACGAAACAGAGCAGTCAACAGCACCAGAACCATACCAAAGCCGGGTCAAACCCGAGAGGGAACAACCCGGCGCATGTTTCTTTGATGGGGACAAGCATTAAAGGGAGAGAGTATGAGGATCAAGCCACTAAAGCTCAGATGAAGGCAATGGCCGCAAGAGCGTTATGGCAACTCTCAAGAGGAAACCTCCAAATATGCAGAAGCATAACAGAGTCAAGAGCATTGCTCTGTTTCGCTGTTCTGTTAGAGAAAGGAGACGATGAAGTCAAATCATATTCTGCTTTGGCCATGATGGAGATCACTGACGTCGCTGAGCAATACTCGGAGCTGAGACGCTCAGCTTTCAAACCAACCTCTCCCGCCGCGAAAGCTGTAGTCGAACAGCTGATAAAAGTGATCGAAAGCGAATTACCGGACCTTCTAATCCCTTGTATCAAATCAATCGGTAGTCTCTCAAGAACGTTCCGTGCAACGGAGACAAGGATCATTGGACCGCTTGTGAAGCTTCTTGACGAAAGAGAAGCGGAGGTTGCAATGGAAGCTGCGGTTGCGCTTATCAAATTCTCGTGTACAGAGAATTTCTTGCGTGATAACCACTCTAAAGCGATTATAGCAGCGGGTGGTGCAAAGCATTTGATTCAGTTGGTGTACTTTGGAGAACAGATGGTTCAAGTCCCGGCTTTGGTACTGCTTTGTTACATTGCGTTGAATGTGCCGGACAGTGAGACTCTAGCTCAAGAAGAGGTTCTTGTAGTGCTTGAATGGTCGACAAAGCAAGCTCATTTGGTGGAAGCACCGACGATTGATGAGATTTTACCGGAAGCAAAGAGTAGATTGGAGCTTTACCAATCTAGAGGGTCAAGAGGATTCCATTGATCCACGATTACAAGCTCCAGTTTCGAGTATGAACATTCTTTCTGTCTTCGCTCCACGAGTTTTGTTTCTTTCTTTGATGTGTTCTCTTTGTCCTCTCGACGTTTGATGAAGCTCTCTGTATATATATACATTGGTGAAGCTCATAGACAATTGTTATAATTGTATAGACTATGTTGTAAGTCAAAAATTACTATATATCTATCTTAGATTACATATAAACTAATATACGACTTTTAAGCTTGTTTCTGATTCTTCTTCATACACTTGTTTTTCAAATTGTTATTGTAGAAAAAGAAAAAGAAAAATAGTTAAATGTTTGGAAAGCTGAATTTAATAGGAAATTAAATTTTGAGAGAATTTGCTGAATAACTGGGCAACAAAATAAACAAAATATGGCTATTGTTTATTTTGTTGCCCAATATTTAACATAATTTGAATAGATAGACTTGGTGAATATTTGCATATAACATTTGCTTTACAAGTCTCACTAAGCAAATTACAAGTAAATTGTAAGTAAATAATAAGCAAAATATATGCAAATCATAAGCAAAACAGAATATATATGAGTTATAATCATGCAAAGAACCCCCTCAGGCAATTCATTGTACTTACCAAAAAATATATTCCTCTCTCTCTCAGACACCACTGAAAATGATGGGGTTGAGTTTTCATCTTTTTTTATGGGGGTTTTGCTCATTTTGAATAGTCTCTTATATGTCGGTAAGGAAGGCTACACAATGACTTTTTTGATTGTCCTTTTCCTCCTAACCCTATTCTTGGTAGTGTTAAAGAAATTCGATAATCGAACTGGAATTCGTGCATAGTAGGATCCCTTATGATGTTTTTTATTTGAAATTTACTGTTTGGTCGATAATTTGTTAGTTTCACCGAAGATGAAAATGTAAGAGCATCTCCAACCCATGCTAAATATGACATATATGCTATTTTGCCATAATTTTTGCTCCAACCCAATTGCATATGCTATTGCAAAATAGCATCATGCTATTTTTGCTTCTATATTTGGCATGAGATTATGCAATATGCTATTTTGCCATTGAACTTTTTTATTTATAAAATAGTCCTTCAATTTGTAATTACTTTTAATTTAACAGTTTAATTATATTGATTATGATTTATTTAAATAAATAAACAATACTCATAACTTTTTCAAAATATAAATAATATTTATTTCATAGAAATATAAAAACATAACCATAATAAACTTAAAATTTTATTTTTAAAAATACTGAAATTCAAAAAACATAAAACAATAGGTTAAAATCTTTGTTTTCTATAATTTTTATGTAATATGATGTATTTTGTTTTAATATTATAATAATAAAAAATATATAAAAAAAATTCTGGTTGTTTTTGCAAAAAAGAAAAACAAATGATTCACTTTGTAAAATTTGAAGAAATCAAGTAGTTTTAACAATTAATAATAAGTTGGAAAAAAATTATAGCATGATATATGGCATGAGGGGTTGGAGAGAAACCCAATGCTATTGCTATATTTTTGCCATTTGCAATAACATATGGCATGAGGGGTTGGAGATGGTCTAACAAGCAGTACTTGGTTTAGTGGTTCGACAATTAATGTAAGAGCATCTCCACTTTTGTCTTGGTTATTAAGAAGGTGTTATTGGATTTAAATATTGATTGTATTTTAAAGGATTTGGATTTATAAGTGTTTTGACGTGTTTTAAGTGATTCATTGCAGTTATTGCTTTGTATTTCATTGTATTTGATAATCTTTAAACGATTTACAATTTTAACAAAATCAATACTCCCTATGTATCATATTATAAATAGTTGAGCATTCATGTACATCCATTTTTTTTTTTCAGATACATTTTACCCAACTACTTATAATATGGAACAGAAGGAGTAATAATTTATTACTTAAACATGATATAGCCTTTTCTGAACACGAAGAATCAGAACAACTTTCTAACATTCAATTATATGATATTGACAATCAGAAATCTTATAACCAAAAAAGGTACCACACAGACCCAGAATGCAATAACGAATTTCAACTTCATCACTACCGTTGAATTCAATGATAATCTAATCGCCCAATAAGATGAGAGCCAATAATCCAACCATCCTCCCAATTCCTGTAACAAAGAGGAAACAGAAACATGAGAGCCAATAATGTAACGGTTCTCCTAATTCGTGTAAGAAAGAGCAATAACAAAATGCAATTACAGACATGGGACCTAATAGCAAGTCTTCCATTATTATTATTATTGTTTTCCTTTTTTTTACGTCGAATAGTTAATGCTTCATTAATGTTTTCTTATTTTAATTATTGATTTTTTACCTGGATCAACTCTGATAGATCTTATTTAATTTCGGCTTAAAATCGTTATAAGTTTATCGAAGTAACGAAGTTTACTTGAGTCATTGGTTTGAATTGGTGACGCTCTCTGTATATATATACATTGGTAACCCTCATAGACATTGTTATTATTGGTATAGACTATGTTGTAAGTCAAACATTACTATATATCTATCTTAGATTACACATAAACTAATATATGATTTTAAGCTTGTTTCTGATTCTTGTTGATAGCTTGTTTTTCAAATTGTTTTTACTTATTTCTGTAACAGTAAATGAAATAGTCCATAACTCCATATGTAGTTAAAAACGGTGACGTATCACTCCTGTGCGATATTCGGCGCACGTTAACGCTGCAACAAGTTTGCTATCCTCAACCGTGTTTGTTATCGTTCACTACCTTCCACACCGGGAAATCACTTCGACGGCGTTTGTTCAATGATGGAATGGCGGGAGGAATGAACCGTGCTCCGCCGTCTACTATCCCGGAACTGCGCGCATTGTCGCGATTCGGATCGTTGATCAACGGATCTAATCGGTCAACAGGCCAATCGAATTCCTTCCTCTGATTCGTATTTACGAAGACATCCTTCCTCTCCATCTGCTTTTCCTTCGTCTCCGCTTGATTGATTCTGGACGAGATCGCGTGTAGAAGAATCGGATCCAAGTAATCCTCAAGCTTCCTCTTCGAATTCACCTTCATTTGCGACGAACGATTGTCTTCTCTGTTTTCATTTACTTCGCATTAGCTTATATCAATAAGAAAAATTCAAAAAATGAGGACTCAAAGAGAGATCAGGGAGTTACAGAGGGAGAAGATACAGAGACGAAGACAGAGGAGGTGCTGAAGTTTGAGGATGAGCTCCGATCATTTCCGCCATAGCTTTCCCGCACTATGAGCTTTTGTTGCTCTGTTCCTCTTTTTTTTTCTTCACCTTTTCAAATGTCTCTCTTATTTCATTAGTTTCTACTATACAGTTAAAAAGATACATTGGTTAAGATTAATTTGTTAACAAGATGTGTAATTAACAGAAATTACATGCATGGAAACTCTATTGACTGAAAAAACTCTCAAGTCTTGTGATCAACAGATTCACAGGCTATAAAACACTGTTAAATTCCAACTCATTCAGATAACTTGTAAAAAGAGCCAAGATACAAACAGGAAGTAAATAGGGTGAAAATGTAGTTTTTGATTTCCTATTATCTCAACTTACACCATACAACTGGTTTACACATTCGACTTGTTCAATCTCAACAACATTGATCATGAGTAGTCTACAATCATCAGAAACCTCAAAAAGTGTACATTTCATCGTAGATAAAAAAAACTTTCGAAAATAAAGACAATTATCTACGTACTATACTATAGAACTAATTTTACCAAAATCAAATCCAGTTTTCGACGTAACTTCTCATCTAAGAGCACCACTAGATTTCTTAGCCTTCTTGCTCGCATGAATCTTGGCATAAATCCCCTTCGTTCTAAACGCAAGCAAAAGGTCAAGACCAACCCCAACAATGGAAGTACACGCCATTACAATGAATACAAGACGGTAACAATGTGCTCCTACACACGAATTGCCTCCACCAGGAGTAGGTGTGGCTTCAGCATCGTAGAGGAAACCAGCGAGAAGACCCGAGAAGAGGAACGACCCAAGTGGTAAATTAAGTACGAGGATGTTGTAGATGAGTCCATAGTATTTGAGACCAAAGAGTTCCGAGGCTGTTGGTACGGTTATTGCTAATCGGACTCCGTAACAAACCCCAACCACAATCGAACCGATGTAGAGCGAACCAGGCATGGCTAAAGCCATCAGTAAATATCCTATCGCCATCATGATTTGAGATGCTGCGTTCCATAACGGCCTTGGTGTTCCAGCTTTTCTAGAATTGGAGAAAACAAAAATATCAAGTTTTTATGATTAGACAATGCAATAAAAGTTCCCTTAATAACACGATTATTCAAAGGTCCCACGATCTAGTGTTGTCAAAAAAAAATTATGAAAATCTAACAAGATCTTTCAACGCAAAGAAAACAAATTAAAAGAAAATGGACACTTTTTTAATATGGTCCCCCGCACAAGATATTGGACCGTTCCACTATTGGAAAATGAAACTTCTCCATAAAGAATAAACGACCACGCAGATTAATGCAATTGCTTTAATCGAAAAATTCCTGGACAAATATCTTGCAAAATTCGAAAATATTCAATTCCAAGTAATAGAAGAAGAAAGCACTATACTACTCTTTATGTCTGCCTTCGCGGCAAAGCAAAGATGGAAACGGAGGAAACTAACTTTACTCAGAAGTCACTAAATGCGTTTGCTTTATATGCGTTTTGCGTGTGCACAGAATCATCATGAGAACTTTCCAAGTCATGTGATAAATAATCAATTTCTTTCCAATTATTAAATTAGTTTCTTTATTTAATTGGAGAAGGTTTAGTAAAGTGACTTACTTGATGAAGTGCTCGGAGATGGTACCGGAGAGAATCCGGCCAAAGAATCCCCAAATGCTCATCATGGAGACGAAAATGGACACGTCAGTGTAACCAAGAGCAAGCCCAATCTGGCCCATATTGTTCATCACTGCTAAACCAGTCCCTACGCCACAAAGGAACGACACGAACAACACCCAGAAGTCAACGGTCAACACCGCTTCCAATATGGTATGGTCCTCTCCAAGCACCACCGGCCTCTTCTTCTCCACTTCCTCCGTCGTCGTCGCAATGGTTCCGAGATCTTCCTTCGACGGTGGGAGCTCGTTATCCGCCGTTGCTGCAGCGCCGATCACCGTCTCCTCAACGATCTCGGATCTAAGCAACGGTTCGTCGATTCGTCCTTCGATGTCTCGTTCGTCGCGATCGTTCGAGTTCAAGCTTCGGATGAAGGCGTGGAAAGGGACGGCGATCGGAGATAGTAGCAAGACGAGAAGTATGGAGGCGAATGCGACGGAGATCGCTCCGGTTTTGACTCCGATTAGGTCGTACGACTGAAGGTAAACGGCGACCACGACCGCGACGATGTTGAACACGACGAAGTACCGCGACTCCTCGTTTTCCTCTGCGGCGGAAGTAGCCGGAGGGATTTCGCGGAGGAAGAAAACCGCGGTTAGGCAGACGGCGAATGGCACGACGGCGAGGAGGACGAGGAAAGAAGCCGGATCGGAGGAGAACAGAGCAGTGCAGAGATCCGTGAAAATCGCGGTGCTCAAACCGACGTATCCTTTGAGAATCCCGGAAACCGGACCACGATTCCGCCGGAAATTCCTTATGCAAGTCACCAGAACCGCCGTGTTCATCCACGTCGTGCTGTTCCCTCCCATACAGAGGAACACACACATCTACACAATCCAAACAATCAAAATTGAAGAAATCGAAGAAGTTTCCGATTTTGAAAATTTAGGGCAGATTTGGAATTTGATTAAGAACCTGCCAGTAAGGTAGAGGCTGGATCGTGCGGCTTACGACGAGCCATTGTACGCCGTAACCGAGAAGGCCTTCGAAACAGCCGATGAGAAGGATAACGGGAGTGGAGAGACGATCGGAAGCGAGTCCGGCGAGGATTCCGAATGCTTTTCCGACGTCTTTAGCGACGGAGAGGTTGTTGAGCTCGAGCTGAGTGAGGTTCATTAGGGATTTGAGAGCGTCGGAGTAATTGGAGAATGTGTAGTTGTTGCCGGAGATGGATTGGACCCAAACCGCCGTAACGAAACCAAGCCATTTCAGAGTCGAGGAAGAAGAAGAAGATCTCCCGAAACCCATCGGAGAATTCAAAAGGAAAGGAATGATTTTTTGAGTGTGTGAGGTTCGTTGAGCTTTCTGCGTACGGTTTTTAAAGCTGAAAAGTTCCGTTCAAGTTTTTATTTTTTTTGGCACTTCGTTCGTCATTATCTTTTGGGCCTTTTTGTAAAAAGTGTTTGTTTAATACTTTAATAGTTAAATAATTAATTACTGATTATTTTATTATATTTATTGTCAGAATGATGGATTGGGAAAGTACGAAAGAGACACGTACGGTGCTAAGATGTGGAAGCCATTGATGAAATTACGGTGTGCTCCTTTTGTGTTCTTATTTTCATTCGCTTCATTTACCAATTTGTGAATATATATTGGTTTACTTCTTCTCCTCTGAAATTTTCTTGAGGGTGACAATTAAAATATGGTCAAGTAGGATGATTAGTAGTTATTAGTGGCTGGTTTTGGCCAGGTTGTTTCTTCCAAGCATGAAGGTTCATGCATGCTGTTTTACTTATTTGAATATTATACAATTCATTGAAGAAAATATTTGCTTTATTCGTAATAAATTTGTTGTTAGTGTTTTCAACATTTGTACTCCATTTTTAAAAGTCACGGAATCATTAATTATCCCTAATAATAATGGTGAGCGAGTCATATGTATGCTTTGTTTGGTAGCATTAAAGGAATCATTGAAGAAAAAGAAAGAATATGCAGCCCGATAATAAATACAGTATGAGAAAAAAATTGTTGATTTAATTAACAGCAGATCAAAATTGTAGTTTGATTTTTCGTGACCAAAGAAATTCGTGAAGTGTCATGTTTTTCTATTTTGGTCATTTAACGGCAGATCAAAATTGTGATTCTAACCAATGGGAGCCATTAGCTCTTTTAATTCAATCATAAAATTATTTTCCTAGATGTAAAACTTCTTACATAATTATCTTCCGGTAACACAAATGTTAAGTACAAATAAACTGGCATATTTTTTCCTAATGCGAAGGTGGCCAACAAAAACAGTTGTATGACTACGACACATAACATGAAGTAAATGAAAATATCGTACGAAATGAAGGAGTGGATATTCGGATCCGAAACTGAAGTTGAAAATATCTTCGCTAGAATCGAAGCCCCCAGTTCGGTCTGGTTTGGTCTACTTTTCAGTCAGGTAGCAGCATTACATGTGTGTGTTATGTTTCGGTGTATATTCCTATATATAATAATATAATAAAGTTGTATTGTGATTAGAAAACACATTCGATGATTTTATATATAAATAAAAATAAAAATGAAAGATTCATCGTTGAACCTTTCAGATGTCTGATGGCTCTGTCTCCTCCACGCATGTTACCCCATTTCCGCCATGTAAGAGAAGAAGTTTGCCATCTAAAATGTTTTTGAAGTGTTAAATTCTGTTATGGCGCGGAAAATCTGTAACGTAAGACACTTTTAAACGGCATTTAAGTTGCTTTTGTTAATTTGGCTCGATTCGATTTGATTAAGATCATTTGTTTTTATTTGTTTATCACCTTTCTTTTTTCTGATTTAAGTGTTCTTTGTATTTCTATTCTTAACGTCATAGTTATCTATATCTTTCAGACTTTCACCGAACAAAATGTGTAGAATCAAGCTGCACAACATTATCTACATTAATGCTTTTTTTGTCAGTCACATTGTATTATTGTTTTGTCAATAAGAGTTCACACTAGTACACATAACACACTACCAAAAAGAAATTAAAAACCTGGCCTTATCAAATTTACACAAAAAATATATCAAGCTCCGATACTCAAGTGAAAACATGTCGTGTACAACACTAATTTGAAGTTCACAACACAAACACACACACACAAACAATAAAGCTCGCTATATTTGTCGGCTTCAAGATTAGCTTGAAGTTAATTATGCTGAAGACAATATAACAGAAACTATTATCGGTACGTATCACCAGATTTGGGAAACAAACACATGTTCAATAAAATATTATGCACTTGGAAGCTTTTTGCAACTTGTCGGTTGTACTTTGTGATAACTGATAAGAGCAATTAATTATGATGGAGCCAAGTTGTGATTGGGAACAGTAAGTGAGTGATCTGCTTGTGTCTCTATCAGTGTATTATTGTGGGGCGAGGTCATCACAATTGCCACAGATAATATACTTTTGTCAAATAATTGATCTGATTTGTGGTCGAGGTTATCGCACTTTGCTTATCACAAAAGATATTTGGTTTTCTGAAAATATAAAATGTTATAGCTTTATAAATTCATACCTCACACAGGGAAAATAATTTGACTATTTGAGTATGAATTCAAATGATCTAACAAAATATCTCACCTAACAACTACGGTGGATACATTGAATTTGTTACTATGGAACAGAAGAAGTAAGGGCCCGTTAATCGTTATTTAGGCCCATTAAGCATATCAGAAGAAGAAATCATCTTCGGCGAAGAACAACTAAACACAGTGGAATTGGGATCGAATTCGACTGTAAAACTTTGATTGCCGCGAAGATTGCACAAATCCCCAATTCCGGAATTATAACGCCGGACACAAGTTTCTCAGTGATTTTTGAAATTTTCATATTGCATAGAAATAGAGAGAAAGAGAGAGACAGAGATCTAACACGAGTGAAAGTTTCTTACTTTTGTAGTTTTGTTTCTTCTTCTTCTGCATCTGATTTCGAGTGTGAGATCAAGTTTCGCGTGAAATGAATTCTTAAGAAGGAGGAACGAAGATGCGTAGAGAGATCTCGTTTTTGTTACAGCCCAGGTGCCTCCTTCTCCTGGTTGCCCTCACGATTTTCCTCGTCTTCGCGCTCTCCCACACCGGCAAAGTAAGAATTTTTCTACGACCCATTTTGATGCTATGAATCGAATTTATTCCATTTCCCATGTGGATCTGTTTGAGTGTCTCTTGTGTTTATTCGAATTTCATCTATGGAAAATATCGACATTACTGTTCTCTTAAAACATTATGAGAGATCTGATTCTCTTAAACCCTTTTGTGAAGTTTCCTTCGTATTAGTCTTCCTTGGATTTGGTTACTGAGTAGTCTCTTTTGGTTAAGCACATTTTGAAATGTTTAAATAAATTCGCTTGAGAAGCTTATTAGTGTGTGATATGTTGTTTTGCATATGTAACGTTTGTGCCTGATTTGCTTACTCTCTTGATGCTTAGGAGGAGGATAAGCAAGTAATCGAAGATCATGAAATCACACACAGGGTATTTCTCGATGTTGATATCGATGGCCAACGCTTAGGTAATGATTCCTTCTCCACTTTTCTAACAGTTTTTGTAATTGGCGTTCATGTACAAATGAGTTATTGGGAGCTCTTCTTTGCCATTAGTTTCCTTCAACTTCTGTTGATTTCGCTTTCTATGATACAATACATTGCAGGCAGGATCGTTATTGGACTATATGGCAGTATTGTACCCAAAACTGTAGGTATGTCTTTGGCATGTTAAATGCAAATCTCAGGGATCCGTTGAATTTGTTTAAACATTTTCTTATGTTAGATTTCTTTGGTTATGCAGAAAATTTCAGGTCTTTATGCACAGGTTTGTAATTTGAATGATTCGGTTTATCTTGGATTGGTTGCTTCAGTTTCTGATTGAATGTAAACTTAGGAGAGAAAGGAAAATCTTCAAGTGGGAAGCCTCTACATTACAAAGGAACACCGTTTCATCGTATAATATCTGGATTCGTAATCCAAGGAGGAGACATAATCCATGGTGATGGAAAAGGAAGCGAGTCAATTTACGGTGGTACCTTCCCTGACGAAAATTTCAAGATAAAGCATTCACATGCAGGTGCGTTGATTACTTGATACTCTCTACCAACTTTTGAAATCTGAAGAATTGAGTTTTATGTGTTCTTGTAGTTTACTATCATGTCCTGACTTGGGAAAACAAATTTGCATTTTGTAGGTGTTGTAGCGATGGCTAATACAGGACCTGACTCTAATGGGTCACAGTTCTTTATCACCACTGTTAAAGCTAGCTGGTAAGCTCTCACTTCATGCATAAAGCAAAAAGAGATTAAGAACATGTGAATTCAAAAACACATCGGACATTCTTGTGGTTTTCACTCATATATTTCAGTGTAGAATTTTGAATGATTGTGAAAACTGTGTGGACAGGTTGGAAGGAGAACACGTGGTGCTGGGGAAGGTGATACAAGGAATGGACAATGTGTTCGCCATTGAAGGTGGAGCTGGAACTTATAGTGGCAAACCGAGGAAGAAAGTTGTGATTGCAGATTCTGGAGAGATTCCTAAAGAGAAATGGGATGAAGAAAGATGACAGAGACGACGACCTAGAAAGCTACACATGTCAGTAAAATCTTGTTCTGTTTCCTGTGAGATCTCCTCTGTTTTTTTTTTTTTTTTTTATCTGTAGTTTTGCAGCTGTGATGAGATCTAAACTCTGAACACAAATGCCAATGTAGTTAGTGTTTCAAAGCTCTTCACTTCAGACTTTTTTCTCTTGGATTGAGTAATATGCTTTTTAGTTCAATCTACTCTTATGTAGATACCTAATACTTTGAATTAATGTCGTAAGAGAAGAAGCTTCCATCCCAAATCTACTTACTTAAACTGTAAACAAGAGATCAATGGAAAGATTGTGTTCTTCCTTTAAAGAGAAAAAACACTTAAACCTACGGCCACTCATTTCGTCACGTTAATTCCGCCGATGCTGTCAAAGAAGGAGGAGGAGCCGCCTCCGACGCCGACCCCAAATCAATGGAGCCTGTTAATGTCGCTTCCGAATGATTTGCTGTTAAACTGCGTGGCACGCTTGTCAAGGTTGTACTATCCGACTCTCTCCCTGGTGTGCAAGAGCTTTGGAGCTCTCCTGGCTTCACCGGAGCTTTACAAAACCCGGTCGCTCTTGGGCCAGACGGAGATATGTCTCTATGTGTGCATACGGTGCGGTAGTGGCAGGCGCTGGTACACCCTCTGCCGGAAACCTGATAAAACCCTCGATGACACCGAGTCAAAGTCAAGTGGCTATGTATTGGCTAGAGTCCCAGTTCCCGATGTTACTGGTCCTGGTCCTAACTTTGGAGGTCTCGTGGCGGTTGGTTCTGATATCTACCAAATTGACAAGTTTGTATCCTCAGTTGTGGATTGCCGGTCTCACACGAGGTGCGAGGCTCCAAGGTTCCCGGTGAAGCTATGGGCATCTTCTGCTTGCGTCGTCGATGAGAAGATATATGTAGCAGGACGCTACCGAGATGGCGACGGCGATGGCGATGGCGCTTCCCTTGTCAACTTGTTCAAGGTGTTGGACCCCAAAACACAAATTTGGGACTCTCTGCCCCCAAACCCTAGCACCGGTAATTACAACGTCTACGGAACAGCATGTATTGACGGAAAGTTGCAGGTGGTGACTAGCTCGCAAGTGGACCTTTCTTACGATTCCAAGGAAGGTAGATGGGACCTGCTAAAATCAGTGACGGAGAAATATTGTCTAGCACGTAATTCCTATTGCGTGGTAGAGAATGTTTTGTACTCTGCTTCTTCCCATGGAAACTTGAGATGGTATGACTATGAGGTACACGAGTGGAAAAACTTGAACGGTTTGGATGGACTACCAAAGTTGGATCCTTTTGAACGGATTGGATTGGCTGGTTATGGTGTTGGAAAGATGATGGTTTTTTGGAAGCAGGATATCCCTTCTGGATTGTTTGGTTGTGTCCACTATTATACCAAGATTTGGTGCGCCGTGATTTCCCTTGAACGACGCAGCGAAAGCATTTGGGGGCAAGTTGAGTGGTCTGACCATGTGCTCACATCCGGTATGAATTTTGATATCATCAAGGTTCTTGCTGTTACTCTCTGATGAGAGGCTTTGGACGTTGTCTTCCTTTGGTCCTATGTATTATTAAGCTTATTTTTGTGTTGAATACTACTCTCCGGTCTTTTAATAGAACAAAACTATCGATTATCCGACTCAACTTGGAGTATATGTTGACAAGTTTAAGGTTGAGGATTCTCTATATATATCGACTATCCGAATCAATACACTTAAATCAATACCTAATATTTCACAAGTTTAAGGTTGAGAATTCTCTATATATCGAATGACAATATTGAAACAAGAACAAAAAAATGAAAAAAAAGGATGGTATGGTGAAAGAGATAACTCCAAAGAAGAAACGTACACAAGTATTGCCCAACAAGTCAAAGCCTAACTATTGAAGACAAAGCCCACCACATGTTTACAAACAAATCCTCCCAATAACAAACTACAAAGGTGAAATTAATCAATAGACACATGCTATGCTAATGCTGTTATCTACTTACACCTCATCAAAACTCATGTATGGGCTATCGTTATCCACATATATATGCGTCCGTGGTTATGTCCCCCTTAATGCTTGTGAATGTTTTAACATTTTTTTTGATGACATGGATCTTTTCCTTGTTAAAGTTGATGATTTAGATCTTGATTGTTTGTTTGTGTTTACATTTACCGTAACGAGTCACATTTGTTTCTAAATTGATTAATACTTCTCTAGTCTTATGATACATTTTGATCCAGCCTCCAGAGAGATCGAATTAGGTTGAAATTATGTTGAAACAGAACAAAAGGGAGCAGGAAGTTTAGTACTGTCGACCTTATGTGCCCATAATTCTTCCATATAACTTTAGATTTTAGTGTTTGGGCTTTTTAAACTGATAATTGCACCCGAATAATAGCATGTAGTGGTCAATGCAAACTCATGTTCATGTACATATATTATCATGTATACAAAATTAGTCCATCTATAGACTACTAAAAGAACCATGCACACGTATGGCATGATACAATCAATGGTGTGAATTGATCAACTATTACACCATACATTATGGACAAATTCATTGGTAGACTATAAACTTTGGGACTACAAAATTCTTCTTGGAATTGTGTAGTGGCTTCCAACGTATCTTTAGGTTATATTCTGTGAACCCTCTATTCACCGACATCAAATATTACGATATCCAATTGAAAACAATGTGGATTGGGCTGGTAAAACTCGTAACCCAAGACTAGTTTTATCATGGTTAAATCGGGTTATTTACGTTCACTTCTAGATATGGATTCAAGAATATATCGCCATATGAAATACTTCTTTTTTATTCCATCTCTAAACATTGTCTAATCGATAGAAGCATCAATTCGAGTTTTAACTCTCGCATTCGAAGGACCATAAATAAATAAGATTAGAGGCTTGAGTTCCAAAGGCACTTGAAAATTTATTTCGTTTCGAAATTGGAACCCAAGTTGAACTTTCTAATTATTGCTTCACATTTTGTTGCTCAACCCAACAAAAAAAACTCACCCCAAAAAAAAAAACTCGAACTTTTCAAGTAAAATCTTTCCAAACAATTTTCTTACTGTGTCTTTTTACCAGTCAATCGGCCAATATATTTTCTGTTATCCTATTATATTAAAAAAAAAAAATCCTCGTGTCTTGAGTTTTGAGTGACACAAAATTGGAGAGACCAATGAGGATGTAGGCATTGGATCCAATCCAATTATTTGGGATCAGCTTTTCTCAACTCCTCTTGGCTTTCTTCTTTTTCTCCCTAACTTCTTCTGATCGAATTTCAATTCGAGTTTAGATGTTAGTAATTGTATACTGTTTGGTTTTGATTATTTATTTTATACTGCTTTAAAAGTATTGTGAATAAAACAAACCAAGTATTTATTACAATGGGACACGCACGGGAAAAACACAGCTAGCTAATGTAAGTTGAAACTTGAAACCGTTAATATGCATGCATTCAGTAGTTTACTTTGGTAACCCCACACAATTCAAATTTTAAAGAAATAATTAGTACTTTTTAAAACCAAGGATATTTTTAGTGGAAAATAAAAGAACCATATATGGTATCCTTAACTATAAGCACTCATAAATCTTAGCTGCAGAAACTAAATCAAGCAAATACATGAAATGGATTTTTAGTAGGTGAAAACTTCCAATTCTGAATATGTTATGATAAGATTCTATCCCAAGTTATTATTATATTCCCTCATTTAGCCATTGGTAGCAATTAGTTAACATACAATAGTTACTTTGGTAATCCCACGTAATTCAAAATTAAAAGAAATATTTAGTATTTTTGTTAATCGTGGCTGATAGTTACTTAGGTAATCCCACGTAATTCAAATTTAAAAGAAACATTTAATACTTTTGTGAATCGTGGCTATTTTCCAATGGAAGAAAACAAAAATATGCTTATAGTTACTTTAGTAGTTCCACGTAATTTAAATTTAAAAGAAATATTTAGTACTTTTTGTGAATCGTGGCTATTTTACAGTAAAGAAAAAAAAACGTGTTCATAGTTAAAAAGACCTATATATGAGGTGTTCTTAACTATAAGCATTCATAGAAAAAAAAAGGCTGTAAATACAAATGAACCTGAAATTAGCTTTTACATTAAAACAAATACATCAAATGGCAGTTTGAAGGGGTGGTAATTTTGTAATAATAGAGAAACCTAATGGTATTTATCTTAAGCACTTCTTTATATAAACTCTCCAAAGTGCACTCTTCATAACACACACACAACCACACAATAAAGCTCTCCACACTTCAAATCATTTACTGAAGAAGAAGAAGAAGCTCACGATGGCTTTGAAGACGGTGAAGCATATTAACAATTATTTTGTTTTTTCGATTTGATTTTCAAAGTAACTGACTTAATATTTGGTATATATATATATTATATATAGGCGACGAACGGGATGTGGATGACGGATGACTGCAAGAGATCGTTCATGGAGATGAAGTGGAAGAAAGTGCACCGATACATCGTGTACAAGATCGAGGAGAAATCTCGAAAGGTCACCGTCGACAAGGTCGGTGCCGCCGGCGAGAGCTATCACGATCTCGCTGCTTCCCTGCCGAAGGACGACTGTCGCTACGCCGTGTTCGATTTCGATTACGTCACCGTCGATAACTACCGAACCAGCAAGCTCTTCTTCATCACCTGGTCAGTCTTGTCTTTTCGATTACTCTCAAACTATCGAATTTACTCTTTTACCCTCCAATTCTTAATACGCTCGGTTTTGTTCTGATAACCGAATCCCAAACCAATCCATACTAGATTTGGCATTTAAACCGGACTAAACAATCTGTGTGTTGTGGAATTAGGTCGCCGGAGGCGTCGAGGATAAGGGAGAAGATGATGTACGCGACGTCGAAGAGCGGACTGAGAAGAGTGTTGGAAGGGATTCACTACGAGCTTCAGGCGACCGACCCGACGGAGATGGGATTCGACAAAATCAAGGACCGGGCCAAATGATTACAATCAATAACCGGAGTTACATTCGTCGGTTACGAGCTGTTTGTTGTTGACAGTTTATTACTCAGCAGGAGTTAATTCTCTATTAATGTTAGCTATTGTTGCTTAGTGCTTAACTTGTTTCCTTCTTTTTTGTTTCACAATCGTTCTCGGCTGTTAGTGTTTCGTTTTTAATTGTCGCTGTTAGTTCTCTTAATAAAACTTTAATTGTTGAAAGTTATTTTGTCGCTAATGCTTACTGTTTGAATGTAAGTTTACAAACTTGATGCAGTTTTGTCGCTGATGCCTATTGTTTGAATGTAACAACATGACAAACTTTCTCCGGATTTGGTCTAATTCTTAGGCCGAATTTCTAATTGAGTTGTGGATCTTAAGCAATTGCATTTACTCGATTTGTATGGTTTATAACTTTATAAGCAAACCTACCATCTCTCAGGATCTTTAACTATCTTAAAGTTTTGGACTTGGACTGCCTACAAAAATGAATATGTTTAAAATTAGTCTCTTAGTTCTCGGCCCAACTCAACCAAATGGTCCAAAACTTATCTATCAAAGCTTTATTTTTCTCTATATCTTTCTAAGATTATTAATTTCTATCATTACAACAAAAATGCTCTCGTAGCTCAGTTGGTTAGAGCACCCGTTTAGTAAGCGGGAGGTCTTGAGTTCAACTCTCAACGAAAGCACCTATATTTTTCTCTTTTTTTTTCGCCTGGAAACAAAAAGTCAAAACTGTTAACAGAAGGAAAAATATCTAGAATGCATCTGGGCATTATTTGGTGGACCCCACTCACATTCACCTCGAAATGATGGAAATGAAAATGATCGTTACTTGATGGGGACAAGGCTTTTAACTTTGATTGAAGTCTTTGATCCCAATTCACCGTTTCATGCGCTCCATCATTTATGCCAAATTTCCGCAAGAAATAAATCAAGTCACACACCGATTAATGATTTCAAACTTTGGTAGCTTTTCTATTTCCGTTGAGACACAACTTTGTAATTAGATATTTTACAACAACAAAAACGATACTACTAAATCACAAATTTACTTTACTTTTTTTAGCCGGGTTATTGATAAACAAACCATATCAGATGTAATGTCGAAAAACGAACCCCTTTTCAAAAGCTTGCAACTTTTATGGTTGAAAAGAGTTCTACTTTATCTGTGTGAATAATAATTTTGTTGATGATACCGCTGTCGCAATGGACCCAAAGGTTTGCAAGTGTAGGATCCACGTAACTTGAAAGTTTCTTCCCTCAAAGAAGTGTAGTTTTTGTTATCTTAATTAAAAGAACCTTTAGCATTTTCAACTACTTGACCACCATGTATAAGTCTAGAGAGATATAGTTTTACATGACTAACAAACACAAAATGTTTGAGTCGGCTTTATGAGCTATGCCACTTGCACGAGAGATCAAGATATAGGTATTTTTATATATAGACACAATGGATTACCGACTTTGAGAAATATAATTTGTTTGTGTGACCAAAACTATCAAATAGTTAGTTGAATGTTGATATTGCCATGCCGAAAATTTATTGGAACAAGGTTTCCATTTATTGACTACAAAATTAGGTCCATCACTTATGTGTGTGTGTGTGTGTGTGTATTTCGGTTCCTCTCACGTCTCTTTGTTTGCTCACGCAGGGCAAGTGAATTTAGTTTCATAATTTCACGCATTATTACCATTTCTTGGACGAAGTTTCACACAAGACTGAAACCACAATTCTTCTGTTTATGAATAACCTCAACTAAAGAAGTGGGACATAGAGTGCCATTTTTTTTATAGATAAGTGCCAAAAAAAAAAAAATAGGTGGGAACTCAAATTAAACGTCAAAGCATACACATACATCCGTATGACTTTCGTCAAATCCATATCTCTCTCTTTCCCATGTCGAAATCATCTTCTATCATTATGATATACATACCTACATTTTATATAAATCTGTGGCCTTATATCATGGTAGTACTAGTACATATGATTCGATGAGATTGTACATCATTTGATCTTTCAACTTCCTGATTTTGTCTTTTATAATCAAGCCAACAAATAAAAGATTTTTCCTTTCATTTTCTTTTTCACATATCTCATTTTTGTGCATATGTAAAAGTAAGAAAAAACAAGACAACCAATCTCATTAGGAAAAACACAAAATAAAACATAAAGATAATAAAAAAGCGCGCTAACTCAAAATTCTACAGTTATTGCTACAACACATATGGTTTATGATCATGACCGCATGATCATCCAATAACCCGACCCGGATCTACAACGGGTCCATTTGTGTAATCACAACGGGGCTCCGAACCACGTGTTTCCCACCATCAAACCACGTGACCGACCCGAATGCAGCACCCGTTTCTCCCAGCACCACGTTCCTTGGATCCACCGTGACCGTTACCGCATAACTCCGTCTCTTAACGGCTGAAGTAAACACAAGTCTCGGAGGCTTCACCGTTATCGTCACTCCTCTCGGCGACTCTATCCTCGCCTGGTAAACCGCCTCCGGTTGCCCAACGTTCGTCGCCGTCCGTATAATGGTCTTGCTCAAAGACCCTCCTTTTCTCGAATTAGAGAATAACGCAGTGATCGACGGGTAATTCAGATTCCCCGGCGACGGCTTTCTCGTTGTCGGACATCTCACCGGCGTTCTCGTGATGACTTGAATTGTCTTTGGCCCGTACCCGATTGAGCAGAGAAACGTGATGTAATCGTCATTGGTGATGTCGTAAACGAGCCCCGGATCCATTGCCCGACCCAAATTGAGATGACCCGATCCGTAATCGTATGGCGTAGCCGATTTTCCGGTTGATTCGTCGCTTAACGAGCGGTTAGAGTTGTCGACGATGTTTGTCGTCGTCATCATCGCGGATCTTATAACGGCGGGGCTCCAATCCGGGTGAGCGGATTTGAGCAGCGCCGCCGCTCCACTGACGTGAGGGCACGCCATTGATGTACCGGAGAGGATGTTGAATTCCGTTTTCCGTGGATCTGACGGCAAACCTGTAGGCCCCACATTGTCTGTCCAAGCGGCGATGATGTTAACTCCGGGAGCAATCAAATCGGGTTTTAGGATCTCCGGGTTTAACCCATTTGGTCCTCTACCGGAGAACGAAGCAACAACCGGGGCCGGTTTGATTCCAACAATAGTGCCTCTGAAATCGATTGAAGCAATTGGATTCGGATGTGTAGAAGCGTAAGCTTTGATTCTATCTCCTTCGTTTGATCCAACGGCGCAGGCGGGAATAAGGTGAGCATCTCCGACTAATCCTTCGCCGTTGGATGCGCCATTGGCAAGAATCATTCCGACGCCGCCTGCTTTCTTCACCACTAGTCCTTTCGCTACTCGAGGACTGCTTCCTCTGTCGCAGATTACTATTTTACCCTTCACATGCTTCGGGTCGAGTGAATTCTCCATACAGAGAGAAGCAGATGACATTCCCGTCTTTCCGGGGTAAACCACCGGGAACATCCGGCCGTTAAGTGGCACTCCGGCGTAGAGAGAGACGCCTTTGAGACGGTGTCCGTCACCGAGAACTGCATCCGCCGGGAAATCCCGATCGATCGTTCCTGCACCGACAGTCGTTACCCACGGAGCAAGGTTCGTCACAGACATGCCGTTGGGTCCTTCGTTTCCGGCGGAGGAGGAGATGAAAATTCCTTTCGAAGCGGCGCCGTATGAGCCTATAGCTATTGGATCGAGGTAGTACGGCGAAGTAATCCCGTCTCCACCACCGATGGATATGGAAATGACGTTGACACCGTCTACGACAGCAGCATCGAAGGCGGCGAGGATATCGGAATCAAGACAGCCGGAGTCTTTCCAGCAGACTTTGTAGGCGGCGATTCGAGCTTTGGGAGCCACACCTTTGGCAACACCGGAGGCGTAACCGGACATACTCGCTTTGAATGCGTGACGGCCTGCGGCGGTTGAGGCAGTGTGAGTGCCGTGTCCGTCGGCGTCGCGAGGAGATAGAAACTCAACCGTTTTGTTGATTCCTCCGATTACAGCGGCTTGTTGTCCTTTAGCGAAGAATCTGGCGCCGACGATTTTCCGATTACAATTCCTCGGCCCGAATCTGGCTCCGGACTCGCAAACGCCTCTCCAATGCTTGGGAACCGGACCTAGATTGAGATCTGAGAAACTCCTCCGCTCCGGCCAAATCCCGGTATCGAAAACGCCGATGATTACGTCTGATCCGTAATTTGAATCGGACCAGAGCCCCTTTTGATTCTGTAGCCCAAGGAATTGCGGAGAACGCGTGGTGTGAAGCTCACGACGCCGATCCTCAAAAACAGCGAGAACCGCCGGGTGATTGCGGAGGTTATCTGCTTCTTCGGGAGTAACCACGGCGGAGAAGCCATGGAAGACTGTGTGGTAAACATGAACGATTTGAGATCTTTGAGTGAACTCGGAACTGTACCAGTGGTAGTGCGTCGGGAAAACAGAGGGCATAGATCCACCATCGACGCGGAAGATGAAGGTCTTCGCTGTGGCCTGAGCGACGGCGAAGGAAATAAACGGAGAAAAGAGAAAGAAGAAGAGAGGAAGAAGAAGAATGGAGGAAGCCATGGAAGGAGTGGAGAGAGTGAAGTGAGTGGGGTTTTACCGACATTGGTGCTCTGATAATATAAAGGCAAAAATAATCAATCATTTAATTTTAAAAAATAAATCCATAAATAAAATTTAACCGTTGATTACTCTGATAACCACCTTGGATTATAGTCATGCTACAAAAGTATTCCTAGTACCATGTCGCTTGTATGATGATGATTCTGGTTCTGGGCAATAAAATAATGGTGTGAGTTTAGGAGTAAGTCACAAGAATACAATTTTGACGAATTTCATGTGTTTTCAACCTGAACTTTAAAATATATAATAAATACATACAGTTTTGACGAATTTCATATGATTTTAACCTGAACATTGAGGAGTGTATTTGGTTTAATCCTTAAAATTACTAACCTTGAATAAAATTAAATGAGATGGGGTGATTTAAGTTTTTGTGGTTCTGGACAATGGACAGGTGTGATTATTAATCCTTAAAACGGCAGCGTCCTGCAGAGATACTGCGGGAATGAGTCATAGCTTTGTAGGATTCAATGTATTTTTTTTCTCATTTATTAAGTTCTTGATTGTTTGACAAAAGTGTACATCGGAACTGCGGAAGCCACTTTTTCTCCAGAAAAGAGGTGATCAGATGCATGTTACATCATCTTAACTATGATACGATCCACTTCTAGCGGTCCGTATTTCATTTCATCTAATCATAAACAAACTCATCACAGTATAGGTTGCAATCGTTGATGTTGTCATTAGAAAAGGATTAGTAATCAACTAGTCGACTACTAGTAGACTAGACTTTTCAAGTATCGATGCGTATTTTGAATTATTTATTTGAAGGAGCGGACTTGGGAGGAGAATCTGAGTCGCTGCAATTCGGGACAATAAAGCAAACGCATCAGAAACTTTTGCGATCCTTAATATTACTATATTCGTCCATTATGATTTGTGAACCACAACGGCTATAATCTCAGCTTCTGATTCTTTTACTCAGATATCAGAAAAGGCTTCAATGTAAAAAAGCCCAAATGAGCATTGGGCTACTGGTTTGCTTTTGTATATTTAAGTAGCAGAACAACAATGATGGTTCGTTTGATATCCCCAAACAATCAAAAGGTTTTTGAGCAACGATCTTTAATTAATACTAGTACAAACTAAAGCACAGTTCTTTCTAGGATCTCTACTTTTTCTTTGTGACGACTTTTTACTTTGAAGTTAAAAAATCTTTTCGAAAAATTCGAGACCATGTATACTAATGTCTTAGATAAGATATAGTATTCGATTTGTTTTGAAAATCTTATTATACTGACACTTGTTAGATTCTGTTTATGTGAAAAATAACTTTCATCTGATAAAAAGACGTTACACTTTCACAGTGTAAGTTTTGTATCAATATTGACAATAATCAAATGAAATATGTAAAAGGTTGCAGTGATTGAAACATGTACTCCCACTTTCAATAGTTCTCATGCTTCTCATCCTTACACAGCTTATCCACTTTCTTGAAATGTCAAATCTCTTTGGAAACCATGACATTTGTCAAGCATGGATTGGGCTTACTTTATCCCTAGTTACTCCAAAATTATTCAGAGTCAAAATTGGCAAAATACTAAGGATTTTAATGCATCTCTTGTCAAGTAGAAAAGATTTGGGACACTAACTAAGATACTATAAAATTACTTCGAACCATGTAAGAAAACTGTATTGAATTAAGACCAAGATTATTATAATCTCGGTTGAGTGACTTGACCTCAGAGACAAATAATGGTGATAACACCTAAAATTGGAAAAGAGGTAAAAGATGAAGTTGGACAAAAGAAGAGTATGTTAATATCACAGTTATAATCAAATTTTCTTGATATATTTAATTTCAGTTTATTTCCAAAATACTAAAATCCAAAACCCGAGTGTTTACACCCAAGAAGTCATAACCAATGCTACTACTAATATCGCTTGAAGTATAGCTGCTACTAGTGCTGTCCTCTGTTTGACATTTCACATTATCACAGCTACACTCCTTGCCGTTTCCCAATCCAAAACGACACGCAGTGCACAAAGATTTCTCTCTTCCAGACCGAAGTTTTGTCTCATAGTCATGGTGCTGCTGGTTTTGCCATGGCGGGCTGATTCTAAGCTCAAGATTCAAATCTAAGCTTCTTTCTCCAACAACCGAGTACTCAGCTCTCTCTCTTTTGCAAATCAGTCCCTTTTGAGGATTTCTATTAAACCCACAAATCTCTTTCTTCTCCAACTGAGAACCGAAAGAGAGAATCTTCACAAGAGAGTCCTCTGTTTCTCTAGCTTTCGACGAATCTCGAGGAGTTCCAGTCTCGTTGATCGGCCGATGAGTCGCGGGATCAATCCCTCTTCTTAAGAGCTTCCTCTTAACATGTGTATTCCAGTAATTCTTAATCTCGTTATCTGTTCTTCCTGGCAATCTCGTCGCAATAAGAGACCACCTAAAACACAAAAACAGAGCATATAAAAAAAACTACAAAGCATCAGAAACAGAGCATATAAAAAAACGAATTTTGTTTGAAAGATGTGTGACTCTCACTTGTTACCGAGGAGGCTATGGAGTTTGATGATAAGGTCGTCTTCGTCGAGGGTGAAATTGCCTCTCTTGAGATCAGGTCGGAGATAGTTGATCCACCGGAGACGGCAGCTTTTGCCGCACCGGAGAAGACCAGCGGATCTAGGAAGGGAACGCCAACAGCCTTCGCCGTGGGATTTGATGTAAGAGACGAGCTTATCGTCTTCTTCCTTGGTCCAAGCTCCTTTGTTCGTGTGGTCTTTCTCGCAGCAAGGAGACCTACCCATCTTCTTCTGATGAATGATGATGATGCTTCTTTCTGATTCTTGTGATGATGAAAGAAATTAGGGCTTTATGGAGAGAAGTTTGAGAGAGAGAGAGAGAGAGAGAGAGAGAGGTTGGAGGAGGAAGGTGAAGCCTAATTGTTTCTAGAAGAGAGTTGGTAAGACACGTTTGAAGGAGTGGCTAGTGGGGGCTCCCTTTCTGATTTCTCCTTCTTTTTCTTTTTGTTTGTATAAATTAAAAATGATCGTTATTTGTTTTTATTATTTCTGGATCCAAAACTATAAACTGCAACATTCACACGATCGTCTTCGGTGGGAAAACCCTAAATGAGTTTTTTTTTTTGTCAAACCTGAGTCTTAAGTCTTAACTGTTCTTAGCTCAGTAGGTGTGAAGGCATAATTGTTAAATATAAAAAAACACGTTCGAGTTTTGAATGGGACATGCGTTTTGTTGTAATTTAAAAATTTGTGGAAACGCATATACGGTGTACCTTTTAAAAGGAGATTTCACACCAACACAAGTTTACCACTTGATTTGGTCCAAAATGTAAACGCAGTCTATCACAAGACAAAGTTTGATGGTTTTCGTACTGCACAATAATGAGGAAATAGTATTTGTCATCGTGAGTTTGGTAAGGAGGTTTTAAAGAGCTTGCATCCAAAGTAGAATATTCAGATCAAATTTGAAAATGTTAGTTAGGATTTAATAAAAATAAAACAAAAAGGACACACGTTTGTTAGGTATGAGGGTATATATAGTCTTTTGTCTTAAGATCTTAATCACAAATTGAATGTTTGTTTGTACTCGTAATTAAAACTCGTGTGTTTTGATAATGGGTATATAAATTCTGAACGTACATATATTCAGTAATTAAAACTGTCCACCAAAAGTCAGCAACCACAAAACATAAGATCTTTGTTTGTTACCGCTCTCGAGAAGTTTGAAGTCGGTATTAACAATTCAAAGTATTTTGATTACAAGAGGATTCACAAAGTTAACTAAGTTTTGGGTGTGGTTTGGTGTATGATTTGGCTACACTATATGAATTGGATCACGACCTTCCACTGTCCTACTTCCTCCTAACTATTCCGATTAAATAATTTAATATTTGAATTGTTTCTATCAAGAATAAAAAAATGTCACCAAATTGTCTCTACAGAACGAAAATGTCATTGTGGAGGGTGAAGCCTCACGTGGAGATTTTATTGTAATGTGATGGAAGATAAAAGAGTGGATTTCTACCTGTTTTCTCCTTCTCCATAAATGATTTCCCTTAACAAGTGACCTTTTTACTTTCCCAACCACCAAAATACTAATCCTTTACTTCTTGTTCTTTTCTTCTTTTCGTTTTCACTAGTTCGCAAGCTTATCATCGAATAAATCATTGGATAACTCTATGTCAACTAGACTAGAATAAACTGTTTGCATATTTGTATCAGTATGTTATCTCGAGTTAATTGACTATATTTTTGATAATCGGCATATTTATTCCACGTAAATTAGTTTAGAATATGAAAGAACCAAACATTCTTGAATGATATTTCTAAAATAGCTATTTTTGAAAAAGATATCGAATAGTGATTGTGGGTTTTTAAAATTGTTTGGAGGTCTTTTTTAGAAAAGGAAAGTAGCTTTATTGGTAAGAGTTTGTTTGATACCTGAAAGACAATCTTAAAAGAGTTTGGTAGATTTGATGGTGTACATTTACTCCGAACTCCTACCGACAGAATAGAGTATTTAATTATACAATAAAGAATTCGGATAGAGTACTACTACTATACTCTATACATGTGATCTGTTGTGTCCACACACCAAACAAATCTTAAAATAAAGGTACATATACGAGTTTTAAATTGTCTACATACCCAAAATGGGCACCGATACAGAGTACATCATCTCACAGATATTTCCTAATTATCCTCATTAGAAATGTAATTACCATACAATTGTCCAAATTTAGAAGCAATGAGTTTGTGTCATGTTATTGTTAGGTTACATAAAACCTTCACATTCAACCAAATATATTTATTTAATGTAACAACATAAAGGATGATAAAAGAAGTTGAAGAAAAGCTATTTGGTGACCCAAAAACGCTTTGCGTCCATTAGATGCCACATCTGAGCCAATCGAGTGGGTGAGTGTCAACCAACATTATATCTTACCGTTTATAATGAAAATACCAAAAAAATCAATTAAAGAAGCTTCCTACCTAACAAAACCTAACATGGTTATGTTAGGTCCAGTGTCAGGTTATGTCCCACTTTGCAGATATCGACTCATCTTTGGTAGATATCCACAAATCTTGTAGCATATAATCATTTAACTGTAACGAACATTTCAATGAAAAGTAACGCAGCCATGAGAATCCTTTTAACAGAAAAAAAAAGTAACGCAGCCATGAACAACAACGACCAAATTCAAACCCCCCCAAACGTTGACTTTGACTTTTTAATACAAAATAGTAGGATCGTGTGCATTAAAGAGTTTAGCATATTGTAGCATGTTAAATAAGAGAATCGTTTCCTTCGCGTGTCTTCTTTTTTACTTCTACTTCATCCTCTTCCGAATCTCGTAAAAGTAGCTAAAGGCAACGACTGCAGCGGCAATCGCAACCCCAAACGCGCCCTGAGCCAGAACCGTGCTGTCTGCAACTTTAGCTGCCGAGGAGTTAGGGCTGAAACCGAGCTCCGAGAGTTTCTTGTGCGACTCCGCATAGTCTCTGAAGAATGCATCTTCATCCTGTCACCACAAACTTAAATTTGTCAAATAACAACACAAATGCAATGGAACAACACAAAGTTATGTTGGTACATTCAGAGCAATTCAAGTATGTATATACCCTAGCGTAAAGCTCGACGTAACGACGAAACTCGGAGTCTTCCAACAAAGTCTTGTCAGTTGGAAGTTTCAACAAGCCCTCTGTTTCTCCTTTCAGCAGCTCCCTGTTACCAAAACAGTAAATTGATCATGGCCATGGTGTTCATTTTGAAGGCTTAAGCTCTAAGGAGAAACAAATGGGACTTACACGAAGTAGGAGTTATCAAACTTGAGAGGCTCTTGAGTCCATGGTCCATCGAAGCCTGACCTCTCTGGATGAGCCCTTCCCTAAACACCCAAAAGTGGTCATAATAAAGCACATGCATACTTTTTCTTTTTTAAATGAACAACGGAATTTAAGTAATCGGCCAGTGAATATACCAGAGTATGACCCCCTGAGAGTGCCACAATATCTTTATCAGATAGGCCCATGCGGTAAAAGACATCTCTAAGATGTTGGAAACCTTATGACATTCATAGAGAAATCTTTCAGTCCCATGATTAGAGAAAATTCAAAAGCTTAATACAAATGATACAACAATTTACTGTACCTTTTTTAGCATCAGGAAGTCTTCCTTCCATGGGGCAAACATTCGAATCCTATCAACAAAAAAACATACAATTATTTTCATTTGCTTCAATGTTAAACTGTTACAATCTATCAAAAAACGAAAGAGAAAATATACTTTTCTCCCGGGAACGAAGCTGATGTCAGGTCCACCGGTAACCTCCACTGCTACCACACCAGCAAGCTGAAACATAATACTTTTAAGTAGCCAATGTCTTTCACAGTCATAGCCTTAACTCAACAAGGAAAAAAAATCTCATTGTAATTTAAAAACTCGTAATCACACCTGATATAGGTCCGCATATGTGATCTTAGGATGTTTAGCTTTCACTCCCGCTGAAACAACAAAGATATAACATCTCTTTACTAAACAATTCAAAAGTCTATCAACAACAAAGATAAGTAAAACGTGAAATTGTGCAACATTTCACTCTAAAGTCCCCATCTAAGGTAATCTCTAACCTATGAACAATTGTGCGGAAACAGAGATCGCCAATGTTATCAAAGAAAACGAATCTAAAATTACTACTTTCTAGACCTTAAACCCAAGAAGAAGGGAGAAGAGAAAACACACCACAGATATCGAGAGCGAATTTCAAACCACTATTGGCACCATGATTGCATTCCTCTTCGTTCCTTATAGAGCCATTAGGTCCACCGGTCTTCGATTGCGCATCGTAGGTTCCAGCGTCGTGCCAACTGAGTAGACAAACATTTGAGCAATTAAAAACTAACGAGATCGATCGGTTTCCACAGTCTAACTAATAACCACGTCGCAGGAACAAAAAACGAAGCGGAGAAAACAAGTGAAATGGAAACAAACTTACGCCAATCGAAGCATGATCGGAGCGCAGTTCTTGGTCGCGATGAGAGAGCGGAGGTCACGGCGAGCCTTGCTGATCACTTTCAAATATTCCGCGTCAACGATCGGTGCCGCCATAGCTGCTGATAGCTTCCGGTGAAATGAGAGAGAGAAGCAAATGAAACAGAAAAAATGGTCAATCGGGTTTATGAAGATTTTTCTCTTTCTTTTTTTGGTTAACGAAACAGAAAAGTTTTGGGCCAAAGAGATAAAACCAACCCAATGGAAAACGGAATTTGTTGGGTCAGTGTCAGTTATCTGCTGTTTTCCTCAGCCACACCTTCCGTGGACCTCATTGGCTTATCATTTACGCTTTCCATATGAGACTTGCATGTCATTTGTTTGTTATGAAAAACGTCACGCGTTTCTGTAAGGTTTTGACTTTTTGTTAACCGGCGTGCATGTTTTCATTCGTGATTATATTGAACGTTGTTGGACTTTCCTTGGAAGTTTGAAAACATTGAACGTTGAAATTTGTTGCACTTAACCAATAACCAGGTCCGTGATAAGTTTTTTTTTCTCACCAAAAGTAAACCCTCGATTCACAAAATGAAAGCTTCGATAAATTGGTTATATACCATGTTTTTTTGGCTAATATGTGTTATTGTTTCTTGATTGGATCATATTTGAATATATTACTCGTATATTAACGTTTAGTTTTAAAAAATTAACGACAGACAGAACGACAGAAAAATCGAAGCCACAACAAATTTGAAATTGGTCTACTAAGCACAGAACATGAATCATATATGTGATAGTGATGATATAAAGCCTCACTTCTTCTTGCCACGACCACACTTGACTTGCACGGCAAGCGTCTTCACAACATTCTTGCATGAATCCTTCTTGTCTTGTTCGAATGTGCTCTTGTTCACCGGAATCACACACTCTGCTTTCCCCAAACAATGCTGCAACAAAATTCTTTTTATGTTGGTTACTTCCTTCCATCACAAGCTGTACATTATACAAAAAAAAGAAGAAGAAAACAATGTATATTCTCTTACCTTCTCAACGACTTGCTTTGAAACAGGAGCATGACAAGTACCACGTGTGAAGTTTCCACAAACACCAATAGGGTTTCCGAAGCTAGCGAACTCAACGGCTGCAATCTTCCTAGTGCCTGAGCATTTAAGAGTAGCCGTGAGACTCACGTTTTCGGTGATGGCTTGGACCTGGTCTTGCTTCCTAACCCAGTGTCTAACACTTGGAGTGTAGTTCTCTCCGACGAAAGAGCAAACAGTGTCTCTGTTAACGATGACGAAGTCTATAAGCTCAGGCTTCACATTAGGCTCTTCCTCGAATATAACAAGATGGTTTTTCTTGGCCTTCAAGAAAGATCTAGGGATGTGATACTCTATTTGCGTAGGTTGGCCTAAAGGTGACAAGAAAGACATCCAATATCTTCCAACGCCTTCTCCGTTCACATAAATCAACCCTTTTCCCATACCGCTCATGCGAATTGCCGCTGCATTTAGGCTTTCTGGTGCATCGAAGTATGTCTACAATATTTCACATTCATTAGATTAATGTGTCAAGAGATGATTAGAAAAATTCTACATGGTTTGGTTGTTTGCTTTCTTGTTATTACCTGGTACCATGTAAGTCCTGGTGCTTTCCCTGAGAATTTCTTCCATGTGACCTTCTTTGAACCTTCCTCGGTTTGAATTGCGAGTCTTTCCCCTTCCATACCGACCTTGTTCCCCCATTTGCTGTTTTCAGTGAGATCAAGTGTTCCATAAGTCAATCCTAAGATGGAAACACTACGAGGTCCGGTGTATCTATGCTCCATGTAGGATCCACTGTCCTGTAAGAATAATAATAATAAAAAAGCGCAACATATAACTTCATCTATATATATATATATATAAATATCAAAACTTAAGAGTTTGAAATTTTGTTTTGTTACTTACCGGGAACCCTGTAAGAACACCAAGCATAACAAGCTTATTCTCTCCTGATTTAATTGCAACCGTCTTCTGGAAAACAAAGCTCTTCTCGTCATGGCTTCCATGTCCATTTCCTGGTAGACAAACAAGCAAAAAAAATCATTGTTATATATATATATATATATATATATATATAGCTCAGTTTCATCATTTTTTATCATTCTTGCAAAATTCTTACCTAGGTATTCTCCGTTAAGCCAAACGTGCAACGCATGTCCAAGACTAGCAATTCTCAAGACAGTCTTAACTCCTTTCTTCTTAGGTAAGTGATTCTCATGGACATTGAAGCTACAAAGCAAAATTAAGTTCAATATCCTCTTCTCCATTTGGATTCATAAGCACATTTAATGATTCTTTTACCTTGTTGTGTACCATCCATAGTCTGACTTGTCTTTCGTCAAACCGTAAAGCTCAACGGGTATGTAAGAGTCACCTTGGAGTTTACCAGGCAATTTCTCGGTGAAAACTTCGAAATCAAACTTCTTGTTCGCCTTTTTAGACTTCATGAAGTTCCTTGCAGTGTGTTGAGAAACAATCTGGTCCAATCCAATCCAAAAAAAACAAGATCTAGTTAAGTACTCTGTTTCTTGTGCTTGAAGAAACCGGAATTTTAAATGTTATCTTCACCTGTGCAGTGTTGTAGACAACAGTTTTACAATCTGGAAGAATACTAATGGAACGAGGCGCGATAACGTAATCCCTCCCCTTGAATCTAATGGTTTCTGCAGCTTCCGTGTTGTTGTTAGCCAAGAAAGCCGCACAAGATTTCGTTCCAGGCTGTTCGTAGTATCGAATCTGTAATTACAAACGAAAAGAGGTTGAAATTGAATAAATACATTTAAACAGTTTGGAACGTTTTGATGTGTACATGCTTATGCTAATAATACCTCTGTATCTTTTCCAGGCTTCTCGGTTTTAGGCTGACCCCAAAGAAGTGGTTTCTTGCAGAGGTTAAGGGCATTGTGAAGATGCTTAAGATGACCATACTTAGGCTCTTTCTCTAAACCATACTCATCAAGAGGTGCGTCATCGTAGTAACGAGTGGTTACATAATGTGCAGAGGTTCTTCCAAAGTTTGTCCCTCCATGGTACTACACGAATATAACACAAATTTATAAAAACATCTGGATATATAGTCATTTCGCAACATTTAAAAAGGCCGATTTTATACCATGTAGTAGTTCACATGGCTTCCGTTCTTGGAGAAGAATCGAGCAACTGAGAAAGCGATGTCTTCTACTGATCTCTGAGTTGGTGGATCACCAAACACACGGAACCTGTTAAAGAAATTCGCAAGAAATGAATCAGTCTTCTCGAGTTTCTAGAGTATTCTTGCTTCCCACGTTATCTCCAATAAAGAGTGACCAAAAAAAAGAAAACTCACTGAGTAGTCCAATTCTCAGTCCACAAAGATGGTTTGTTGTCTCTGTTTGGACCGGGGAAAGTATCACCACAATGCCTTCCATTGCAAGCATTGATCTGTATTACAACATCAAATTCTCAATATGTTTTTCAACCTTATCCAGACAAAAGACAATAATCTAGAAATGACAAGATTACCATAGGATCAGGAGCGTCGTTCTGCTTGCACATAACCCATGGGATCCCGAGATTCATTGAGTCCACAAGCTTAGATGCCCATTTTATGTAGTTTAGTCCGTCTTGTTTATATGCACGTTGAACCGCGCTATACTCATTCTCTATCTGCATTCATGTTCATATATTCAATTCCATTGCAAAATAATATACATTTGTTTCCAAGCCATTAGGTGTATATACGTGTTAATTAGGGTTTTCATTTACCTGTCCTAATATAATGGGGCCCCCTTGTGAAGCAAACAATTTTTCCTCCTTCATTTTGTCGAGTATCATCCGTACATACTTCTCTGTATGTTGCTGCAATAATTATTTTTTTTTTGTCACATCTTTATATACTATCTCTTTTGTAACAAGACACACACATTTATATATAAGCTTCATACCTTGAATGGTGCGTTGTCTGTACGGAAGAAAATTCCAGGAACTTCTCTAAGCCAATAAGGAAGTCCTCTGATTATACAAATGATTTCAATTAGATGATTTAAAGCAATAATAATTTAAGAAAGGAGAAATCAACGAGAGAAAAAAGCAATGCATATCGTTACCCATGAGTCCATTCAGCTTGAATAAACGGTCCAAGCCTCAATGTCACATACATGCCATTCTTCTCGATCAACTTTATGAAGTGAACCAAATCAGCTCGTCCCGAAAAGTTGAACTAATGAAAAACAAAACAAAATAGGCATTTAGAATCATCATTTTTCTTATATATATATATATATATATATGATCTACACAAAATTGATTTGTGTTTTTAAATTACGCACCTTTCCTTGCTCAGGCTCATGCACATTCCAAAAAACGTATGTTTGAATCGTGTTCAAACCACCTTGTTTCGCTCTCTTGATAATATGTGGCCACATCTAGACAAAAACCAAATCACATAGTAATCTCAATATATCAATACAAAGAACTTCTTAATAAATAGAGATTATTTCTTGACTAATCGAAATATACTTCAGGAGTGCTTCGTGGATAATGTATAGAGCCAGAGTAAAGAAGTTCTCTTTTGCCATCGACGATCAAAGATGTTCCATCATAAGTCACCTCCTTGTTACTCCTCTTCTTCGCCACCTTGACCTTCTTTTTCGCGGCGAAGGATGAAGAAGCCGAGAGGAGAACCACGAGAACGGCCGTTAAAAGCCATCGATCAAGAGTTCTCATTTAATTGACTCTCTTCTTTTTCTCGAATTGATTTTGTTTTTTTGTTTGCGTTGTAGAACAAGAAGCTAAGTTCTCTTGGAACCTCGTCCTTGTCGGAGGAATAAAAAAACAAGGAGAGCTCAAATAACAAGCTCTGAAAAAAGACAATGATATAAGAGAATGTTTCGCACTCTGCTTTACAGGTTTCCGAGATTTTTACGCGTCTGAAATAGAATCCATCGTTGTAACTTTCAAACTCATTCTTCTTTTTCATTTTGAATTTTTTTCTTTTGTGATTTTATAGTTTTGCTATTTTTAAAAGTTTGTTTTGCCCTCTCTTTCGCCTAATATGGTGGACAAATACATAACTAAATTAATTATTATTTTTTTGTTTCTTTCCACCCAACTGATTGTCTTTAACGGTCAATCAGTGTTTTTAACAGATCTAGCTAGCCAGCTTCAAAATGTTTCTTACCGTGATCGGTTAGAAAAAAATAAAGCATCGTTTTCATTTTTAGACAGGTTTTATAAAATACACATTTTAACGAAAGAAAAATGAACGCAAAGGAGGCTGGAAAAGTTATAACTCCAATCATCATTTTAGCTAATAATACGTTTTCACAAGCTTGGTTGATTCTTTCTTTAGACTTAACAGTCTTAATCACTCGATTACCGGATATTAGATGGTCTGGTATCACTAGGCCCATTTGCTTATGTTACATGGCCCAATAATCCTAAGCATTAAAAAAACCCTAGAGGAGACTAACCAATATTAATCCAACAGAAATAAGCTTAGCTTCAAGCTTCTCAATTCAAACGAATCTCGTTTGTTGAGCAATCTCTTTCTTTTCGTTAACTGCCTCTCTATTCAGAGACCCACGTATTATTCAATTCCCACAATACCAATTTAACCACGTCATAGAAAATGGACACATGCACACTTGGTTTGTGGCTTACGACGTCATGTTTCACAAAATACAATGAGTGATACCTGAAAATATCAAATCTAGTGGAGCCAAAATATTTGCATCATTGCTTTTCTAAATTCCACGATTATATTTATTTGTTTTTATTATTATTGAGCTAAAGTTTATAATTTGTCTTCTAATGTGTTAATCCTTGGCCGTTCATCAACACTTTAACTAATCCACGTTGTTTTGTTTGTATTGCTGGGTAACACTTGGTTAAATTGTTACTTCCTCTGTTCCATATTATAAGCTGTTTTGGAAAAAAAATTTGTCCCAAATTATAAGCTGTTTTGCACTTTTTACTTTATTGGATGTTGTGTGCCCAATTATATTTTGTAGTCTTTCTTCATGATTGGTTGAGTTATATTAATAGTAATAAATTATTTTTAAAAACTAATTTTCTTGGTTTTTATATTTTACCTTAAACAGCTTAGGACAGAGAATATCTTTAACAAAACTAAAACACCTGACTACAGTTTTAATTGGGATTTTAAATAGAGGAAGAAGAAAAGTGCGTAGTGTGCACGGACTTGGTTCATTTAATTCTCGAGCCATTGCCGTACGTAGGAGGAAAGCTTTCAAGGCTTTGAGTCGAGGCGTGTTCGTTACGCATCGCTTAACCCGCAATAGCCGGTGGTCACACACTCACAAGTCACACGTCCCCTTCAAAATCACCGAATATCGAGGGTTTCCCGCGAATTTTGCCGGTGTCTTAATAACTACCTTCTTTATTAACGAACATAAAAATCAGTAACTCTACGATCACTCCTCTTCCCCAATATCTCTCTCTCTTGCCGACACTTTCTTGCTCCGATCAATTTTGGGTTTTTAATCCTGTTTCCATGATTTCACCAAAAGTTTGTAGAAGAAGATCAACATTTACGTCTCAGAAAAATCTAGTGCTTTGATGTGTTAGATTTTTTTATTTATTTTGGTCCCATCTTGTTTTTTAGTCGTAGCAGGTACAAATTGCTGATGGTAAATATGGTGGCAGATTTCGAGTCTTATTATTTAAAAACCAAAATTTAATAATTGATGCAACGAGTTTTGGTAACACTGTCTATATTGTCTTGTAGTAATGCTCATATCATAGTTTATCTTTTAAAATCAAATCCGTCCCACTACATTTTTTCCTCATAATTGACATAAATAGTACAATAAACAAAGAAAATCTTATATTTTCCTAAGACTAATAAATCACTTGTTCCAATGGAGGTTTTTGTTTATGTGATTCCTCTGTTTTTATTCAGATAAACCAGCATTTACCTCCAAAATATCACCAGAGATCATTTTGTTTTGAACGATTAAGATGTTTCATGATCCTCTCTAGTAACAAGATGAAAGAAACTTGGTGAGATTTAGATTCTTGAAAAGGTTGCAGAACCATTTGGATCATACTTGATTGTGTTCTACTTGTTAAGGTATGTTTTTGGATCATACTCACTTTAGATGTTTCAATTTTTATTAGTAAAGACAAGACTTTGAACAAAAGGGTAACATATAATCTTTTGGGTCTTGAGAACAGATTGAGATCAAAGGAAGTAAGTTTATAGTGAATGCAACTCCTATGAATCAAGAGTTAAAAGCGAAGAACTCTCGAAGATGGGTGAAGAAAAGAGGATGATTTCAAGAAGATCGGTTTCGCTACCATCAATAGACATATTCTTAGACGAGAAACCAGGTTGGCCTTTGCTTAAAACAGCCACTTCAAGGACACCACAAGTTCACCATTGGCACACTCGGAAAGTCTCAGTGGTCAATTGGGCCATGAGCTTACCTGAACGGTTTCCGAATCATCAGCAGAATCTTGACTCTGAGACAAGTCTTGTCAAGAAACAACTTCAGAACATATTGAATGATCACAAAAAATGGTTCAACTACAATGTTCTTAAGATGGCAACATCAGATTTCTCTCAAGGTACTTACTCTGTTTTCTTTTCTCTCAGTGCCTCTCCTTCGGAATTTGGATTGATGTTTTTTCTTTCTTAATATGACAGAGAATCTGATTGGGAAAGGAGGATGCAACGAAGTGTACAGAGGGATTCTTGAAGATGGAAAAGGCATTGCAGTGAAAATCTTGAAATCGTCAACTAAAAAAGCTATGTCAGATTTTGTTCATGAAATCGACATTATCTCTTCTTTGAGTCACCGAAACATCTCACGTTTGCTTGGTGTTTGCGTCCAAGACAATGACTTAATTTCCGTTTACAATCTTTCGTCTAAAGGAAGTTTAGAGGAAACACTTCACGGTAACACAACACTCTGATAAACTCCATATACAATATATAGTTGGTGTGTATAGAAATAAAAGTATGATGATACTGAATCATTGATTATGTAGGTAAGCAAAAAGACAAGCATGTGTTATCATGGGAAGAGAGATTCAAGATAGCAATCGGCGTAGCGGAAGCGTTAGATTATCTTCATAACCGATGCTCAAAGCCAGTGATTCACAGAGATGTCAAAACTTCCAACGTTCTTCTCTCAGATGAGCTCCAACCTCAGGTAGTCTAAAAGCTTCTGACTTTGATTTCTTTGGCGGATATTCATAAGAGACCGATTGTGTTCTAATGATTCTGAGAATAGCTGTCAGATTTCGGGCTATCGATGTGGGGACCAACAACATCTTCTCGATATTCAATACAAGGTGACGTAGTGGGCACGTTTGGATACCTAGCACCGGAGTACTTCATGTACGGAAAAGTCAGTGATAAAGTCGACGTTTACGCATTTGGAGTGGTTCTGCTTGAACTGATATCAGGAAGACATCCAATTTCACCTGAGAATCCAAGAGGACAAGAGAGTTTGGTCATGTGGGTAAGTTGCTTGGTTATTACCTGTAGCGTAAGCAACACTTAAATAAAACCCTAATAAGAGATTCCTTGGAATGTAGGCAAATCCGTTGATTGAGACCGGGAATTCAAAAGGGCTGTTGGATCCAGACGTAACAGAGTTATTCGACGAGTGTCAGTTTCGGAGAATGGTTCTTGCTGCTACACAATGCCTCACAAGATCAGCCACACATCGTCCCAATATTAGACAAGTAAGATTTTGTTTCCTTCTCTAAAGAAACTTATTAAATCCGTCGTTAAGAATTATAATCTTTAATGTTTCTTAAGATACTGAGGCTACTAAGAGGTGAAAACCAAGTCGAGAAATGGATTAAGGAAGAAGAAAACGAAGATTGCTTCGATGACGAGGTTTATCCGAATTCGAGAGCGGAATTGCACTTGAGCCTCGCGATGCTTGAGGTGGAAGACGAGGAATCTTCATCAGTCAGCAGCCTTGAGAGAAGTAACAACAGTGGTTTTTGTTCTTCTTGTTCATCTGAGGAGTTTCAGTCTTAGCACTCTTGCTTTTAGTTTTAGTTTGTGTACTTAGCGTCGGAGCTCGTAGGTAGAGAAAAAAGAGTAATAATAACAATTTCCAAAACCACAGTATTTTCAATATCAACTATGCCTATGTCAAGATCCAACAGTGGGTAGACACCAAATCCAAATTAACCCTATAGACGAAGGTTTAAATCATTTCTTTTAAATGTTTGATATATTTGAAATGATTTATCTATATATTTACGAAATTAAACCGTCCTAAATTGATTAGGCTTTCTTTGGACCTTATCATAAGTTATGTTGTCCATGTATAAAGCTTCGAATATTATGATCTACGTTAGCCTAACAAAAATATGAAGATTAAAGGCACAAAAGACAAACTTTGGAATCTAGTGTGCCCGTCATAATCGTATAAATTATTGGAGGCTCTTTCCAAGCACACGAAGAGGCATTTCTAAAGAGTTCCGTATATAAATACGATATTCAGTCTCTGGTTTTACTGTCAATCTAATTTTTAGGATGTCTTGCCCCTATAGGTACATTTATAAAGTATTTTCGAAACATACGTTTATTTATACACTTAAAAATATTAGACCATTTGACTATATACTCATAAATAGTTAGAAGAAGAATGGGTAGCCCTATATAATCTTTAAAATTATCCATAACTCAAACCCATCTAATCTTTTTCTAGACAGAAATTATGTCACATCAAAGAAGTCCCTTTCACTGTTGAAATTGAATTTGTGATTTCTATATTTCTACTCTTGTTTTCATTTATAAATCATCTGAACTCCGCAATTACTAGTTTTAATTTTCATCAATTTCGTTTATTCTTCAAGTAGATTGTTTGTTTTATATGCTTTGAACTATTCGGCTATTATTACTCAGATCGCAAATACCAAATTATAATTGTTTTAAACCCGAAATTGTATATTCTCCTCTTTTAGAACCAAATTATACCTATATTGCCATAAGAAAATGACGTATTTAAAGTATTTAGACTATGTGCAATGAGGGTGTTGATAATAGTTTTCAGTCCTGTTGAAACTACCTGTTGAATGACTTGGCAAAATTGGTGTTGAAAATTTACAACATGTTGATAAGAAAAAATTGGGCCCACTAAAGACATGTGTCACAATATAATTGGTTACTGAGATTTCTGATTTTTTTAACTTCCCTCAATTATTTGAGGTTAATTATTTCAATCAAAATTAACTTTTTAAACTATAAATTTTATACCAAAATTCATCACTTTTTATACTCTATAAATAGAGACTTATTTCATTTCATTCGGACACAAAAAAAAACACATTTTCTTTATTTTTTCATAATGAATCACAAAAATAATCATTTTAACACTCAAAATTCTTTTAATAACCTTTTAACTACCCAAATTCCAACAATTATCAATTTCAAAATCATTCTTCCAATCATCATAGATGTATGGTAATGATTTTAATCATTTTAATGTCCATGGTATGGTAATGATTTTAATTTTTATAAATTTGTTGTTTTTATAAAAATTGTTATTTATTTTTTTAATTATTATGTAAGTTTAAAAAAATTCAAGTTTCATATAACCTTAAATTTTTTTTTAGTTTATTTAATTATTTTAGTTTAGTTATTTATTTATTAATATAAAATAAAAAAACATAAGCATAAAAAAGAAATAAAAATGTGGGGTAAGGTGTTGTATATTATTAAACACCCACATTGTAGATAGTAAAAGTTGAAATGGGTTGAATAATGAGGTGGAAGAGAGAGATGATGATGCGGAGTATAAAGTAGGGTGTTGAAGTAAAAAATCATTGTACATAGTCTTACAAGCCAAGCTCTTTAGAGCATGTCCAACGCTAGTCGCTTAAGAGGGAGCTTAGAGAAAAAATAAATCAAAAATGTTAATAAAAGGAAGCTCCAAAGCTTATTTAGGCGTGACAAGCACCGCTGCTTGTGCAACGTGTCACATAGTAATTGGAAAGAAAAAATTGAGAAGGAAAAAGTAAACACATTTTCTCTTCATTCTCCACTTTTCTTTCTCTCTCTTCTCTTTTCTCTATTTTTCTCTCGATGATAATTTTAATAGTAAAATATTATTAAGCGTTTTATTAAACACGCACCATTATCCATGCTCTTACCAGTTATTGTCAACAACCTTCTCAAAAGAATTGAAAAGAAAAACTTACTATAAATCAATCATCAACACCCGTTAAAGTGCTTCGATGATAAGACAATGACATGTGAAATATTGCACCTACAGAAAACGCAACATTTTGGCCAATTAATTATTATGTTAACTGAAGGATGATGTATTCAAAGGGAAAGAAAAATTGAACTTATCAAACTATCAATTATATCAACGACCATTTATCAGGAAAAAATAATAAAAACGACTAGGAGAATCTGTTGACGCGTCGATATATTAAAAAGAGATTTTTTTTGTCAACTTATTGAAAAGAGAATTCTTAAGAGGGTACTTAATAAAATAATTATGAACAAACAAAAAAGCTCAGCTAAAATTGTTGAAGGGATTTTAGAGAGTTTTGTTGTTTATTTTAATTGGAACTTATACAAAACACTTTAATAGTAAAGTTTATGATTAATTATGACATTTCTCAAAATTTATTAACCGATTATTATAGTGAATAAAAACCGAGTGAATGGTGTTTGCCATATTTCAGTTTCAAGTAACAAAGTATACTTTCATAAAATTATATGTAGCATTTGTAGTTAAATCTTACGTACTGACGCAAAATTTATTTAGGAATTTGTCAATTATCTGAAAACAACTGACGCAAAATTTATTTAAGAATCTGTCAATTAACTGAAAACAAATGATGGTTTGGGACATGCCTTCTTAATGTATATATTTGTCCCGTTGTCCGTCTTCGCATTCGGGTTGCTTGAGATTAAAAAATATATATCTGACTATTTCATGAGGGGTTATATTATTGTTTGGACTCTCACTATTATTAGTAGCTATATTCATTACATGTATACGATTAATGGTTTATCCTAATATCCAGATTAATGATTAATGGTAACGTGGGCTATAATTGTTGGATTTGTTATCTAATAAAATCTGGATATTTCAAGCTAAATAGGAGGAGAATGACCTACAAAAGTGACATTAACACGGTAACACCCATGATTCGATCTCACTGATACATTAAATCGACAGTAATGTTTACTATATTGTTGAATTTGACAGTAATCGACAGTAATCACAGTTCTGATCTGAAGTACGATCCTTTTACCCATCTGTAAATTCATAGCTTTAGCTCATTTCAAAAGAATCAAGAACATATAGAATATCGAATAAATAAGTAAATTAAAATAAGTACACCCACTAGGCAAAAGAACAGACTTGTTGCATCAAACCTTTCTTTTTAAAAGTATATAAAGTACAAACCCTAAAAGAAAGCTACATCTCTCACGATGACTAATGTTCACATCAACCAACCATTTAAGAAAGGGAAGCTTTCCAAAAGAGAGAAAATTAACAAGTTGAAGATAATAGATTATTAGATGGTGATTAACGAGCCATTTGTTTTTTCATCACAAAATATATAGTAGATCTGGTAATTAAGAGCCTAATTGTTTTCTTAATCACAAAAGATATCTTTGTTTTTCTTATAGCGATGTGGAATCTAGTTGTCTTGAATACAACAAATACATATCCGAGAATTCTGAATATAAGCTTACTATTAATAGCTATATTCAACTTCTAGCGACTCTTTAGTATTTGGTTTTAGAAAAACGTCAAAATAAAATGATGCGCTTCATGATCTACAAACTGTACACCGGCATAAATAAACACAAATCCCTCCATATAATCGTCCAAATCTATCTATTTATAAGTCAATATTTTGTTTTCCACAAGACAAAACCAAAGGAGACTTGTAATGTTTGTATAATATGTTTACGTAATGCAGCATCTAATATTTAAGAATGTGTTTTATCAAAAGGAGAAAAAAGAATGTGCATTTTAATAGGCAACAAAAACCAAGTCCTGATGATGACAATAAGACAAGGACATTAATTTTGAAACTAATTAATAAACGAAATACTTAAGAAGTTATTAGTCATTTTAGCTAGTTTATTTCATTTTAAGTCAATGTTTTGTTTTTATTCTCGTGTAACTTGTTCGTACATCCATGTTAGTCTTATATTATCGTGATAATACAAGTTTTTGAATTTGTTTAGTTATATAAATAGTAGAAGATGCGGAGCACCAATCACGTTCAAGGAAATAAATTAAACTTTTTGACTAATAAAAAGAAGAATCAATCTCTCTCCTGCAACTCGAAATCGTTCTCCTACGTCCATGTCTTTTCTCCGGCCACCAAATTGATGCCATCTGTTTAACGCCGCTTTATAATCAACGCCTTCTTCTCTCTCTCCGTCTCTATAAGACTTCTCTCCCCTTCCCATCACTCTTCTCAAAATTCGATTTTTCAGGGGTTTCTCTTGGATCTCACTTTGCTAAATCCGAACCTCTGTTGGGTGTATAAAGGTACGAGCTTCTTCTCAGTTCCAGATCGGGTATATGAAATTTTGCAGAAATTGAGTGTTGGCTGTTGCTGAATTGCTCGGATTGTTGTCAATTTAGGGATTTGATCGATTCGGCGAAGTTGGATTGTATTACATCTTAGAAATCATCGATTTTTGGGGGTTGGTGAGGTCAATAGAAGAGTAAGGTTACTTTGTTGGTGACTGGTGGTTCTAGTAATGGAAGACGGCGAGCTTGATTTCTCGAACCAGGAAGTGTTTTCGAGCTCGGAGATGGGTGAATTACCGCCTAGCAACTGTTCGATGGATAGTTTCTTCGACGGGCTTCTCCTGGATACTAACGCTGCGTGTACACACACTCACACCTGTAACCCCACGGGGCCAGAGAACACGCATACTCACACATGCTTCCATGTCCACACCAAGATTCTGCCGGAGGACAGCGACGAGAAGGTTTCCACCGACGATACAGCTGAGTCTTGCGGGAAGAATGGCGAGAAAAGACCTTTAGGGAATCGAGAAGCGGTGAGAAAGTATAGAGAGAAGAAGAAGGCTAAAGCAGCTTCGTTGGAGGATGAGGTCGCGAGGCTCAGAGCAGTGAATACGCAGCTGGTGAAGAGGTTGCAGAGTCAGGCCGCCTTGGAAGCTGAGGTGTCGAGGCTCAAGTGTTTGCTTGTGGATCTAAGGGGAAGGATAGATGGGGAGATTGGGTCTTTTCCTTATCAGAAACCTAATATTCCATCTTTCTCACACATGATGAATCCGTGTAATGTGCAATGCGATGATGAGGTTTATTGCCTCCAGGATGGGTTTGGAGGGAATAGCCAAGAAGGCGCATCGATCAATGACCAAGGTCGTGAGTTTGACCAGCTACAGTGCATCGGTAATCAGAACTTAGTTGCCAATGGAAATGGATCGTTCAACAACGCCAATGCATCTGTCTCTAATAAGAGAAAAGGTAACACTTTTATGCCTTAAAGGTCAAAGTTTTGCTGATCAACTATTCAACTGATGGACTTCATCATTTATGTGGGTGACTCATGCTTTTGCTCTTGCTTCAGCTGGGCATCGTGCATCGAGAGCAGTTTAAAGCATCATCCAGCTTGTACCATCTATTTCCAGCAAGATAGATATTGTATTCCAAATAAGTTGTAGAGTTCAGCTGCAGCATCAGCTTCGCTGAGGTTCCTTTGTGTCATCATTTTTTGTTTTCTGAATCTCTTTTTTCTTTCCATTGTATTTTCCTTGTTGAGCTTTCCAGCTAGAAGGATGACTTGTTAATACGAACTCAATTTTCCGGTGTTTTTGCCATTTGTTTATCATACTTGAGTAGCTTCTTGTAAGATGTGGAATATTTTGGCTTTTTGTGTTTTGAGTAGTCGCAAGATTTTTGGCTACATAAGTTATCGATACATCAAACTTTGCAATTGCTGAGTAGCTTTAAGGAGTTACAAAATATTTATTTCCTGAGATCAATGGGATCTATCGTCACTTGGACCATTCTCAAAATCGGATTTTGCAATAGGGTTTAGTGACTCATCAAACCTTAAGAATCATAGCATACAGCAAACTTGTCTGATTTATATTGGCTCAAACACATTCACGACAGTTAACGAGTCATTTATCACTCGCAAAAAGACTTGAAGTCTTGAATCATCCCTGGTTTTAATTGGTCTGTTGTGCATTTTGGTCGCCTTCATTATCATCTTCTTCTCCATCATCATCAGTGTAGATGTTTTCTGCCATCTGCCAGACCTGAAGACTGTTGTCTTCAGCTACGCTTGAGATGACCCAAGGCTCGTCTTTGTTCCAAGCAAAGTCTGATATCTTGGCCTTGTGGCCTCCATGCCAGAAAATCATTTCAGGTGGAGCATCTTCTGGATCCAACTCTACCTCAAGCTGCTCATCCCCAACCCTGAATGATCCATCAAGTTAAAACTAACTAATCCGAAATTTTCAATTTTGAATCAAAAAGCAGTAAACCGAATCATCAATTATGATGGTACTTGTTGATATCCCAGACAATGAGTCTTCTGTCCTCGCCTGAAGATGCCAGAACCGTCTCATGGTTGGGACTCCACTCCACTTGGAAAACTTCTCCCCTGTTACAAACCCCTCCGAATCCTCAGTTGCCAACATTTGATACAATAACTTTAGACAGAAGAAGAAAGTGAGAAACTATGGGAGAGGCGTACTCGTGTCTGCTTAGGACATGTAATGGCGCAGTCAGCTTGCGGAGGTCAAACAACGCCACAGTCGAGTCTGAGGAAGCTGTGGCTAATACCCATTCATTAAACGGATTGAAAGATAGATAGTTTATCTGCAAAACACAAAATAGTGTTCAATGGTCATGGAGAATGTTAACACAGCAAAGCTGGCATGTTCTTTGCGCAATCAAACCTCGGTCATATAGTAGTTATCTTCTAATTCACAGACTAGACGCAAGAGGGAGTCAAAAAGTTAAGAGATGGTTTAATTTATACCTCTCTCTCGTGAACTTTGACTTGGTGTTGCATTTGGTTTGTTCGCAAGTCCCATATAGCCAATCGACAATCATCACCTGCAGACCCAAATATGTTCTCATTCTTCATGTGCCATGCTACATCTTCGATGACGCTTTCATGTCCCTAAAAAAACGTCTCAGGAACAAAATCAGATGCAACAACCACAAATCATCTGAAATTCAGGAGGAGAGAAGAACAAAGCTACTCTCAGCTTACCTCATACACATGCATTGCACTCAAAACCTTATCACTGGCAGTAGCTGAAACATCCCAAAGGCAGATTTTCTGATCTTGAGAGCCACTCAAAAGATAACCCTCCTTGAAGGAGCTCCAAGCCAATCCATAACCTTCTTGTTCATGTCCCATCAGCCTCAGATCAGGATCACACTCACTTGATTGGGGCTTTGCAGAGTGTCTGGTGTAGTCAAACAGAAACACCTCAGAACCACTTGTTTTAGCACCCACGAGAGTTGGCTTTTGTGGCATACACCGCGCTCTGTTCACTTCTCCATCAACACGTATCTTCTGCCTAATCTCCACCTGCAAAAGATAGTTTTTTTAAAGAAACTCAAGTCTCTAATAGTAATGTTATGTGGTATGCAGAAATGTTGCAATCAAAACCTCTTATGTATATAAAACTTCATCGACAGCATTTTCAGAAGCCAAGACCAAATTTTTAATAAAGAAAAAAAAAACGGAATACACAGGAAAGTTTATTGATATCGATCTCAGTCCTCACTTTAAGCTAGTAATTTCGTCGAACACATTGTGTGCGCATAAAACAACATATACAAAATCCGCAAAAAGTTAAGGACGAGCCAAGAGCCAATTACCTTAGGGACGATAGGATCTTGATCTCCGCCGCCTAATCCTGGCTCAGCGTCGGGTGTCGGGATAACGACGTCGGCGACCATGAGAAAATCCGGAGCGCCACCGGAGGTGTGGGTCCCGAGGATAAGCTTATGGACGGCGTAGTAGGGATCCTTGGCGTACGGGATCGGCTTGGAAGGGACCCAGTGGAGAGTGAGGGATGGCCATTCGAGCGGGTGAGAGATCACAAGATCGTAGAGAAATGGCGCGTTCTTTTTCCACATAGAGAACTCTGCCTCTACCTGATCCAATCCAGCATACTCCTTTCCTTCTTCCGCCGCCATCTCTCTTTTGCTTTGATCGCTTTCCTTCTCGCTCTTTCTCTGCTCTTCGAGGATTTTCTGGTTCAATGAATTTCCCGCCCAAAAAAGGTAAGAGAGATGAGAGGAGGAGGGGCGAGGGTTATGAGATTAAACTTGTGATGCCGTTTCGATCTTATACAAGCAAAGAGTATGCCGTTTATTTACACATGTGCACAGCATGCATTGTATTTCAGGAATGTAAGGACGACCTGTTGTTGCGGTGGTTTCAGCTGAAAAGGCTGAAAAATGAAATCGTATTGGACTATTTCGCTGGGAGGCCCAATTAAGTCTCCATTTGGTTTTACGAATCACCCGCGCTTATTTAGTGTGTAATAAGTTGCTTAAAATTACGAGCACAAGATTACGTAAAAATTACTGTTTGCATACAAGATTAGACATTGATATAAATTGGATCTTGGAACATTAGTTGGTGGATTATATTTTTTTTCCAAGAAAAAAAAAGATGATACGTAATTCATTTGCGGCAATTTATTTGTTAATGCATCCATTACATCTTAATTGATGCCAGACCCAGGCTATCATATATATTGGAGAACTTGAACATCAAATAAGCACCGGTGTAAATAGAGATGTCAAAATGGTTAATCCAACCAATCTGACCCATCATCCATTAGAATATATAGACCTTGGCAAAATCAGAGATCGGATCTCTATCTCCACCACCACCATAGAACTTTCTTGGCTGATTGATGATTTCTCATTTGGAGTAGCAGAGCATTCGGAGCTTCCAGTTCTCTGTTTTGTTCATGAAAGCATCCAATCCACTTCTCCAAGCTTCACTTCTGTCACACTTCTTTTTGACCAACAAAAAGACTCTTCTCGTTATAGCTAGCTTCAAGACCTTGTAGAACGTCTCGTTCTCTGATGAATTTGCGGCCGATGAAGATGAGTAACCACGACATCCCTCAGAGAAAAGCAAAACTTATTGGATTATTGATTTTGCCTTAAATTATACGGATTCACCTAAAAAATTTTGATTCTTAAAAAATGGAAACTCGCGAAATTGTATTTTAAAATACAGATTTTCCATTTAGATTGAAAATTTGAATTTCGTGCAGTTTTTGTTCATTGATTGACAATTTTGATGTGTGGTCTGAAGAGAGAAAGCTTCGTTTGTACAAGCATAAAATTGGTTCTACCACGAAGATTGTCCGCTGTGAAGCGATCCAAAGTCTCTCCATTTACTTCGTGATTACTTCGTGGAAATATTTTGGATCTTTTTGTATATGGCTGGCTCTTCGCAATGATGATTTTTGGATCATTTTGCATGGGACTCTTTGCAATGACTGTGTATTTTTTTTTTAAATACTCATAAGAAATATCATAAGAAATAGTGAATGATTTGATTGGAAACTTTACATACAACTAAATTTTAAACTTTACATATATATAAACAAAAAAAAAAGGTTTAGTGACAACTAAGATATCAATAACAATGTGATTTCATCATGGCTAATGATTAAATGGGCACCGTGAGCTATCATATTTGCATTATTTTTCGTATAAGTCAATTCCACCGAACTAAATAGGGGTTCAATGGGAAACAGTTCATGAACTAATTTCTTAATCTTTACGACAAACTTCCGCGATTGATTGGGCAGCTTACCAAATCGTTCGTGGTTTTGATATCTCATCACCATCTACTTTACATTTTTAATTTTAATACATTACATACCAACATAAACAAACAAACAAAATACGATCCTCGGAAAACACATCAACAGAGAATAAAAATTTCAAAACAACAAATCACATGATTACACAAGCGGAGGCGTTCTCGTCACTAAACGCCGTAGTATAACGAACCTCAGTGGAGCTGGCACGTGCGAGCCGTGAAACGTGTGGATCATACTCGGAGTTCCTGACATAACCAGTCGGAGCTCTGTTGTCGTAGACACCAGACGCATAAGGATGAGCAACAACGTCGTAAGGAACGTAAGGATAAAGCTCGGCTCTTTTACCGGTCCGGTGAATGATCCGAGCCACCACTCTGTTTGGCTCAACGTAACCAACCACCGTCACTTTCTGAGCATTTGGCTCGATGGTTACATCTCTCACTCCCTTCATTCCTTCTAAGGCATTTCTCACTTTCCTCTCGCATCCTTCACAATCTATCAAGACTCTCACATCCACCGTCTAGTAAATAGCACCACAGTATAATAAAAATATGTGATTACATATGTATTAAAACGTAGTTATATCATGGATTAGTTTTGATTACCTGTAGACTTTTGTGTCTCTTGGAGCTTCCATGGGAGCAATCGAAGTATTCAGAGACGTGATCAAGAACACCCATTTTTCTTTTTAGTTTTTCTTGGTTTCTTCTTTTGGGTTGAGAGAAAAAAGATTAGGTATATAAACTTGGAAGCTTTGAGATATATAATATGAATTTTTTGGTATCTTCAACATAAGAAATGAGTTTTAAATTTTGAAAATACGACCTACCAAACTCTATAAGTAGTTTTCGACCATATGTTTATATTTATTTCTGCTGATATGTTATATCAAGTTATCAACTCTAGTGACTTGTGTGTTAGTTTGACTCCCGAACAACAAGAAAAGCCAATACATATATATAAATCTTGGTGTGCGTAAATCTTCTTCTTATAAAAAGACTTTTAATAATTTTAACTCTTTACTCTGTAGGTCGCTTTTGTTATATATGCACCTCCAGTATGGCAATAATGAAAGTTGACAGATAGATGAAACAGACATTTGCAATATGAATAATATTTCAAGATATCTATTTTCGCAATTATTTCAAATCTGACTAAACAATTAGATTAGTGGTGAATATTGAATAATTTGAGATCGGAGGTTGGAATCTCTTCTCTTAAGATGGATGATTGCTCATGTTACGTAATGGTGGACCACTCTTGACATGTTTTATGCAGAAAGAAATAAATGTTTCAACATCATCTTTTTGTTATGGTTTTAAAATTGATCACTCTAAGAAAAGATTGAGTTTGTTTTCCTTCTAGCTACAGATAAGACTTTATGAAAAAAACAACATCTCATTTTCAACCTTCTTTTCAAATAATTTATATAGTTTACCAGATTCAATATATGATGAAGATAACCACTTGTTCCATAGCAAATAACAAACAAAAACGAGAAACATAACAAACAAAAACGAGAAACATAAAATACTATTTGGGGGACAACCATCCATCTAGCTAATTCACTAGCCTGTGGGGGAGCTTTCATATCAACTTAAAATAGCGAAACAATATCTTGTATATTCAATAATCAATATGAGTATTTTAGATAATAAATCTTACGGTTTTGTGCTAATTAAAATAAGATTTGGTAAGTTGTTACTTCGTGCAATGTGAACGAGAGATTTGTGATGATGTAACGAATTTGTCTTCACAAAAATTCATTCAAGTGGGAAATAGGAAACATGCGTCTGTATCTTAAGACTAGTACCAGGACGGTAACCGAAATACAAGTTTGTATCACTATCATGTTACCATCTAAATTCAGCTCAACATAATGCATGCGTACACATCGTTTTAAATTTAGTCATTTTCAAAGTTCTTTATTCTTTGTACACAAACATTCATTTTGTTTAGTAGTAAAAGTGTAAAACTAACATGAAAAAGAGAAACAAAACTACGTAGGAAGATCCACGATGATAATGGGCCCTTACAAGTGTACTGGCTGATAGAAGTCTTTCGGCCCATTACATTTTTCTTTCTTCAAGCCCTATAATCACCAACTAAATTATTAGTTGGTCTTTAACCACTTCAGTCTCCCGGTTTAAATGTTGATATGAACCAAACCACTTCAGTCTCCAGGATTTTTTTTTTAAATGGTCGTTAATTAATCATAGGAATTGAGCAGAATAACTATGTATTTTGTCGACGCAATTTAGCTGTGAGTTTGTTAAAATATTCCATTTTTATGAGAATAACTGTGTATTTTATCGACCCAATTTAGCTGTGAGTATTCCATACTTTTAACAAACCAAAAGAAGGAAACTCAAACAGTATTTAGTGGAATCCACTCAAAAAGTCCAAAAGAAAATAATCCATTGTTTTACGTTGGTCCAAAAACAAAGTGAAAAAGTAATTTTTTTTTCTTTCGAAACATTTCAACTTAACTTTGTAAACAATATATTTTTCCTTTTTTTCCATAACTCACTGCCAGTTAGCGTGGTAATGCACGCTGGATGAAAACGATATGTTTGAAATTTGTTAAATTCCTGATAAAAGTTTATTCAAGCAATTCAATTTCCATAACGATAAGTTACGAATAAAAATTAGGAAATAAGGGTAGAATTAATGGAGTGGGGGCAAGGAGATGAGGGAGTAGGAACTAGGAAGATAAGTCAAATAACTAACAAAAAGAAAAAAAAGGTGTTACGTAATTTATGCAGAAGTATGGAATATTGTGTTGTGTGTGACAGGTCGTGGCCTCGATACTTTAAGCCTCTTGGAAACAAGAATTCCTCCAGAGAAAAAGAGATATATACGTTACCAACAGCAATTTCTGCTTTATTAATATTTCATCTTTAACTAAACCGGGAAAGTAGGAATCATTCAATGCGTCTGTCCGATCATCCGGTTATTGCATGAATAAAGTTCACCACCTTCGAAGACAACTAAAATCATTATATCTAAAGACAAGTCTTTCGTGAAGAAAGTCTTACTAGGTTCAGCTTTTATTATACGTTACCAAAATGGTCCATTGATTTAAATCAGTCAATTTGACAAAGAAAACAGATCAATCAACCAGTATATTATTTGTACTTGATTTGTCAAATTATTGTTATTCGTGCCAAGTATGTCGTATCAAAACGGTCTTTCACGTAACACTCGGCCGACTTTTGTAAACAATTAAGACTAATTAAAAATCATTTTGGTCTTCAACGAAATGTATGAACCGAGGATTTGTATCATATAGAAAAAGGTATGTAATATGTGAAGAAAATAAAAAGCGGAGAATGATGATGAATATCCTCCTGTTTCGTAGTCAAAGTTGCACGAGAAATGGTTGAAATTTAACTTATCATATTTTTTTTATTTTTTCTGTTCCAAGGTGAAAATCTTTATCTGTTATATGAATCTCGTTGTCCTTTTGTCCACTTTTTAAGAGAAAACCGAAATAATAAAAGTTTTTGTTTAAAATAAAATGAAATGAAAAAGGAAATAATAATGTTGTGCCTTTGTCCATTTTGGTTGATTTTCTCGAGAGTAGAAGAGAAAGTGAAAAAGAAGACAAAAAGAGAAAAGAAAAGAGAAAGAACAGTTCACATGAGTTTCGTGTGTCGGTGTCCATCGTAGACTGTGACACGAAGCTGACACCTTTGCATGGCCACGGGAAACCACCCCCACTCTCTAAACCCTAATTTCTTCTCTTTTTGTATCACTTTTTATCCCGAATCTTATACTAATATTTAACCTATAATTTTACCGGCCAAAAGACATCCAACGAGTTTTAACATCTTTGAATTTATATATTGATCTAGTATTTTTGGTTTTGTATCGTGAGTATTTCGGTGTAATCTTGTTTGTGGGCACTTATCGACGTGGAGAATATAGACAGAGTCTGAGATTCGTATATCATTTAATCAGTTGGGACGATGGACCATGTGTTTACAACATATGCGACAATGCAGGATCTGCTCTTACAGTCATGCCTATAGTCTTACATAAAATAATGTTTAGTATCGGTGAAATATATAATTATTTTGTTGTCCATCATACAACATGGGAACTCGAACCCGAGTATTGTATATAAATATATATGTACATAAATACACGTAATATACGTCTAAACGTATTACATATTATATCAATGGTACTCCCATAGGCCATAACGTAATATGTTATGGCTTTGAATGCGTTTGGTGATGTCCAAACGTACCGAAACGCCGATGGCAAATGACTATTGGCAACAGCGAGGGCCATGGCATATATATACCACATGCATGTGGACGATATAGCTGATATAGGATAAATTATTTATAAATTAAACAAATTACCAATGAAATTGAGTAATCAATTGTCAAATATTTAACTATCAAAGATTTTAGCGTAATTGTATAATATTGCTGTCGTAATTATACTTCGGATACAAATCCGATTATATATATGAGTGAAATGAAAACAATTAATAAACAAAAATATTCAATTGTTTATGTTGTTTTATGGATTTTATCCTTAAGATAACCATACTGAATTTGAACAGTACTCTTGGAGCCTGTATATATATGCGATAACGAAGGGGGAAAAAAGAACATAGAGCAATGGATGTAAGTGATGTAGCAGTTGGAACTTGTACGTGATTAGATAAGACACGCTAAGCAAAGAGGCCAATGCAAAACCTTTGCTTCTCTGTGTTTCTTTTCTTCGTTGACGATTATTTCTGTTCATAGACTCACTTTTCTCTGGCTCATTCGGGCCAGGATATCTTTGTTCGAATTCTATTTTGTTGTTGTAAAAAAAAATATGTTTGGAATTCTATTTATGTTTGGATTATATAATTGTAGTTTAATTATTATTGTTTTCGCTATAGAAAGTATACCAGTATTTCATTGTAAAACGGTTAATCGTCTTACTCTTTGTTAAATTGGTTGCTCGTCTTTTAATATAGAGTATAAGCCCAAGGTAACTATATAACTATTCCACCCTGTTGAATACGTTGCATATTTAACATATCTTTAACAAAACAAAACATGTTTTAGATATATCGATCTCGGTTTAATATTTGAGATTTAAACCATTAAATGGTGTGGAACTAGACCAATCGGCAAACACGGAAATTGGGTGGAAACAAGAGTGGTGTGTCACGATGGGTATGTGACAATTTTGATCGAACGCAATGTACTACGAATATGGTACTTCGAAAACACGCATTTACAATATTATGCAACACGTACTTTTAAAAGAAATTTTGTAGTAAACACGGATTGAATAAAATGTACGAGCTTAATCTAGGTATTAAAATATCTTTTACGACGAAACAAAAAAAGTTGTCGGGTCGGTGTCGTTTTGTGCAAGTATTTTCAAAAGTAAACTAGGCTAATGTCTGCTTTCACCGCAAACCACGAAATATTCGAGATCCTATCTTTTGATAAGAGAAAAAAAGTCGAGACCCCTCTCATTTACAGTGATTAGTGACCAGTTTGTTGTCATCTGTTCATTTCCTGACGTCTATCAGTATTCAACTTACACCTGACTAAACTAATCTTTCTTTTTTATTGGTCGTCTGAAACTAAACTAGGCAAGCTACAGAAAAATCATTAAATTATTTCATAGTGATGTGTGTGTATGTAAATGTATTCAGCATTCAAAGATGGTTGGAAGTTTGTTACCAAGAGATGATGTTAGAAAAGTATATAATAATGACTAATGGTGGCTAGAAAGTCAACAATTCGTGTTTGATTTATCAGATGTATCAACATATATCAACTAAATAAATAAAAAGCTTAATTGATAAAGTACATATATCTCGATCGGTTACATTTGATGTATCAAAAAAATAGAATTGATAAAGAATCTTAATTACATTTGATGTATTAATAAAAGATGTATCAATATAAAACGGAGACTTCAGAGAGTTTTCTTGTTCTCCAATGCACACATCACATAAACTAAAAAAAGGCGCGAATTTTTGTTTCGTCAAATAGCTACCATTCAAATATACAAATTCTCAACTATAAAAAAGGGGAAATAGTTGTATCCACACGAAAGAACGTAGCAGATAAACTAATGATATATATTGGTGCGTGAACATTCGGCAAAACTCCTTTTGACCTATCAATGTTTTACAGTTTAGCCGATAATGTTTCCAAGGAGACTTGCATCGCGTGTACTTTATAACAGAGTGGGATTAGAAGTGATACAATTCGCGACTATTGCTAAGTAACTAATAAGTGTATTGGGTTATGGAAATGTGAAAGATGCAATGCATCGGAAACGTGTCGGCAGATACAAGAAGTGGGAATTTTGGGGATTTTTTGTATGATTTGTCGTTTTCTTATTTTCTTTTAAATTTTGATTTTCCATTTTGGTGGGGAAACAAAACAACACATCCAGTCATCCACCTCCCAAGAAACAGGCGACACACACTCGGATGATAACAATAATAGCCAACAAGTGTCTCTAAGTCATCCAATAGCTAAAGCATATAATATTTTTAAAAATACTTATTAGAGAGAGACATACTATAGCTGAAAAATATCACATGGTTTGCACCATTCCGCTAGCATGTATTATGTCATAGTTTATAAACATGGACCCAATTCTCTCAATGCATGTTTTCTTTTCTTACCGTCCAAAAGCCAACCCACCAAACAGAAGTTAATTTTAATTAAGACAACCATACAATACAATCATACACAGTTGCATTTTTCTTGTGAATTGTATATGCTTCTGATTTGCGGGCCATAGTTCCGTTGTTTTCAGAGCATGTAATAGCAACAGGTAATGGAGTCCAGGCATATCGATATCGGTTCCGTACATGTAAAAGTGGCAAGAATCTACGGTTTCACGCATGAACATTCAAAGTGATGTCCTTTTTATTTGTAAAGACGTTTTTCATTGAAGTTTAGTTGGAAAAAAAGAAGAGGTGTTTCAATGGAAAGTTAAACAAGATTCGTGTTTCTACAGCAAAAGTTCATGATCTTGTGTTTTGAGGCTATTTTTGTTTTTTGTCTTTTTTTTTTTTTTTTTTTTTTTTTTTTTTTTTGTTATAGCATGAGGCATGAGATCTTGCATGGATTACACGCGATACTCCTATACCAACATTTCCATATATGATAATTTTGACTCATATACAAACATTTTTTTTTGTTTCGTGAACTTCTCGTTAAACAAAAATTTATTTATTATCATATTACAACACATATAGATATGAAACAATGAGCGTATCTCTAACTTTCCAACCATGGTCATATCAAATTACTACGATTTGCGAATATACAACCTTCTCGACGTTCTCGTTATTGCTTGTCAAGTTGGAAAGAAAATTCGTCCTTTTTTGGTTTCCGTCAAAGAACTTCGTCCAAATATTATACGGATAAAACGATGTATTGAAATTTTCCGAAAATGATTACGTAATTACAAGAAGCGTGTAATCTCAGTCCTCTATAAAATTTGTTCGTTTCTTCGTCTTTTTACATGTTACAGACTTATAATTGTCCTTTTCTTCTTTCTAGAATATGATATTTTAAAAACAAATCTATTTATCTGAAGTTAAATTCTTGTATATATATATTTCCGTGACTTCAGAGAATACGCAGACACATCGTATATGACAAGTTTGCATTTACTCGTGTTGCGTTCAAAAAAATTAAACCGGATTTAAGCGAGTTGCGTCGTTGATGAACATGCTAATATAGTTAGATAACACCCGATCAACATGTATTAAAACTATACCTGACGGATTACTCATTTTGATGTTTAATTTTTAAAAACTAAGTTATTCTCAACTCGTGAAGAGAATGAGTTTTGGTTGCGCTTTCTTATTTCACAAAACTTTATAGTTTGCTTTTTCGTTTTGAGCATTGTCTGATATTTGGTGGAAGACCCATAAATCATATTCTTTATTTTAAAAAAGTGTACTAATCTTCTTCTTTTTTGTCACTATAAGCAATATCTTTAAAAATGCTAACTTTTAATTTTAAAAAAAATTTAGATAAAAATTGCAAATTTCTTAACATTCAGAGTACACAAAATCAAATTGCAAACATTGATTTATAGAAAAAAAAATGGCAATTCTAGTCATTCAAGACCAAGAGCAATGGAAATATTGTTGCTTAACTGGACCATTTACATTGGCTTTATCAATTTAAAGTTCAAATTTCTATGGTGCTCCAAAGGTAACGTTCCATTAGGTTTGGTTATATTTATTTCTATAAGATTCATTTATTCATTGCATATTTTAAAGTACCAGCTAAGCCATATTTGACCAGAAAATTCTCAATGGTCAACTAAAAGCGTTTTTGGATATATAATTTCACTGGATAAATAATGAATTGAACTCTGCCTCGATTTATTTAAGAAATTAATCAAACATTGTAAAATTAATGTCTCTGGAATGTACTGTACAATATCTTGATTTTGTTAACATTACAGCAACACATTACATATCAATAGAAAAGTGTCTATCTTTGTGTAGATTTATTAAATTTCAGAGTTAGTATAATGAGCTGTAAATTAAAAAGTAATACTAGTTTTGTTTTTTCCAGATTTTGTTTCTTGCATATCTAAATTTAAGCCTATGGTTGTGCATGCATAACAACAAAAAAAACTTAACGTCAATTATTTGTAACAATACTGTTTGTATGGCTGTTTTTTCCCCCTTATAATGGCTTAACCTTTTCTAGAACAAAATAATGGGTAAATCGGCCATCGTTTGACTAAGAAAGTTACAATTGCTTCATAAATAGAAGAAAAAAACTGGTAAAAAATAGGAAAAAAATCAAATAATTCAGGCGTTCCAGATGACCCAACTGACCAATTCAGAGTACACAATAAATTTTGAATCAGAGAAAATTAAATATAAGAAAAAGGAAACTAAAAGATTTTTTTTTTAAGAAAAGAAAAAAACTCTGTACCCTGCCATAATTCCACTTGGACTTGTATTTTTTTCACATTATCGAAAAAGCCGAAAAAGAATCAATTAAAAAAAAAACTAGTACTACTAAATAAAAGACAAAACGGCTCTGGCAAAATCTCTGACCTTGGAAAGATAAAAGATAGTTCAGTCACATAATCAGCAAGTGTACGTCGTTTCTTTAGTGCTAATATTTTTCTTAAAAAAATTAAAATCAAGAAAAGTTAACTATCTATATATAAATTATTTTTTTCTTATTAATAAGACTACCCAACAAAGTCTCTCTCTCTCTCTCTTTTTTTTCAACTTTTTCAGTTACTTTACTCCGTTCATCTTTTTTTTTCCTTTCTTCGATTCTCATCAATACAAATCGACAGATATATATAATAAAATATATATATAAGGTTGGTTTTGTGCAGAGGTTACATGCATTGTAGTATTGAAAGCCAAAGTTTATTTCCCGAGAAACAAGCGGATCAGAGACAAATCAGAGTCGGTTTCCTGCTTTTTGATCCCTCTTTATTATTCAAGCATATCGATTCCTCTTCTTCTCGCTCTCTCTGTTCTTCTTCCTCTTGATCAAAGGTTGAAACTTTTTTCACCTTCTCTCTGTTTTGGCGGGAACATGGCGATACAAGCGCAGTTGAGTTATAACGCTGCTCCGAACGCGAACCAAATTGGGTTTCCGGTAATCGGCGGTGGTGGTGGCGGGTCGGAGTTTTCTTTGATCGGCAACAATGGCGGAATCCGATCAGGAATCGAGCAGTCGTTTATGAATAACAATCTCCAGTCGCAGAAAGATTTCAGCCAGCAAACTCTGTTTCCACATCAACAGAATCGCTCTCAGAGCTTTTTAGACGCTCACATGGAGAAACAGAGGCAAGAGATCGACCAGTTCATCAGATTACAGGTTCGTTATCATATCATTTTCAACGAAAGATTCGATTTTTAAAACATTTCATGGGCACTGATATAAAAAGGTTTCATCTTTTGCAGAACGAGAGGCTGAGATACGTGTTGCAAGAACAGAGGAAGCAAACGATGGAGATGATCTTGAGGAAAATGGAAACGAAAGCTTTGGTTTTGATGACACAGAAGGAAGAAGAGATAACGAAAGCATTGAGCAAGAACATGGAGCTCGAAGATCTGTTGAGGAAAATGGAGATGGAGAATCAGACGTGGCAGAGAGTGGCGCGCGAGAACGAGGAAATGGTAGCGACGCTTAACTCGACGCTCGAGCAGGTCCGAGAGAGAGCCGCCACGTGTCACGACGCAGCGGCGGAGGACGAAGGGTCGAGTTGCGGCGGCGGAGATAGTTTTCCGGCGGAGAAGAAGATGAGTAGCTGTTGCTTGAATTGTGGGTCTAACGGAGTAACGAGAGTTCTGTTTCTGCCGTGTAGGCATCTCTGTTGCTGCACGGATTGCGAGACGGGTCTTGTTCTTTGTCCGATCTGTAATACGCCCAAGAAGAACAGAATCGAGGCCTTTATTTTCTAGGGACATTCGTTTTTTTTTTTTCTTTCTCCTTCTGAAACTTTCTCGAGAAAAAATTGGTAGAAGCGGTAGAATGCGTTTTACTCCGGTGAACGGAAAGTTTTTACTCCGGGCAAATGACGTGGCAGGTTATTTTGGTATTTTCTGATAAGTTTAGAAGTTTTAGAAATAGAAAAAGGTTATCAGGAAGTAAATTCTGATTAGGGGCTTTCTTTTTCCCTTTTTTTTGTCTTCTTTTGTTTCTTTGCATCAATGAAAAGATGTGACCCAGCTGGAATTAATGAACATAATTCAGATTTTCCTTTTTCTCTAATGAATTTTTGGATATGAGTTTTGTGTTATTCACTGTATAGATATCATAAAAATTGATTATTTTGGGATTTTGAGATATTTACATGTACTAATAAATGGCAAAAACATATATTTTCCAGCAACTACATATCATTTTCTATATTAAAAACTTCCTAATAATTATCAATACTGATTATATATAATTTTTGTTAAGCTTGTATTTTTTGTTAATTAATCTATATTACAAAGTAAAAGTGTAAAGTCCAAAAATTAATGTTGATGTAACCAACACAAAAGGACTAAAAATCATTTTTTAATAGGATGGAGATACTGTTATTTAAAGTGATTGTTTTTGATGTTTCTGCAATATTGCGAAAAGAGGTGGGAGTAGAGTCCGTAGACACGCGTATTGGAGATGCTGTAGGGATTTTTCAACATTTCTGTCAAGAGGAACTTTTAAAATTATAAATAGTGGAGAATCAGAGTTTGGCCTGCCACAGGATTTGAGTTCTCGCACTTTCCTAAACAGAAACATGTTTCATTGAACACTTGAGGCTTGAGCCCTTCCTTCTGACCTCCTCCTTCATTATGGATTCTCGATCTTTGTTTGGACAGATCTGTGCTACCTATGTTTTCTAGATCAACCCTATAACCTATAAATACTATAATCTGACCATATAGTAGCATCTATAATAGCATCAAATTTGTCAATAAATAACTCAATAAGATTATTATCGCATTTTTCTGTTGTTATATATAGTTTGCAATTTAGATGCCCAGGTTGGATTTGGTGCATCGTATATTTGATTACTTGGTTAACTTGTAATGGAATAACTTGCAATAGTTCCTACGTGATATATATTTATATGGTTGAGAACTGACTTGAGATAGTTTTGTAAGCCAACTGTGATATGTTTCTGTACATACATATTCTACAAATATGGCATCTATACATGGATATTTGGTTCATAGGATTTCGATTGTTTCAAATGAAAATCCTTTTTTACGTATTAAGAAAAACAAAAATATGGATTTTGTGCATCATACGATCGTTCTAAATCATAAAGAACACAGAGAAAGAGAGCTTATTGCATTGAAAATATTCCGTTACTATTTTAACAGTTTTGTTTTTAAACAGAATAAAATCTCTCAACATAAAAAACAAACAAACAAGTTCAAAATGAGAAAGAAAAGTTGAGGTTCAGCGGTCTAGGTCTATGGTTAGACTGTAGCCTTGTAGGGTGTTTCGTGTGTTTAGCTCTATTAATAGAGTCTTTTGTGGATAAGTCCCATACTTTATACTATTTGTTGTAACGCTTTAAAAACTAACTAAGATTTGTCTAGTTCCAGCTCGGCAAATTTTGGTATAGGTATTGTAATTTCTTCAGACTTACAAAAAAAAGAAAAGAATACAAGATTAGGTACAATGGTACATGTTGATGAATGACGATGACGTATTGATCTATGGGCCAGCCCATTATTTACGCAAAGGCTAGGCCCGCCGTTGTTGAAGATGGGACCCACTCTCAATTGCGAACCATATACGACGACTAGTCTGCCATAAAGTTTGGAACTGAAGTGACGGGTCGCATATTAAAAGTAGGTGGAGAATGGAGCTGGTTGTGGCAGATCACGGATAACATAGAAACGTTTGATTCTAGGCAGATTTGAAGGTGGTTTAGAGACGTATTAGAGCTCAGTTCTTGATAAATCGAGAGAGAAAATTGGGGAAAATTAACTCTGTTAACTAACTGAATTAGCACCAGTTATGTTTATATACTAAGAATTTTCAGGAACAAACATAAGCTATTGACCTTTATCTCTTACTTCAACCATCTCCATCAACTACAAAGGGCTCAAAATGTATTTTTGTTGGCGGTGCAAGCAAAATATATAGCAAAACATTTGTTCATCACGTGGTTGACATTCTTGGATCGCATGCTAGCCAAATGGTAATGGAAAATAATCGCTAATCAGAGAATAAACAATGAGGAAACTAATGATCATTGATAGTCCTCTTTCTCAACAATTTGGATGGAGTTATCTCGTGATTTTTGTGTTAGCAAATCAAGAAGATATCATAATGATAGTGTCAGTATATTTGTTAATATTCTAGATTCTCATTATGGACCTCATAAAGTGGCATCCCTATGCTTGGCAGTTGTTGCTGGACCCGTTCAATAAGACGCACGTATTTCTTGATTTTGTTCTGCTACGACTTCTTGAAAAACATGGCGACACGGTATATTCATAGCACTTTTTTGCTGTAGTTAATAAGAAATACCAAGAAGAAATAGTCACGGTTGTAAATTTATTATACAGAAATTGACTATTAATTATTGAACTTAACCAGTGGTAACTAGTTCATCAATAAATGACAATTACATCTAACTAACTTGATAGGAGCATTCGTCTTCTCACACGCAACCAAGTTACGTGCCTCAACTACTCCATCGAACCTAATAATGAAATATCTCATGTCTACATTTTTCCAAACCCAAAGAAGCTAATTTAAATTGCGCATTGTCTTTCTTCAACCTTGTTTTGTATCGTTAAATATAATTAAATGTATAGTCGCTGAACTCTTATGTACACATGTTGTTTGTTTTTCTTCTCAAAACGGATAATTAATAATTTTAAATCTTATGACATGTGCATTGTGCACCACTGCTCTTCTAGCGAAAGGAACGAGGATATTTTGGAAAATTCAAATAATCGGAGTATTATTTTGCAATTATCCTACAAAACTATATTTTTGCTCACGTATTTCATATTTAGCCACGTAGATGCATTTATAAACTCATAAAACATTTCGATTACTGACTCACTCTACTCCTTCTGAATAATGAAATTGTAACTTGGGGGAATAGAACATGTAGGTAAGTAGGTACCAAGCAGATGAGGAAATAACAGCAACGAAGATAAAGAAAGTGGATACGTCGTGGATTCCATTTCTCTTTGCTCTACTTTTTTTTTTTTTCCTTTTGTTAGGCGACAAATTTGACATTTCCAACAAATAAGAGTAGTATGCTTTTCTTGATCAGTCTATAGGCCTGACCAAGTATTTTCACATTTTTATACATTGTGATGGAATAGGCTATAACCATGTGTCGGACCTTAACATTCGATCAATTATGTCAAAATACTTTGTTATAGATTAAAGTTAGATCTAAATTTGAGCATGTTAAAAAAGCTCATTTTCTTTGTCTCATTGCTCATTAACGTAAGAATATTCGAATTATGCATTTTTATAACCTAACAAATACAAAGATCGATGTAATTTTGTTTCCCCACAATTGATTATTTTATTTTACATATCGAGGAAATATTTTTTAAAAATAAATTGTATATCCTTTAAGTAACAGAAGCGCACGTACTCTCCCATTCCTTCTCAGTTTTGAGACTCTCTCTTTGCCTCGGAGCTTGTCGCCGAGAGAGAAAAGAGACGCCATGGAGAGGCTTTTGCAACCATCTTCTTCTTCTTCCACGATCTCTCCTTCCAAATTCCCTCTGAGGACTTCTCATTTCTGTCCTCGTCTCCGCTCATCGAGCGTGGGCTTTGTCTCCTCGCACCGGCCCGAGTCACGCCGAGTCAGTTCAATTTCCTGCAACAATCTCCACCAGAATCAATCCGCTTCTACGCCTATTGGGTCTAATAAGTCTCACAATTCCTTTAATGGGTCTGCTCAATTGTCTCCCGAAACTGAGGAATCGAAACCTAATCTCGGATTTCTCCAACGGATCGCGACCACGGTTTCTGAGCAGCGAAAGGTATTCAATTTTACGTTTTTGATCAGTGTAGATTGCGTATTTGCATCAAGTCTTGCTTAGTGATTCAATTCCTTCATTTCCCCTCGTTACCCGCTTGGTTAAATTCGAGATTTTGGGTTTATGAGGTTCATTGGGGTTTGATCTAATCCATTGAGAGTTAGAATAGGAAACATCGAAATTAGTATATCGTCAGAAGAAGATTCCAAGAAATTTGGAAAAGCTCCAATTTTGTAGGGTCATATGTTGGTGGATCCATCACTTTTTCAAGAGTTTATGGAATCAGATTCTAATAGTTTTAGGATTCGTTTACTAATTCGAAATTGTTGATATTGAAGTTTGCTTTTGCTTGTTTGGATTCTGGTTTCAACTTCTCTGCCATATTGTTGCTCCATATTTGTTGGAATTGATATCATTTTGCTCATTTGACAATAGAACTTTAATCCAGAGCAAAATCTCAAACCTTTCTTGTTTAACTACTTCAAAGGATCGTGCTTGTTCGCTGTCCTCTTATGCAGTCTTTCATCTGTGTTTCTTTGCAGCCATTATCAACTGGAACGGTGATACTAATCTCAGCAGTAGCGGCGCTTTTGCTTAACCCGCTTCTTGCACCACCAGCTTTCGCTAGCTTTCAAACCGCAGCTAAATCCGGTTGGCTAACAAGCGCCTGGACCGGTTTCCTTGCTGGTTGCTTACACACGCTCTCAGGACCTGATCACCTCGCTGCTTTAGCTCCGCTTTCAATAGGACGCACCAAGATGGAGAGTGCTGCTGTTGGGGCTCTCTGGGGATGTGGACACGACGCTGGTCAAGTCATCTTCGGTTTACTGTTTCTTCTCCTCAAAGACCGGCTCCACATCGAGGTTCTGCGAACTTGGGGGACACGAGTTGTTGGATTGACGCTTGTCATCATCGGTGCAATGGGAATCAAAGAAGCTTCTGAAGCTTCGGAGCCCTGTGTGGCCTTGGAAACCGACGTCAGCGGCATGGTGCCGGCGGGAGAGAAACAAGCCTTGCCGCAGACGAAGAAGAAGAAGATCGGTTTTGCCACGTTTGCAACTGGAGTGGTTCACGGGCTACAACCGGATGCTCTGTTGATTGTTTTGCCTGCATTGGCTCTGCCGTCTCGGTTAGCAGGGTCTGCGTTTCTGATAATGTTTCTGGTTGGGACTGTTATCGCGATGGGAAGCTACACGGCGTTTATTGGGTCGTGTAGTGAGGCGTTGAAAGAGAAGGTTCCGAGGATCACAGAGAAGTTGACTTGGGTTTCGTCTCTTGTGGCTATTGGTCTTGGTTTGGGAATTGTCATCAGCCCTTTCTTTGGTTTTAACCTCTACTGAGAGAAAGGCAAGAGCTTCTTCTTCTTCAGGTAAAATCAATGAGACAAGTTGAGATCTTTGTAGCTCTAGAAGAAAATGAGAGTTTTTATTTTGTTTGGGTCCAGTCAATTTACTAGTGCTTGTATGATCAATAACATCCTCTCGGAATAAACCTCTTCGTGATTCTTTTTTCTTTTCCCACTTTTTTGTAAGAGAAGTTTGGTTTTTGTTTGCATTATCAAACAACTGGATGTAACCATATTTTTACTTAATTATGAATGTATGATTTTTTTCTTATTTCTTGTTAAACATTTCAACAGTTTTGGTTTATCTACTAGGCCAAGTTTCTGGTTTTTTTGTGACTGTTTTTTCATGACGAATGGAAAATGTCAAAACCCAAAATTATTTTGTAATGTGAGAACTCAAGACCTTTAAGAATTAGACTCCGACTTTGATACAACGTTTCTTGAATGTGGCCAATTCTACAGCACATATTGACAACAACTCTAATTCTCTATACCCACACAAAATCACATAAAGATTGTATTTTGTCACTTTCGTTTCGTACTTGCTCTGCCCCTTCGTCCATAACATCTTGCAACAATTATATGTCCTTGTCTATAAGTCTCTGGTCATGTGGTGTAATAAACCCGTCACGTTCACAATCTCATCAACTAACACCGATTATTATAAATCTTCAATGTATTATTCTGATAAAACATGAGACAAAAACTAAGGTCACAAAACAACACACAAGGTTTTCTTTGGTTTTTAAAGAAACAGATAATATTACAACATAGCGCATAAGATCCACATGATGAGGATTATACTATGGCATATCTCATCTCTTCCCCATCTTTCTTCTTCTCTGCTAATTAGAGCCACACAAAGACCACCAATCAAGAATCTTTCACTAGCAACACTCATTTTTAGATGCTTGGTCTCACGTTCAGACGGCTCGCCAGCTTCTGTCCCAGTGACTTATCAGCCTGTTTCACACATATTCACCCAATCAGTGTCACAAATGGTTACAAACTTTCACGACTTTTAAAACAGTTTTGAGACTTTACGTAAAACAGAGTACAAAAATGTCAGATTTTATACCTGAGACCAGTAAGAGATCCAGATGCTGCGGATTTCATGTGTGATGCGAGGGTCGGATAGGGCTTCAATCCATCTTTTGATGAATCGTTCTTGCCTGAAGTCGAAATCAAACAATAAAACATTAAGAACATGTATTGCTTCTTTTAAACATTAGGAATCATCAGGGAAACAAAAACAATGGATACCTCTCTGGTGGGAAGGAACGGTATCTCTCTCCAGGCTCCTTGAAGTTGTTCTCTTTCTCAATAATGCACTGTAAAAAACAGATAGTAAACTTTTAGATCATATGCTTCTCATGTGAACAAACAGAGACAGAGAGATAAACAGATTTGATTTGTGATGACTGACCCTCTCACGTTTCCCAGAGCAAACAGCAGGTGGAGCTGGATACTTCTCAGCATGACGAACCGGGTCATACCTCGATGGGAAGTAGTTGACCTGTACCAAACAGCTTCTTGTAAGACAATGATATTCTAACTCCAATTTCAATGTAAAAGATACTCATATTACATACCTCCTCGTCCCTGTGCATGAAGTTCATGAAGCCCTCATGGTGGTTGTTGTGGTGAGCGCATTTGGGGGCGTTGACTGGTAGCTGAAGGTAGTTTGGTCCAAGACGGTGTCTCTGAGTGTCAGCGTAGGAGAAGATACGGGTCTGAAGCAGCTTGTCGTCAGAGTAGTGTATCCCTGGAACAATGATTGCAGGACAGAAGGCAAGCTGCTCGTTCTCAGCAAAGAAGTTGTCAATGTTCTTGTTCAACACCATACGCCCAACTGGTTGCAGAGGCAAGATATCCTCAGGCCAGGTCTTGGTGACATCGAGCGGGTCAAAGTCGAACTTGTCCTCATCAGCTGGATCAATAATCTGGACAAAGAGCTTCCACTCAGGGTAGTTACCAGCAGCGATGGAGTCGTACAAGTCCTGAGTCGCGTGACTGTGGTTGGTTCCTCCAACGCGGATCGCGTCTTCTTCCAAGAGAGACTTGACTCCACAGGTTGGTTTCCAGTGGAACTTCACGTAGTGAGCCTTGCCGGCTTTGTTGATCAGCATGTAAGTGTTGACGCCTGATCCTTCCATGTGCCTGTAGTCTTGCGGGATACCGATATCATCGAAGAGGAAAGTGAACATGTTCAAGCTCTCAGGGTGGTGGGAGAAGAAGTCGAGGACTCTCCAGTTCTCTTGGATGTGAGACTTCGGGTTTGGCTTAAGAGCGTGGACCATGTCAGGGAACTTCATCCCGTCGCGGATGAAGAACACCGGGAAGTTGTTTCCAACGAGATCAAAGTTCCCCTGTTAGCAAGAACAATCATTTCGCTTAGTATCTGAAAACAAATCTTGTTTAGGCAAAGATGTTAAGGTTACTGATGAGTGATGACTAACCTCTCTGGTGTAGAACTTGACTGCAAAGCCACGAGGGTCTCTCAAGGTCTCGGGACTTCCACGCTCATGGATAACGGTGGAGAAACGAACAATGACCGGAGTCTGAACACCCGGAGCTCTGAGGAAGTCGGCACAAGTGAGGTTAGATATATCATGAGTCACCTCAAAGAACCCCTTTGCACTGGCTCCTCTGGCATGAACCACACGCTCTGGAATCCTCTCCCTGTCGAAATTCGCAAGCTTTTCCACAAGATGGTAATCCTCCAAAAGGATAGGACCTGCCAAAAACAAAAACAAAACAGTAAATACAATTACAATCTCAACAGTCCAATACAAACAGTGATCATAGCTGAGAAGAAATGTAATTCAAGGTTTGGTGTAGAATATTGGGGAAAGGAGATGAATTTACCTCTGGGTCCAACGGTCATGGAGGAATTGTTGTTCCATACAGGAGCACCAGAGTTTGTGGTGAAGAATGGAGAGTTGTATGAGCTCGCTGGCCGATACTGCACCATCCATAATCAATAATCATCATCATCCACAATTAACCAACAATTCAGATCAATAGCAACATCAGAGAAAACCCAATTATTCGAAATAATCAACCCAGCAAAAATCACAAGTCAAACCGACGACATAAATCTCCAGTAAAATCGGCGAGCGAATTTCGAGAACTCAACATCGAGCAATGGGAAATAACATTTGCATATTCGAATTAGGTTTACGGATTCGAATTGAAGAAAGTCAAAACCCAATCCCCGTCGAGACCAATCGAACAGTTACTTTCCGAAGCTTATAGAAAAAGGAATCCGAAATTGCGGGTGCAATACCAAAATTCGAGCTAGTTTGGACGGTGAATTACGAAAGACGAAGAGGTGTGTGAGAGAGGGAGAGAGAAAGCAGAGAGACGTACCTTGTAAGGATCCATAGCTGGTGAGATGAGAGTAGAGAGAGTTTGGAGAGATTCGGGGATTTAACAAAACGAGAGAGATGGTGATGATGATAATTTTAATATTTGCTTCCCTATTTATAAATGGCGTGTGCTTCGCTTTTAAGGTATTTTTTTCTTTCTTTTTATTCTGGGGGGAATTTTAAAGGTTATCGTTTTTCTTAATTTTTGTTTTGTTTTCAGATAACTATTGAAAAACAGAAAAGGTCATATATATGGTGGCGATAAATTCAGGAACGTCACTCACGAGATAGATAAGATAAATTGGTTTTCCTTATTGACCTTAACCACCAGCTGTTACCTACATTTTATTGAAAGATTTGTTGTAATTGTTAGTACGAAAATTTTATTTATAAGAAAATGAAACAGAGACATATGGGATGATATATAATCTGATTCACATTTTACAAGTTTTAAATTCGTTTTTAAATAGTGGAATAATGCTTAAATAAAGTCAACTCTTCAAAAACATAAGAAAACTTATCGTAGTGAACTGAAAATAATGTGAAGTAGAAGATGAAAAGTTGAGAACTATGGCAATGTAATTCGTTTTGGTACTGAATTTACAGAACTTCAAAACTTTTTATTTCGTCTAAACACCTAAACACAATTTACGTGTAGTTTTGAACTTTATAAACTGGTTGTGTTATATTACAAGTTTAGCACATACACGCTTCAACTCGCGAGACTCTTTTTTTTTTAAGCTCAAGACGATAAATTAGAAAATGTCGTCCGAATTTAGATTCCCAAGAAATTTAAGATAAGCTGAACCCACGATTGTGATATTGTCAAATATATTTTGTTTATAAGAGTTTTTTTATTTTATATGGTAACAAAAGCAAGGAAGAAGGGAGACAAAAACAAATAAATAGTGTATTTTGCAATACGGAGAAGAAAAAAGAATTAACGAGGACGTCATGGATCCGTGGTTCCTTATCTGGTTCTTTTGGCCTTTTACCAAAACCTTTTGAGTGGTTTAGTGTGGTCTTGGATGACGTGGATGATCTGTCGGATTCCACGTGTGCCAAGGTAGTGTGAACGCCCCAAGACGGAGAATATGCCTTTTAATTAATGTTTCGTGATTTCGTCCCTTGGGAGATGTGGCCAGATGAGATTATCAACTTCTGAGTGGGCCCACCTCAGAACCTTCCTGTTTTTAGTTTTTACAGAAGTTTAGATGATTTTTTGAGTTGCATATATGGAGACTTTTTATAAGTAGAAATGTATCACACAGATTCACAATTCATCCACGTATGACTTGTAATTCTTTTTGAAGAGATTGTCTGCAATATATGGTGGTCGCCTAACAAAAACATACACGTGGTATTGAATTTCCCAATTAGTCATAGACTTATAGAGAAACCAAAATGTGTGTATGTTACAGAACAAAAAAAATAGTGTACGTTAGCTATGGAATAAGAAATTACGAACAGAAGATCGAACATTTATGAAGCGGGCTTAAAATGGCGATAATTAAACCCATTATGAGTAGACTATAGCCCAAATATGCTACCAAATGGAATGTCGCTTATACCACCAGATCAAAACGGCAGCAACGCAATAGTAAGGATATTAAAATGGGCCGGAATATCTGGACTGGCCCAACTACTAGAATTATACGATTGCAAAGTATATTGTCTTCACACGTTCGTGCTAGAAGGTTCTAGGTAAGAATTATCCACATGCCCACCTTTTGAACTAAACAACAACAAAAGAATAACTAAGCCAAGTTCATACACGTAAAACCATTATACGTACGGTACGAAACGACAAGATAAATAATTAGAGAACAATCCTCAAATTAAACGCATTCACTATGTTATTATGTATAGTGTTTACTAAAGCTTATTCTGTGGGCATAATTGAACCATAAAACATCGGTATATTCTGCAATCTCCGCAGTAATATTAGTTTTTATGATTTGTTCAAAGTTGTTTTAGGTTAATCTACCAAACTTAAAGTTAAAAGCAGTGGCCGTTGGATGATGGTGAATTAAAAAAGAAAAATTCCGAAAACGAGGACCATTTTTGAAAGGGTTTTGAAAAAGACAGATGTTGTAGATCAATCTAGCCGTTACCAGATACGATACACGTGGCACGATGTGAATGGATTAAGCAAGAGATCTGACCTGTCTTTTGCCCAACTGATGTGGAAACAGTGACGTGGATGTTTTGGAGATAAAGATTGGGCAAGCAGTGTAGCCCCCTTGTGGTAGGTCATTTCTTTGGACTAAAATTATTATTATCATCATTAAGTTAAATTAATTTGATGTCCGTTAAGAATATAATAATACTATTAAACCCCTTATTTTCTGGAGAAAACTATAATCAGCGAAATCGTGTAAAGATATGATGATGATTCATTCTCACATGCAATGATTTTGGGTGAACCAAAAATTATTATCCAACGTCTTCTGCACCATGGAAATTTGAACTAGGAATATCTTAGATGGCAAAACCACCCAATTTATTATTCTTTTATTGTTTCCCAATAATATCCTCAAATGTTATTGCATTTCAAGACTAGAATAATTATTATTTCGATTTTCGTAAATGGACTGGATCACTAAGTAACTAAACCGCATGAACCAACCTCTTGACACCTGATTCCTAAGTTTTCATACTTAGTTTAATTGGGATGTGTATTTGTTCAACTTAGGATACATAAACTACGCAGTTTGGGTAATCAATTTCAAGTAAAGTATAAAGACAGATAATGATTTCACCTGTGCGAATTAATGATACAAAACCATACGCAGTACTATTTATATCACGTACTGCTAACTTGAGATATAATTTTGTTTTTAGGAAACGCATAACATTAAATTTCCATGATTGCACAGCGACCTGGCATCTTTCTGTCGCAAAGACAGCATATTAAAATTAATATTAATTTGTCGTGAATGAATGTTAATTAACGTTATCCCTATGCCGCTAGATAGTAATTAAGTAAAAGTAATTTCCATTACATGCTTATATATTCACAATTGCGTAAAGAAAAAGTATTGATAATAGTACTACAGAAAGTTATGTTTAGGGTTATTAACAAAATAGTGACTAGGGGTGGGAGGAGGATAAGGACAAATCTCGAGTTCAAGTATTAAAAATCCGAAAGTGTGTACTATGGTCTGCTTTAGATACAGATTAATATTAACTTTAAATTACTTTCTTCTAGGACTTGGGTGAAGAAAAACGATAATGATATCAGAGTAATTTAAATAGTCACTGGTTATGGGCTTCCTCTTTTGTTATATCAGTTGGTCCCCTATTTTAACTCGAAGGAAATTGCTTGTTCTAACGCAAAAGATTTGTCTTTATACTAAACCTTGATTTTAGTTTACCGTTCGTAGACGAAAATGTGTAACACACAAAAAGAACTATCCTGCTTAATATAAAGGATTCCCATGATCAGAGTTTCCCAACTCAATACAATAACGTTACAAGTATATGTTTACTTTATGGCAGAAAGTATGGTGAATTTTGAGTTTGAGACTTGTTTATTTCATAATGCATTTAGACAAATTCTTTCAGGATATAAAATACAAATCAGCATCCAGAGTATATGCATATGCCCGTGAATGATTTGTTTTTTTTAGGATTTCTGTCAAAAAAGTGTACCACCACCAATCTATTCACTCTCTCTTTTCATCACTTTTGTTTCGTGGGTAATGGACTAATGGGTATAAACTCTCCTCCTTAATTACTAGTACTACAATCAATCTATTCACTCTCTCTTTTTTCTAAGATTATTGATTTTCATGTACAATTAGCTTAAAAATCCCCACTAAATTCTCGGGAAAACTAAATAAAATGATACAGCTTCATCCTAACCTGTTGCATTTGACCTAAGAAAACATGAAATGAATAAAAATAAAAGAGGAAAGTTGCCAAAAAAAAGTTTTGGAAAAAAAGACAAAGATATCGATATAACCGTTGAGAAGGGATGAAGAGAAAAAAAGGGTTGATGACAGGCTGACGAGAAAACCTTACACCTCATTTCTATCATTAACCCTCACATGGCTTATCTGTACACCTGGGCCCCACCACCTCTACTTTTTTTTATCTCCCAATTTTTGTCTTTTCAAATTGTATATTTTTAACCCAAAAATATATTCAGCAAACCTACAAAACACATGGCTTTTTTGATTTATTATCGCGTTTTGTTTTTATCCCATTGTTCCATATTATTAAGAAAAATATTCACATTTCCAGAACAGCAGAAGATTTTGTCCATGCACCTAGAGCCCACCTTTTGATTGTTATTTTCGTGTCATCACTATCAGATAATACTAAAATTAAATATTTGACTATAGTCCCTCTAATAATGCACAAAACTACTGTTGATAGCCAAAACAAAAAAAAACAACCCAAAAAATTACTACTAATAACTACTATTTTTTTCTCTCATGTGTCATATAATGAATTGATTACTTGATTGTTCATTGTTAACTAGGAACAAGAAAGTTCTTAAATTTTTTTGATTTAGACAATTACAGGTAATCAACTGACATTTAAACTCCCGAAAATGTCTAGAAGTTTTCCATTACACAGCACTAACCTAAACCGTACGTATAATGATATTTAGCAGAGCTGTTTAAACCAAGATTATAATATTACATTAAAAAATGAACTAAAGACAATACCGAAAATACCCTTGGCTTATCCATCATGGCGTTGCAAGGTCTTTTTTTTTCCTTTTAAAAGGCACAAGAGAGACACTGTCGTCGTCACACAACAACACTACTCCTCAATCCGAGCAAACTCCATTTTAGCTAGCTAGAGAGAGAAACCAAAGCTTTTTTTATTTTTTTCCGAGAGAGAAAGTTAACGATGTCGAAAGAAGTGAGCGAAGAGGGACAAACCCACCACAGCCATGGGAAAGACTACGTCGATCCTCCACCAGCTCCGCTTCTCGACATGGGAGAGCTCAAGTCGTGGTCTTTCTACAGAGCTCTCATCGCTGAGTTCGTCGCTACCCTCCTCTTCCTCTACGTCACCGTAGCCACCGTCATCGGCCACAAGAAGCAAACCGGTCCTTGCGACGGCGTCGGTTTACTCGGAATCGCTTGGGCTTTCGGTGGTATGATCTTCGTCCTCGTCTACTGCACCGCCGGTATCTCTGGTAAGCTTAAATCCTCAAACAAATAACTTTTCTCATCTCCGGTTTGGTCGTTGAATTTGTTGTTAATCTCGGTTTTTGTTTTGTTTTGGTTCGTAGGTGGTCACATCAACCCAGCTGTGACTTTCGGTCTGTTCTTGGCCCGTAAGGTCTCTTTGGTGCGAGCTGTTGGTTACATGATAGCTCAGTGTCTTGGAGCCATCTGTGGTGTGGGTTTCGTGAAAGCTTTCATGAGAACTCCTTACAACACTCTCGGAGGTGGAGCTAACACCGTAGCTGACGGTTACAGCAAGGGAACAGCTCTCGGAGCTGAGATCATCGGGACCTTCGTCCTCGTTTACACCGTCTTCTCTGCAACTGACCCCAAGAGAAGCGCTCGTGACTCTCACATCCCCGTAAGTATTCCTTTTGTTCTCTTTAAGTGTTTGTTTAGTCTTCGATAAAGTTGTTATCTTTAAAGAGTCTTATGAAAATGTTTGGTCTAATCTCAAAATGGGCTGTAGATTCTAAAGTTTGAGTCTTTTTAGAGTTTTATTATATAGTTTGGTTTAATTTTGAAATAGGTCTGTGTAGATACTGATTTGAGTTTGAATCTTTTAGTTGTTTTATGCTAAAGTCTGGTTTAATCTCAAAATGGGTCTGTAGATTCTGATAAGAGTTTGAATGTTTTAAGAGTTTTATGATAAAGCCTGGATTAATCTCAAAATGGGTCCTTGTAGATTCTGAATTTCTTATTAAAGTTTGAGTCTTTTGGAGTTTTATGAATGATCTGTTTTTATCTCGAATTGCTCTGTCTAGATGCTGGTGAAGTCGTTAATCTGTTTAATCCTAGATCTTGTTTTAATCATGAACTGGTCCTTGTCGATTCTCCCAAAGTTTGGATTCTTATAAAGTTTGGATTTTTTTGTTGTTTTTAATGTGAATAGGTCTTGGCTCCACTTCCCATTGGATTCGCTGTGTTCATGGTGCATTTGGCTACTATCCCCATTACTGGAACCGGAATTAACCCAGCAAGAAGCTTTGGTGCTGCTGTTATCTACAACAACGAGAAGGCTTGGGATGACCAGGTAAAGACATTTTGTCATCTTAGCATTTAGCATCTACTTCTCTTATACTGTTGGTTAAACTTTGAGCTGATGAACAAATTGTTTTGTATTTTGATTCTGCAGTGGATCTTCTGGGTTGGTCCGTTCTTGGGAGCACTAGCAGCAGCAGCTTACCATCAATACATATTGAGAGCTGCAGCGATCAAGGCCTTGGGCTCATTCCGAAGCAATGCAACCAACTGATGAGAAAGAAGTGTGAATTTCCCACTTAGTAGTGAATGCTTAAATGTGAAGAAACACCTTAAGATTTATGTGCTTTTATTTATGATTTGTTGTTCTTTTTGTGTGTAATGAGAGATTTTTAAGTTGGTGGATTATGTTAATTATGATGAATTTGGTCTCTGTTTTCTCTTTTTCTCGGTTCCTTCTTTTTAAAATTTCAATAGTTTAGTTCGGTGTTACTCGTGAATCATTTGCCTTTTGTTTTCTCTTTGGTTGAAAATCTTATCTCTTTTCTCTACATCGAAAAGTTCAAGAACATTTTGATCACCTAATTTCGTGATATCGAACAGTCCAAATGAAAATCAGATTTTTCACAATTTTTAAGAAGACTATTAAAGTAGAAGTGTCCAAAGATCTATAAAAATTTCGGCTGAGCAAGGCATTTGTGTATTAGAGGTGTGTGTGGTGGTGGTGGGTCTTTGGTTTCATTATCCTCGGGTCGACCCAAAATCCAATCAGTCAGCGACACGTGTAATTTTTCAGAGAGATGGAACGAGAAGAATGCGTAACGAGTGTTTCTCGATTGTTCCATCGAAATTGGATTCCATTTTTGCTATGATCAACTTTTTCGTTAGTTGACAAGAAAAAAATCCTTCTTTTGAGTCTTTTCTTTATATTTAAAAATTACAATATGGTATTTCGTGAAAAGAGAAAAGAAAAGGCTCGTGTCAGTACTTTTTATTGTTTTTGTGTTTTGTGAAAGGATAAAAAAAAGTGGAGCCAATGGGATTGTAACAACAAGACAAGAAGTAAGACACTAGACCCATTTTTCCACCGCACTCATCTTTTTGACGCGTGTCGCGAGACTAAAACTATCACATGGGTAACTCCACACCTGAATACTACCCATTATTATTGTTTTTCTCTGACTGTTTTAAAGTTTTATAGACCATCGCAACCCATTTATGTTTGGATCTATTTGGGAAATGATCTGTATTCAGGACTATACAATTGCATCATGCATTTTCTTTACAAAAAAACAAGATAATTGAATCATGAATTGGACTAAACAGTAAATTTCTAAAACGATCACAATCACAATCACACACATGTAGTGGTAGAAATATTGTCACGTCTCGTCTTTTCAGAAAGTGAAAACAGAGGAAGAGAGAGATAGGGACCACAACAAAAGCCACATAGCCTTCACTCTCCCCACTCTTTTACGGGTTATCACGCCTTTTGGCTCTGTTCAAAACACTTAGCCGTTATGGTCTTTTTCTTTCGTTATCTCTTACAGCTTCATTGTGGTCCACACGACCACACAGTTTGTTGAAATTTGTAAAACCCTAATAGGTTTATGAACCATTTGCTTATACAAATTGGGCTTTCAAGGGTTTGCTTACTGTTAACTTATGGGTTCTGGATAAGAGCAATGTTGCAACTTGCAAACGAATCTTGTTACTACGTAGTCTTTGATTGACTGATCCAAGAACCGGCCGGTTTACCATTCTTAATATCACGAGACCGATTTACTTAATTGATGCTGTATAACTAAAACATAAACCTTAACAGGTGAGTCTGAAACTAATGTTGTCTGTCAATATTCGGGAAAGAAATGATGTCATAATTGGTTGACCAAAAACCCCTTCAATTTTGTAGAAAGATTCACTATGACTCTAAAAAAGTTCGGACTTTTTGGTTTGTCATTTGATGTTCAGGATTATTTTTCTGGTGACGACAAAAACACACCTTTTCTACCGTGTTAATAAACGAAAAGGGTACATCATTAAATTTGGGAGTTACCGGTTGGTCTGTCAAGAATTATCAAAAACAAAAATACAAGCACAAACCTTTCTGGGAATTCCGGTTCAATTTCGCCGGTTTAAAAGTCATGATCTACTGGTTGGGCCATGGTGCGGTGGGCTCAATGTAAAGCCCACTCGCATTTGCTAGTCAGTTGCAGCGGTTTTTTAAAAGCAGAGAGGTGAAAACAGAGAGCGAGGTTTTTTTACCTTTCTTCTTGGTCTTGGTTCTTCTCAATAACCAGAGTATATCACAAGTGTTGTTTTAACATTTTCTACACCTATAAAAACTTAAAAGATATATTTAAATATTCAACTACATATAACTTTTGATCAAGTGAATAAAACTAATACATGAAATCAAACTATAGTTTTTTAATAAGTCACTTACAAACTTTAAAACAATTTTTCCAATTGAGCTCAAACAACTTGTAATAGTTCCTTGAGCTTTAAGCCACTTCCTCTTCCATCCGAACCAAATCAGCTTCTCGAGCTTTAAGGTCTTCTCTCTTACCTTTCAAGTTTCAACAAATGGAAATTAAACTATTGAAAATTAGAAAATTGTATAACAAATTATTTTCCTTTTTATTATTCTTACAATTGAAGATTTTAATTTTTATTACAATTACACATGTCAGGATCTAAATTAATATTTATACAATCTCATAAGATGACATATTAACTTTGTATTACTCTCAATCCCTCAAAAATCCCACCCTTCCGATCAATCCGTCTCCCTCACCTGCAAAATCATAGCCCTACTTTAACCAACCTCCCGTCGAAACAATGTCGGCTTCTACCGCAGATACCTTTACCTATTCTACCATCGAAACCATCATGTCTAACCGTAAATACCGCGGTAAAGATCCATCTCTCTCTGTCTGTCTCCAACTCTCCATGCATTGCTTCTTACGATCGATCTGAATCTGATGATTGTTAAATTTTTGCGTTTATTAGGGTGCATAGGTGTTTTCTGGGACGTGGTGGATTTCCCGTTCCCTGATGGTTCGAGTCCTGCTTCGATTTATCACAACCTGAAAGTATTTGTTCAGTCCTTGCCTTGTCCTGCTGAGCTGATCTCAGTCATGGTTTATGCTGATAAGTCAACGTTCAGTGATGAACTGGTAGATGATTTTAAGAAAGCTGGAATCACCATCTTTTCCCGACAAGCAGATGAGTATACGAGGTATCGTGCAATGTCACTGGACATTGCGTGGTGGGAAGCGGATGTTTCTCTCTACAGAACTTTTAGACGAAAAGTTGTGCTGGTAATCTCAAGAGAGGTGCAAAGAGAATCGCTTTTCTCAACTTTTTTTAAATCCATGGCCTCTCTATGTAAACCTATTTACTTTACACCTGCTCATGATCCCCCAACTACTAGAACTAGTTACCTTGAGCCCATATCCTTCATTCTCCCATCCGAGCCTATCCCTCAAAGTGTAACCGAGGACGAGGAGTCTCTTGATCATTCCGACGAAACCGAGCCTGATTCTCCCATCGAATCCAAACAAGGTGAATTCGAATTCTCCTATCTATGTTATGTCTCTAGTAATGTTATTTTTTTGTTGTTGATTGTCTATTAATACGTTTGATATACACTTTCAGGGGATAGATATCGGAGAGTTCATAAAATGTCCACTGACATTGCTTTGTGGGCAATGGAAAATCCTGCGACGTATTTTGAACCAAGAACTTTGATGGTGATCTCAAAAAACATGGAACAAGGAACCGATTTTCGTAATACCCTTGAAGCTTTGGACAACAGGCATTACAATGTCCTCTTAGGACAGCCAGTAGATGAGTTAATACGCGTTGAATGGCTTTCGAATGATGTACTTCCTAAGCACAGGCGAGAGGAGGCTGCTGGTTTTTCTCACAGAGTAGCTTCTTTGCATGTCCCAAACTTTTATTTGTGTGATACACTCATCATATGGGATGTCCTCGGTTGCCCAACCGATTTTTTTCCGAGTGTTTTCCCAGTTCTTGGCAAGAAGGATTATCACGACAGAGTCAGTATTAGGCCTTACGCTGATGTGGATGATGTGGTATCCGTGGATGATCTGTTGAAAAAAAGGTCCGAGTGGTTTAAGTGTGAGCCCATAATCAGAGTCAGCTCCAAAGTGGATAAATATGCGAAAGTTACTAGAATGTTATTGGACATCATGTTTTGGGCGATGAACAATGATGATGCACCACAAAACCTGTTGCTAATCTCGAAATCCTTTGAAGACGGCACCACCGCGTGTGACACTGTTATGAAAGCATTGGAACGAAGGGGTTTCAATGTGATTTTTAGACCTTGTGATAAGATCTCATCAGTAGATGAATCTACAGTTGAAATCTTTGAGTCTCTTTGTGAAAACCCCCCAGATGGACGGCAAACGCTTGTCACTATCAAGCAAAACCTAGACCTATTTCAAGGCCGTATTCTCACAAACAAGAGCCGAAAGCTTTCAAGTAAGACTCTCTTTCTCTCTCTCTCTCTCTCTTTAGTATTTGTTTGGATTTTTCATGTCTTGAGTGATGTAATGAATTCATTGTTCGGTGAAACCTTTCAGAGTATCCGGTAGTCCTCTTCTGGTTGGCCGGGAAACGCCCTCCATCAGATCCTAGGAAGATCTGGTCTATTTTCGAATCAGCTATGGAGAAGAAAGGTTATAATGATATAGAGCGTTTTACGAGGGTGTATATTGATGAGGGAAATGAAATGATCAAGGAGTATCAGAAGGCTCATATACATCCCATAATCATACCTGAGAAGGATGCATGTGGAGAATTTCACCAAATGTTATTGGACATGGTTACCAAGACACGGAATTTTATATCGCCAGCAAACTTTGTCGTAATCTCGGAACCTTTCGAGGACCCCATGTGCGACCTTGTTGTTCAAGGTATGAAACTCAGAAACTTCAATGTTCTCTTCGAACTCCCCGAGTATCTCCTCACATTCGGAAGCTCATCACTATGGTCTGCAAAAAACATTTTGTAGATTTAATTATCAAACTATAGAGTTTACTTTTGATAATTATTAAGACATATTTAATTATCAAACTAATGATAATTGTACCTAACATAAGACATATTTAATTATCAAACTGTAGATTTTACTTTTGACCATGTTGTATCACACAAAGCGAAACATATTTATTAGCAACGACAAAATATACTTCCATTACAAGTTGTTACTAACAAATAAAACATCCACCCTTAGTGAATATAACCAGCTTTTTTAACTTAAAAAAAAGCCTAAACCCTTAAAAAAACTCATTTCGATTTTATGCTACTACTTCTTCACTATTATCAACATCACACAAATCACATAACAAGAAACTCACAGAAGCTCATCTATAAACGATTTCCCTTTAAATTTCTCCATTTTGAATCCCATTTTCTCCATCCTAGACCGTTCTCTCTCCATCTCCACCATCACAGCCCTCGTCTCCTCAGTCCTCAACTTCGCTTCGGCCACTTCCTCCTCCATCCGAACCAAGTCAGCTTCTCGAGCTTCAAGCTCTTCTCTCTTACCCTTCAACAAACCCTCTTGCCTGTCTCTCTCAGCCTCCACATCTTCTTGAGACCGCGCAAAGTCTTCAAGAACCGAACGTAGCCAAGCCACTTCGATGTTCACTGACTCCAAGTCCTTGAGAACCGCGAGCATCTCTTTGACTTTGACTTTGGTCAACTGTCCGACCGGAGTTGACCTGAGCTCCTGCATTAAAGAGCATAAACACTCGAGGTAACGTGATCGCATCGAGTCCGACTCCAGCTTACAGTTCTGAGCAATGTCTCCGTGTTTCTCCATGATGGCGCTAAGGATTGTGGACGAAGCCGATCTCACTCGGTAGTTCCCGACGGAGACGAAAGTGTCTGACATTACCGATTCAAGATCGAGCTCTACTCCATCCTCATTCTTGTTTTCATCATCATCATCAACGTCGCTGTAATCATCACTGCTCTGTTTTCCGTGAGGTATTGGAGCGCTTAGGAAATTAAACAGAGTGGTTTCGGTTTCGCCGCCCGGTTCAATCTTCCGGTTGCGTTCTTGTTTTCCCGGTTTAGGCGATTCCGGTTTATGCTTGAAGAAATCATCCGGATCACCAGATGATGAAGAGGAGAAAGACGTTTTCGGATCAGGAACGGTCTTGTTCTTGACTGCAACTTGTGGAGCTACTGAACGATGAACCTTTGGGGAAGTAGCGTTTGCGAAACCGCCTCCACCGTTTTGAAATGGCTTTGATTGCGGTGAAAGCGGTTGCGAACGCGATTCCTTCTTTTTCCTACCGAAACTCCCTGAGAAGTTGAGAATCTTTGAACCTGTAAACAAAAACAGAACAAGAATCAGAATATTGCAAAATATAAAACACAAAAGTAATGATCAAAAAGCAGAGAGAAGTAGTTACCTTGCTTCTTAGTGTTCTTCTTGCCGTGGCCTTGAGCGATTCTGTCTAAACAAGCTGAAGCACATTCATGGAATGGATTTCCGGCGTATACGCAATCCGGATGAGCTTTTCGATTGAAATCCATTCTTGCTTTCGATGAAATGTTTTGTCACAGCTTCAGTTAGATGCAAGAAACTGCAATAAGCAAAAATTTAGTAAAAAAGACACAAGAAGTTCAACTTTGTGGCTTCATAAGAATGATCACACATCAAAGGTATTTATAAAGGTCAAACCTTCACACCTTAATTTCAACAAATAGGTCAAAAAGATTGGACACTGGACTTAAACAATACCACAAACTCTAGAGAAATTGGATTCCGTTCAGATTTCACCAACCCTCTAAATTCATTGCTTTTTGTGAAAGAAAGGTAAAGAGAGAGATAGTGAAGCGAAATGGAAAGTAGAGAGAGAGATGTCACCACCAAACATATCCATAAAGAAATATCTTAGACTAATTAATGGTGAGTTTGATCCCCACAAAAACCAATCAAATCTTGAAATGTAAGGTAGAAAGATACAAAAAAGATGGATGACTTCAGTTTTGTTTCTTCTTCTTTCTTAATTTTTTCTAAGTGACCGACCATGCAACTGGTAAGTACAATTTCCTAGTTGTCTAAATTTCAACGGAGGAAGCACTCATTCATTGACTTCAGACCAGTAGAGTTATAAAAAGGTTGATTATTTTGACCGGCTTGTTTTTTTGAACAGACGAGAACTTTTCAGGTCCCACCACCTTTCTGGAAAAAATATTTTAAAAACCTGAAATCTTCTTTTCATTGATTTGTGTTCTATGATCTCTCACAAAATTTATCAGCAAACAAACAGATCATGTGGCAATAGGACAGTATCCATCAAATTTCAATCATCGATTTAAATCATTAAAACTAAAGCAAGCCCATGATTCTAACTCCAAGCATGGAAGAACAAGAATCGGTATGTTGAACAAACGACCAAGTTTATATATTCACATAAATGAAATTCACATACAGGGAAATAAAAAGAGAGAGAGAGAGAGAGAGATACCGGTAGAAAACGGAAGAGAACGAAAGATGTTGATGAGCGGAGAAGAAGGAGAGGGAGAAGAAAATGAATTAATAATATGTTTGATTTGTTTTCTTTCACAACTAAACAGTTGTATTTATGTGTGGTTGTGTATATTATAAGGTTGTATATAGAGTATACATGTGACATTGTCTTTTTGTATAAATAATATGGTGATGATGATGATATGACCAAATGAAGAAATGGTATAAAGTTTAGATACTTGGAGAGAAAGGAGCATTAATTGAGAGAGGTTGGAAACAGCAATCAATCGCACACCTCACTAATCTTCCAAATGAGGGCAACAACGTGGGACGGTTACACTGAGATTATCAGAGACCATAGAACCCGATAGCAGAAATATGAAACTATAATGGAAAAAATAAATGAAAAGAGATCTATAGGGAAACATAAAGGAAATTGTCAGTTACAAGGAAGCGCGTGAGGCTGTAAACTAAACAAGTCATTGCATGAACCGTGTCACGCGTGTCATTGTTTACGTCACACTTGAGAGTTAATTAGTTATTTTTCTAAATAAAATATTTTGATAGAGTTGATTAGTGTCTTAAGCTTTGAAGTTCTTATATTCTCATGTCCAAATTGGTATAATTAACAAAATTTTCTGTAGTTTTCCGATTTTTGTTTTCCAAAACGAGCCAACCAATAAGATTTAGACATTAACAAAATGTCGATGATATGAAGGCCTTTAACAAAAAAGAAAAGCTAAATGTCAATGATCAATAAGATTGAGTTATGTTTATAGTATTAATTTGGTTTTCTCATCACGAATTAATTGAAAAAATACGATTGGAATCTGTATATATATATTCGAGTCCTCTAAAACAAGAATTCGAAAAAGATATGATAAGAGATTATTTCATAATTATAGATATCATATAGCTTATTGCTGCTTGAAAATATTGATATATAAAAAAATATACACAGTTTTTCTGATATATGCAAATTTTAGATAATAAATTAGAAAAAGTAGTAGATTACCAACACTGAAATTTTTCTATGTAGAGTTAAATTGGATGATAATCACAACTCTATGATGATTCATTGAGAAGGAAGGATATTTTATTCACGATTTGCCAAAGTACATGTTGATCCGATAGGAAAACACATTAATTGCAGAATCTGATCAAAAGCATATTTTTGTCATTGCTTATCTGACGTAAACATTATTTTTCTGTATTTTGGTCTAGAAATGCGAGTAGCTTATCCAAAAGCCATAAATGACCAACCATTTCCCCAAAACTACTTCCAGAAGGAGAGTAATATAAAATATACAATGAAGTGGGAGTAAATAAATTATAGTGCTTGCATTTTTAAGGACATTAACTTTTTTTGTTACTAATGCAAATTTCTCTATACAGATAATTTGTTGTTTTGTACCGATGTGTTGCTTATTTTGTCATCGATAAAATATTATTTTGGTTCATGATTTTCTGTTTACTTAAGTTCGTAAGATATCGTTTCTCAAACGTGGGGTTCTATTGAGTTTTTTTCTTCACCGGGTCAATTTAGTATTTTATTTATAGTCTGGGGACATGTTTAGTAATAAAAAGGTAAAATGTGTCAAGAACTTATATATATATAAAAAAACAAGATAAAAATAGGTAAAAATGAGAAAATCAGAGGGAAACCGATAGACAGGTCAAGAACTTATATGAACTCTTGAATGAGCTACGGGCAACAACATTGTATCTCTCAACCTCCCCCCAAATCTGAGTTGGACGCTTCTTCAACCTAATCACCGCAACCCAAATTCTAATGTCCAGGAGGCCACTACGGATCTCACGCCCATGCATCCCCTTGAATACATGATCAGTCCACTCGCGCCATATCATCACCAGCTTCCGACCATAGCTAACTAACTGAATCATACCGTAATCATAAGCACGCTTCTCATACAGATCGCTCAAACCCTCAACCTCTACCCAACTCCCACAACTTACGTCATACCACCTGAGCTTCTCCAAATACTCATGATACACTACATTGCCTACAACGCACCAACCTGCCCTTTGTGTTACTATGAGCTCTAAATCCACTAACCCCTTCTCTGGTAGTACCCATCTTTCTCCTTCCGGATCATATGCGTACTTGTCATGCTCGGTGATGACGTATATCCTTGCCCCCAAGACTACGACTTTGTGTTTCCCATCACCGCTGAGAGGTGGCTTAGGCAATGGGCCCTTCCAAGTCTGCGTCTTTATGTCGAAAACCTCTACCCAATTCATGGATTCCTCTCTCTTCTTGCATCCTCCAAACACGTATATCTTCCCGTCTAAAAAACGAGACCTTGCCCGTTTCCTCGCCACCTTCATCCCCGGAGCACGACGCAGCGTGTTGCTCCGACAATCCAGCACACGAACGGCTCTGGATCGCTTGCCCTCGCTGCTTCCGCCCATCTGGTAGATTTCGGAGCCCACGGCTACGGTGGTTGCGTTTAGCCGAGCAGAGGAACAGTGTTTTACCCGTACGAAACTTAACTCACTCTTGATCTCATTCTCACCGCCGTTGCTGCTGATCAGGGTTTGATCTGTTTTCACCGTGAGAGTGAAATAGCGACGATGAGGGGCCGTGGGGAACCGTAGACACACATAGAGGCGAGGCTCGGTGGCTCCGATTTGGGATCGAGCCGAGTAGATCTCCGGAGAAGAGAGGAGAGAATGGAAGCCCTTTGAGACTGAGCTCAGGGAACGGTAGTGGGATTTCGAGATTCGGGCTAAGCAATTCACGACGATTTCATCTGGAAGCGATGAAAACGATGGCCAACGGTACAGAGGAAGAGGAGGAGGAGGAGGAGGAGGAGCTGAAGGATTCGTCATCTCTTCTTTTCTGAGGAGGCGGCTGTGGTCTTCTCTTTAGGGGGATTCACGACGCTATTGCCTATTATTGGGTATTTTGAAATTTCGGACCGGGCTTGGATCTGTTCTAGTTGTATTCGGGTCGGTTATATAATTGTATAAGAAAGCAAAGATATATATGGCTTTGTTTGGAGAGATTAGAGAGGAACAGAAACGCCATGTCTGAAAAAATTGAGTAGAAACCGACCACAACAGCAAGCATGTCTGAAAAGATTGAGTAGACTAGAAACTTTGTTTGGAGAGATTAAACTTAAACTGAAACACTTTATGTCCGAAAAACACTATGACTCACCACGCATCAAAAGCCTAACAAAAAACTTTCATGCATTAAGGGAGGATCGAACTCAGCTTCGTAAAGTCCACTGGTAGGGAAGCTTACCACTAGGCTAATATAGGATTTCTTGGAAATGAGGGCCAAATATATCTATATATATTTATAACAGGTCCGCTGTACATACAAAAGTATTTTCTAAAAAATCAATCAATTTACCTTAGCAAACATTTTTTTGCATCATCTTGCTCCAAATTGATTAAGTTAAATTATATCATTCAGTTTTTCATCAAATCTTTATATGTAAAATTGGTGTATAAGTTTTTAAATGATAATCAGTCAGTGTAGACCCGAGATCTTTGTACACATATCCCACTCCAAAATGGTATGCTCCAAACGACTCTTTCAACCTCTCGACCGCAATCTCCAAATAAGGAACCGCTTGAGAGACTCGACCCAAGAATGGAAGCAGCCCACCAATCCTAGCTGAAACACTTCCCTCCAAGTGTTGTTCATTGGAATGCTTCTATAGGAGAGCCAACATGTTTTAGTTCAATAAGTCGATTTAACATCGTAAATTTGAAAAAGTGTATTTTTCGTGTATGTTTAAATTAGTTAGTTAAAGAGATCGAAATTTGTAAACAGATCACCACCATTATTAGAGATGTTATTTAAATCGAATGATTATTATTATAGCTAGACCTTATACAAATGATTATTATAGAAAAACATGCATTTTTTTAACATATAAACATTGATAAAAATTTGACTAAATTATTCAACTAAAAAGTGTTTTCATTAGCATAACGCTAAAGCTCTACATAGTTTCTAGTAACATTTTTTTAGGTTGTAGTGATGTATTACTTTTTATCTTTACCCCATATTCAAATAAAGTATAACAAGTTTGTGGAATTATATATCGATTTTCAAATAAGTAGAACAAAGTTTGGGGAGTTACAATTGTTGTTAGTGGTCCGTTCGATTTACAATGGTGGAACTCTATGGTATATATTTTATCTAAGAACTTTCAAACCAAGTTGATTAATGGGATTTTGTTTTTCATAATAGACTGCTAATACATATTTGTCTTCTTTTTTACATTTGTGTGATAACATAGACCTAATTTAGGATTAGAGATGTGATCAACTGTAACCGTTCTTCCTAGTCTTACAGAATGTCTTCTTGGTGAGTTGCTTCTTCTTTACAATAGAGTCGTCTCTGGTCTCAACTTCTAGACGCAGTGAACACAGCAGCTGCCTTCTTCTTCTTCTTCTTCTTCTCCAATCATCTTCGAGACAATATCTAAAACTTCATAGATCTTGTCTGTCTCCACGTGAGACCTGTCTCCGTCTGTGAACACATGAGTTCTGCTCTTCATCTCAACAGTGCTGCTACTCGCTGTTCTAGATATGCCTTTGCTCTTCATGAGAAGCTTGATCCTATTTACATCTTCCCATCTTCCAGCTTCTGCATACATGTTCAAGAGCAAGACATAACATCCCGTGTTATCGTGTTCCATCTTAAAGACCTGCTCTGCTGCGAATTCAGCTACGGCCCATAGTGCAAAATGTTAAATCGACGTGTTATGGCTCAAAACGACGTCAAATCGCGCTATAGGCCAATAGTGCAAAAAGGCCCAACTAATTGTTCGTCTTCACATAAATTTCGAAGAAAACAAAGACGCCCTAGTTCCCCAATTCCGCGAGGAAGATGATGAAGCGAAACGCTGAAGCTACGGTGAAGTTGTTGCAATATTATCGCAAGGTGAAACCACAATATCGCAATTACTCATACTTGACTGAGAAAGGTTTGTTCTATTTTTCTTTCTGATGGATACCATACCAGTGCATTCCTCTCTTCTGGTTTGCTTCTAATTTGATTTCAACAAATTTATAGCGGCCCAGCCATCGGGAGGAGTAATGAAGCAGATTGGTGATAATTTGATCAGCATTGGGTATAAAGGAGCGGCATGTGGTTTTGGATTCGCGATAGGTATGTGATGAAAACACATTTTGTCTAAACAAATGATGAATCCTCATATGTTTTAACCCCCTTTTTTTTTATTCAGCCGGTCTGACAACAACTTCCGAGAGCACAGGCGCCAAGAAAGACAAGGAGGTAAGGACTCTTACATAATGTCAAGACTTGGATCTTATAGCACCTGATTAATTGGATCTTATGGCACCTGATTGTTCTCTTGTTTCATTTCAGGCGGTCGTAGACATGCTGAAATTGATGGATAAGGAAGAAGCCAGCGTGGAGCGTGTGCGGGAAATGTGTCTGAAAATGGAGTCGCGTGTACAGAACTGATGTTTTCTTCTCAGATTTGTGTCTATGTATCACGTTTTGAGCAATCCATGTATGTGTCACATAACCTTGCAAGCAATGGTTGTCCAATCTGTTTTCTTCATCAGCTTTCAAAGCTCATTGTAATAAAGGCATGATTGAATACCGAGTTAGGACACTCTCTTGCCTGAAATTCTACAAATATTGTTTGTGTTATACTTTTGAAACTTGAATGATGGGTGCAAATATATTCCCTTGGGTTGATTACATTTCAAACTTGTATTTAATATCGTAAGAGTCATAGTTTTTGAAACAACACTTGGAGCCATTGATTATACACTGACTGTCTCATCGAGTCTACACTGTTTTGGCTGTTCTTGTTGAATCTCAAAAAATGGTGCAGATGTCGTTGTATTGATTGTAACAAGAGTGATTGCATTAACAAAATTGTGAAAGTCTAGTCTTCTTTTCAAGTATATATAGTTTCTTTGTCATGAGCTGCCATGTAGTAATAATATTGTGGCTGCACAAGAGAGGTGCTGAGAGCGAATACATATAAAGAGGCAGTGGACTGGAATCAAAGAGACAGTGGACTGAAATCAAACTAGTTTCTAATTTCAATAAAAGATAAGAATAGCCAAAATACAAGAGGAGAGTTGAGGCCAAGGCACACAAGATTTTTAAGTTAGAAGCAATACATGTTTCCATACATCCTCAAGGTACAAAAGCCAAGAAAGTAACAAGAGATGATCATTGGCGAGCGCCTGAGTTGGTCGGTGTTGCTCCCCGATTAAGCATCATCGTCGAACTTTCCCTCATACATGAAGGGTTGAGAAGATGGAGATGAACCAATAAACGGTATATTTGTACAACTGAAAACAGGGATACTAAAGCCAATAGAAACAGGGATTCAAGCAATCTTGCAGGACATAACTCACCTGGAAATATCGGCGACGTCTCTTAGACGACGCATCTGCACGCTTGTAATACTCTTGGAGCATTCTATCTACTTCCTTCGAGTTCGCTTTTCTCTTTCGATAGTCTGGAAGCAGCAAAGCAATTGATGAAACTTTGTCTTGAACGAGAAAACCAAAACTCAGTGACCAGAGCAGGGTATACTTACTTATACAAGCGTGGCCTAGATATCCACCGGTAAAAGCCAACACAAGCCAAGATGTTTTCTCCTCTTTCCATACACGTGCCATGGCCGAGGAGGATGATGACGGCCTGGATATGGTGGAGATACCGCGAGCGCGACTCCCTCTGCCAAAGCCAAAATACTGCAGATTTCGACGAGACCAGGCAATCACAAATCACGAAATGGCGAGGACAGAAATACGAATCCATTAAATCAATCCATCCTGTTTACCTTAGCAAACATCCTTGGCATCATCTTGCTCCCCAAAATCGAATTAATCAGGGTTTCTGATTCCTCAGCGTTCGCTTCTCGTTGCTTTCCTAATCTCCGATTCTCAGATGAACTTTATGAACTCACGAGAGTTTTTTTGTTGACCTGTCTTAAGATCGATTCCCCCTTATAACTCTTCTGAGCCCAACCCAAGCCCATTCACCCATATTACCTTTTTATTTAGTTTTATTTTTTAAAAATAAATATATATATATATATATATGAGATATATTAAAAAGAAAACAAATCAAAACGAGAGAAAAAGAAAAGAGTATAAATATATGCATATATGATGTGTTTTTTTTTTTTTTTTTTTTTTTTTTTTTTTTTTATATATGATGTTTTTGTTTGTTTTATACTTATTGACTCATCAGAACTAATTCATGAAAAGCTAGTTTAAAAATGTCAGACTTAAATTTAGGGATTAATATATATTGACTCCTCAGACCTAATTCAAGTAGCAAATGAGATAAAATGACTTTGCAGTTTACACTTCCGCAAATTAAATTATCATGAGGTTCATCGTTCATGATCACTAATAAGTAATAACATACATTAGTAAATGGGTCTAACAATTATATAATTGCGAATAATAATAATTTAAAGAAGAAGAAGTTGATGGTATTAATTACTTAAATTTGTATCGCACGTATACAAATTTTGATTAAAAGGAATGTTATGTGGAGTTATTTACAATTGTATTTAGCTATAAACTGCATACAACTTCCAAAACACTTGGATGGAAGTCATTGGCTGAAGCAAAGTCTCTAAACCGAAACCTTTCGAACAATCGACATTTCTTTTTCTCCTTTGCCGAATTTTACCAAAAAACAGCAACACTCAAGATCAAAACGACAACAGCTTGATGCAGTCCAAACAGCAAACGGGCCTTCAGACATATCAGCCCAAAGACAATCTAAAGCCCACGAAGCTGAAAGCTGCAACGGCTAACTTTTCACTCTGCGACAAAGACAAAAAGCACACGAAGGAGATGACCGAGACCAGTACGAACGAGCATAACCCGCTATAGCTGGCAAATCGTTTTGCAGCCGTTGATCATCTCTCCTCGTCAGGATGATGCCACCTGTTACACTCTAGAATCCTACAAATGAAAGCTTTTCTCTTCTTGCTGTAAATAATGAAAGCTCTGTACTGAAAATCATAAGACGAAAAATCAAATAAAATCAGAACAATGTTCTTCGTTTTCAAGCTCTTTTAAGTAAGGGTTTCAAATTCCTTTCGCCCTACCACACCGGCGACGAATCTTACACCAGATTACTCTTACTTCAACTCCGTTTGTTCTTCTCCCTCGATCGCAGATTTTGCACCACCAACATTATCTACGAGGTAAACTTCTTCGCTTACTCGTTACTTTTCTAGCGGATTTTGTATATCTAAACGCATATCCCTTGTTCAATCGGGTCGTTTTGTTGCAGGTAACAAGAGATTCCTGTAATCGAAAAAACTTGGGAGCTACTGAGGTACTTTCGTTATTCTCGTTTCCTCTTTGTTTTATCAGCTGAACAATTTTTGGACGCGTTTGTATGTTTTCAAGTCTGCCTGTTGCGTTTCTGCATTCAAATTGAAAGAAAAAGTGTTGAAATGAAGAAAGTTAATCCTTTGTCTTAGTTAGCATCTGTTTTCCAACTCTTCATGAGGACGTATTTGTGGCTTCGTGTATGTATTAGTGCCTTTGTTCCAATTGCGTGTTGTTTACATTTAGAGAGTCAGTCTTTCTTGAAACCGTGTTAAGAGATCAAGACTTCTTTTTGCTTGTTGCTTGGTTTAACGACAATGAGTATTGATTTCCAAGTCTGACTGTTGAGTTTCTGCAACTCAAATTGAAAGAAACAGTGTTGAACTGGAGAAATTTAATCTTTTGCCTTAGTTAGCATCTGTTTCCCAACTCTTCATGAGTATTTGCGGCTTCGTGTATTAGAGAGTGAGTCTTGGCTTGATCAATTGCACATGGTTGCTTGTTTCTTTTAATGACAATGAATTGTGGGTTTTGCCTTTTTGGACAGAAAAATGGGAAGCAGAAACGCATGGAGGTTTTGGTTCGCAGTTTCTCTAGCAGAGGGGAGAAATCAGCTAAGGATGTTCTCACTAAGGAGCAGAAGCTGGTTGGCTTTTATCAAGCAGAGAGTTCACGCTATCTCTCATCTGATGGTATGAATTAGACTGACCAAAATGATTTCCAGAGACAAATTACAAAGCTGTTTTTGTGGCACTCATTAGCTCAGTGTTTCTAATGTACAGGACTCTTCTTCGCTAACATGGGAACCCGTTTCTCTCCCTCAAAGTCTAGAGAGTTCAGCAAGGTAAATCAAATATCTTTTCTTTATGAAGCTAACACACGAAATCTTAAAATCTGACTTGTTGCTTATGTTTGTAAGAGTAAGGAAACTGAATAAGTTTCCTCTCTATATCTTTGACTCAATCACGCTACATATCTCACTAACCGTGTAATATTAATTGTGTCTATTAACTTACCTTCTTTGTTCCATCTCTCTGTAAATTACTACTATCAATACGATCACCATTCATTCCTATATCTAATAGTGTTTTCTGTTGTTCCAGAGCCTTCAGTTGAGCAGAGAGTCTACAGAGGACACTGTCTTCAAGTACCTCATGGAGGCTTCTTCCTCTTGGCTCTCCCGTCCTTTGAAGAAGCTCAGTCCTTTGAACCTGGACAGGATGATAAGGCTCACATCATATGTTCAAAGGAAAGAGGCTAGATTCATGGACTTTGCACTTGGCGGTCCCTCTGAATTCTCGATCCCTAGGTTCTACGACGGTGATACCGCAGCTCGAGCTCTTGCGCGAGTCGTGAGCCCCTTGGCGATTTTCCTTCTGTGGCTTCTGGTCAAGACCGTCCACTCTGCGAAGCACGACGAGGCCATTGCAAGGAAGAACATGAAGGATATGGCTCGACTCAGACAGCTCATGGTCAGCGATAACGATGAGTCCATGGCAAAGGCCATGGTGGATGTTGGAAGTCAGATTGAAGGCATCCGTATGGAAGTAGCCAATGACAGAGAGACTTTCAGTGAGGAGTTGAAGAAGAAGAAAGACAGAGAAGGATGAGTGAAGAACTTTCTTTCTATCTTTTCTTGTCGATAACTATGACTTGTGGATCCCATCTTTCTTTCTCTTGTTTTGTTGTCAAGAATTTAACAAGTGTGTTTGTGGAGTAACTCGTGTCACTTTATGAATGATTTTCACGTTTTTAGTGGAGTGGTTAAACTATAATTTCTCTATTTAAATATTGCATTCAATTGACCCACTTTGCTTTATACGAACTTTGAAACCAAGTTTATTAATGGAATTTTGTTTTTCATTAGACTGCTAATACATGTATTTGTCTTCTTTTTACATTTGTGTGATAACATAGACCTAATTTAGGCCATTAGAGAAGTGATCAACTGTCACCATTCTTCCTAGTCTTACAGAATGTCTTCTCTTGGTGAATTGCTTCTTCTTTACAATAGAGTCGTCTCTGGTCTCAACTTCTAGACGCAGTGAACACAGCATCTGCCTCCTTCTTCTTCTTCTCCAATCATCTTCGAGACAATATATAAAACTTCATAGATCTTGTCTGTCTCCACGTGAGACCTGTCTCCGTTTGTGAACAGATGAGTTCTGCTCTTCATCTCAACAGTGCTGCTACTAGCTGTTCCAGATATGCCTTTGCTCTTCATGAGAAGCTTGATCCTATCTACATCTTCCCACCTTCCAGCTTCTGCATACATGTTCAAGAGCAAGACATAGCATCCCGTGTTATCGTGTTCCATCTTGAAAATCTGCTCTGCTGCGAATTCAGCTACGGCAATCTCGTTGTGGTTTCTGCTTGCGGTTAACAAAGATCCCCAAATCCGAGATGTTGGCACAAATGGCATTTCTTCAATGAATCTCTTGGCTGAGCTCAAGTTTCCTGTACGACCAATGAGATCCAGCATGTAGCCATAATGTTCTATCCCAGGATCAATCCCGTATTCTCTTTGCATTGAACCGAAACGATCCCATCCTTCTTCGATCATACCTGAAATGCTACACGCTGCTAATACCGAGGCAAATGTGCTCTTGTTTGGATTTACTCCAGAAGTAACCATCTCCGAGAACAAGCAAATCGAAACTCTCCCAAAACCGTGTACCGCATAGGCCATGATGATGCTGTTCCATGAAACAACATCCTTAAACAAAACGCGGTCGAAACATTTTCTTGCATCCTCAAGGTCTCCACACATGGCATACATGTGAACGAGCGAATTCAAGATGATGGTGTTTGACTCGTATCTGGCTTTAACAATATAACCATGAAGCTGTCTACCTTCACTCAGGGAGAGAGATTCTGCATAAGCTGGTAGGATAGTAGCGACCGTTATGGAATCAAACACAAGCGACGACGACGAAACACACAGCTCTTGAAACAGCTCCAACGCTGAATAGCTCCTCCCATTCTGCACATAAGCAGCAATAATCGAGTTCCATGAAACCAAATTCTTTTCAGCCATTCGATCAAATACAACCTCAGCTGATTTCAACTGCCCACATTCTCCATACATGTCAATCAGAGCAGTTTCCAATACTGTATGAGGAAGAAAGCCTCTCCTCATTGCGTACCCGTGAATCGTTTTACCCTCTAAGACCGCACAAGCAGGGAGCAGATTTATCAACGTGATAACATCTGGCTGCAACCCATTTTCCTCTGACATTCTCTGAAAACAGAGAAAAGCATCAACCACTCGCCCATTTCTAGCGTAACACCCTATCAAAACGTTCCAAGCTACAACATTCCTCTGTATTATACCGTTGAATATCCTCTCCGCGTAACTCACTTCACCGAATTTACTGTACATGTCAAGCATCGATGTCATCACCATAACATCATCACCAGCTTCAATTCTACTTCGAATAGCATGGCAATGCATCTCCTTTCCCAGTTTTGGACTACACACGTGAGAACAAGCACCTAAAGCGCTCATCGTACTGAACCTATCCGGTTTAAATCCGTTAACCAGCATTTCTTTGAACAGCACCAACGAGCGAAAGCCATCTTCAAGCGTAAGATACCCAGAAATCATGGAGTTCCACGAGACAATGTCTCTCTCAGGCATTTCCTCGAACACTTTCTCTGCATCCCTGGCGCATCCGAGCTTCATGTAAAAGGATATAAGAGAATTGCATATGTAAACATCTGAATCGAACCCAAGCTTGATCACCGTCGCGTGAATCGTCTTCCCTTCTTCCAACGACGAAATTCCAGCGACAGACTTGATCACGAATGGATATGTAAAGGAATCGGCTTTGATTCCTGCAAACACCATCCTGCAGTAAAATCTAACCGCTTCATGATACAACCCAGAGCTACATAATCCTCTGATCATCACATTCCACACGAAAGCGTCGGCTTTGTTCATTTCATCGAACAGGTGGAGGGCATCCTCCATGAGACCGGAATCGGCGAAATTGCGTAGAGCGAGAGTGACGGAAGGATCATTGAGCTTACGCAGCTTGGATCGGTCACGAAGAATGAGCTTGGAAGGTTTCGTGAATCTCCGGTTGATTACGAGATTCCGATTCTCATTCCGTTTCCCCGCCGTCTGGTGATTCTCGGAGGAAACACACTTGCACGCATAATCGCAATTGTAGATACGTGAGCATCGAGCAAGCATAGTCGCAGCCATGATTTACTGGATTAGCAATGGAAGTTGAGATTCAAAGAGATGGGAAGAGATTAAATTTGTCTCTCGTCGTCGTCTTCATTTTCCCGCCGGAACTGTTTTACTCAGTTTCCGTTAACACTGCAAAAACTGGGAAATACCTAAAATACCATTAAAAATCAGTTTATTTTCTAAGTTTCGTGGTACTTTTGGAAACAAATCAGTTTTAGTGGTATGGTTGGAAAATAAAACTAATAGTGGTAATTTTGGAACAAAAACATTTTTACTGGTATTAAGATTTTTTCCTACAAAATTCAGAGAAGACTTGTATTTCTTATTTTTATTTGACAATGGAAAAAAAACATAACACCAACCATGATGGTAAATTATTTTTGTCAAGGGACTGAAACTATTTACAAACTCTTTAAACGAGAAGATGTCTTTACAAAGATAAACTAACAGAAGAAGTCTTCACGGCTATTACCATCATCTTCATCATCAGAGACGTTATCATCGTCGCTGTCATCATCATTGAAAGTGAGGATAAGATCAAGAAGTTCTCTTCCAGCAGCTGAAGAAGATCCTCCTTCTCTCTCACTCTCTGGACTGAAACTGCTTCGGTTTTGCAGCGAGAAGAGTTGTGCCAATAGCTCCTGCGGCGTAGATATCCATCCTCTAGGCTTTCGCTTCCGCTGCAACACAAATTTCAAATCAATATTATTCAATCATCAATCATTAGCACCATCATCATCAACAACATCATCATGAATGCAAACAACAAGGCATACCAGTTCGATGTTATCAGGTAATGTGGCTCTCTCAGCTGCCATTGAGGTCCACATCTTGATGTCACTTTCAATTCCGCTGCTAGCAAGCACTGGCATATGAGGATGAGGCTCGATACAGTTAACAACATGCCTATCTCCTTCCATAACACGTACAAGCTCTCCACTTTTCTTCCTCCAAATAAATATCCGGCCACAGTCTGACCCACTAACCACATACTCAGACCGAGGTCCAAAGAAATTCACACCCTTAACCGTCTCACTGTTCCTGTGCCCCTTATAAACCATAGGAACAGAATCTTTACCATCATCTTTTGGAGAAGAAGCTGGTTCTGATTTTGATCCACTGCTCTTGGACACCCGGGAAGATGGGATAGGGTTAGATCCTAGTCCCATATCTTGTGTGAAAAGGTAAATGAGTTCATCGTTGTATGAAACAAGGAGCTCGCTTTGCTCCGAGAAGGCCAAACCCGTGATTCCAACTTGCGCATTGCCGACAAGGTGTGGAGGGCAAAAATGATCTGCAGCTTGGCTAAAATCGTTTGCACCGCCGCCCTGAAACCTACGGATATCATAAAGACGAGCATACTCATCCATTCCACCAACAGCAAAGAGGTTGGAGTTTCTCGGATCAATCGCAATTGCGTTTAGCTGGATTGCTTCTTCCATCTCCCTCCTCCAAGGCTCAACCGATTGGCATGTGAAAAGCTCTGTAGGCGCTTGAGTCCTCAGATCAAACTGAAACGGCAAGCATAAATCTTTAATCGAAGTGATAAGGATTCCAAAGTAGAACCAAATGTGATGCTGGCTACTACTACTAAGAACTCACACGTTGTACTAATCCATCTTCACCACAAGTGTAGAATATATGAGGGTTCCCTGGCTCAATGCACAGCTTATGAGCTCTTCCTTGATGCAATCCCAAGAAAGACGTCTCCACTTTCCCACTCTCAAGAATACTCGCACGCCGAACCTAAATACTCGCACGTACTATTTGCGTTACAAATTTCATAAAATTTTGAAATCATTGGTGAATTCAAAGGATTACCATTCCATCAGCGGCACAGGTGACAATGGTTCGATCATCAGAGAAAGGCATAAACTTGGCCTGGAACACGTTATTGGCGTGACCTGAGTGGAACGAAAGCTTAACGTTCCCAAGCTGCCAATCCCAAAGAATGACACGCCGATCATCGGAGCCCGAAATCAGAAGATCTCCGTCAGCATTGAAGCTCACTGTGTTAACACAGCCTTTGTGCTTCACTAGCTTCCGATATATATCTAGACGCAGAACCAGATTCTACATAAGCAGAAACCAATAAGAATGTGATTCAATTGGGGTTTTCAAGCGATCGATTTTATGAAATTATTCAATCACTAGGCTACGAAATCTGCAAAGAGGCTTGAAAATGATTCAATTGGACAATACTACTAAATCCAGCAATGAGAATCATCGAAGACCGAGAAATTCAAAATTTAACAAATTGAAAAGAGAAAGAGAGAAAGGGTGTGAGATTCAGATTAGATTGACGATGGAACAAACCTCGGAGGCGGAGAAGCGATTGGAGAAATTACGGGAGGAGATACCACCGACCTCTCGTCGCCGAAAATCAACGACAGGGTGATGAGTTCCGTTAAAGTTTGTTCCACCCATCTTTGCTCTCTCACTCATCTTCCTAAGACTCAACGGAAAAGGACTGTAGTCGGAGCAATTTTCACCAGATCAGAGAGAGAAGATTCAAATTGCTCTGTGTCTCACCGTGAAAGTTCTACTTCGGAGAGAGAGAAGAAGCGTAGTGTAAGTCCGTCGCCGGAAGAGAGGCTTGATCCAATGAGAAGATGACACGTTTCAATTTTTACTCTCATTGGTAATGGGCTTTTGGGCTTCTCATAAATCTTTTATCTAGACATGATAGTAGAGAAATAAAGACAGCGAAAAAACTAGTATGAAGATATATCATATATGTACGTGAATCATGTGATGACTGAATACTACAAAATCATTTTTGCTTAGCATATGCAAAACGAACCAATGATGTAAGAAACACGAGAAAATAAAATTTGAGCGATATACAAAAAATATAGAGAAAAGATACATGTGGTTAGTGCTTTACCCATTTTGACTTATTGTAGCTTGTGATTGTGAATCAAAAGGAGACTGATTTGATATTGATACTGTTTTCTTTGTGTCGATGGGTCGTCTTGTCTCTTGAAATGTGGAGCTCAAATACATTTGTGTTAAAAATTACGTGTAGATGACAAAAGGACAAAAATCTTGGGACACAGAGATAAAATTTTGGTATGTTTATATAAATTCAGACTCAAACGCAAAACAAAAAAAAAATCCAAAATTATCATTATATATAGTCTACGTACAACACGAAATAAAAGCTAGGGTACAAATACAAATACAAATATCAGTATTCAATCAACGAGATTAGTAAACAACGTGAAAAAAACAAATAAACAAACATAACACACACACACACACACACGGCTGATCGGTACAGGAAGAAGCCATGATTATTCTCAGTTTCTCACACTTCGTTATAACTTCTCGCAAATTGATTCGGTTTTAAGACCGATACGCAATGATAACACTCTGAACATCATCAATGTCCCTAACTTCGTGTCGAGCAAAACCAGCTTCGTTAAGAACAAAGTCCCACTCTTTCAACGTCCGTTCTTTGCCTGTGCTTGTGTGAGCCATCATCACCATATCAAGCATCAGCCTCACGTGTTCTAACTTCTCATCTTTTTCTTCAACTATCATTGTCTTTTTCTTCTCTCTTATCACAGATTCCACTATCAACACTTTCCCCGTATTTGGTGGGACCGCTTCTTTGCAGTTCTTCAATATCTGTATGCAATCTTTGTCTCCCCAATCATGTAACACCCACTGAAATCATCATTTATCACAATTCAAAGCATGATATTATATTTTACTTTCCTAGACTTGATTAATAGTATCTTGTAATCATTGAACCCTTTGAGTATAAATCAATAGAACTAATTCTACAGTAAGTTAGTCTTATGCAAAGTAAAGGCAGGTTAACTTTTAAAAATTATAGTATATATTACTAATATGGTTGGTGATTTCTTTTAATTTTTTTGCTTACACACATATTTATAAATAAATTCACGTATAGTTTATTTTAAAATCAAAATATATTATCGCTTTCTTCTATGTTTTGTATATCGTTCTCAAAAAAATAAAGGTGATAAGTTTTGCCACCCTCTTTTTTTTAATGTAACAAAGGTAGTGTCCCAGGGAGTACGTACTGGTTCATAATATCTGGATTTTTTTTTTGTCAGTGGTTGATTTATTATCTGGTCGTAATAGTGGTTGCCATTAATGGACTCCGCTACTCTGGCGTTATAGATGTCATGTCATGTCTGTTCATGTTTATTCATGTTTTCTCTGCAAGATAGTGGAAAATAAATTCTAAATGATTATCCCACTTTTAAAATTAAATTTCAATTTTTGTGTTTGACAACCGAACTTTTTTTTCTGTAACAAAATTACTTTAAATAAAAAAGAAAGAAGTGGGTTCTGAAACAATCTCTTAATTAAGAAATTTTAGTTCCGTTTTTTTTTTAATATAACTTAATTAGAGAGCATGATGCAGAAATCATTTTTATCGACCATGCTGACTGCGATCCACTTGTTAAGAGAGTCAGTGAATCGGTTGCCCGAACTTCTAATTTAAACTGTAAAACGCATGAAGCCAATGACAGCTACAATTAACAAAAAGAGACTATATATAGACACCAACGTTATACCAAATATTAAAAAAAAAAAATGATACTTTATGCTCTCTTAATTATTATGTTAATTATAGTAAAATTTTATTTCGTCATTGCATTTCACTCATTTATGTAGATCCTTAATGGTTTGTAATAATGCCATCACGACGTTATTATCCGAGTAAATAATACATGGGAAAATTTGAGTTTTAACCCTTTTTTGTCTTAATACACTAAATACGTTAAATGATTTTACTGAATATTAATAGTAACAATTAGAGCATGGGAGCGAATCTAACCTTGATGAAGACGGCGTCGCATGCGGGGACAGAATCAAACATATCGCCTCCAACATTCTTAACACCATCGAAGACTTGAGCAACGTCAACAACATGAGGAAGATCAAAGTTAAATCCTTTGATCCAAGGGAACTCCTTTACAAGTATCCCCATCGTCTCTCCCGTACCACCTCCTACGTCCGCCACCGTAGCCACGCCGTCAAACAAGTCGCGACAAGCTCCGGCTACACGTGGCACCACGCGCCTTGCGTCAGAAGCCATGGACTCATTGATCATATCGCTGAGGCATGGATTATCCTCTGCGAGAGCCCACACATCCTTACCGTGCACCGCATCGAACGGTGGTGGATGTGAACCATTGACCGGAGAAGAGACCACTGAGCTCAGTCTCAACCATGGAGCGAGCATCTCGGGACTTGTTTCAAAGAGAACAAAAGGAGCCAGAGACTTGCCGTCACTCTTTGTGATCATCATGCGGCGAGAGAGTGGCGTGTTAGCGTAGCCTGTGGCTAGACCATCTTTTGTGGGGACTTCTTTGAAGACTCCTTGGTGCACAAGAAACCTCATTATACGGCGGAGATGTGACGGAGAGGCAGAGACGGCGGAGGAGAGCTCGGCTAGTGTCACGGGCTGTGACAAAGAGTGGTTTTCAATGGCTTCTGGTATCTTAAGATCAATGGCACACTTCGCAGCTGCAATATCTGCAAACCCAAAGACATATCTCCATATGTCTAGAGAAGCTTTAGCTTCTTCATCTACTAACTTTGTTTTACTTTCTTCCATTATTTTGTTTGAACTTTTTTTTTGCTCTATCAAATATTTTGTAAAGCAGATCTAAAGACAAGTGATTTTGGGGTTAAGGAATTAGGGTTTTTTTTATAGTTGATTAAAATCGAGGGCAAGATAGTCATAAGGAAATAATGTTGTCGATCGGTACGTAGTACGTAGTACTACGACATTTAAAAACTCGTGCAATAATTTTTCTCTGTGGAAATAAAAATCTCCGACCACTTGTTTATTTTGTTAGTTTATCGATTGCCGAATATTGTCGATGAGTGATTGACTTGTCTTTGTGTTCATTTGCTAATAAACTTGTGATGTTAGCCCTTAAATAATAACAATAGTATTTTTTGTGGACTCCTAACAAATTAATTAAAATCCCGATGTGATTAAATTTTACCTAATTTAGGCTTTAACCTTGCAACACCTCTTAATACCAATATTCCCAACAAACCATTCTCAAGCTCTGCCGACCAAACGAACACATATCAACGTAGTTGTCAAATATTTCGGACACGTTTATATATGAATTAAGGACTGAATGACTTCTGTTATACACGCATGATATGTGCATGTATATCGATGAACATTGTAACGCAAGTTGACTTACGAAGATTCCTTTCCAAAATTTTCACCGCATGTCAGCTTTTTCTCTCCTCTGTTCACCAAAAAGACATTCGCAAGCAAACACATTAGTATACCAGTTTTTATAAATTATAGACTTATTAATTCAAAACTAATTGCCAATGTATGTAGAGGCTGTCTATACTATTCCACAAATCTCTTCAAATGTGAGATATGTATATTTACTAACTAAAGCACTGATAAATAAAGAATTATAATATTTAAAATGTGCAATTAGAGATTGACGTCTTATAACCAGAATATAAAGTTTATTGGTTTTATATTAAATAGTGTTGTTTTGTATCACCACACATATTTAAATCTGATAAAATTCATAGCGTTGATATAAAAACAAACGATGTGATGTTAATTCGTCCAATAGGAAAGCTTTGATCATGAAAGTAATTGAATTGCGAGGGGGTTGTCAAAGATATTGCTCCATGGTGGAGTGTCGTTAATCTCGTGTTTAGTGTTGCTGTTTACATATTTGATTTTTTTTCTTCGTGCATGTATATATATGGTGCTAACGAGAAAGCATTAAGACAGAAATATTTCAATGATAATAAAAGAAGAGTATTTATTCTTGTAAATAAACGTAAAAGGAAGAAGTTGTAGATGGGAAAAAAATGTTTTTCTCTACTATTTCTCATAGACCTTATTCTTGAAACCCTTCGAATGCAAATATTATTCCAAACCATATTGCGATTTGTTTTAATGTTTGTACGCATTCTTTTCGGTAGTAGGTGAACGAATGAATAGTGAGAGTATTCTTTTATTGTATGATTATTCTGACTTTTCGTTGTATCTTATCTTTTTTTTCTTGTACCTTTTTTAGTTTTTTTTTAATTACTATTTTTCTATTGTCGGGTAAGCTTTTTATATTTAAACTTTCCTTTCTATTTGTATTATAATAAGTTAGTCAGTGAGTATGTTAATCCCTTTACACTTATATTTTTTTTTGTTAAATCCCTTTACACTTATATGTAGAAGTTTTCATTACATATATCATTAATAATTCAAGATACGCATGCATCACCAAATAAAACCAATGTGGTCCAGGACTAGGTTAATTACGAATGTCTTATTTATAATAGATAAATTGGCACAAAAACTTGATGAAATAATTTTTCTGCACGTCAGCTGCACAAACATTGTAAAGAAATATAAGACAAAATGATTGTTTGGGTTAAGATGTCAATATTTGTCTCTAAAGCCACAAATTTAACCTCATATCAAATCAAGCCACTAAACCTAGAAATTACTGTGACTATACTAAATCTAGAAGCATAGATCGATAGAAAGAGAGCGATAGTATACCTGAAGACCACTGAAAGGGAACCACGGGAACCAGAACTACGGGAACCTCTCTACACGAAACCTCTCCACACGAAATCACTACTATACACCATCATCCCACCGCATTTCCACATTTTAGATCTTTTTAGTGTTTATATCTACGAAGCCTCGCATGCTTATTTTTATACAGTAGTCTTACAGTAATCAATCTTCTTCGATGTTACACTCCTTAATCCCCTAATCGATCTGATTAAGAGACAACTTTATCACAGTTTTCTTAATAATTATACATTGTTATTAATAGAAACGGGTCAACTTCTCAAGGTTTTTTCATTGGTTTTAACGTGCTTAAAGCCTTTGTTCTGTCCTATTATTTTTTTGTTTTGTTTTAGCTAGGCAATCTATGAAAGCAATCATCTTACTGGTTTGGATGTTCATAAACAAAACCAGAAATTTATGTTCACAATCAATTACGGAGTATTCACTAACAGCTGGTCGTAATTGTTTATTAAAAGAAAACAATAGAGTTAATATACTTAAAAGTCAAGACATAACATATTGGGCTTGTAATTTTGTTTTTCTCATGCTTTAAATATGAATGTCTTTGGTAAAAAAAAATGGTATAATATATTCAAATCGCAATTCGTATGATTCAAAACTTATACTTACAAATGTATAAAAGAAATCTACAGAATCTTTTAGACTGCTAGACAACCAATGCAAAAACAAACTTTTCTTTGGTTTTTTCAGGTCGCTTCACTTTAATTTGACATTGTCTTACACATGCACTTACAGTTTAGTTTTAAATCTAAGAACAAAAAAAGCCTACTGAAAAGTATACTTTGGAGTATATGATATAATTTGCAATTTGAGATATTACATGCATAGATGTACTATTTTGCATATTGTGTAATTTAAAGTATACTTTGGAGTATATGTTATATTTTCTCGAATATAGGTTTTTAAAGAAACGAATCGAAAATGTAATTACTTGTAAATTGTAATAAAATCACACGTCGATTGGTCATAAATTATTTAAATTTAAGTTGAATTGTAGTTTTCTTGATCGCGATTTTATATTCAACGGTCAGGATCTTATACAGAAACCATGCAACTTTCCTCACTGTCCACGTCACCTTCTCTCCCCTCCAGCTCAGCTATTCCCAGCTCATCATCTTCGCCTCTGGTCGGGTAAACAATTTCACACCATAGTGATTAAACCGGACCGGTTTTTATCCATGTGAATTAAATGAATTTCGGTTTTTGGTGTGAGAAAAATTACAGATGGAAAAGTTCTCTCAACAAAGGAAAAGCGAGAGAATCATTGAGACCAAAGTATTAAGAAATCAAATTCCTCTGTACGGAGGCGTACCGGCTCTTTACGTTCAACGAGCTAAACCGGACCGAGTTTTGCTGCCTCTAACCTGACCTTCACGTTGCAATCACGAGCCTATGTGCTCGGCCGATTGGTCAAGACTAAGTTTTACACGAACATCAGATGCAACATCACTTTCCATGGCGATAAACTTGTCAAGACACTTGATCTTTCTAAGTCTTGCTCTGATCATTGACCGAAATGAGCAGCGGAATCAATATGGCTTTTTAACTGTAGTAGGAAACTTAAATTATAGTAGAGGTATGTATATCGTGTACAGATTTGAACCAATACACATTTCCGGCGGCAGATCCTAAATATTGTTTGTTTTTTTTCCATGATTTTTACATTTCTTGTGTGAGATGTTTATTAATAAATCATACTTACAAGATTTGAATATTTCGATTAGCAATTTGAATCTATAAAAAATTGAGTGTTCTTTTTCTTTTTGAAATAAAAAATTGATTTAATCCAACTCTTTCAACCCTTAATAAATTATGTTAAGCTGTTCTCGTATTTTCCAACATGCCATCAATCGAGACAGTCTGTCTCTGTCTTATCAATCCAAATATGTTGGTGGAGATTCAATACGCTGCCGTTTTCCGTAACTCCAAGCTCCTATTAGATCAAAGGTGCTTCCAAGTGTTACGTCTTGTGCAAGAAAATCCTATTTACATGCTAAGAATTTTTTTAGGGTTTGAAGAAGTTCGCATGTAAACCCTTATCCGCCAGTCGCAAAGCCGAGGCAACGATAAGCAAAACGCTGAGAGAAGCGCCTAAGCTTCCCACCAAAACGTTGAGAAACCACATCGGGCTTTTCCTTTGAGGCTGTTTGATAGAGATCCACATGAAACACGGGTACGCAAACGTAACAAGCAAGGCTACTGCTCCGATAAGGACCGCCAGATAAGGCAAGAACGAGAATCCAACGGCTACAAAGAAACAAACCAAACCCAAGAACACACGCAACATCATCCGGACAAAGAAGGAACATGGCTTTTGTCTCTTAGTGGTATACACCATCTCTGCGTTGTCACAAGCCGGCATCAAGTTTATTGGATATGAGCATAAGCAATTGAAGATGAACGCGAGGTGTATGAAACAAGCGACTCGCTTCGACAAGTAGTCTTGTTCGTAAAGTTTCAAGTAGCTGCCTATAGGACCTCCCGTAGCCGGAATCTACCATATATAAGAATTAATTAACATGAAACAATTTGATCGTAAAAGTTTCAAACACGTATACGTAAACGCAACGACAAACAAACAAAAAAACAAGTAGCGTTGGATTTTGACATACCTTGTCTCCATATGCCCAGTATACAACAATCGATAACGGAAACATAAAAATCGCAATGAGCACATGAGAGATCACCACTGCCCTCCACATTGTCTTACTCGAAGGGTTCTTTGAATCTGAAGGAAGAGTACCCTACAAAATAAATATCAGAAATAAAGTATTTAATATTTGAAAACGTACAAGTCCGTTTTAAATGCAAAACTATAAAATATATGATCTTAAGACCTGTATCTCAAGGACGAGGTTGTTCCCACGGAAAGCAAGAGCTATCAAACCAATGGCGTTGAAAATGTTAGCGAAACTTGTATCCGTTGTAGCGTAAGAGACACTGTTTTGATTCCTTTGCGGATCACAAGTTAGAGGTAACATCCATATTGCGGTCGAGTATGCAACGGCCATAACACAACCGATCAAAGAGAGTCCAAAAAGAGAATTCAGATTCGGAAACTGAGACATGACCACCGCGAGGCAGCTAAAGATGATGAAGCATTGCACGGTAGTAAGTGGCACAGTCTCATCTTCATACAGAATGTGTAGAAGTTGCTTTATTGTTTTCCCTCCGGTTATAACCAGAATCGAACAAGCTCCTCCTGAGAGATACATAACAGGGAATATTCCAAGAAGCTTCCCAAGCTTCACACCTAATTATATTTTTACAAAACAACAACAACAAAGAAACGGTAGCGTTTTAAGAAACTGAAGTTATCAATAAACATGATCAAGACTCAAGAGGGAAATTAATTAAGAGTTTGTTAAAATATACCAAATGAAGCAATTGCGAGTCTCAAGTATCGACTGAAACGTATTCCGTGTACGGCTTCGTGGAGATGAACAAGAAGCCATATCGTGTAGAGCTTCCATGCAAATCCTACGGTTAAAATGATCATTCCCCATACCCTGGAAAACAAATTCAAAAATAAATAATAAAAAATTGTGTTTAGACATATATATTAATTCGCAAGAACTATATAAGGTATGTTTTCCAAATTCGAGAAAACTAAAGAACAGAAGAAAGGTTGATTTGGTTTTTGAGATTTTACCATCCGAGTGCTGAGAAAGCTGCGGGAAGAAGAAGCACTTGAAAACCAAATCCCGAACAGAGAAGATGAAGCGTCGCCGTATAAATATTTCCTTTTCTGGATTCTGTGATCGGCAGCCACTCTTCTACCGGAATCCGCCCACCACCTCCGCCGTCTTCATCGCCGGAGAGTGGTTGTGGATTCTTGGAGAGGGTTGGTGACATAAATAAAGGAGAGTCACCACTTTCTTGTGATTCCAAATCAAACGATTTGGCCGATGCTTTTTTTGACATTGTATTAACTTTTTTTTTTTTTGCTTCTCTCTCTCTCTCTCTCTCTCTCTCAAAGATTTCAATCGCGTTATCAACGTTTAGCCACAGATTGTATGAGTAATAAATGAGTTATATTTTTTTTGCTCTCCCTCTATTGCATTATATATATAGTAGAGTTTAATGATATAAGATATGACGTAAGCGTAATGACGTCATCAGCTATGTCACTTTCAAACACTCAAAAGCGGGACCCACTGGTATATATCAAAGTCTTCTAATCTTGTTGGGTTGTTTAAACTCAATGAGTCAAGGGCAATAGTTACCAAACTGGTTCGCGTTAAGTTGTGTTTGTAATTGTTCAATTCAAATTCGTTTGGTCTCCGGATGTTTTGGTCAAACCAGACGTCAATTTTTAGCCAAGCTTCCTTCATGGTCTCTTTGTTTACACGATTTGATAGACATATCGATCGGGGATATTTAAAGTTCGAGTTACTTTCGACTCGACTATTTTTGTGTGCAAAAGAATTAAAAGTATGTGCAGAGATATGAAGAGTAGGCATCTAGTCATCTGCTTTTACAAGACTGATTATACAAAGCCAAAGTTTCAAAAGTAGCTTCAAGTCAAGTGGTCAACTATTAAGTGAGGATTAGTTGGTGCATAAACTTACGGTTATCAAAAAAATCTTGAAATCGAACTGTGACATATCGAAGTAGGTATCACATATAGTTATACTTTGTTTAGGGGCCCTACGATAAAGATGTAAACGAAATAATATAATTACTAGATTGCTTTCTCATGTGGTAATACTAATAAGAGAAGCGAATTAAAGGAAGACACTTAAATCAGTCAAACTAGTCAACTAGAATTTTTGTTCATAAGTTTACAAAGGAATTAAACAAAAACTATTCAGGTTGAATATGACCATCTAATATTAATTTTTTATCTTAATATATAATACAAATTTTGATTATTTTTAGTTTAAATATTCTATTTTAAAATATACTGTTTATAACTACATCCAGTCATTAGTAAAATGCCATATAATAATAACTTATCTATAAATGTATTTTATTCAGTTTATACATTACAATTTATATAATAAAATATGTCACAAATTTGGCTTTGAACTCCCTTTACGTTGTTTCCTCGTGATCACTGATCATAGACTGGAGTATTGAAAAGTCTTGGCAACGATTCTGATAGTGCCCAATCTTCGTCCTTTAGTGGACTTTTTTTGTTCTATTAAAAGTGTTGATTGAAACCGGGGAGACAGGTCTTTCTCTCTTTTTTTTATTTTTACTTTTGAATATTCTGGTTTAAGGCGAGCCTCTCCCAAATTTGATCACTAGTTCTGAATAATGGGACGATGACAATGTAAACATCAAATTATTCTTCAATGTTCAAACGAAGGGCCATACATATATATTAAAGATATGATAAAGTTAAGCTGAATTGGTAACGACGTGACTCAAAAGGGATTTAGCTAAACACGTAAATATTAATTATTTATGCTAACCTTCTTTTTTCATTTATTTTCTAATCAAGGCTTTCACCAGACATATATACGCTTTATGTAATGACATTCCACGTGGACATCGTGTTGGATTGAAAATAATGTTGTGATGAGGAACGGAAAGAATGACGTAAATAGTTATGTCATTTTCAACAGTCGATTACTATGATAACCTTAGGTTCTCTTAAATTTTTTGAATTTATGATACAATTGGTTTCATCAAGTCAAGTACAAGGTTGGTTTGCGATATTTTGTGTGTCAAGTTGATTTTGATGGTGAAAGTCAGCTTTGACATTACTTCTAGTTGGAGGTCCTTTTTACTGGGCATTTTATTTTCTTCAAAAAAGCTTTCAAAATGAAATATTATGTAAATGTAAACACTACAAGTAGGTAGTGTTGAACGAAAAGAAAAAACAATACAACTAGTGGTTGTCGGCTCTTTATTATGTGGAGCAAAAGTTTCAAAAGTAAACTGGTAAGTATAGGCTACTTGGTTCCCGAGTCTTTATGTGAATGATAGATATATGAGAAGCATGAAAGCGAAATATATACAGTATATCGCTGTCTCATTCATCTTGTTATTCCAAATAGAGGATTTAAAACCGTAATAAAGTAAAAGAAAACAAAATCAGTCACTTGAAATACAAAAGTTAACCTTCTTATCCATTGTATTGAACCGTTAAATGTGCTTATTAACCATAAGGTCCATACCATCTACTGTTAGTTTATACACGTTTCGGTTAGTTATGAATCAGATTGCAAATGCGTCGGACATGCTAAATCGTAGCTAGATCAGTAACGAACCAATTCCTCTCAACTTGTGATCGCTATATAGAGTGACATTTCGCTAAGTGTGCATTAACAAACCTACTATAGAGAGATGCTATTTATTTCTTCAACCTTAAATTATGCGTCTGGCCCATTTATACTGAGATAACGAGATGGCTATAAATTATATCGAAAATCATTACACCATTGAAGGAATTTAATTATTTTTCGATAGAAATAGACACGAGATATCGCTATCGTATCACACAAACTTGATCGCAATGATGTATTTATATGTGTTCGCATATTGTATTATAGGTGGAAACCCTTGTTTAAAAAAAACAAAAAACAGTTTTATGTGGAAAACGAAAAAACAAGTGATAGCCAAGGTGAACTATTATTTATCAGAATTTTGTATAGGACTAATAATATTAAATTATAAAACCTCAACAACTGATTCGACCGACGATGCAGCATTCTTCTGGCTGCAAATCAATTGCGGGTCGGTCCAATCCGGCTTGATGAAATCGGCTTTATCTAAACCACGAACATGGAAAAGTATCTCCACATCTGCCTGCGAAGAAGTGACTCCATGAACATGGAAGCGTAGTACTTCCCATAGTCGTATCTGGGAGCCGAATGGTCCATCTTGAAGCCGCTATCCGGTATGAACTTATCTTCAACCCGATCGTACGTACCGATCGTGTAAAAATCATGTTTGTCATCAACTCATCATCCAAGCTGATCTTCAAAACCTGCTTCATAATCTCACCCGGTTTGCCGAAGGACGACGTTTCCACGCACAAGGAACGTAACACAACGTTAGATATGTAGAGCTGAAGAGTTTGAGATAATTGACATGGTATTACTAAAATGTAAGCGTATTTACCGTTCATCCAATTCTTTGGTGGTTGAAAATGGAACCCAGTCGATTGTAACATAAGGAAAGCAAAGCTGCAAGTACATATAATGACTTGACTATGTGTCACATTTCACAAGAAACCGACGATGAATATCATAAGAAATTATAATATAATTTGAATAGATAGACTTGGTGAATATTTGTGCATGCATAACATTTGCTTTACAAGTCTAGTAAGCAAATTATAAGTAAATTGTAAGTAAATTATAAGCAAAATATATGCAAATTATAAGTAAAACATAATAAATATGAAATATTATCATATTTTGATGATATAATTTTTATTTTTAAAATCATATGGTTAAAGGATTATAATTATAACGTCTCTTGTAGAACTTTTAAATTAGACAAAAAGCTTATGAAAGGAATCCGAGAATGAAATCTTATCATTGATTCACATTTCACAATATTTGAATCATTCGATGTTTCATGCAGTAGTTTCTAACTTTTAGTGTTTGATAATGATGACATTTGGTTCTTAATTTGAAAAGGAACATATTTTGCATCACGTTTGGAAAAAAATTAGTTAAAGAGGAAGTTAACATTTCTCTGACCGAGTCAAAGTTAGGCATTAGACCAAAAATACGGAAGAAGAACTGTATGCTGTTTTGGTTTCAGAAAAGTGAACTACGTGTCGGTTCAGTTACAATCAACCAAAGCTGCAAGTACATATGTAATGTGTAAACCCAAGACACAAATAATGGAATGTTGTGTGTCAGGAGAAGAACCCTACTTGTTGACACATATACACCACGAGCATGGGTCATGATGTGGGATCCATAAAATTTAGCCATTAGTGTAGATCAACCCGAAGTCGACACGTTTGAGCCAAGGACGAAACATTGAATGGAATAAAGTGGAGAAAAACGGTTCGGTGATGATGAACCATCTTGCTAGATAAAGAGAGAAAAGAAAAAAGACATACCTAACACACAAAGCCACAAAGGTATTATGACATCATCACACCAACTTTAAAAAAACGAAGTTAGGAACGAGATAAATCAAACTTTGTTTTCAAAGAGCTTAGTAAATGAAAAATCTTTCCCCTATTTGATTATTAGACTTTAAGAGTTGTGTTTTGTTTGTCACGCTTGTTTAAGTTTCCCTCCAAAAGTTTTAATTTTCCTTTCAAACTCTGAATTTTTAGTTCTGTTCTTGTAATGTATTTTAAAATATTAATTTATCTCAAAGTGTATTTTCCTATTGTTAACCATAAAAGCAACCAGTCTTTAAACCATAAAAAGGAAAAGCAGAAAGCTTGTTACTTGAATGCAATTGGAGATATGGCACAGTGCTGTCTTTCTTGCTTTATTGTGTCTATATAATTTCTTGTCTCATTGTCTAAGTTGCATCACAAAGTGAAACAAGAATGAGTTAGCTTGAACCACACGTTCTTCTTTGAGAAAGAAACTTATCATCTTCAAATCCACAAGAGAAAGAAAAGAGAACAAAAAACTGATTTGGCTAAGAGAATGGAAATAGTGAAGTCGAGGTTCAAGAGAGTCTGTGTGTTCTGTGGAAGCAGTAGCGGAAACAGAGACTGTTACAGAGATGCCGCCATTGATCTAGCTCAAGAGCTGGTTCGGTTATGCTTGTGCCTTAATGAGAGTCTTGAAACCTTGAAATTAGTCTTGATTGTTTTCTTCTCTGTTTTGTGGAACAGGTTACGAGGAGATTGAATCTTGTGTATGGAGGAGGAAGCATTGGTCTGATGGGTTTGGTCGCACAAGCTGTTCATGAAGCTGGAGGACATGTACTTGGGTACGCTCTATATATCATTGATTTCTTCACTTCAGCTTTCTGTCCCCTCGCTGCTTAATGATCTGACATTGTTGTGTGATTTGCCTCTATCTTGTTTTGCTTTTCCGGTTAGGATCATACCAAGGACTCTTATGGACAAAGAGGTAAGGTTAAATTACTTTTTTTGCTTGAGTGAATACGGAGTGTTGAAGAGAATGTCTCTGAAATGTGATTTTGTTATAATAGATAACCGGAGTAACATTTGGTGAGGTAAGAGCTGTGGCTGATATGCATCAAAGGAAAGCTGAAATGGCACTCCACTCCGATTGTTTCATTGCATTACCAGGTACAATATAACTAACTAGCTTAGATACCTTGTCCAACTTTATAATGTTTGTTACTCGTTAGACTCTGTATTAGTAACATACAAGAGATCAATAATTGTGTCTGGTTAGTAACATAACTGGAATCAAATCCAAATCATGGGTTCTTTGACTAGCCAATAAGAACTTGACATTTAAGCAACATGAGACTGTTTCAGTTGAAATGATTAGAGAATCTTTGTAAACTTGGTTACAAACTTGAAATAAGGTCAGGATTTTTCAAAAGTATAGATCTTTCTTCGAAAACAAGACTCAGTTGTAATTGACTTTGATTTGCTCTGTTCTTGCTAATTCAGGTGGTTATGGGACACTGGAGGAGTTACTGGAAGTCATAGCATGGGCACAACTTGGAATCCACGACAAGCCTGTTAGTAAAAAGAAGAAACACTTAACTTTCTACTGTTTGTTGCTCTTTCTCTGAATCACTAACCCAAATTAAAAAAATAATAAAGTCTTGATCTTTTGTGTTTGAAAAAAAACTGCAGGTGGGTTTGTTAAATGTGGATGGTTATTACAATTACCTCCTCACTCACATTGATAAAGCCGTTGATGATGGCTTTATCAAGCCATCTCAGCGTCACATCTTTGTCTCTGCTCCTAATGCCAAAGAGCTTGTCCAAAAACTTGAGGTGGGTACCCACCAAAATTTTTGCTTTGCTTTTCTCTTGAGATTCCGACATAAATCTTGTAAAGATGATGATAACAAACTAAAGACAAAAATTTCATTTGGATAATTGATCTTTCCTTTTTTCCCCTCAGGCATATGAGCCTGTGAGTGATGGAGTCATAGCAAAATCTAAATGGGAGATTGAGAAGAAAGTGCAACAGCCGCAACAACAAGTAGTGTTCTGTTCTAACACAGGCATGCAGAGTGAGATTACTCTTTAGACTTTAAGAGAGTCTTTTGAGTTTTGTCTAAGATATTCAAAGTCCAGGGATAAAAATCAATGAGAAAAATAAAAGTTTGTAGTTTTCTTGAGACGCTATCATTGACCAAAGCTTCTGATACTTTAATAGTGGAGATGGTTTGGTGTTTCAGTGTCTTCGAGGGACTTGTCAGTTGTCACGAACGGATTTACTTATATCTTTCCTTAGTTCTTAACGAGTACGTATGATTGAATATCACATAACACACGATTAAAGTACATATCATTGTATTATTATTATTATTATTTTGTGCATAACGCTTAACATATAAAGTGGTGGCTTGTAACTTGAAACTTGAAAATAACTCGAATTTTTTTCTTACCACCTAATGTTCTTGGCTGCAACTTTTCACTGATATGTAGTTATAGCAAATAGATAGATAAGAAAAGAGGAACAAAACTCAACATGCAGGTTCCGAGAGTAGTTAAAGGCATCATCACACAAGTACATAGACAATAGTCCAAATAAAACACAAGACAACTAAAAGAGGCAGAAACACGGTCATGATGGGAAGATACGAGACTGGATTATTCAAGCAGTAGATTTACGCTTCTCGCTCCATTTCTTGTTCATTGCCTGAAAGTGAAACAAACTCAAATGGTGAATTCAATATGCATACGAAAGCAATAAATCCCTAATTTTCAGTCAAAACTTTCCTTACCGCGCGATACTGGGCATCTAGAGCATCCACCTCATCTGTACGCGTGTCAGTCTCCTTCCACAATCTGTCTACTTTGTACCAATACTCCCTTCTGTGGTAAAGATCTGAAAGTCTTGGATTTTAGAAACGAAAACCAAAACCCATTTCCCGTGAATCCAAAAGAGATCGATCATACTTACTTATCAAGGAATGGCCAAACCATCCAACAAAAAATGCTCCAGAAAGAGCCAAGCCACTCTGCTCCTTCCACGAACCCTTGACGCTCGAGACCAGGCGGCCTGTTCCACCATACTACGGGCTCCAGATAACAGAACAGGATTAAATCACAAAACAACCAACAGCTAAAATCGGAGATGGGATTCGGATTAAGGAATGATTTTTGCACACCTTGGTGAAAATCGTTAGGGTGTGCAGCGTGTGCTTCATCCTCATTCTGTTCCTGCGAAGTCGGGCTAAATTAGGGATTTTGATTATTCTGCTTTCCCAATCGAGTGGAAAGAGATTTTTATCTATTGAGAGACTGAATTAAAGATTCTTTGTTTCCTTGAGATTAAACTAAACTAAAAGGTGAAAAGAAAATTTAGATTCCTTTATGAACCATCATCCTCTGTACTTGGGTTCTCGTTAAACTTGTGTTACAAGTTAGGGCTGTGAGCCTCTGTTAATATATTAGGGCTCTAGTCTCTAGACTCACACAATGGCATCAGGCCCAAATTGATCCGTCGACACACTAATATATATTAATGGGAAGCGGGACCAAAATCCCCAATCTCAAAGCCCTAGATTCCCCAATTCGACGAGGACAGAAGATGATGCGGTATGTAGGATTAGGAAACACCTTGGCTGAGGTAATGGAGAGATCTTGTCCGTTTGTGTTTAAATATTTTATTTAGATCACTGAAATTGAAGGAACAAATTAATTTGCAGGCTTGTGGCAAGGGGAGGCTGCAGTATCGTCATTTTTCATTCGCAAGTGAGAAAGGTATCTCCTTTTTTTTTGAATAGCAATGTCTTTGCTTCAATCAATTCGAATTAATTCCTTCATATATCCGATTTGCTCTTAATTTTTTTAAATCAATTATGTAGTTGGGAATGCCGGCACCAAAATTGCTGCTAAGTACTTCTTTCAAAGTGTATTTTGTGGTGTTGGATTCGTGATCGGTATGTGATGTGTAAGATTAGGTTGATGTTTGCGCTATAAAATAAAAGGGGATTTTTTTTCTTGAAGATGTTGGTTTGGTTTCTTCAGGTGGTCTGACATCAAGCCCCGTTGGGAAGCAAGTTCAGGAAACTGAAGAGGTAAATGATAGAAGAGGGATTAGTTTCTGCAGATAAAGAACCGTTTTTTTTACCATTCCTGTAAGATAAAGAAATGACTCTTCTTCTCATGTTTCAGATAGCAATAGAAAGATTGCAGCATTTGGATGAACGCGAAGCCAGATTGAAGGCATTACTGGAAAAAGAAGACTACTGATCATTTTGTCTCTGTAATAAATAATCATCGGATTTGACTTGTGTCGCAAATCGACCCCTATGTATTATGCCATTTTGCAAATGGTCGTGGTTGTGTCATTGAACTAAGTGTCAGTAAAAAAGTAATGTTATAAGCATGTTTCTGGTATATACACGGAAAATGAGTCCACTAGTGCTGCTTTCGAACTGGAAACTATATGTTGACAAACGAAACCTCTCTATTTGGACAGTAACGTAGGATTTGAAACTTGAAAATAACTCGATTTTTTTTTCTTACCACCTAATTTTCTTGGCTGCACATTTTCACCTCGTCTTCTAATGTTTGTTTACCCAATAACAAAGGCAGTTGATTCAGGAAAAACACAAGATACTGTTTGTTTCTGTTGAATTGATTGGAGAATCCTTGTAAACTTGAAACATTGTCAGGATTTTTCTAAAGTATACATCTTTTACAAAAAACTCATTTCAGTTTCATATCTCTATTTGGGTTCTCACTCTAGTCCTGATGTGTTCTTTCTTCAACAGATGCGAGGAATATAGAAAGACAGAGAATGATTTGGAACAGACCGGTAAAGAACTTAGAAAACGAACTGGAAGAAGCTAGAAGCAAATGTGCACATCTTGCTCTGCTTGTGGATGCTAAGAAGATGGCGATGCAACTAGTTTAGTTAAAACCATTAAGACTCTGGAATCTACAGAAGCCTAATTTGATGCAGATTTTGCCGTGTTTCTTGCATTTGCTTAATAGCATGTGCATATATATATATAAGTAGCGAAGGATTTGGTGGAGAAAGTGCCTATGTTGTTGGAGAAAGGAGTTAGTAAGGAGGAAGCAGAGAAGATCATTGAGAAGTTGAAGGCTGTTGGAGCCAAAGTCGCAATGGAATACCACTTTTGAATTCTTGAAAGCTGCTTGGATTATCTTAGCTCTGGTTCGTTGGATTATTTGTAGTAAACAATCTTCCAGTTTGTGAGCAATGTGTATGTATGAATGGTGTTGAATTGTAGTACAGTAGTAGCTATTAAGTCTTAGAATTGAAAAGGAAGAGTATGTTGATTCTGGATTTGCATAAAGTTGCTTGCTTTTGTAGTACAGCATTTGTAAATTTTTATATTAACTTCGAACAAGAGCATATCCATTTTCTTGCAGGTACTATTTATTTAGTAGTATAGTTAGTATGCACACGAAAACTGCAATAAGATAAGAACAATGCAAATGATTGAAAGGATCATTTTCTTGTTGGTTTTTAGTTTTTTTTATGCTTAACTCTTTCTAATTTCATTTTTCAATATACTTTAATGATTTTGGTTTTGTTTAAATGTGCTTAACAAACAAAATAAAAAGCAAAATAGTCATGATGATATGGGCCTCTAATTGAATTGATTCAGGCCCATCAATTAAATCAATACAAAATCAATCAAATTCATTTCATTTCATCGGAATGATCGAAATCGGATCAAACCACACAATGGCTGTTCCTCCACTATTCCTCCTCCTCCTCACACTCCTCTCCCTCCCTCATCTTCCCATTTCCGCCGCCGCCGCCTCCGATGCCTACCCTTCCATCCCCGGAACCGCTCCTGTCGACGGAGGTTTCACCGATGAACTCAAACCCATCCGCCGCGAAGTCTACGGCGAAGGCAAAATCTTCGACATCAGCCACCGTTACACGCCGGAGATGCCGGCTTTCGACTCGTCGGAAGGACTCGGCCTGTTTCTATGGCTAGCTGCGAGCATAAAGAACGGATCACTCGCTAACAACTCGGAGATGAAGATGCCGACGCACACCGGTACTCACGTTGATTCCCCTGGACACTTCTACGACAGCTACCTCGATGCTGGCTTCGACGTCGACTCGCTCGATCTCCAAGTCCTTAATGGTATCATCTCTGTTTCATGTTTCCAATTTCTCTCTGTTTTCTCTCTTTCGAATCGGTGAAAAGGATTTGGATTTTTCGTTTGTCAGGTCCTGCTTTGTTGGTTGATGTTCCGAGAGACACGAACATAACTGGTTAGTGAAATTTTAATTTGAAAAGATTATGTTTTGGTTATGATTAAATGAAATTCAGTTTATGTGATTGGTCGTATTTTCTTGTGGTTTTATAGCTAAAGTGATGAAATCTCTAAACATTCCAAAAGGAGTACGTCGTGTTCTCTTCAGGACGTTGAACACTGACAGGTAATCATAATTAGGAATAAGGATAATTTATATCTTTATCTTTGTGTTTGTTGGAATTTGAGACTATGGATAAATGAAAAAAACAAATGTCAGGCGTCTTATGTTCAAGAAAGAGTTTGATACAAGCTATGTCGGATTCATGAAAGACGGAGCACAATGGTTGGTTGACAACACAGACATCAAGCTCGTCGGTAATTACGTGATCTGAATTTGTTGGTTATGTTTTAGTGAGATTGGTCTTTGAGCTGAGTTTTTGGTGTGTCCATTGTGGAAATATTAGGGCTTGATTATCTATCAGTAGCTGCATATGATGATCTTGGTCCGTCTCACCTAGTATTCCTAAAAGACCGAGTAAGCAAAGCATTGTCTTAAGTTTTGTTTTTGTAGATGAATCCAGAATACGGAAGATTTGATAATGATGGTTGAAAATTATATGATCTTGACAGGAGACTATACTTGTGGAGGGATTGAAGCTGGATGATGTGAAGGCAGGTCTCTACACTGTCCATTGCTTACCTCTAAGACTTGTTGGAGCTGAAGGATCTCCAATTCGTTGTATCCTCATCGAATGATTTTGCCCTCGTAAACACACCAAAATCCGGAGCTGTCTGTATGTAAGTGTGCTTAGCGTTATGATTATGAACGTCAGTTTGTGCTTAGATTTATGCAACGGATGTGGATGAGTAGTAAGCAATAAGAGAGGTGCAGAGAAGACGAAGTTGAGGAGAATGAAGCATTTCAAGCAAAATATAGAATATTCCTATGTAACATAATGTCGTTAGGCTTGATAATGAACTCATTTGGAAACACTTTTAGTCTGATGATGAATAAATAATAAAGTTATATTCAGAATCCATCTTCGATGGAAAAGAACAACAAATTTGTATTTTCGAAACTTTGTCCATTTAAAACTTACAACATGTATTGCATTACAAACAAACATCAATCTTTTTCTTCTTCTTCTTACCCCTATGGTTACATTACATCCCCAATCAACAATCACAGCGACAAGTTTTTTAACCGTTTTTTTTGTTCTCTTCTTCTTAGCAACAATTCTTGAAGCTCAACAAATTTTACAAGAAGATGTAATCACAACGTTGGTGTGTCTCTAAGAATCAAGATCATCTGCCGCCTCGTTGTCTCTTCTCTTCAAGCTGAGCTGCTTCGTTCAACATATCGGCTGCGTCTGTGTTCATGTTTAGCTTCGCTAAAGCCACAGATTGCATGTAGAAAGCCGTTGGCCAATCAGGATACACGCACTGTGCTTGCATTGCATCGCGTAGTGCTGCGTCCGGTTGATCACATAGTAAGTAGCATAGACTTCGCCGACCAAATACAGTTGGAGACACCATTGTTCCAACATCAATAAACTGCCCAAAACATCAATGCAATGTATGAAATCAATTATCAAACTGAACAGAATGTCACCAAAGATTCAAAGAAGCCGAGCCTAAAAAGAAATCAGTACCTGTGAGTAACAGTCTATGGCCATTTTGAAATCTTTCTCGCGGAAAGCTTGATCACCGCGTTTCCGTGCGTCAAGCATATCTTTCATCTGCTGCGTCCATTCTTGGAAAGATAACTGAAACCAAACAGATTATAAACTCCAAGACCTTGTTAACATGTTTTAGTATCTAAGACCAACATTATCATTTGATTACCTCGTTTGTGCCTTCGTCGTCTCTGTAATGAGTCATGACTAAGATCTGGTGAATAGCTGTGAGATCCATTCTAGAGCAAGCCTCACCTAATGGTGAAAGTGGCCTCTGTGGCGTCGAAGGTGCCTCCTCGTGCTTCTTTATTCCAAGCATTACATAAGATGGAACCTGTAACCAAATTGTTGTTTTAACATTTGAACAGACGAATCCAAGAACAAGAATTCGATGGAAAAATTCAAGAAGTCACTCTGTTACACACTTACATCTGATTTAGTTTGCAATGGTGCAAGTGTTGCAACGAGATCTTTCGTGTTGGGTCTCTCTCGAGGCTCATATTGCAAACACTGAGAGGCGAGTTCGACAACTACGGTAGCTTCTTCTGTTGAGAACTTTCCTTCAAGGTGTGAGTCCATCAACAGGATAATATTCTTGCCACGTATCATATCCAGAGCCTATAAGTAGGAGATTATATCACTCGGTTAATAACACAGAACTTAGCCAATTGTATATATTATGACATGGACTGACATCTTTCAAGTTTTACTATGCGAGAACCATTAAAAAACCACATCATATAACTCAAAACGGATACATAAGAGAACTTACATGGCTTGGAGGGATGTGTTTACCGCTAAGCAAATCCAGAAGAACAGTTCCAAAGCTGTAAGTAACACTTTCAGGTGTCACTCTTCCTACATCACAACAAAATTTGACCACACTGAGACTCTGCTGTGACAATTTCAACTTTTAGGAGGCCAAAAGATATGCATTTTCTTATCATGCTGATTGTGCTGATCTAAAAAGAAGCAAGAATTTGATTTACCATTTCTTAGATATTCCGGTGGTGTATAAGCTAGATTCGTGCTATAACTTTTACCATCCCTACTGTTCTTCATCAAGCCGAAACATGAGAGGCGAGGATCACCATCCTACAAATTTTCATTCAAACAAAACTTGTTAGATCACCAAATCTCGTAAGAATGAAATAAATACTTGAGAAGAGAAATAATACCTCATCAAAGAGAACCCTGTAAGCATTTAAATCATGGTACAATGGACGACCCTCGCTACTACAATAATCCAAAGCTTCAGCTATGTAATATCCTACTCTCAACCTCATTGCCCATTCTATTGTCTGATTTTCCCCTGTGAATAACCAACAAAACACAACAATATAATGTAAAAAATTCACTTTTTCAAACATTATAATCACCTAAAGTACTCTCTTTCAATCTATCTAACAGCACAACCCTGAAATTGGCAAATTTTGGATCTGAAGAGACTAAATTTCACAGCTTTAGAGTCATAATTGTAATGGGAAACAGAGAGAGAGAGTGTGATTAAGCATACAATGGAACAAATGCTTAGCAAGAGTATCATTAGGCATGAACTCAGCAACAAGAAGCCTTTCATCTCCATCGCAACAATATCCAATCAAATTCGCCAGCCGATTGTGCCTCAATTTCCCCACACCCCATGCTTCTTCCTGCAACCAATTGAAAACAAACACAGATTTCAAAATTAAAAACAAAAAATCCAACTAAGGATTAGTCCAATCGAATTGAAGGGATTTTCACGAACCGCGAATTGTTTAGGATCAGGCCAAGCCATCTTCGTGAACTTCTTGACGGCGATCCATCTACGGTTCTGAAGTCGGCCTTTGTAGACAAGATTTGGGGCTTTCTCGCCGCTCTCTGACACGATGTGGTCGGAGCTGAAGTTGTTGGTCGCTGCTTTCAGGTCGGCGAAAGAGAACTCTGAGAAAGACGGGATTCCTCCTCCTCCTCCAACTACACCACCAACTCCTCCGCCGCCGGTTCCGCCGTTATCGAGTCCAGCAGCCGTCGTGGCACCGCCGTGGTGGTTTTGAGACAGAGGCAGCGGCTGAGCTCCATCTTTCCCGGGTGGGTTTTCACCGGAACACAAGGATTGACAACAACCCATGGAATTTCTCAGGAAGCAAAGAGAGTCGGAAAGTGTTTCTCTTTCGCTGCTTGTAAGAGAGAGAGAGAGGGAGAGAAGAGATAGTGGTGGAAAAATAAAAATTGGATTTTTATTATTTTGTTTTGTCTTTTTTTGACTCCTGAGGTAAGTTTCTGAGACGCTGTCTTGTCTCCTACTTGTCAATATGGTACCACTTCAAGAAATTAAACCTCCTGATTATGATTTTAAGTAGGTACTCATATCATTAGTAACTACAAATTATTTAGATTTTAGTCATCATCTGATCTAATTATAGATTTTCGTATATTTTCCCTCTTTTCCATTTTCTTAACTCTTAAGGAGGTCAACTATAAGGTCCGCACTGTTCTTTTTCGGGTCTATAACTTTTCAATCTTTTGTTTGTTGTAATAATTTGTTTAATGTTTAACCAAAATGGACTGGCGAAATGAAAAGCCAAAAAAACAGAAGAAGCCAATTCTTTTGTGTATACAATATGTACTATAATACAATAAATTGATTCCGATGTTCAATGATTTACACTTTGTGGTACCAAAAGAGATTTTGGAAAATCACATTATTGCCAGCTCAAAGTGTTTGTGATTGGAGTGACTTATCATCAACCATTCCTACTTTTTCCTTTCTCCATTTTTCTTATTTTTTTTCCCAACACAACCAAGTATTTTATTTCTTCTTATAGTTCTAAGTACCTAGTTTATTTTCAAAAGGTTCGTACTTGTACAGTGTATAAGATAAGCGTGTATGAACAAAATCTTTAAGTTTTTAGAAAGTTGACCTATGAAACCGTGTGATATTTGGATTTATTTGTTTTGGCATCTATATTTCTGGATTATTGACGTACCTTCTTATTAGAGTAAGGTGAATTTCAATCTTCTTAAACGCATTCAGACAGGCTGCTGATATATTATCTTTTCGTTTGACCTATAATTACTGATTTACCTTAAAAATGATTATTTTTAGTCTCAAGTACTTGAAATACACTTGAATAGATCTTTTAAAATGAAAAGAACCTTACATTTTGTCCCCAAAGAAAAACTTGCATTTGAAGAATAATAACTTATAAAACAGAAAACTTTCAAAAACAAAACAACGACATTTTCGTTGGCTTTTGAATCACTGAATGTGCCCAAACCATTTATTTGGAAACCACATATACTAACATGGCTAAATGTCTAAAATATTATTTGTTAACATTTAAACTGCATATTTTGCAGATTACCAAATTTGAATTGGATCAAGGTTACACGGTCCTTTCAAATAAAGATCGCTAGACTAAAACTTGGTCAAATTATGGATTAGCTTTCAAAACTTTAATTTTCTAACTCGTGTATATTACACTACTTTAAATTTATAAAATAAAAGACCAACGTAAAATTTTCCGACATGTTTTCTACTTTCATCTGGATTTAGTTTGGACAACTAGAAATACTATATCTTTTTCAACACTACACAATAATTTAAAGAGTTTCGATTCTTTTCCACAACTATATATGGATACTTATTTGAAGATACTTATATTAAAATAATTAAATAATATGAATTTTAGGGGTATTAGTTTCAAATTTAAAAGGCTTGTAAAAAGTTGCAAATCATAATGAATGAACTCCAATGACAAGCGGCAATAACAATAATTTGTATATTCTCAATTAGGATGTATACGAATGAAAAGTATGGTTGCAAACTTGCAATGTTTTGATTACTATTTTTAGCTTTGGAGAAAAACAGAGCTTCAAGCTTTTCAATAACACAAGAGATGTCTTTTTGTTCTGAAAGGGCAAAGAGTGAAGTGATCCCAAGATTCTCCAATGTTATTGGCGTTGTTATATGATTAGATGCTCAAGCACTATCTCTAATATATATAACAAATACACATTATCAACCTATGGTTGGATCACACCAATAACTTCTGGCACTTATTCTCTGCATGTTATTACAGTATTATTTTACTTCAGTTTATTATTTTGCAGTAAAAAAAAAAGATTGACACACACGAGACGTCAAGTTCACGCTAATCATGTTTGGCATGGGCAACTCGAAGTCGTTAACTATTGGCGCATGGACGAGCTGATAAAGATTGGACCACTGGTAACTAATTACTAATCTAATAGTGTAGTAGTATAATAACTTCACATGAATCATTACTGTTTGAAGTTGGACATGTTAATGATTGCCTGATTGGTAATAGTCCGTCTCTATATCATCATCATAAAATGATTACTTACCATTGTTCTTAGGCCTAGTAACTTATACGCCATGCTTAATCCTTTAGATTAGAAGGTTCTTCAGAGATTTCATTCGTTTAGTATAAAAGGAGAATATCTCCTACCTTTAAAGACACGCTTATTATTATGTTCAAACAGCTTTACAGCACTAAGAGAGGAGTAACTCTTGTTTATTGCCTTAGTTGAATTGCTTTTCTTCCAAGACAAAACTTGGAGATCTTGTCCACTTCTTCCGAAAGCTTGTCTTGATCTTGTAACCGCATCTGCTAACCATACAATTGCCCTGTCTCTACCCGGTTTCTGCAGCCTCCTCATCATATCCTGATGGGATCTTCTTGCCTGAGTCTCAGACAGAAGATACAGACAGAGTCTTCCACTCGGTTTTCCGGTATATTCCAAACCGGCATTGATCCATGGCATTCATATCAAATTGATAAAGCAAAGATCTTCCTCTTACTATTCCTCATCTTCTTCTTCCTCAAGTTCTTTAGGAGCAGTTTCTTCTTCAGCGCGCAGTAACAGATCCTCATAAGCTCTCATAGACTCAGCAGTGAATCTCTCCATAGCTTCAAAAATCCGCTGCAAACTACCTTGTAAACTATCGTTGCTTGTATCGCTCTGGTAAACAACGTTCCCAGATAACGAAAGACTGTTATTACCACCATCACCAGGTGCCACAAGAACCATCTTCTTCTCCAGTGCTTGAATCTCTCTGTGTATCCTCTGTTCTTCCCTATCCATGTTCCTAACTCTCTTCTCATCCCCGTGCCCCATCATCGTCGTCTCCAACCGATCTTGCTCCCAGAGCTGAAGCACGCTCGTAGTGAAGCTACGCATCGCCTCAATGACTTCCTTCTCTGAAATCCTGTCCAAAGCTTGAGACCATTGGTTACAGATCACAAAGATCGGTGGAGCTCCGATCCGACCAGGTGAAAAAGGAGCGATCCCATCAGCTGTTTCCTCAGGCTCGTAGAGAAGACACTTCATGAGCCATTTATTCAACTCTCTCACGTAACCTTTCTGCGCGCTAACCCAGCTCGAGAACCCCAAGATCCAGTTTATAAGCTCGTGTCCAAGCAAACTCGTTGCCTCTAGATGTTCATCGCCGAGTTTCTTGCTTGCCCTTATCGGTCCTAACCCTCGAGCTTCCCTAATAGCTTGACACTGGCTTTGATGACACTCGAGCATCGCTTTCCACATTCTTGTAAGCCTGACAAAGAAACTTAACTCAACAACATTTCCATTTGCAAACATTGCAATAATATACTCGGAGAAGCATCATATAGTGTTTATACCCTTGAATCAATGCGTTCAATTGCGGCCAAAGGTCTTCGTCTCTGATTTTATTAATCGTCACGGATATTTTGTCGACAACCTGAATCGCAATCCGTATCTTCGTGGACATGTCTCTCACTAATCTCCTTGTCGTATCTACTTTAGTAGCTTCAGCGCCTCTCTCATCCAAACGCTTTAGCTTCCTTAGCTTTTTCTCGTGCGCTATCCGCAATTTCTCCTCAGCCTAAGAGTAAAACCTTCTTCAGACAAAAGAAAACAGAACAGAACACATCCAGAGATGTTCTAAGATCAAAATGTTACCTTCACTTCGTGGTAAAGCTTCTTCTCCCATAGATGAAGCTTGTGCAATGTCGAAGATAGATTCCTCGACCTTGACGCAAGCTCTTCTTCAATGTCTGCATACGTTGGCTGAGCAGCAGCAGTAGCAGCAGAAGAAGATGTAGATGGTAGCGATGGAGTAACACCGTGTAACAATTTCGAAGAAGCTGCTCCAATTCACACACAGAGACACAAAAAGTTTCAGACTTTACACAATCAGTTGCAGAAAGCTGAGAACTTTATTAAGCAGAGATCATTTTATAACTTACCATGTTTACGACCATAAGGTTGCTTCCCGACTTCAAGTAGCTTGGCGATCTCACTTCCCGACTCTGCAGCTTTCACGAATTGATTCTCAATCTCTTTCGCTACCTCAGGCACCGCACGTGCCCCTCCTCCTCCTCCGGCGCCACGTGTCGACGTGGCATTGCTCTGTCTTTCCTCGTCTTCCACGACCTTCTTCTCAACGACGTGGACATCGTACTTCATCCCTTCCTTCTCCACCGACACGCTTGGCCTAGTCTGATACATGGACGCCTCTGCATCTCCACCGCCGCTGGTGCTGGCGCCGGATTTATCAGCTGGAGAAGGAGGAGACGGAGGCTCTTCCCTGTACACGGCGGCGGGTTTCGGCTGATGATTACCGCCACCGCCGCCGGCGGCGAATTTCGGTTTCCCGTGAACTTCCTTAACAACCTCGTACTGTGAATCGTCGTCTTCCAGCTCCGGGATACCTTCTTCCTCTCTCAACTCTCTCGAATCTCGGCTCGGAGTGTACGGAGGGTAATAAGTGTCGAACGGATTAAGAAAATCCCAGCCGTTGGACCTAGGCGGCGACGGCGGAGGCGGAGGCTGTTTAGAAGCCGCCGGCGCAGAAGAAGTTGAAGAACCGTAGTATCCGGGTCCGGGTCCGGGTCCGGGATTTGAGTATCCGAAATACGAATTGGGAGGAGGATAAGGATTGTAAGAAGATGAAGAAGATGATTCGCCGACGTAGACTCTTTGAGGGCTAATTGGTCTTTGCTCGTAGATGACTGAAGGAGGCGTCGATTTGTTCTTCATGTAATTCATGTGCATATAACTTCCACCGTACGAAGGAGGAGGAAATTGACCCATCATTTCCGGATTCGGGTACCGGGTATAACCCGGTTGTTCCATGTAAGGCCCGGCTTCGTGTATCGGGAAATTGCCGAGGTGGTGGTGGTGTTTTGGAGAGTGGTGATGCAGCGAATCCGAATCCATATCCAAATGGTCTCCTTCTTCGTCTTCATCATCATCGGAATCATCCGAATCGAAATCGAGATGACCCGAATCAGAACCCGAACCCGAACCCGAGTGGGCGTGAGAAGGAGGTAGTTTTGCTTTTTTCGGCGAATTCTTCCCTCCGTCGCCGTCGTCGTCTCCTTCGGGGTCACCTTTTCTGTGAGGTGGAAGGTTGAGCCTGGGAGAGTCACCACCGGCGTTGGCGCCGCCGGAAGCGACGAAGCGGTGGTGGTGGTTGATAAAGAGGTGGAGTGAGTGACCGATTCCTCTAAGCGAGTGAGTGTAGGCCACGTGTGATTCGGCTAAAAGGTAACGTTGCTGAATCGCGGCTTCAAGGAAACCGCAGCGTTCACGGCAGAGAGCAACCGCCGGAAGATCGTCAAGCTTGGAACTTGTACAACCCATATCAATAATTCCAAAAAAAAAAAAAAAAAAAATCAATTTAAAAAGGAAAGCAAAGATTTGAAATCAGGGAAGAGAAAAGACTTTTGTTAAAAGAAAGAGAGAGAGAGAGAGAGAGAGGAGAGAGAGAGTTGAAAGGTAGGTGAGAGGAATAAGAGATGGAGGCGCATAAGGGGCAAAGAAGGTGTGGGTTGATGGTGATAGAAAGAAAGAAAGAGTTGAAGTGATTGTTTTTCTCCAGAAATTATTATTTCAATTTTAGGGCTAAGAAAAGAAAAGAGATAAAAATGAAGGATTTATGCTCAGGAAGAAGAAGAAGGAGAATGAAGAAAACAAAAAACAAAAGAGAAAAAGTTAGAAGAAGAGAGAAAAAAAAAACAGCAAAGGACTGTGAAGGAATCTTGCCAGCACCGAGATTTTCGTCCGTTTCTCCCATAGGATTGAAGTCGGTGTTTTTTCCTGTATTTTCTTTTTCATGTAATTAATTACTATAATCTCCTTTTCAGAGTAATTAATTAGCCCAGAATTTGGGTTTAAGGAGGAAACAGAGAGAAAAAAATTGAAAAATGAAAAACTTTTCAGGACAGTACTTTGAGAAGTTCAGACAGATGACATGGATCTTAGAAAAGATACGGTTAGTTTTGATCTTTAAGTTTAAATGGAACAACAAGTACTATTTGGCTTTGGCTTTGGTTTGACGGTAACTTTGACCCGTTTTGACCATTTTTTGTTGTATCCCTTGTATACCCTTGGTTGTAGTCTTTAATTACGTAACGACACTATTTTGATTTTGGACAATTTATATCATAATGTGCATGATGGTAACGGGTAACGTAAGAAATTAAATGATGAAATGTACAGGACTTTTTAATTAATTGTATGGAAAGTCAAAATTTAATATTGATTATGGTTAAAGGGAATATATGGATCTCGTTTTCTTTATTTATTTATTTTTTTTAATTAAAAATGGTATTGTAGTTGGTTTGGATGTTCAGACTAAAGACGTAAACCAAATGGAGTTTGTTACCTACAGCACTTCAGGCTTCAGGTGTGATGCTAACGTCGTCAGGTTTATTCCTCTCTCATTGACTATACTTCTTATTTTTTTTTATTATCGATGTGTTTTGCTATTTGAAAAATAAATTAATACTAGTAATAAGAGTCAATGAAGATTTAATAAAACGAGTCAACCATGTTTTTCAGTATTCTAGTGTAGAAAAAATATTGGGTAGATTTTATTCCAGACCATGAAATTTTGGATCGTCAGTCCGTAACGTTGTTTGGGCTGAAAACGAAGCTGAGGGAATTTTCTTCCCAAACAGATTTGAACTTAATTCTGATTACCGTTAAAACAATGTTTCTTTAATGGCTGAGCTACTTTGGATAAGATATTACGTAGCTTATCTGTTTTGGAGTATAAAAATAGATAAAAAGAAAATCAAGAAGGCTCAAAGTGTGTGACGAGATTTTGTTTGTGTGTAAAAAAAGTGTGTAACGAGTTTAAACCAAATACTCTAAACGAGAATTGCAGATAGAGGGAAACAAGACTTGATACACACACTAAAACATGCTGATATATATAAATTTCTTCTTTTTGTTCAAAATATATATATATATATATATATATAAATTTCTTCGAGGGTGTTATCTTACTATCTTCAGGTATTTGGAGAGACACGAGAATTTTGTTTCCATTATGTTACGTACCGACTTCACACAAAAGACAACAGCGATTTTCTTTTTAACTTGTTCTAAAACATGTATATACAATCAGTAAGATAATAACACCCTAGAAGAAATTTACATATAGATATACTTATCATTATCTCCCCCCCCCCCCCCCCCCCGAATTTCTATTCATCACAATTCACAACAAAACAAATCAGGTCCGTTCAGCATAAAAACAAATCAGGTCCATACCGACAAAAGATGTGGTGACGAGTTATACATATAGGCACAACGTTATAGAAATCAAACAAAGCCTCAGGATACATAAGCAGGCTTAGCATCAAAGCCTTGTAATTGATAGTTGTAAATTCTAATTTATGCAGAATAACTTGGTGCTGAAGCAACCCCTTTTGTCCCTTCTGTTTTCCTTTTTCACTTTTCTTTCTAAACAAACTCTTTTTACTTTTTCTATTTGTCTGGTTTTTTATTTCGCAAGATTTGCCTTTTTACTACATGATAATTCCTTTATCGTTTCCAAAACTAAGACAGATATATAAAAAGTGGTGGTACATTCAATTTAACATGTCTACTTTTATATCACACATGATAAAAATAGAAATAAATCTACTGTATTTGAGGCCAAGGGTCGAGTCGAAGGATAGAAAAGGCTTCTATAGATCTAGCATTCAGATTTCGACCATAAAATAAACGATGCATGTGATGTTTTCGAATCTTTCGACCATAAAATTAGTCATTTAATGTAAAATCGGAAGCTCGTAAACTTTGGGCGTAGTCATGAGATATATGCTTTTTATTTCGACTAAAATAAGTATGCTAGCTTCATTTTCCGACTCACTAGAATTATCTCCCACAAAGCTATATTTTGGTGACCAGCGAACATTCTCGACAGCTTACCATTAAATTTTACTAAGGGTTACCACTAACACTTGACTGTTCGAAGGAAACTGGATGTGCAATCAACTATCGGTTTTGTCACGTTTTGATTCATTCAAGATTTTCTTGTAGGGTATCACACCTTAAGTTTCAAAACAAATTTATGCATGATACCTAACCATTTTGGAAGTATCTAAAAACTTAAAATTGATTACCAAAGATGTAAAATTTGGTTGAGATTTGACAATATCGTTATTGGTCAATGTTCAAGTATTTTCACTTTATATCAGTAATATTCGGTCATGAGTAGTATTCGGCCATGTACATGTTCTATATGCCAAAAAAGCCATATTTTTTCATAAAATTTAGGATGATCATATGGATTTCAACACGAGAATCGCTATAAATAGTCAGTGTCCCAAAGCGCATTTGATATTTATGATCCTGCAACAAAGATCCGGTTTTATTTTACTCCATTTCGTGCGTATATGGTTTTACTAACTACACAGCAGACTAGTAGTCAAGAGTTATGCCAGATTAAACGACTAGTAGAGATCGTAAAGTATTTAATTGTCATGCAAAATTATTTGACAAAGGTCCAAAATCTTAGTGATGTTTAGGTTAGGTGCGAAATATAAGAAGAGCGTGTTGATTCAGAGGTAGTGATATTTTGAGAAAGTTACTTTGGTCCCCTATCCACGTTCAACAAGTCAATTAATTGTAACATTTTGGGGAAAGAGTGATGAAGTAAATTTTGTATAGTGCTATACTTTGAAATTGTAAAAAGAAATAAAAGTGGGAATATTTAAGAGTACAGTACTAAAACATTGAATTTAATGCATTGTGACGTCGTCTTCTTCTTCTTGTCCCTTTCACCTTTTTATTTTCCTCACTTTCTTTGGCTTATCAGGTTAAGCACGTCCAAGTTCAGCACCATTTACTTTGCCGATTCTAGAATCTAGATAACACTGTTTTTAATTTCTAGGGTCGACTGATAAAAGTATTTTTTTTACACATAAAGTTCTATTATTTTGTTTGTTAATGCCCATGAAGCTCTTCTATACTTCATTTGGATCAAACTAATCGGCATATTTAATTTAATTTTAATAATAATATATATATTGCAGAAATTATACAATCAAACTATATACAATTGTGTACCATTGCTCGCGGGGATATTGCTCTGAGCAAAAAACTGTTACCAAGCAAAACTTCTTAAATTTACTTCATATTTGCTTTAGCGATCATATTCGACGATAACAAAAGCAATGAAGTGTAAATACTGTAGGTTTTTTTTTTTTGTAATGACGATAGTATAGATATATTTCTCCTTATTTCTGACTTATTTGGGTACCAAACGGCCGTACTAATATTTCTTTCTTTCAGCTTTTTTAATTGAATGCCTGATTTATCTTTTCTAACAAAACTTGCTTTAAACTGCTTTTCCCATGGTATAATGGATTATTTGGCTGGAAAACATAGAGGAAGAAAACGTCAGTCTCAAACCCAAAAAAGACGATAATCAATTCAGTTGAGCAAGATTTTTCATACTTTTATTATAAAGCCTTAAAACATAAGGAAAACATTACACTTAGGCATATTCCAGGAGATTCTAATTGTTTTGCTGACTTTCAATTTGGTTCCGATTTCAGTTACGACTTACGCGTACATACGGATTAAGTAAGTTCTGGCAACACACAAGCACATGTATATACAACAATCATTATATAACTCTCATCTCATTCTTGACTGATTAGTTCTGATTTATGTCTGCCGGTGATAGACTAGGCTTTGCACATTACTACGACTCATTAAGTGTGAGAACAAAATAATTGTATGATAGTACTGTACAGCTTATTGTGACTAATGTGATGGTCATTAATGGAAAGGTATTGATTTTAGGGTTTATAGGAAAAAATAAACAAAACACAAAAAGGCTCTAAAAGAAGGGGGAAATTCGGCAGTCACAGAATAATTGGCCGACGACAGGTAACATGTGACACACATTTCACTGGTGAAAAAGGTCATTACACACTTATTTTTGTGCAAATAGGTTCATTATACACATGCTTTCATAATATATAATTTATATCTTTATGGAGTAGTATTTAAATATGTGTTTCTGTATATAGTACTCCTCCGTTTCAAATTAGTTGTTGTTTTGGGAAAATGTATCTGCAATTATTTTGATGTATCTGCAATGCAAAATACGTTCAGATACGTCCAAATATTTGCAGATATATTTTGCCAAAACGACAACTAATTTGAAACAGAGGGAGTAATAGTCTTTTTTCTTTTTTCTTTTAGCTATTTTATTCGATATAAGTTCTGTATATAATAACAAGAAAAATCATGGTCAAGGAAAACAAATCATTACGAGAATCGATATTAGTTACAGTAAAAAGAAAAATCTTTAATAAAGGGTCCTAAAACCAAAGAGTATATTCAGGTAAAGCCAGCTAAACAGAAAAGCTTGGTTTTTTCCTGTAAAGAAAAAAGGAAAGAAGCAGAAAACTCAACTCGAAGGAATCGCTTTGACTTTCTTGTGTTCCTCATTGGAACTAGTGATTCTTCTCTTACGCATTTACTTATTTATGACTCTGCTTAATTTTCTTTTGTGGTGTAGAAACTATATGATTTGTGTGTTTAAATTAGGTAAAATGAAAAGAGAATTTTCAACAGAAAGCAACTGTGACTAGAGTCTGACTCTGATCTGATCGATTTCTATCTTCTTTCTCTACCACTGGCATATCATTGTTCTTTTTGTTCTTTTTTTGTGGAGATCAATTCACTCATCGTACAACCTATGTTCGACTTTCAACTTGAGAAAGAAAACACAACAGAAGATCCGAATACAGAACAAACGTACCATTGGCAATCTGGCATAGTTAGTGTATATAAATTCATACGAAGTGTGTATGTAAATAGCGAATTTAGAGTAACATAAAAGGTAGTCATTTTTTTAGGTATTCAACGAAGCTAGAATTGTTTTTAGAACATATGATTGTAGAAAATCGCATCCACCCTAGATAGTATCGACTTTCGAGACTGTATAATGCATGGTACCAAACTACATAAACTGTATGTAGGTTTCGATAAATAAGTATAAAATAACGTGTATACATTTAACAAAAAAAATAACGTGTATACATTGTACCTACTATAATTATAAACTGGAACTGGACCATTGGTCTTTTGTATAGTATCGGGGTCGCTGTCGAGGTAGGCCAGAACAATTACGGGAGAACACAGAATGTGAATGTTAATATGGTTTCGAGGTTTAATGTTATTCCTTTTTTCATTATTTAATACTGCTGTACAATATCTATGAAATAAATATATTATACGAAAAGACATAGACAAGACAGCCTAAATGATAATCAACGACCTAACCCTATGATTAGATTCAACAATTTGTTTTCCCTCCTTTTCAGATTTTGATTCATTTTTATCCTATGATCGTACGTACCATCCCATTAGCGGCGTATTTTGAAAGCGAAATAAATAAAAATCGGGAAAAGAAAAGATTTCAGTGGGCGTAAATATATAAACGCTTATATAGTGTTGATCTTGACAATAGGTCTTTTTTAAATTTATATAGAGAGTGATATAACAACTCAGTTACCTGTTGCAAACACTAGTTAATTCTGATCATAAAGGTGAATTTGCTGGTAGAGATAAGTAGTTGACCTCCAATTGATTATTTGTTGGCATTATAGATTCTTAAATTGGTAGCAAAACGCATGGTTACAAGTGAAAGCAAATTTCAACCACATATCATAAATGATCTTGTTCCACTTGATAGATACTCTCAACTCAAGTAATAAGGAGACTTAAAAAAACTCCTTACATTTATGTGTTTTTAGCATTCCTTTTGCAAATAACCCTGACGTGACGCAAGTTAAATGACGAAGAAGAAGCTCACAACCCTAACTTCTAACAAAAGACCTTCCAATCTTAGCTTAAACCGGAAGACACAGAAATTCAGTCAGTCTCGAGCTCGGAATCAAAGGGACTTCAGAAAGTTGGGCCTGATTGAACTAATGGGCCCGTAAGTATTGTCACGATAAATGAAACCTCTCTTGCAAGTCACAATAATCAAAACCCCTAATTCAACCCGAGTAAGCAGGAACAGGATGATGAAGCACACCCAAACGATTTTCGCCAAGGTATACAAAAACCATTCCTTTATCTTATTTTCCTTTGACTATACCTTTAATACATTGATGGTATGTCTCCTTTATCCGAATCCCATCTCCGATTTCGCTGTTCGTGATTGTATTCTTCTTCTTTTTTTTTTTTTTCAGTATTGTGGAAGAGCGTTATCAACCATCGCCTCTTCACCCGTGTCCTCTGTCGTTAAGGGTTCGTGGAACAATCTGGATGGTCTGGCTCTTTCTGGAGCATTTCTTGTTGGATGGTTTGGCCACACCTGGATAAGTATGATTGATCTCCTTGAGGATTTGGTATTCGTTTGTAAAATCCAAAAAAAAAAAGTATTCGTTTTTAACAATCAATATCTCAATTCGTGTTTCCAGATATTTACCATAGAAGAGAGAATTGGTACAGAGTAGACAGCTTGTGGAAGGAGACCGATAGGCGTTCAGATGAGGTGGAAGCTATAGCTTTGGCTATCCCGGATCGCACGGTAAGCAAAGTTTGACTCAAACTTGTTTAATAGAATAATTACGGATTTATTGCTTTTCGTATGCATGTTGAACCATTTGAGTTTGTTTCACTTTCAGGCAGGCTTGAAATTGAACAAGAATCGTGATCCTACTAGTTGAATAATCCAGTCTCGTATCTTCATCCCGATGGCAATATCCATGATCGTGTTTTTCAATTGTGTTTCATAAGGTGTTTTTTTTTTTAATATATTTGTGTAATGCCTTTAAGTGCTCTCGGAACCGAACCTGCCTGTTGAGTTTGGTCCCTCTTAATCTTATCTCTATATATCTATTTAAGATCATGTATGTCTCCTCTGCTTCTGCTTTGTTCATGTTTTCCTTCCTTAGTTTGCCTTTATTTTGAAACGCAAAGTTTTGCATACGATACTTATCCACATTGGTAACTGTAATCGGTAAGTAGAATGGTTTCATGACATTTGCAAATAAACAATTTAGGCAAGGCAAGGTTCTTTTCGTTTGTTGACATAGGGGACACAAATAAAAATCTGATGATTACACAACCACGACCAAATAAAGTCTGATAGATTATTTATTACAGAGACAAAAGGATCATTACTCTTGTTTTTCCAGAAATGCCTTCAAGACGGCTTCGCGTTCATCCAACCGCTGCAATATTTTCACTGCCGTCTGAAACATGAGAAGAAGAAGAAGAATCATTTCATTATACATTATACATTATACACAGGACATCAAAAAGGGTTATTTGCAAAATCCAATCCCTCTTTTGTTATGTACGTACCTCTCCATCTTCCTGAGTTTGCTTCGCGACGGGGCTTGATGTTATACCACCTGAAGAAACCAAACCAACATGTTCAATGAAAAATCTCCTTTTATAGCAAATACTTTCATAGCACAAACATAAATCAAATCTTACACATGACGTACCGATCACGTATCCAGCAGCACAAAACGCCCCTCTAATGCCGTATTCACCAATTTTGGTGCCAACTAGAGATAATTGATTTAAGAAAATTAAGAGCAAACCAGATATCAAGTGGCGGAATTCGAATTTGATTGAAGCCATGACAATAAAAGGAGATCACCTACCTTTCTCGCTTGCGGATGAAAAATGACGATACTGCAGCCCCCCCTTGCCACAAGCCTGCAAATTTGTTCCTTCAATTTCAGTGACCTAAATAAAATATTTAAACACACACGGACAAGATCTATCCATTACCTCAGCCAAGGTTTTTCCTAATCCTAGGTACCGCATCATCTTCTCTCCTCGTCGAATTGGGGAATCTAGGGTTTTGAGATTGGGATGGTGATTTTCGGATCAATTTGGGCCTGATGCCATTGTGTGAGTCTAGAGCCCTAATATATTAACAAGAAGCTCACAACCCTAACTTGTAAATAACCCTTTTTCAAAAAAAAAAAAAAAAAAAAACAAAACCCTAACTTGTAATAAAAGTTAAACGAGAACACAAGTACAAAGGATGGCTCGTAAAGGAATCTCATTTTCTTTTCACCTTTTGGTTTAATCTCAAGGAACACAAAGAATCTTTAATTACAAGAAGAAGCACAATAACCATTCAAGAACATAGCAACAGTGAAGCTCACAGTATAGATTGCAAATGCAGTTTTTTTAACATTGTTGAATCTTATTAAGACTCCACAAAAGCCAGAACTCAGAAGTAGATGTCCGATTGCTTGGATTGTGCCTTTAGATCCTTGAGTTTCTTCAAAATGTTGCTGAAGTAATCCTGCAAGTACTTCTCTAAAGTCACCAAGTCCTTTTGATCCACACCTAGTAGACTATTAGTCTCGGTCATCGGAACAGAGAAGACTGTGTCACTCGAGAGAACCTATACACGCCCGTCCCAACATCATAGATGTTAAGACTAAAACGAAACAAAAGCATCATTAGATTCAGGTGACACAGAGGCTGGTTCTTAGGTACCTCTGTGAAGGCCAATCGATCCGCGACATCGTTCGTCCACTGGAACAAGCGAGTTAATTGACGCGTGACTCTCAATACGGAAACTGGAACCGTGGTGACATTTGCATCTTGCCCAGCAAGTCTCTCACAAAGTGTTATTACCTGAAATGTGTTGAAAACAAAAAGAAAAGGGTTATGCTTAAGCAACTGTTTCTCTCTATTCATTTCATACAGAAGAAGAAGATGATTACTTCTTGGGTTGTCCATGCACGAGGGCCAGCGAAAGTTAGAAGCTTTCCGTTGATTTTGTCATTCCGTAAAGCAATAAGTGTAAGCCTAGCAATATCCTGTTATAGCAAGATGCATGGAACATGTTACATCATTTTGTTACAGAGAAGATGAATTAGTTACATCTAAACATTGTTTACTTGCCTGCGTGTCCATGTAAGCAACACGCGTTGGTGCATCTGTTCCCCAAACCGATTTTTCCTCCAGAATTGGGACTGCATATTGACCAATAAGACCCTGCAGAGTCACTCAGACAAGGTTTAGCCATAACAAAACATTCAATCTTGAACCTATGGCAAAGACAAGTGGTCAGGGAAAATGGGATGATGAGGCTTACTTGCATGAAACCGCATAACCGGATGGTGATGTGGTTTAAACCGGATTCCTGGAGGAATTTCTCGGTACAGTATTTGATCTCCATGAGAGGAACCTCAGGATGCTTGTCGCAGTTGTGGATTGAGTAGAAGACGTATTTCTGAATCCCCATTGCCTTTGCACATTGTATCAGAGCAACTTTCCCTTCCCAATCTACCTAAACCAAACACACACAAACTCAGCTAAATTCCACAGCTCAATTCAACAATCAACAAAAACAAGCAAAGACATGAAAGTAACTCTTAGTCGTCGAACACACAAACCGGTCATACAAATAAAAGAATAGAATCTTTCACAACAACAATGACAAGTACAAATCAATCACAAGAATTCATAAGATGAAAAATTGAAGCTTACCGTCTTGATAGGTTCTTCAGGACGTCCCGTGGCACAATCAATTACAGTGTGGATTCCGACCAATGTTGCCGGAATTGTCTCCGGTTTACTAAGATCCGCCTGGTCCGAAGAAAAAATCCATGCGGTTTAGTTCTCTATTGGAGAAACCGAATCAAAAGACATGGAAACAGAGGAGATGTGGAATACGTACATTGACGACGGTGGCACCCCAATCACGGAGGAAATCGGCGGGAGCTGGTCTTGGTCGGACCAAGCATCTGACATCATACCCTTCGTCTAAAGCTCGCCGGACGATTTGTCTTCCCAGTGTCCCGGTGGCTCCGACCACTAAGATGCTCGTCGGTCGGATTGGAGTTCCCGGCGCAAGATTAACCGCTGCAGCACTGCATGTAACCGGGAGTAGTACCGTTGATGGTTTCCGGTTAAGTGATGAGGAAGATGGGAGACTCGGAATTGAATTGCCCGATGTGAGCGAGCGCCGCCACGAGAGGCGTCGAAAGGAGGAGGAAGAGTTATGGTCGTTGAGAGTGCCACGTGTAACGAGCTGAGCGGAGAGCCTGAGAGAAGCCATCATCACCAGTTGGATGGAAAGAAAGAGAGAGCGAGAGAGAGAGAGAGAGAGAGGTGAGGGAGAGAGATAGAGAGAACCGGTTGATGTAAGTTTGGCCACGTCAGCTCGTCTCTTTTGAAACTGGATTAGTTTTAGTTTTCGTTTTTGACTATTAAATCTAACTTTTTTCCATTCGGACCGAACACCCTCCATTCAATGGTCATAGATAATTGTCTTACATCTTTTATCTCTCACCTTTGCCAATGCCTAATTTAAATATTTGATGTTTTGATTAGCTAATGACATTCATTAACTACCGTTTAAACACAATCCTTATTCATAAGTTAATCATAACTATTATTGGAAGCAGTAATCCCAATGGTTGGAAGAAGACGAACCTTCATCCAGGTTTTAGAATCGCTTAGAACTAGTGATTAGTAGCCCAAAACAGTTTTGTCATGATGTAGGGGGGGGGGGGTTTGTGCACTTTTTCTTAGCCGTATTTTTCATGATATATATATTTTTTGGAGAAAATGACAAAACTGTGGAAAAACTAATTTTCTTAAATCAATCTAATCAAATACATGCTTAGATAATAATTAGTTTTCTAGAAAACAAAAACAAAAATCTAATATCTTGTTTATATGGTCGGTGGTTTTTAAATTCTAGCCTCTCTGAATTTGCGTCACAAGTGGAATCAAGTGGAATTAGATTTTTGCTTTTGAGATTCTTAGGTGAAAGACCTTGTGGTAATAAAATTGGGAATCTTACCAAAGAAAAGAAATTGATTGACCACTTAATCTTTTATGCAGTATGATGAGAAAGGCTTTCAAAGCTGTGTTTTCCAAGAGATACTTGGTTGACATGTTGTGATTACTAATCCGAAACTAAACAGTTTTGTCATTGTGACGAATTTGTGCATTTTTTCTTAGCCGTATTTTTTTTTCTTTTTTTATAATTTCTTGGGAAGAAAATGACAAAACCGTAGAAAAACCAGTTTTTTTTTTTTTTTTTTTTAAATAGGGAATTAATTTAAGCAAATTCATGATTATATAAAAATTTGTTTTCTAGAAACAAAAACAAAAATCTATCCATTCTAGAACCTGCCAGACCGCAATAGAGTTTTGCGGAGTCGATCCTGCCTAGATTGGAAGAGAAGGGAATGTAAAGACCATATCATCATGTTTCCATTTAATAGTTTTCCTTGTGATGTTTCATATTTTCATTGGTCGACTCAAAACAAACTTTAGTATGCCTCATGTGTTTTTAGTTCTCTATGGTTAATCGATACAGAACATTCTGTGAATCCCAATAGAAGTCACTTTTGCATCTTCTTCTACTTAGTGCAAGTTTCTCGGACTTGGAAAGATTAAAGGGAAAAAAAACTGAAAACGCATTTCTCAGGTCTGGATATTTGGCAACCAAATTTTCATTGAACTTTTTTGACAAGAATTATATTGAGACGACGAACCCCAAAGAAGCGTAGCAACAATAATTATTTGGAATTGAAAAGTTTGGACTAAAGAATGTATAAAAAACTCAAGAGGTACAAAACCAAACACCGTGGATCATACCCATATATTTTGGCAACACAACAAATCTTTAGCAGGAACTTTTGATGATGATTTATGCAGAGAGAAGAAGTAAATTTTTGTCACAAAGTCGTCGTCGTCACTCTAGATTTGCAATGACCGCATCAACGACCTGTTGCGTAGTGCTTTGCCCACCAAGATCTTTAGTCCGGACTTTTCCTTCAGCGATGACTCTTTTCACTGCGGTTTCAAGCCGGTCAGCAAACGAAGGAAACTGAAGATGTCTCAGCATCATGGCCGATGAAAGAAGCAACGCCACTGGGTTTGCTTTGTTCTGAACCACAATCTTATCTTTCCCAACATTCCCTGCTGAAGCACCTTGCTCAAACACCGCATGGTCAGCCCCAACATTCCCTGTAAACGTCACATAGATCACAAACTACTCCAAAATCGCATCTCCAGAGCCGTAATTGAAAGAAAAAAATCATATTTTGTTACCTCCAGGCATGACTCCTGTACCTCCAGCTATACCAGCAGCAGTGTTTGCAACTAAATTACCATAGAGATTCGGCGTTACCTGCAACAAACCATTTATCAAGCCAATGCAAACATCAATGAGAGAGGACATAGATACATATGTTAATAATCAATCATACCATGACATCGAATTGCTCTGGTTTAGCTACAAGCTGCATACAGCAGTTATCGACGATGATTTCATTGTAGTTGATGCTTGGATACTTTTTAGCAACCTCTCTACAAGATTCCAAGAACAATCCATCCGCAAGTTTCATGATGTTGGCCTTGTGCACTGCTGTCACTTTCTTCCTGTTGTTCAGGTACGCATACTCAAATGCATACTTCGCTATACGCTCCGAGCAGAACTTCGTGATCACCTACCAGAGCAAATACGATCACAAAACCATTATGAATCAAACCCAGATAATCAATCAAAATGTCACTATAGCTACTTTCCAATTCCATAAGCGTAAGGCCATAATCATATAATCAATCGAAAATTCTGTAAGAGGAATAGAAGATAGTGACCTTAAGGCTCTCGACGACGCCGGGAACAACCTCGTGCTCAAGCCCAGCGTACTCGCCTTCGGTGTTCTCTCTGATGACGACGATGTCGACGTTTTCATGGCGAGTGGGCAAACCAGGCAGATTGAAGCAGTTGACCAGAGAGGCGAAGAGGTCAAGCTCTTTCCTGAGCTGCACGTTGAGCGAGCTCACACCACCACCCACGGGAGTCTTGAGCCCGCCTTTCAAGCACACCTTGTTCTTCCGAATCGACTCCATCACTTCCGGCGGCACGCGGCTCATTTCTCCGTGGACGTCGTACTTCTCGAAGTAGATCGGCGCGTGCATCGCTTCCATCACCTGCTCCACCGCGTTCGTCACCAGCGGACCGATCCCGTCGCCGGGAATCAGCGTCACTGCTCGCGGTGCTCCGTCGCCGGGTCTGGGCATGTAAGTCACGGATCGGGTCTGGATACCCGAACCATTCGCGCTTCTAGCTAGATTCTTCAAGAGAGTCAGCGATCGGCGAGACATCTTTTTTCGCTGCGGAAATAGTTTGAATCTGAATTCTGAAGGAGAAGATGACTGATGACGCCTTTTGGCCTTTGGGTGCTGGAGGCGGACGAAAAGCGCGTTTGTTGTAAATCTTCATCTATTTACACAAATGCCCCCCAAATTCTTTCACCTCATTAATATATTCCCATAATAAATTTGATCCTTTCTTATCTCAACGATTTGGCAAAATCATCATTTCCGTTATTTCTACAATGGTCCCCAAAGTTTTCACCTCATTAACATTTTCTCGTAATTAATTTGATATTTGCTTATGAGACCGCATTTGTTCAATTATGACTTCAAGTATTTACACAACTGACCCAAAACTTCTCTGGTTTTACAGTCTACAAAAAAGCCAATGGTAACGTTTAACTGCATGACTGAATTTTCAAACAAGTTAAACGTTTTCATGTGTTTTTACTTTTTAGTAAAAGAAAATTTTACAAGTAGAAAATATTTCAGTATGACAAAATACTTACTTGCATAGCGTTTAGTAGAATCCAAATGACAAATGATGTACATGAAAATAAAATACATAATAAGCATGTTCCTGGTAATGCATCGCCTTATTATACAAAAAATCTGCTAAGCCGATGCACAAAACCAGTCCACTACTACTGCTTTTGCAAAATCCAGAGCACTGAAAATATGTTTACAAACGATGCTCCTGGCTATAGATTGGTGAGTAATAGTCTTTTTCTAACACACTATTAAATTAGTAGAATATTTTTTCTTCTTTTGCACCTGATTCTTCTTCTTATAACGAAGGACCAGGACCAGGACCGGTGCTACCAAAAGAACCTCCCAGCTTTACGTGAGAAGATTCATGAACACTTATCTTGATGGTGCGGCTCTGTGATAATCTATAAATGTCGATACATTCTTCAAGATCCGCTTCACATGTCAGAAGAACCCACTCCTTGTCATCATCCAAGTACTTAAGATCAAACGGTGCAATGTTATCTATGTTAAAACGCCTAGCGATCTCTTGCTGCAACTCTCTGAATCCCCACGTCGGCAGCAAAGTAAACCGTACTTTTCCCTCACCAAACGTGGCTTTCACTTTAGACGCGGCTCCTCCAGCTTTGCTACGACTCTCTGGTAACCTAGGTAGGTTTTCGAAATGAGGATGCTCACTGAATGTCTTGTGGCTCAAGGTTCTTGAGAGAGACTTTGTCTCCTCCTGGTTCGCAGTAGTATGCAGTCTTACTTCACTACGAGCTCTCTTCAAGATGGCCCCAGCGTTATCAGCCATCAGAGTGGTTGTTATGGTGTTTGATGTGTTTGTAGTATTGGTGGTGCTTTGATTAGCTCCAGTTGAGCAGCAAGTACTTGAACCAGAGCTGTGGCTACAAGAAGATGACGGCGGTGACTTTGGAGCTGCTGTAACACCACCGTTCTCGGTTGGAACATTCATATGCCTTGATGACTGGTCAGTGTTCTTCAAGGAAGCGCCGGTAACGGAAGCGGATAGGTTCGGTGAGCTTAATTCAGGGAAGCTTGTGTAGAAAGAGTCAAGTTGGATAGAGCCTTGAACACCTTGAACAGAGTCTATAACAAGTTGGAGTTTCTTCAACGAGTGTCCCACTTTCTTGATCTTCCTTGAAGGCCATCTTGTGATGCCGTGTTGCCTACATATTCTTTTCAATGTTGTTGGACAAACTGCAACATCAAGAATCAATCATCATTGCCTGAGAAATTTTGATAATAACAACAACAACAAGTTTGTTTCCTTACCACCAATGCTCTTGGCTGCATCTTTGAGGCTTCCTGCAAAGTACTGTCGAAGAACTTCTAAACCGATTGTCTTCTCTGTTTTTGTTCTTCTCTTTTCACCTGGTCTTCTACTTCCTAACAGTGGTTGTCCCAAACCAAAGGAACCTGATTCAAAACTTGGTCCTGAATTTGAAGAAGCCTTCTGAAACTGCTCTGTTTCTGAAAGGAAGTTACTTTGGACTCCTCTGCCAATCTGATTGCTGTTCCAGCCAGATGTCACCATGAATTCTTCTTTAGGCTCTTCTTTCTGATACTCCCATGAGAGAGACACTCCTTTACCTTTCTCATTGGCCTTTATCATGTGTGAGATCCATGAGGAATCTTCTTGAGAGATCTCTTCCAATGGCAAAGGTTTCAGATTTTCCCCTGTTTCTGCATCAACAAGTGGCTTCTCCGAGAAAACCACTTCCTCTCTAACAGGAAACACAACTTCTAGCTCAAGCTCCTTGTCGATGACAAGATGTAAGCTCCTGAAATCTTGCTGCAGTGTGACAGAGAGCGACTTGAGCATTTCTTGCTGCGCTTCTGTGTCAAGGCAAGATTTTGGGAAGAAGAACTCCAACACAAACTCAACCGAACCATTGAATTTGCTCATCAAAGGGACTGCTAAAGCAGCGTGTAAGCCAGAGATCTTAGCATGGTGTGCGAGAGGATAGTTTGTCTTGCTGAAAGTGGTTACTTCTGGAACGAAGAACAGTTTGCTCGCTTTAAACGCTTTCCCCACAATGCCTTCCCCTTGAAGCAGATGGTGGTCAGAGCATGCCTCTAGGAAGTTCTGACTCTGTTTGTCGAGGACGAAGCATGCAGTATCTACAGTTGAAACACACTCAGAGAAGTTCTCATCAGAGTGGCGTGATCCATCTTTGCCTTGCCGAGCACACGGTGCCCACGTTAAAGCCAGAGGCAAGTTATATGATCTGCAGACTGATGTCAGAAAGTCTGATACTTCAGGCAATGCTGCATAGTAGAATTGATTATAGACCTGCAGAAACTGAAACAGAGGAGCATATGATGACATTTAGCAACAGAGAGTCAGTGTGTTGAACAAATTATTTGGTTTAGGAGACCATTTTTACATACCTCTCTGCTTGGAGACTTCAAGTTTGTTGAACTTCTTAGATTAACAGCCTACAAAACAGAGGAACCTATTATAAGGCCAAGTGTTGCTGGTTTGGTTAGGTGATTAAGAGAATGAAGGGGAAGAGAAAAAACCTCGAGAGCTTTACAGATATTCTCAAGCTCAGGTCTGTAATTCATCTTCTGAGTTGTAGTGACAATCTCAACCACACCCAAACAAGTCCCACTACCACTTTCAAAGACAGGAAGTGCTAATGATCCACGAACATCACATTTCTGAGCTTCTTTGATGCGTGGATACTCTTCGCTTCGGAAGAACCGGACATCAGGTGTCCACTCCGGTAGCTTCCCGAGGAAGACACGGCCGGGGAGACCTACAGACTCCTTGGAGTCTTCATCAGCCAAGAAGTTATATTCCACTGAGGCATCTCTGTATCTCTTAAGACTCAAGTACTTGGGGTTGAAGAAGTGTGGCTGCTCCAAAGTAGTGAGAAAGTTCTTGCCTTCTTGTTGAATTGGAACCCATATCTGTATGAGGAAGTCTTTATCTTGCACAGTCTTTATCGCTTGTACTAGTCTGTCTTGCACCGATGAAGAAGGGCCTTGGCTTGTTCTTGGAGCAATCCACCATCTTCTTCCTACTTCATTTTCTTCAAGAAGAAACTTCTCTGCTTGTGCAGAAGTCATAGCTGTAGACTGGTCAAAAGACTCTTGATTCATCTGCTGATTGGTGACATCTTCGATCTTGAGAAAACCTGGTGTTAGTGGAGGAAACTTTCTCCCTGTTTCTTCGTTGGAGATTGGACTCTCAGAAAATTGGTAACCGTAAAGGAAAGAGTTGTTGTTGTTGTTGTTTTCATTCATGGTGGTAGAGTCAGAAACTGGCTGCTTCAAGCTCTTACCATCTGTTGCCTCAAGCCAACATCCATCAAAGAAGAGTTCTTCCATGAAATCCATATCCATAGGCGTATCAGAGAATGCACCAAAGCTAGAATTGGGTAAGTAACCACCATCTCCACCACAACCACCACCTTCCATATCAAAAGAATCTCTTGTTTTCTTCTTCTTCAAGTCAATCTTGCATCCACCAGAAACCAATCTTGTTCTTTCAAGAACCAGCAAGAACAAGCGTCTTTGAGGTCCCCTTAAGGTTCCTTTCCTCGGTGTCTACATAACCGATCTGCAAAGATTGCAGAAACATGATCAAAACCCACAACAAGAACAAGAGAAGAAAAGAGATAAGAGCAAAACTCAGTCTTTGTCAACTGCAAGATCAAAAGTGCATTTCAACATGTATTTAATAGAGGTTGTGGAAATCATAGAGAGGCTATAAACATTTATAAAAGCTAGAGAGTTGACTTGAAAGGAGGATTCATCAAAGTGATAACATCAGCTTCAAGTACAATATTCCCCAATGGACATGGAAAATCCAAGAGGGCCAATTATTGAAGCTCTTAAAAAGGACAATTTCAAAGAAATTTCCAGCAGACAATAAATGCCATACAGAAGAGAAAAAAAAAAGAATAATAAATTTAAGAATCTGATGCTCCATGACATCAGTTTCCAAAGAACAAAAAAATCTTGTGATGCTCCATGACAGAAATATCCAAAGAACAAAAACAATCTTCCGACAAAAACCCAGAAATGGTTAGTAACTACAAAACTTAACCAAAAAAGGAGTTACTTACTTTTATCAAGATTCCTAGAGGAAACAGAGAGAACTTCAGGAAATAAAGAGAAAAATTGACTTTGGGTTTCAAACACTCAGAAAATAGCTGACAGAAAAACAGAAGATTTAGTTTGCTCTGTTTTCAGTTAGAAAGAGGTTGTTTGGTCTGTTTGGTCTCTGTTTATTCGTACACAAACACATAAATGATGAAAAAGATTCTAAGGAAAAACAAAAAAAGCTGTGAAAAAAATTCTTCTGCTCACATAGATGAGATTATCATCACCACTTCTTTTTTCTCTCTCTCTCTTTCTTTCTTTCTGGACACAAGTAGGTGATAGAAGGTAATATTACTCTATTTTAATCTCACCATGTGGGCGTGCAGAATCTTTCCCAAGAACAAAGTGGACCCGTTTTATAGCATCCAATTAGATCTCTCTACTGTTCTAATATTCACACACTTCACTTTTTTTTAAAAGCCCACCTGCAGTTAAAAAGAGGAAGAAAGAAAGATCTTTTGTTTCTCTGTTTTCTTCTGCAAAAGAATAGAAAAAAAGAGAAGGAGAAATGAGAGTTGAAGTTGTGGTTTTTAAGAGCTGAGATGTTCTCTTAATGATGTAGTTGGTGATCTCTTGTTGAGATTCTTTTGCCTCGTTCAAACTTGCAATTAGTATATTAACTACAATTAGATATAATAAACATGATTACGTAAGCAGATGTGTACATTGTTCTGTTTCGTTGGTTAAACTTTTATATGTATCAATGAAAGAGGGAGAAAGATTCTTGCAGAAGACAATGTCTGTCATGTTGAACAGGTTTCATTAATCAGTTTGACCTTCAAGATTCTTTCTTTAACTTCTCACAGAAACAATAATCCCTTTGTGACCTCAGCCCTAGTTTTGAACGTTTATTTTTATTTGTTTTATTAATTGTTGTTAAAAGTTTGAAATTTTCTTAAATGCCCTTTGTTTGTATAAATAAATGGCTCTCTATTCCTCCTTCTTTGGTTTCAGAATTTTCCATGGTGCTTTATCCTCTGTATGTTATAGGTATATGATACACATTGATTTGTGAATAGCTTTATCCAAGGATGCAAATTATAATAATTCACCAATAGATGCTCATCTTCTATAAGATTTAGTTTTGTATTGATTTCAGTACAAAAAGGTTAAACTTATGTTGTACTATATTCATTAAAATTGTAAACTTTATTGCTTTTCTTAAAGCTATTTCCATGCTTTCAAATGGCGTCCATGTGAGTCCGATTCATGGAAGAAGATAGTGAAATAGTTGTTTTTCCGACTTATGTACAATGATTCGTTCACACTAATTAATTACATCAAACCTCCTTTTTAACTTTTTTTTAATGATACGTACTTTTCATCTTTCATGATGGCTGTAAAATGTAATCATTTAGGAATTACTTGAATTATTGAAGTTCAATATCAAGTGTTCTTGAGACATATGACCACAAAAATGATAATCACATAAATGTTACGGTGAAAAAAAGTTGCTACCGATCAAGTCAGTTAAATCACACAGTGAGCTGCTCTTCAATCTCCATACAACTTGTGATATAAAAACTAGCTTGGATTTTGAATTTTTATTATAATCTGTGTGTTGGGTTACCAGATTAACTGAAATTCCGTGATTGAGTCACTCGTTTTTTCAGGTTTAACATTTGAGTTATATTGGGTGGTAACTAGATTAGAAAGTTTACCATGTACGTATAAGGTTTTTTGGGTGGTAGTGTACGTATAAGTTCTCCTGGCGACTTGGGAATTTCAAGATTAGAAAGTTTATCGACCCAAGTCCAACTATACGGCAAATCCATCCTCCAATCGTATCTTAGACACATGTCTTCAATTTATCAATTCTAAATATCGTACACTAGAGAATAGTGAGTGTATATATTAGTATAGATATACATCAAATCTATAATAATCTCCAAAGGGTCAGGCTTTGAGAGAGGGAAGAAGGAAGATGGGTTAAGTTATGCCACTTTGCTCCAAAAAGTAAGGATCAAACGGCTCTCAGTGATTTGAGGAGCCGTCGTCCCTTCCTCGTCGTCCGATCCCCAACTCGCCACATACAAAACCTGACTAAATAAAAGATCTCCATAGTTTCTAAATATAGTCAGTTGGAAATTGGAATCCTTGTGTTTATGATAACTCAATTTATCTCGTATGCATACAATTTATTTTATTAATTTACTAATCATATGAAATATATTGTCGTGCACGAAATATCTCTCTCTCTCTCTTTATAAAACAATAGCACCAAAATTTCTCTTACTGGAATTCTTTGTCTGAATCCGGCAGGCCCTACAGATGTCGCTTTTCTGGAAACACTAGTTTCACTCCTTAGTTACATGATTTAACCTCCTTTTGAATTAGACTTACATGAACGACTTTGATATGATATTATAACAAATATCAAAATCATGAGCGTCTGTATATGTAATATGGGTGTGTGTACGTACAAACTTGTTAAGATAATATTATTCGCAAGTGGTGCTAAATCTTCAAGGCAAATATTAATTAGTATGTAACAACTATATACTAATAACAATCTCATAAGTCATAAGTACTGCTTGTTGTACAGAGACTAAATTAACATATACAGTATATAATAATTTGTGAAAGAAAGCCCGCGATAATGGAAGATGATGTCACGCAGTTTAATGACTTTTTTAATGAAAGCCAAGTGAGTAATATAATTTTTTGTCGCCACCCCTTTTGGCAAAACACTAGAAGTTATAAGAGATAATTGTTATATACCAGCAATTTGCTATTTTTTATTTACGAAATAATAATTGATTAGGTGTAAAGCCTGGATATAAAGATAAACAAATCCCGCTCAGGAATCCACCTTGTATATTTTGATTAGTCTACTTAATTATGGTGCAATATATGCATATACTATGACGTGCTTCCCACATAATTAAATCTAGCTATACTATTACTATATAACATACATATACCGTATGTTGTACTTGCAGGTTTATAATCTCACCCTGATTACTTCTTCATTTTCGGATCTGAATCTAATTAATAAGTTACAGTTTACATTACTTAAAGACATAATGTTTGGTCAACTAAAAATATAATTTAAATTAAAAAAAAAATAAAAATAAATAATAAATTAATATTTTGTTTATACACATTATATTAAAGAAACAACATCGTATTGCAAAATCAGCAATCAGGAATCGTCAAATTCATTCATATATATATTTGTTGGATCTATCTGACATTTTCTTATGACGTCAACCCAATTAATGGTTATGGATCATATAATACTATGATAGTATCGAGTTGTAGTTCTGATCAACTTTAATAACTTTAGCAGAAAAAAAAAAAAAAGAGAAAACATATATATTTCTTTTTTTTTGTTCTAAAAAGAGAAAACATATTATCTTTTGTTCTTTTCAAAGACGAAGCTTATCGTGTATTAATTATTTGAGAGTATTAAATCATTTCCCAATCATAAAATTTGGTTGGACGATTATCCCAAATGAAAAGTACATTTAAAAATGGAGTATATACTTTATTTTATTGATATGCTATAAAATATTATGTTATAAGTTATAAGTTATCACATATATATAATATATTGTGAGTTATAGCTGTTATTTTGTAAAACTACAATTCGATCTTCAATCTCAATATATTGACGAATACTTCGAAATAACTTTCTGTTGATATAGTTAAAATGGAACTGTGGGAAGTTCTGAAATTACAGGATTGTAAAATGATTCAATATAAATACACAGTGGACATATTTACCCGAATACGTCATAATGATTATACTAATTTTGAGAGATAATTACATTTATAGATACTTTAACACTTACAAATATCACTCAAAGGCACTTATAACAACTAGGTGACTTTCCACAAAAAACTGGATAGCAAAAATTCAGATATGCCCTTACTTTATTTTTGTAATTACATCTACAGATTTTCTTTTACCATGTGCACTGCAGTAACTTTCTGTTTTTTACAGCCGATGAATTCGCCGGAATAACAGAAGAACGGTTGTGAATCTGAGATTTGCAGCCGACGAATTCGCCGGAATAACTCGCCGGAGTAATTCAAGAACGATTATTGGATCTAAAAAGATTTGTCTTCATAACTGAAAACAAGTACACTATGAGATTTCATCGTCGAATTCTGTTTCGATAATCAATTTGGAAGATTTCGTCGGAAAAAATTATGTTGGCTATGGGATCTGGAAAAATTTCAGTTTGGAGAAGTTTCGTTGAAGTTTGGAGAAGATGAATCTGGGTTAACTCGCGATCTTGTCCACATCTACATGTCCACGCAGTCGTGTATACATACGCCCATCTGAACATCTTTGTTTAGATAATTAAATTTTTGGAAATTAAATAATATGTGTGTGAACATGTTTCCGTGTACATGATTTTGTGAACACAAAGATAATTAACAACTGAGTGAGTGTTTGTTGAGCTATTGTTTATCGCCTAGGCTATTGCGTAGAACCATATCCATATTCTTGTGTCCATACTTCGTATCCATATGGATATATAACACCTATGTTCATATCAATGTGTAAATATGGTTCTGAAATTGGTTCTCAGTCTATCCAAAACTCAACATACACGTGGACACGACTGCATGATCAAGATAATCGGGTGTTTGGATAATTAAATTTTGGAGTTTGAATGAGATGTGTGTGAACATGTTTCCGTGTACATGATGTTGTGAACACAAAGATTATCCACAACTGGGTGAATATTTCTCCCCTACATTGTTCCATAGAACTGTATCCATATGCATGTGTCCATACTTCGTATCCATGTGGATATATACACCTATGTTCATATCAATATGTAAATCTGGTTCTGAATTTGTTCTCAGTCTATCCGAAACTCAACATATCGGACACAACTGCATGATCAAGATAATCGGATGTTTGGATAATTAAATTTTTGGAGTTTGAATGAGATGTGTGAGTGGACATGTTTCCGTGTACATAATTTTGTGAACACAAAGATAATTAACAACTAAATGAGTGTTTATCAAATTATCGCCTAGTCTTTAATAAATGTATATGTTCATGCTACCGTCGTTCATGAAACTGCATCCACATGGATAGATATCCATTTATCAAATATATTATACAAGTTATCTTTTAATACAAACATATTCGTAGACAGTTTTGAAGAGTTCTTTGTGCACTTTGTATATCTATAGTGTTTCTGGATACAAAATATTTGTTTGTCCATGCTTACTTATCCAACAATTAGTATGGAGTTTGGTTTCTTTGTCCACATATAATAATCTCCAAAACAAACAATTTAAGAGAAAGCTACGAAAACTAGATCACAAGTGGACACGACTGCATGGACATCTAGATGTGGACATGATCGTGAATGAACACAGATTCATCGACCCCGAACTTCAGCGAATCTGAAATCTGCTTTATTCATCTTCTCCTCACTCTAAAAAAGAAACCCAGAAAAAATGAAACTGAATTGAACGGCGGCGTCTTGCAATTAAACGGCAGTACGGTTACAAACGATGGAATGAGAGGCAAAATTCAGAAACAAAGATGGAGGGAAGAAACGACGGCGGTGATGAACAACGGTGAAACATGGATGTTGGGTGAAAGGAAAGAGAACTCAGATTTTAGAAAGGTGAAACTGTGGATGTTGGGTAAAAATAAAAGAGAAGTCAGATTTTAGGAAAATGATTATTTGGTCATTAAAACACTCCAAAGTCCCTTAAGAGCACAAAGTGCCTTTAAATGTAAAAAATAACTCAAAAGTGCTTTTGAATGTAAATGACTCTAATTTTGAACTAACCTTTCTTCGTATATGGAGTGCTTATTGAAGATGTAAAGAACGTGTAAGGAGATAAATTGGTCAACTTCTATCTTACGTAAGCCTTCATATCTAAAATTTGTAATCATACATTTAAAAATATGATGATGCAGATGTATTTTATTTAATTTTATTTTGTCAACATGATGCAGATGTAGACATATGAAATGAATCACATATATACGTGAACAGTGTTTACAATATTTTTCTCACGCGCGTGTGACTTACACGAGCCAGTAGAACCAACCAAGAGCTAGGGAGATTCAGCTTTGATATATGCGCAAAAGGAATTTTGTTTTGATAATACTTCAACTTTACATAATTACATAATATGTGTTTAATATTTTTTTTAAACAAAATCTCAGAGGTAGATTCTTCTTGTTGTTTTGATGTATTTATGTACTAACTGGCATCGCTGTAAACGATAATTATCGTTATTAAAAAAGAGTTTTAGTATTCACGATCGAAGGTTGTGTGTCGCACTAGCTTGCTAATCTTTGAAGGACAACTGATTAAATAGTTGTTTAATAGATTCGAGAAGATTAATAGAAAAACTGTCTCGGATTAGGGTTCGTGCATGTTGTAATTAGTTCCGCGCGTGCTTACCTATATTGCATCTGAATCTTCAGATTATTAATAGTATTTTAAGATTCATCAATCTTAATCTAGTAGATTATATATATGTTATAAAGCTAGCTGGTGAAGACAAGGTTATCTTAGATACAACACTAAGATTCTTTAGTGGAATAAGATCTAATCGATATATGATAACAGAATGCTAGGAGTCTTGGACTCTTGGAGCTAGATCGTGGTGAGTTTGAGATCAAACACCGGAACGTGGCAAGGATAATATACTAATTAAGATTTTGTAAAATTAAGTAAACTGTTCATATCTCTTCGATCTATTCACTTTGATTCCGAATCTAACAACATATTTTTCGTAAGAAAATTTCACTTTCCACTCCACAGATTTTGTCTTTATTTTAAACGTTGCTGCTATCTGACACATGTTAGAAGACACAACAAGGAGTTTGATAAACCAAATTTTGTATACTTGTCACAAAATCAAATTTCTTATATAATTAGGATTTCTCTTCTACATTTCTGTTGTTATAACCTTTCTTGTCTTCTAGATTGCTTCAAAAATTATAACTACACACAGAATCGTATGAGACAAAACGAAGTACAAAATAAAATGTTTTTATTACGCATATATATAAGAATACACCGATATCCTAAATACATTATACAAATCATCAAATCAAAACATTAACAACATTATCCTAAATAGACTACAGGAGCATCCAAAACATAATTATAGATACATATGTACTAATCAAAGTCGTAACCTAAGATCTAGTGAACACCCTGATGTGTCTGGAGTAGAAAGATCATGTATTGTTGCAGGAGCATTCAGATCCAACGCACCACGGATCATCGTTTCCTCTTCTTTCTCCCAGTGACATCTCATGTGACCTCCTAAAGCCTGACCACTCGAGAACACTCTAAAACACACATTACACTTATGATTCCCCGAAAACGTAAAGATCCTGCCCTGATGATCGTGATCATGACCAGAAGTAGTAGTAACCGTCGTCATGGGATCATCGGTTACGTTAGTGATTGCGAAACATCCTTTAACGTTCTTGTGGCTCGCTCTGTGTCCTCCTAAAGCCTGATGTGATCCAAACACTTTCTTGCACCCTCCACACTCGAACCGGTCACTGCTTGACGATGATGGTGTGCAATGAGACAGCATTAAGAGACAAGAAGCGACTTCATGGTCTTCTTCAGAGAAGAACGAGACCCAGTTTGGTGATCTCTGGTTTATATGTTTCGATGATGAAACCGTGGTGGGGCTACGATGGTTAGGAGGAGGATTGATGCCACGCCATTGACGCTCAGGGTGACATCTCATGTGACCAAAGAGAGCTTTCAAAGACCAAAACTGTTTGCCACATTCGGTACATGGGCGTGTGATTTTGGGAGCATTTGGGTCTGGTTTTTTGTGGTATTTTGGTCTTGGAGTGGATTTTGGTGAAGAACTAGAGGGTGATGCAACGGTTTTGGTGCGTTTCCTTCTAGGGCTCTGATCGTAACTTGGAGATAAAGAGAACTGGAGATTTGGATTAGAGAAGATAGGGATGATTGCGTTAGAAGAAGTAGGATTAGGAATGTGGAGATTGAGATCAGAATCGGAACTATTGTTGGTCATTGTGATCACGTAAAGAGAAAAAAGAGAGAAAAAAAGGATAGAAGTTAGAGAAAGGGTTGCTTAAGTAGAAGAAGAGGAAGAAGAAGAAGAAGGAGACGGTTACGTGAGGAGGAAGTTATGGAGGAACAACAGGGAGACAGTTAACTTCAGTTGAGGAACAGAGCGGTTTACTCTGTAAGGAAGACTTATCCTTTGCAGTTGAAACCACGTTTTTGCTGTCTATTGGGCCAGTTTTATCATATCTAATGGGCCTGGTTCAAGTTTTATCAGTAAATTACAGCTTCATTTAATTAACCTGCCCGGTTTAGTTCGGAACAATTATTGACTATACCAGCAAGTATTGAAGCGGAATTAAACCGGAACTCAGGTCTTGTCCACTTCACTCTTCTATGCGATACCAAACATCACAACATTATTATCAAAACGTGCAGTTAATTTCTTTTTAAAATTCCAACTGGAAGGTAAAAACAATTGACGACAGATAAAAAGGTATAACAATTTCGACATTCCGAGATAAAGTAACAATTTATAAAGAGAAGTTTGTCAAAGAGTGTGTACATAGGAAAGGAACAAAAAAAAAAAAGAAGAAAAAGGTTTTTTTGGGGAGAAGAAAACCGCTGCTATAAACTCAATTCCGTATCAATGCGGCTTTTGTATCCACAAGTTGACCCCTATGCAGTATGAATAGTAATAATCATATAACATTTGCCATATAAAGATACACACAAATAATCCAAAGAGTCAACGAACCTTTCTAAATCACTGGCCAAAACTCCCCAAGAGTCGTTCTATAGCAGCGTTCACGTTGCCGTTGGTTGCACGCAACGCCCTAATGTTCTCTGCTCTGTCAAAGAAACCCATTTCCTCCAGCTGTTGCAATTGTGTCGCATATAGCTCTTCAGGAGGAACTGTGCCAAACAAATGTATATGTTTCAAATCAATCAAACCATCTCATCAAGTATATATATATATATATATATCATTAGTACATTTGAAGAAAAAGGGTGTAGAGAATTGCATCTCACTCTCACCATTGGATTGATTCGCACCGGTTAAGCCGCCAGCGCCAAGACTGCCAAACATATTCATCAATAAATCCAGCCCTCCGTTATTTCCTGTGCCTTTGCGTGGAACAAAACTCAGTCCATTAACAGACATATATGTGCAAAGGCAGATATGAAATTGAATAGCAAGTGATGTAACTAAGGCCTGAGAATCGTTGATACAAAATTAACATCTGATTTCAAGAGTACCTGTGGCAGCAGCACCAGTTTGCCCTGGAACCCTATACATAAAAAAGACAAATGAGATTGATCAGCACTACATTATAGAGATCACAACACAGATAACCATGTAACTATATCCAAGGAAAAAAGCAAACACAATACAAGGCAATTTGTATGTCAATGTTCAAGTTTATTTTCAACAGTTACAATACTTCATAGTCTTGCATTTACATTTGTCATGATTTAGTCATGTTTTAGTCAAAAATTTGATTGCAACCATCTAAAGATCATCCGAACATGAACCAACCCAAAATTATACTTCTCAACTAAGTTTAAGAACTCAAAAACAGTACAGGACCTCTCACTTACTGGTTTGTTGTATTCCTAGTCCCAGAGAGAAGTGATTGCTGCAGAGTCATCATTTGCTACAGACCAACACAAACAATTCCAAAAACATTAGGCTTTAGAAAATTCATCATTTGAAATAGCTCAAAGAGACAAAAAAATCTTATGTAAAGAGACCAAATGCATAAAGACACAGCAGAGGCATATGCGAGGAGGAGGCAGAACAGACCTGCATTGCCGCTGGAGAGCTAAGCATACGAAGGAACTCAGGGTTCTGCATCATCTCCCTCACCTGAGGACTTGAATCCATCAAGCTCCGAAGTTGTGGGTTGAGACTCATTATCTAAAAAATTGAAAGATAAATCTTAATAAAAACATGTTACCAATAAACCAAAAAGTCCTTAATCATAAAACTCCATCCATTAAACCATAACCTGATTCATGTATTCCCGATTAGAAAGCAAGCTCTGCATCATCTGTGACATAGCTGGATTCTGTAAAAGCTGGTTCATCTGAGACGCATCTGGAGCAGCCGTTGGATCCATACCTAGCATCCCCAGTCCTCCAAGACCTTCAAGCCCAGCTAGACCACCGAGCGGCCCACCAAGCCCAGTGGCTCTATTAGCATCCCCACCTGAAGTTGTCCTTCCAGGCGTAGCTGTCTGACCTGTCAAGTAACATCTTCATTGCATTACAGGTACAACAATGCAAGCTAACACTATGAGAATGAGAATAATAAAAGCTTCTTACCAGCTGCAGCAGCAGCACCACCCCAAGGGTTTGGAAGTGGATTCGTATTCGGCACAGTGCCTGTTTCAGCATCTCTACCTCCTTGTGCATTCCCCAACAGAGCAGCAAACGGATTAGCAGAAGAATCCACAATGTTGTTTCCAGCGTTCGTCGTGGCGTTCAACAACGGTTCCTGCACGTTTTCATACATACGCCTGAGCATGTTAAACCCTTCAGGAGTAGACTCGATGTTACTCATGGCTCTATCCGTGTTCCGCATCATCTCACGCATAAGCTCAGGGTTTCTCGCAGCTTCCAAAGTCTGACGCAGCACGCTAGGGTCGTTGAGTATATGGCCAAGCTCAGGGTTGCGATCCACGAGCTCACGCATTTGAGGGTTGCTCATGATTAGTGTCCTCATGAGGTCAGGGTTGTTCATGAGATTCTGAATGGCTGGCGTGTTCATCATGTCTCTAACCATGTTAGGGTTTTGAGCTAGCTGTTGCTGCGCTTGTTCAAGATCCGGAAGACCACCAGCTCCGAATAAGCCAGGCATGGCGTTGGCGTTGGCGTTGGCGTTGGCTCCTCCAGCTAGAGGATTAAAGCCAAGCCCTGGAAACAAAGTCTCTCCGGTGTTGTTGTTGGAGCCAACACCTCGAGTAACATTAGTGGTTGCATTTGAAGGAGGAGGAGGTGTTGATGAAGGAGCAGAGCCACGAACCATGTGGAGAGCGTGATCGGCTTGTAAACCTAAGAGGGGGGAATTAAAAATCAATATTGAATCCCTAATGAGATTAAACAGAAAATTTGATGATGATTAATTAAGTAGAAGTACCGTAGCTGAGGAGGGTTTGATCATCTTTGAGGATTCGTCCTTTGTAAATCAACCGCTGTTGATTAGGTGGCACGTCGCAGTTTTGTCCTACCAAGGCTTTGAAAGACTCGACGGTCGATTCGAGGCTTGTCCTGACGCTGAATTTCGTGCCGTTCGAGCACCGGACGTTCACAGCAACCACCTCTCCTTCTTCTCCTTCGCTACCAGCAACGACGGTCTTCGGCTCGTTTGAATCTCCTTCTCCACCCATTCCAAAAAAAAATTATTCCTTTGAGACGAAATTGGAGATCAACAGATCGATGAGGACGTGAAATCAATCGGGAGAGCCCTAATCAAACTCTCGTCGATTTGGGGAGATTATTAGTCTTGTGAATTTGGGTAGACTGAAGGATTCGGATCGAATTTGATGATTTTATTTGTCGTGTTGAACAAAGCAATTTTACAAGACAAGAAGTGAAAAAAAGAGTTTTGTTGTTGTCTTAAGATAAAAGGGCCTTCTCTCGGGTTTAGTCGGATCGCGTCTTGGCTGTTCCTATCCTTCTCACATCTGAATGCGTGCCACGTGACGTGATGAAGTTGAATACGACACCGTTTCAGCGTCACACTTGCTTTAAAGTTTGAAACACTTGTTTTCTTTCTTGGATCGGTTTAGGGTTTAAACCGGTAAGTCGTGGTGTTCATTCGTTTTTGAATCCTTTAGTCGACGTCTTGGTCATGTAAATTTTACTTACCTCTCTTGTTAGGTTTCTCAATGACAAGAGTCGTCTAAAGCTCATCAAAGGCGTTGCTTCTATCTAAGAAGCAAGAGAAGAAAGAAATTTACACGTTAAATGATTCACTAGAACGACACGTTAGTGTTCTTAGCTCATGATCATTTTTTCTGGTGTTCACATCAATGAACCTTCCTCTTCTTCTCTCAATTATATCGCCAGAATCTTCCCCACAATTCACAGTTGCATATCATTCATATTGCTTCATAGATGATGACAATTGACAGGAGAAGCTAATATGTTCTTTCGGTGCAATGGAAAAAAGTAAAGATATAAGTGGATTTTCATTTTCCATTACCTAATTTCGGTGGAGCTTCCACGTCAAGAAAATCCCCACTCTCCCATGATTTACACTATTGTTATTGGACACTATTGATTATGCTTTGTTTCCTATATTTTTTCTCTTTTCAATTTGACATATATATCGACTTTATCCGTTACATTTACTTCATCGTATGTTCTTGTTAATGATATATGAGAGTTAAACAGCATCTCCATTGGTTGACACCTGTTTAAATATGTCGTCACAGAAAAATCGAAAAGTGCCACAAGCATCTGTAGTTTTTTGTTTGTTTGGGCTATAAAAAATGAGAGAATACTCCGACATTATTAATGAGGTGTGGAACAGTGGTATATGGTTTAATTGCGGAAACCTCAACCAAGAGATATTCGAAATATTCAGACTTTGGTATCGAAGACCACAAATACAATAACGTCACTTTTCAAAAAACAAAATGAACAGAAAATAAAATGAGTCACGGGTTCATGGTTTAAGACAAAAAGGGGATGTAGCTCAGATGGTAGAGCGCTCGCTTAGCATGCGAGAGGTACGGGGATCGATACCCCGCATCTCCATTTCTTTTTACCATTAACTTCTTTTTTAACAAAAACACACCAAAAGAAAGATAAAAAAAAGAAAAGTATTGAGAGAGAGTTATTGGATGATGGCTTTTGAACGGAATCCAAATACAAAAGTATAATATAAGATTTCAATAATCTTTAATATATTAAAAGAGAAAACACTATAAAATAAACCTTTGTCTCATGTGTTATTAACAGAAATGTCATGCTGATGTGTCAACACCAGGTTCACTTTCAAGGTTAGTTTTAATTAAGACAAACATTACTAGACTAATTACATGTTATGCCATTCATATTTGGTTAGAGAATGAAATATATATGATTAATTTAGTCAGAAAAATAATTATTAATGAAAATTATTTTCTTTCAGTTTCCTTATTTGGTAATGACGAAAATTTATTTATTAGTCAATCAATCAGTAAAATATGGAAAGTTTTATTCAATTGTATTATATTAATTGTTTAAAAATTAATTTATTCATCTATCATTTTTGTTTAGCTTTACTTTCAAGAATAAATTATATCATCACATCAAAATATTTAAAAAAAGAAAATTAGTTTTTTTCTACATATGCTATGGTTTGAATTTTTAAAAATGAAGCAAATCTCTAAAAATGTTAAATGTCCCACATGATTATATTTTGGGATAATAGTTCAAAAACCTATTATAAAATAGGATCCAAATAATGATCAACCATAATCACAAATAGGAAAGAAAAATTTACCATGTTTGGAAATCTTTAAAATTTCTTTTATTCGATTTAATTTGATTCTTTAATTGAATTAAATAATTAAATCGTATTTTTTAATATTTTGGTTTGATCAAAATTTTAAACGTAATAAATTCTAATAACTTATCATATAAGTTAAATTATTTTAGTTATTTAAAATTGATAAAAACATAAAATATATATGCCATTTTATATTTATCAAAATATAAAATTATTTTAAATGTATTAAAATTTAATATATATGTGGGTTCGGAAAGGGAGAAACTGTTGTTAAAGCAAATGTTAGATTACCACACTGTAAACGATGACAAAAATCAAACCAGGCTAAAAAAATATGCATCACTCAAAATTTCGTCTAATGTAAATTGACATTTTTTTAATTGTCTAACACTCTATGTTCCTAAAATTGTATGTAAATAGACATCTTTTAATAAAATCAAATTGAGAAAATATCACCCCGTGCAAGGCGCGGGTCAAACTCTAGTCTAAAGTATAATCATACATAATTCGTTTTATTTATCGAGTATTTTGGTTATTGGTTTCATTAATACTCCATTATGAAGTATATAAATAACTTTTTACTTTCAAGTTCTCATCACCTCTTGCTTCTATCTTTTCAATGGCTGGGAACACAAAAGGGTCACGTCGGCAACTTGCAAAACAGAACAAAAACGTAAACTTTAGAGTTTCACACTCTCACTTGAATAATGGATCACTGTATCGAATTACCGACGTCGACAGACGTTGATTAGTCTATGTAATCTCCTTCTTAACCTCTTTTTTTCTCACCCTGTAACTGTGCCAACCACTGTATGAATCTCGATTGTAAGCCAATCAAATCCTTACCCATTTTCTTTTTAAAAAAACGTAATCAAATCCCACAAAAAAGTTTGCAACTTTCCCAAATCAATTTACTTCTTTTTGTGTGTTTGTTAAAGACCCACTCGTTCGTTAAACTTTCCGAGCCTGTAAATGTGCCAATTACATGGATTCTGATTGTGAGTAATCAAGCCACCCACCAAAAAGTTTACCACTTTCCCAAATCTTCAAGCATACCCACGATTCAGTTTTACCTTTTTGTTGTTGTTGAAGACCCACTAGCTCCTCTTTCCTTTTCGTTTATTTACATAGCCATCTTGCTTGTTCCTCATGCCTTCTTTTCAGCTAGATTCTACCTGTACTGCCTGACAAATCTTCTTTTTTTAAAAGGATGATTTTGGTTTGGGTTTTAGCATCTCTGCCACTTGTTCATTTCCAATTTTAGTCTTCTTTATGTTTGAGGTAAGGTTTTACTCCTCGTGACACTTTTTCTCAGTTCAGGTGAAAGCTACTTTCTTTGCTTATCTTCCACAGTTTCATTACAAGTTTCTACCTTTCTCTTATGTTACTCTTTGCTCTGACAACCCAACAAACAAAAAAAAACAATTTTTAATTCGGTTGAACTACCTCACAATCTCTCATTTTTGGTGTTTCAGGAACTGATTAAGGCAAAAGCAATGTTTTGGGTTTTGGTTCTGTTGAACTTTATTGTTCTTAATGATGGGATAACTTCAGAGGGAGCTTCAAGGCCTCATGTTGTCAATGTTGGAGCAATTTTCAGTTTAAGCACTATACATGGTCAAGTTGCAAATATCGCCATGAAAGCTGCAGAGGATGATGTAAACTCCGATCCTAGCTTCCTCGGTGGTTCCAAACTGCGTATAACGGCGTATGATGCTAAGCGCAATGGATTCCTCACCATCATGGGAGGTAGGTGAAAGCAATAATCTTTTAACTAGTATAGATTGATGATTCTTGTTTTTGAAACTAAACTGTTACTTATGTTCACAGCATTGCAATTCATGGAGACTGATGCTGTGGCTATCATTGGTCCTCAGACATCAATAATGGCTCATGTCCTGTCTCATCTTGCAAACGAGCTTAGCGTTCCCATGTTATCATTCACAGCTCTAGACCCTAGCCTCTCTGCGCTCCAGTTCCCGTTCTTTGTCCAAACAGCACCTAGCGATCTCTTCTTGATGCGTGCCATTGCGGAGATGATAACTTACTACGGTTGGTCTGATGTGGTTGCGTTGTACAACGACGATGACAACAGCAGAAACGGTGTAACCTCTTTAGGCGATGAGCTTGAAGGAAGACGCTGCAAGATCTCTTACAAGGCGGTGCTTCCTCTGGATGTGGTGATCACGAGTCCTCGTGAGATCAGAGACGAGCTGATAAAGATTCAAGGGATGGAATCTCGTGTGATCATTGTGAACACATTCCCTAGAACAGGTACGATGATCTTTAAAGAAGCTCGGAAGCTTGGCATGATGGAGAAAGGTTATGTCTGGATAGCTACAACTTGGTTGACGTCTCTGTTGGATTCAGTTAATCCTTTACCTCCCAAGACAGCTGAGTCTCTCAGAGGAGTGCTCACTCTTCGCATCCACACTCAAGAATCAAGAAAGAAGAGAGACTTTGTTGCACGGTGGAACAAGCTGAGTAATGGAACTGTAGGGCTAAACGTTTATGGACTCTACGCGTATGATACTGTGTGGATCATTGCTCGAGCTGTTAAGAGACTTCTTGAGAGCGGAGCTAACATTTCCTTCTCCACCGACTCGAAGTTGACCAGCTTGAAAGGAGGGTCGTTGAATCTAGGCGCGTTGAGCATATTTGATCAAGGACAGCAGTTTCTTGATTACATTGTGAAGACAAACATGCCTGGCGTTACAGGACCAGTTCAGTTTCTTCCGGACAGATCGATGTTCCGTCCTGCGTATGACATTATAAACGTGGCTGGTGGTGGGTTTAGGCAGATAGGGTACTGGTCTAACCACTCTGGTCTCTCTGTTATACCTCCTGAGTCACTGTACAGTAAGCCTTCAAACCGTTCTAGCTCAAACCAGCATCTTAAGAATGTGGTTTGGCCTGGTGGGACTTCTGAAACGCCACGTGGATGGGTGTTTCCTAACAATGGGAGGAGGTTGAGAATCGGTGTACCTAACAGAGCAAGCTTCAAGGACTTTGTGTCGAGTGTGAATGGAAGCAACAGAGTGGAAGGGTATTGCATTGATGTCTTTGAAGCTGCTATTAAACTGCTTTCTTATCCGGTTCCTCATGAGTTTGTCTTGTTTGGAGACGGTCTCAAGAACCCAAACTTCAATGAGCTTGTCAACAATGTCTCTACAGGGGTGAGTAAAAAGGATAAAGAAAGCATTATCTAAGAACTGACTCTTAACAATGTGAGTTTTGCTTTTTCAGATGTTTGATGCTGTGGTGGGAGACATAGCGATTGTTACAAAGCGAACAAGGATTGTGGATTTCACTCAGCCATACATTGAGTCAGGGCTTGTAGTGGTTGCTCCTGTCACAAAGCTAAATGATACTCCTTGGGCGTTCTTACGCCCTTTTACTCCTCCAATGTGGGCTGTTACAGCTGCTTTCTTCCTCATTGTTGGTTCAGTGATATGGATTCTTGAACATAGAATCAACGATGAGTTTCGTGGACCTCCAAGGAGACAGATTGTTACAATACTCTGGTTAGTAAAACAGTCACTGAGCCTGCACTATTACTGATACCTAAAGACCTCACAAGCTCTGATCTTTCTATGCAGGTTCAGCTTTTCGACGATGTTTTTCTCACACAGTAAGTTCATACTGAATCTCTGGAGCTAGTTATTAGAGTAGGTTTAACATCTTTGTGGTATTAAACTTGCAGGAGAGAATACAGTGAGCACACTGGGTCGTCTTGTGTTGCTCATCTGGCTTTTTGTGGTTCTGATCATCACCTCAAGCTACACAGCGAGTCTTACTTCGATTCTTACAGTGCAACAGCTAAACTCACCGATCAAAGGTGTAGACACACTCATCAGCAGCAGTGGACGTGTTGGGTTTCAGGTAGGTTCTTATGCTGAGAACTACATGATTGATGAGCTTAACATCGCAAGATCAAGACTTGTACCACTCGGCTCTCCTAAAGAATACGCCACAGCTCTTCAAAACGGAACCGTCTCTGCGATTGTCGATGAACGTCCTTACGTTGATCTCTTCCTCTCTGAGTTTTGTGGATTTGCCATCAGAGGTCAAGAATTCACCAGAAGCGGCTGGGGATTTGTGAGTTACTTACTACGTACTCTTCATTTCAAATGTCTCTGCTGATCTTGTTTTCAAACAGTAAATCTTGATCATCTTCTTTGTGTTGTTTGTAGGCATTCCCGAGAGACTCTCCATTAGCAGTTGACATGTCAACTGCGATCTTAGGTCTATCAGAAACGGGACAGCTTCAAAAGATTCATGACAAGTGGCTTTCGAAATCCAACTGCAGTAACTTGAATGGTTCACAGTCAGATGATGATCCAGAACAGCTTAAACTCCGTAGCTTTTGGGGACTCTTCCTTGTGTGTGGGATTGCTTGTTTCATCTCTCTTGTTATATACTTCTTCAATATAGTCCGAGACTTTTGCAACCACCACAAGGCTGAAGAAGAAGAAGAAGAAGCTACAGTACCTTCACCAGAAGCTAGAGCTCCTTCGCGTTCTAAAACATTGCAGACGTTTCTAGCCTATTTTGATGAAAAAGAAGACGAATCCAACCGAAGGTTGAAGCGTAAACGAAACGATGACACGTCTGTAAATTCTTCTAGACCAGTGTGATGGATCCAGGCATCATCACTGAAGCCATCTTCTTCAGACATCAAATGGTGTTGCGGTGAAGAAATGCAGATACATTAGCTCATACGTATAGTAGTTGTAAGTTAAGGGGTTTTTGATTAAAACTTTACTTCAAGAAATAAGACTTGAAGTATAGAGAACTTTTTAACATCAAAAGAATTGAAGCATACATAAGGCTCAAGCTGTATTATATAATCTTATAGAAGGAACAAATAACTTAGCTTCCATCTCTTTTTTATCTTTCCAGTTTGTGTTTGGTGGTACCAGTTGAGAAAATGTAAAGCTAGAGTTGTCAATCCGGTTTATCTTTCCAAACCGTAGTGTATCTATACCGAAAACTGAATTGAAAATCAAAATCAAAGTCAAATTTAATCCGAAGTTGAACCAAATATAATCTGATAAAAACCGAAATACCTTATCAAGATGAAGTGTGGAATTAACCTTATCAAAATTTCTTTTTGATCATATGTTTAGTGTGACTAGTTGGATTAACTCAAAATATAATCAAAATTAACACAAAGGTATCAAATTTTAAATTATCCAATATAATTAAAATCAAACAAAAACATGTCGCAAATGGCTTCAAAACCTAGTAAAAATAAAAACAAACAAACAACCGCCGAAATTCAAGGAACTGTGTGACCCGAATTGAACCGGTTGACCCTGGTTAATAATTTTGGTACACATTGTACGGTTACGGTACAGTTTAGTTTTTGGTCAGGCGTGTTTTGATTTCTCGAAAACCCTAAGTTTAAATATCCCAACTTCTCAAGATCGGCGATCCTATCTCACATCTTCTCCGATTTTTTGTTTCTCCAGTCGTGTATGTTTTGATTTTTCATTTATATTTGGACCGTTTTGAAGTTGAAGTTTTCTTGGATTTGAACAAATCGGGCCTTTATGATGATTACCCAGATCTTGTGGATGAACAAAAAAAATTGTTTGCTCAAATTGATTCGGCTTTGAAAAAATGTGATAAATGGTATTTCGTTCAGCATATCACCGCATGTGGAGACCCATAATATCATATCCATTTGAAAACTTTCCAGTTTTCGAGAAAATCATTTTTTGCCTAGTCAAGAGGGTTATTATTTGAAATTTTATCTTCGTCAACAAACTTTAGAAAAAAGTTTTGTTGTTGACGAGGAAGATGTATCACATGGCCATTCAGTCTTGGAACTCGACGTGGATATCGTCATCCATGTTTGCTTTAAGAGAAAACCGGACGTGTATCTGATGATAAGCGGAGATCCAGCGTTTCAAGGAACGATGACAAATGTTCAAAATTTGGGGATTAAGGTCTACTTGGCTCATCCTAAGGGAGCTAAATCTTTCACAGGCTTTGTAGTGGGATTCGCTGAGTTGGAGTATATGCTGTCTAGTAGTAAAGAAAATGGGATTTTGATTAAAATTATATTTCAAGAGATGAGACTTGAAGATTAACAAACAAATATATAATTGAATTATACATAAACTTGTAAGACAAAAGGCTCAAGCTTGTATCATATAATCTTATAGAAGGAAGAAATAACTTGGCATCTCTTTTCATCTTTCCAGTTTGTGGTTGGTACCAACTAAGAAAATGTAAAAGCTAGAGCCTAGAGTTCAGTTGCCAATCCGGTTTATCTTTCCAAACTGAATTGATTTCGTTTCATGTTTTCTACACTTGGAAAATTGTAGTCAAAATTGAATTGAAAAATCAATTCAGTTTCATGTTATCTTTCCATACCGAAAACTGAGTTGAAAAATCAAAATTGATTTCGTTTCATGTTTTCTACACTTGGAACAAACTGTAGTCGAAGTTGAACCAAATCTACACAGACTTAAACCGGAATTTTCTGAAAGCAACAATAGTGTTCGGTTTCGATTTCTCTTAACCCGAGGCCAAACAATTAACCGGACAACTTCTCCAAATGTACCGGTTGGGTTCGGTTCTCTGCGAAAAATATTTGAAGCATTTGTAGATGAACAGCAAATAAACAGTATTGTGTCTTTGGGGTTTTTGCTTCAATTTTATCAATGGCGGCTATCTGTTTTCAGTCTCCTTGCAAACCCATTTTCAATTTTCAACTAAAATCCAAACCTTTGCCGCCGGCAATCTCTAAAGTCTCCATCTTTAGATGCAGAGCGTCCGTACAGTCACAGACCCTTGTCATCGCCGAGCCGGAGCCAGTTTTCACCTCCGTCAAGACTTTCGCTCCGGCGACTGTTGCGAATCTAGGCCCGGGTTTCGATTTCTTAGGATGCGCCGTCGACGGTCTAGGAGACCACGTCACTCTCCACGTGGATCCCACCGTTCGTAACGGAGAGATCTTCATCTCCGAAATCACCGGAACCACAACTAAACTCAGCACCGATCCGCACCGTAACTGCGCCGGAATTGCAGCCATGGCGACGATGAAGATGCTCGGGATCCGATCGGTGGGTTTATCGTTAGCTTTGCACAAAGGACTTCCTCTGGGGAGTGGTTTAGGCTCCAGCGCGGCCAGCGCCGCCGCAGCAGCTGTGGCGGTTAACGAAATGTTCGGCAGGAAATTAGGAAACGACGAGCTGGTTCTAGCCGGATTGGAATCGGAAGCGAAAGTCTCCGGTTATCACGCCGATAACATAGCGCCGGCGATCATGGGCGGATTCGTATTGATCAGAAGCTACGAGCCGCTTGACTTAAAACCCCTGAGATTCCCACCGGAGAAAGATCTCTTCTTCGTTCTCGTCAGCCCTGATTTCGAAGCTCCCACAAAGAAGATGAGAGCCGCATTAGCCGCGGAGATTCCGATGGTTCACCACGTCTGGAACAGCAGCCAAGCGGCGGCGTTAGTGGCCGCGGTTTTGGAAGGTGACGTGGCGAGTCTCGGGAAGGCCCTCTCGTCGGATAAGGTAGTGGAACCGAAGAGAGCACCGTTGATTCCGGGAATGGAGGCTGTGAAGAAAGCGGCTTTAGAAGCTGGAGCATTCGGCTGCACCATAAGCGGAGCTGGTCCAACGGCGGTTGCTGTTATCGACACGGCGGAGAAAGGTGAAGAGATCGGAGAGAAAATGGTCGAAGCGTTCTTGAAAGTCGGAAACTTGAAATCTGTTGCTTCCGTGAAGAAGCTTGACAAAGTCGGAGCTAGGCTTACCAACAGCATGCAAACTTTTTGAATCTTTTGAGTTTTATCTTTCTGTGGTTGTTCTTTAAGTTTACGGATTTTGCGAAATGGTAAATGATAATAAAGAGCTTTGAAATTGAAAGTTTGAAACTTTTTGTTCAGAAGAAGAAACAGAGAGAGAGAGATGATTATTAGTACTGCACAAAGTAGAAAGACAACAACAATTCCAAACGAACATGGAAACATTAGAACAAACTTGATCGATCTCTTAGTCTTAAAGTTTCTCAGTCGGCTTTAGCAGCTTCAGCTTGTCTAGCACCAACGGAGAAGAACTCAGTGATGACTTCAAGTGGCATGCCTTTAGTTTCAGGGACTTTCAGGTACACGAACACCCACGAGATGCAACAGACTATTGCATACATTCCAAAGACACCAGCGAGTCCAATGGATTTGAGCAGCACAGGGAGACTGTAAGTGACGATTATGTCACAGATCCAGAACGTGAGCGCGCAAATGGCGATGCAGATTCCACGGACTCGAGTCGGGAAGATCTCTGAGCAGAGGATGTTTGGAGTAGGACCGAAACCCATCACGAAGAAACAGAAGTAGAGAACGACGCTTATGGTTGATATGACCGCGTGGACTATGCTGTTCATGTGGACTATATTCGAGATTACTAACACTATTAGTGACGCTATCAAGATCGGAATCGTAGTCAGCAACAACGTCCTGCAAGAAGAAAGAGACATTAGCTTCTTTGGTTTCATATGAATCAAGAAGCACAAAAGGAAGTTGTGTTTTGAATCAACCTTCGACCGGAGAGATCCATGAGCCTCATTGCAACAGCTATTGCAGGTAACATGACAAAGGTTGTCAATGCACTGATAAGCAAGGAAGAAGAAGCCGAACTAATCCCCAAGTTCGACAGTAGAATCCCAACACCTGCCTGCTCTAGGATTTGAGGTGTGTAGTAAAGAACTCCATTGATGCCTGAGAACTGCATTTCCAAGACGAACATCAAGTTATAAACTAAACCGCATGAATATCCTCTAAGAAGTCTCTATATCAAGTTATGATTACCTGCTGAAGTATCTGAAGGCCAACTCCAACGAACAAAGCACGTTTGACACCAGGGTCATGAAGATCATGCCAAATGGAGCTTTTAGCTGCTTCAGATGGATGAACCATAGCAGGACCAACTGTATGTTCTCTGAGAAGGTCTTTGGAGTAAAGAGCCGGTTGGCTAACCAAAGCAGCCGCTTGCACAAAATCTGACTCACCGGCTCCGTTACCTCCACCAGGCAACGAAACAATGGAGCCACGTCTAGATCCAGGGAAGCCTTCTTGATGCAAGTATATCCTCTTAAACCCTCCTTCTTTCTCTCCTGATTCATCTTCTCTCTCAGTCCATTTCCATGCCACTTGCCATCCACCTCCAATCCCCATACTACTACCCGTTCCTCCTTCCTGCACTTGGCTTCCATGTCTGAAAGTAGAAAGCGGTCCGTGACCAGCGTGCATGTCTTTCTCCATGCTTGTCGTCTGACGTGAGATCAACGGAGAGTGAAGCTCATTATCACCACCATCAACATCAGAGTCCTCCTCTCCACGGTCCGATGGATATCCCTCACCATCTCCAACAAGATTCTCCTCATCCCATTCCTCATCATTCCTCGGTTGGTTCCCTCCTCCCACACTGAACATGCTCCCAAAATGTGGGAACAACGCGCTCCTCATGCTTCCAGTGTCTGGCATCTTCTCGTGAACGCTCCCAAACAGTGTGACGAGAGGATCAATCAACGAGCCTTGCCTCTTGCTCAGTGTACTTCCATGGCGTGACAAGATACTCACAGTGCTTCCTCCTTTAACCGGCCTAGCAACCCAAGTCAGACCTTCTTCCGCACCGTACAGCTTAATCTGATCCTTATCCACAGCTAAGTCAAGATCATCAGCTACTTCATCAGCAGGTCCGATTATGTATTCCTCTATCGTTGTTTCACCTCCAATCCCAAGTCCCTCCACCAACAAAGCCATCTCACCTATTCATTGCCACATCAAGAACATTCAAGATTTGCTTCATTGAGAGAATCAGAGCAAGAAATGTTATAAAGACTCACCAGACACATCTTCCCGACCGCGTAGCCTCTGCAGAACACGCTTAGCTTCAAGCATTCGACCTTTGCTCACAAGCCACCTTGGAGACTCAGGCAAGAAGAAGATTGTGAGGAAGAAGAAGACTAAGGAAGGGACGAAAAGGACACCAAGCATCAGTCTCCAGCTAGGAGACGGCATCAGAGACATTCCGAAAACCATACAGTAAGACAAGAACATCCCTCCGGAGCCAGTGAACTGCGGAAGCGTATTCAACAGTCCTCTGATCTCAGGCGGTGCAGTCTCGGAGATGTAAATAGGAACAAGTGTGACCACAAGACCAACACCAAACCCATCCAATAGCCTTCCTAAGAGCAAGACGTAAACGTTCGGAGACCAAAGCATTACTAGAGAACCAACAAAGTAGAGAATTGATGATAGTATCAGCATCGGACGGCGACCAAGCCAATCAGCTACTCCTCCTGACCATGTTGTGATCAGAGTAGCACCAATCAGTGACATCGCCACAATTAGACCTTCCATTGATGGATTACTCTCCAAATTAAACTCCTTTTTTATGTACAACACAGCTCCTGCAGAGGCCCAAAAGAAAGTTTCAAAATTCATCACAGAAGCAAAAGAGATAAACTTAAAGGATGAAACAGGATCTGTGAATTACATCAGGAATGGACCATAAAAATTCTTACTTTCCGATCTTAAATTATGGATAGAGTCAGTTTACCTGCAATTGTTGCGTTATCCCATCCTTGTAACAAGTTGCCAACAGCAGCAGCAACAGCAACAAGCACAGCTCCACTCATGATTCGTCTCTGTTTTCAAGAAATCTGAAGCGAATTTCGCAAAACAGAGTCACTGATCCACCTGAAAGTGGAAATCAAAACAAGCTCTGGTGAGCAAAAAGATGAACAGAGAGATAAAACCAAAAAGGATGACCTATGAATATAACAAACAACCCAATTGAAACAGAAACAACAGAAGAAAGCTAGTGACGTAAGAGAAACAGACCCAAAGGAGTACTGAAAAAACAGAGTAAAAGTTTAATACTTTTTTTAATCGCTTCCAAGTAGAAGAAAGAGAAGAGAGAAGAAGAGAAGAGAAGAGAAGCCAAGAAAGCGCGAGAGAGTCTATAAATAGAGGGAAAGAGACAGAGATGAAAACTAGGGTTTGCAACTTGCATTTGGAGGCAGAATAAGCCACTATCAGTGATGAGCCGCTTCAATGGCGTCACTAGGCAATCAAAAAGCATTTTTATTTATTTTCCCTTTTGGTTTAAATCAACGAAAGATTTGAGATTTATAACTTTGGAATTAAAAAAACAATACTTTGGTTTTGAAAGAACTGTGAACAGAGCCTATGGGATTAGTGACACCTGCCGCTTTGCTCCTGTCTTCTCACACCACGTATGTATATGCTCTTCTCTCTCTCTCTTCTCTCTCGTGTTTGCGTACAGATATTCTCAGAGGATTAAAAAAAACCAATAATCTTAAAATTTGGCATCTTTTGGGTCCACGAGTTTGTACATCATTCATTCTCAGTTTCTCACCGTTGATAAATTCACATTTCTCGACATGTTCTTCTTACCAGTTACCATCTTCTTGCCTGGCACTCGTGTACAGTTAAAGTAAATTTATTAAATTAAGTTTTATTTTAGGGGCCAACAGATATTTTTTCCCGCTTTATAAAAAAATGAAGATATTTTACATCTATCAATTTTGGGATTGACTGTGTATGTGTGTTGTTGTCTTAAAAACCAAGTTTTGTCGACTGTCGACATAACTGGGGGAAAAGGTTACCATTTGTAATTATTCAACAAAGATAGGTTTGGTTTTTGAAATCTTTGGTTTATTGGGACCATAAGAGAAATTAGAGATAAATATCTAATTAGCAGGATTGAGTTTCTGAAAATAAAGTTATTGGTAAAGTAAAGTTTAGTTTGTTTACATCCGAAAAGCATCTTCGAATCATTTCAACTTTACATAATTAATCATGAAAGAAAGAATTTGCAATAATGGAGAATATTTGTCCAAACACAATGAGTCGAGAGACACACTTTAACTTTGGTATAATCGTGTGAGTCGTTTGTTACAGCAAAATGAATCCTTTATTACAGTACAACGATCCGTTGTTAAAAAAAAAAAAGGTTGGTACATAAACATTCAGATCTTTTGAACAGAATACCAAATTAGATTTGCAGTAATAATAATAACAATCATGTGACTACAAGTAGAGGTTTGCTGAAAACAAATATCTATGTTTTATACTTTTATCATATACAATATACTGTATTGGTTACACGTCGTTGTTAGAGTTCGTATGTATATGATTGTAAAGATTACCATAAATGTTAGTCGTAGAAAAACAAATACCATAAATGTATTTTGGACACAGACAAATTAGTAAATTGGTTTGTGAGTCCTATTTATGACAATATATATTTTTTGATGATTTTCCGAAAATAAACGTAGAATAAAACGTAATGTATGGAAACTATAACACGAACCACATAATTTAAGCATACAATAGAATCTTTTCTATAAACTCTCACAAGTTATGGCATGTGGATGCGAATATATATATTCTTCTGTCTACATCATCATTGCAGCTTAAATTTCCGTAGAATGAGGAGAAAACGTACGCGCCATCCTCATTAGTTGAGATATTTTTTTTCATTGGACAGCAAGATCCATTAACATCGTTGAAAAATAAAAGGATGATTAAAGAGCTCAATAACGTTTTGTGTGTCACCAAACCAGATTTAATTAATGCGAAAACGAACGTAATCAAGTTTGAAATATTCGATAGATATATGAGCGGAATTTGGTAAGAAATCAGCCAGCAAGTTTATATGTAAACAAACAGGAATACATACTATTCTCGTGAGGCATGTTATTCCACACTTCGATAAACAGTAAATACTGTGGACAATTTTGAAGTGACTGGATTTTGAAAGATTTATAGAAAGGCAATATTATATTTCGCTCGGCCTTGCCTTCTGGTTCCGCTAACTCCTCTGCCGCGCCTGTCCAAGAGGACTCATTTCTTACTACTTGGTTCGGACTGTTTCAACCTTAAATCTCCTTTCATCCGGGTTTCTCTAAGAGAGTGTTTTGCTGCTCCTGCTGCTTTAAATGTGTTTTAAGTGTGTCTTTTGCCTTTTGTTTAGGCCAATATCTATAAACATCGCTGTTGTAATCCTCCCTTTAAAGGGATTCCTCTTGGTTAATAAAATGTATCGTTAGTAATAAAAAAAAATAAATACCAAAACTGTGATGTTCTTGTGCTGGAATCCATGATTACACTCACTTTGATATGGTTCAGGAACATGGTTTGAGGAATGCATCATTTTTGAGATTATTATTTATGGTTTTCCATCAATGATTTGGAGTTACATTGTAAATTTAGAATATATTTGTTTTTGTTCAAGTTTTGGTGAAAATTTGTCCATCCTAAGGTTTTTGGATTTGTCAATGTTGTTTGTTTAAGTTTCGTGGTCGTTCAAACCAGCAAATGATCCAAAGTCACTAAAAATAAAGAAATTTATTCGATTCAATCAAAGTTGTAATGGATTTTGTAAGATTGTGAGGAATAGTCTCGAAATAATAGCATGTGGAGGGTTTGCTTATGTTGGAAAAAGAACGATGAGAAATAGTCTAAACATTAGCACGAGAGACACGTTGAAGTTGCTTTTGTTTTTTTGTCAACATGTCCATTTTGAGCTTTTTTCTCAACTCTTTGTGGGGAGGCGTGGAATCGAACTGCCGTACTCAAGATTTTTGCAAAGGTGACAACAACGGATCCGAGCAGTTGCTTTTCATGGTGTTTAATATGTTTAAGCGACCGAGACTTGGGTTTAAGAAACGTCGACTTGAATACAGTAAGCCACAAGAATAACTCCATCCGTATATAAACCACAAACGTATTGGAAGTTTGGAACAATATGCCTCAAGAGTCTTATTCATCATCACTAATTGTCCTTACAGTAAAGTAAAGTAAAGTCAAATCTAACACCTAACATTATCACGTACTAATCATCATCACTCGTAGTCTCTCACGTACTAATCATCATCACTCATAGTCTCCCTCCTCATCAGTCCTCACCATCACAATTTCTTCTTTCTCTTCAAGGACATTCTTACTTTCCTTTCGGTTCACATTCTCCCCAGGAGCCACAATTGTCTCTTCTCATGTGTTTTAACTAATTTTCCCTTCCAAGTATATGCATATACCTCTCTAACCATTACTTAAACACTGTGTTGAAACGGCAGCGTCTAGATGGATCAAAGCTTCTTGCCGTGGACTCAGTTTGTTGACCATAAATAAACCATCTTGTTTCGTGCTTACACACTACTCACTAAGTAATTTTGGTGCCCATCGTTATCCTACTAGTTGTAAACTTGTAATAAACTAATAATAATAGTATGTTTCTTCGGCCTTATAAAACGGTTACTAATAATAGATATTATCACATGTCTACATGATTATACATACAAATATCCAGCCATGCAGTTTTCTACTAACCAACATTCTAGTTCTTTTTTGTACATAACTAACTACATAAATCTGAATCCAAAATCTAGATATAAATATCAATAAGATCAAACGACAACAGAGACCAACATAAAAAGAAAAAACCGGGCTTGGTCAATGGTCAACAGTCACCAACTTATAAATTCGAATATTCTTATTTTGATAATCCAACAAAATTTAATTTTCTCATCTTCCATCCAAAGAGAGGAAGTGATCAAATAATTGGCAAAGTGAAGAAGGTGAGAGGAAAGCGCGTAGACAGAGAGAGTCAGAGAAAAGTAGCTGTTGAGCACTAAAGAGAGTCTAAAGAACTTTCTTCGCACGATCGTCGCCGTAAAGATAAACTGATCCAACGAATCTAATTGTCCGACCAGTCTCTCAGCAAAACAAAACTAAAAAATCTATTTTTATTCTGCTTGAATCTCGAATAAACACTGTTTTTATAGTAGCTGAATAAACATTAAATATTGTAGCTTTCCCTTCTTGTTCGACTCACTCTTGTCTCCTCAAAATTTCTCCTTTTTCCTTTTAAATCAGATTCCTAATCCATTCATCATTCTCAGTCTTCTCTCTCGCCGTCTCTGAGTTACTGGTAACCAACTCCTCTTACCATCTTCTTCCTTCATTTCATACTCTGTTTCTGATTCACTTGGGAGGATCTACTGAAACTTATGCATACTCCGATATTGACTTTTCAGTAGCTCTTGTGTTTTGTCTTTGATCTGATTTGGGTTTTGCAATTCTCTTACTTGTGGTTGTTAAAGTTCGTTACTTTTCTCTTTTAGCTTATCGGATTTGGTCTGATTTAGTTGGTTTTTGACTTGTTATCTCTTTTAAAACAGAGTTTTGAAAACCATCTATGAACAGTTCGTTGGATGAAGAACAGAGAGTGAAAGTTGCAGTCTTTAAGCTAGGATTTGGTCATTTTCCATTGTTTCATGGGCAATTCATGCCGTGGATCTTTCAAGGACAAAATCTACGAGGGCAATAACACTAACCCCGAAGATAACTCCAAAACCTCCACCAACTTCTCTTCAGATCGCTCTAATTCCGACAACTCTCCCACCAACAACAACAACAACACTGCTTCAGAGACCACTGCTCAAGACTTCTCTAAAGAAGCTGACAAGAACAGCAACAAGAATCCAGCTCTCGTCATTCCTTTGAAAGAACCAATCATGAGGCGTAACATTGACAATCAAGCTTACTATGTTCTTGGTCACAAGACACCGAACATTCGTGATCTCTACACTCTGAGCCGTAAGCTAGGACAAGGCCAGTTCGGAACGACTTACCTCTGTACAGAAATCGCCACTGGCGTTGACTACGCTTGTAAGTCAATATCCAAGAGGAAGTTGATCTCTAAAGAAGACGTTGAGGATGTGAGAAGGGAGATTCAGATCATGCATCATTTGGCTGGTCACGGTAACATCGTGACGATCAAAGGAGCTTTTGAGGATTCTTTGTATGTCCACATTGTGATGGAGCTTTGCGCTGGAGGTGAATTGTTTGATAGGATTATTCAGAGAGGGCATTATAGTGAGAGGAAAGCTGCTGAGCTTACTAAGATCATTGTTGGGGTTGTTGAAGCGTGTCACTCGCTTGGTGTTATGCATAGAGACTTGAAGCCTGAGAATTTCTTGCTGGTTAATAAGGATGATGATTTCTCCCTCAAGGCTATTGACTTTGGACTCTCAGTCTTCTTTAAACCAGGTAAAAATGTGGTGACTTGGCCCTAATTAGAATCTTGCTGCTTCTGGTTTGTTTAGTTTTTGAATCTTGCTGTGACTTTTTTTCAGGTCAGATATTCACTGATGTTGTTGGGAGTCCATATTATGTTGCTCCTGAGGTGTTGCTGAAACGTTATGGGCCTGAAGCTGATGTGTGGACTGCTGGTGTTATATTGTATATATTGCTAAGTGGAGTCCCACCTTTCTGGGCAGGTGAGTGTGATTGTGAGCTTGTTTCTTTAGTCCTTTAGAGAGTCTCAGTCACCTGAAAATGTGTTTTTGTTTTTTGTCTCTTTTGGGGAATCAGAGACACAGCAAGGGATATTTGATGCTGTGTTGAAGGGATATATAGACTTTGAGTCAGATCCGTGGCCTGTTATATCGGACAGTGCAAAAGACTTGATCCGTAGAATGTTGTCGTCCAAGCCTGCAGAGCGCTTGACCGCTCATGAAGTCTTGCGTATGTCTCACTTAATATAGTTGCTTATAGCTACAACCATACAGAATTAGACTTATATGTCTCTGTGTTTTTGATAATCTTTTGTTTCAGGTCATCCATGGATCTGTGAGAACGGTGTTGCTCCAGATAGAGCACTTGATCCAGCTGTTCTGTCTCGTCTCAAGCAGTTCTCTGCAATGAATAAACTAAAGAAGATGGCTTTGAAAGTGAGTGTGTTTGTGCTTAATATCCTTTTATCTTCTATGGTCTTTGCATAACTTCTCATGAAACTGTCTGTGTTTGGTGGTCATCAGGTTATAGCTGAGAGCCTCTCAGAAGAAGAGATTGCTGGTTTAAGAGAAATGTTTCAAGCAATGGATACTGATAACAGCGGTGCAATCACTTTCGATGAACTCAAAGCTGGCCTGAGAAAATATGGATCGACTTTGAAAGACACAGAGATCCATGATCTAATGGATGCGGTAAAAATCTAATCTTGATTTGGCTAAATGTTTCAGGCAGTGAAGTGTTGTTGTGTATTCTTACTCTCAGATGATCTTGTGTGTGACAGGCTGATGTGGACAACAGTGGGACAATAGATTACAGTGAGTTCATTGCAGCGACGATCCATCTCAACAAGCTGGAGCGTGAAGAACATCTCGTGGCTGCGTTTCAGTACTTTGACAAAGACGGAAGCGGGTACATAACGATCGATGAGCTGCAACAAGCGTGCGTTGAACATAGCATGACCGATGTTTTCCTTGAAGACATCATCAAAGAAGTTGATCAAAACAATGTAAGCTTATATGATGAAACTCTGTTCCACATTCTTCTCTTAGAATAATTGTGTAGGTATCAGATGATAAAGAAGTTTCTGATTTTAACAGGACGGAAAGATTGATTATGGTGAGTTTGTGGAGATGATGCAAAAGGGAAATGCTGGTGTTGGGAGAAGAACCATGAGGAATAGTCTAAACATTAGCATGAGAGATGCGTAGAATCTGTTTGTGACTGCAAAAGATATGTTCTTGTTCATTGGATCAACAATCTTTAAAGCTTACCACGTAGAAGGAGAAGAAAGAAAGACCAAACCGGATTCATCGCTGTGGAGAATGGAGCTAATGTTTAACGGTAGCTTTGGGAGGTTTTTGCATAACCTCTTTGTTGTTTGTATGTTTTGTTTGTTATGTGACCATTGTTGAAGTTAGTGAGCTTTCTTCATCATCTTTCAAATTGTTAAACTTTGTTCACTCTTGTAAAACAGAAAATGTTTTGTATGTTGTCATTGTTGTGTGATTTCTAAGCATTTTTACTTTGAAACTCTTCTTTCTTCTCTCTAGACGATCACGACTCTTCATCCATCATCTCTGACTACACAACTCGATTTAAATACGAAAATACCAAATTGCTTTTGATGTGGAAGATGATGATGAGCTAGCAAGTCTCAATCATGTAATCAAAGTGCTTTTTTCCAAGTATCTGTCTTTAGAGTCAAATAAGACCAAAACTCAAGGCTGTTCGAAACAAATCATACATTGGAAACATTATATACCAAAACCATTTTATATAAATATTTTTTTCTGGCACTCTTGATATTCACATGCTTTGCAACGCCGCAACCATTATGAACAAACTAGCGCGTAAAATGGGATGTTAATATTCATATCGGAAAATATTAATTACTCAACATATTGTTTTCACAAGTCTTTCTCTTTCTACCTGGACCAAATAAACCAGATTTTAAACCGATTATTACTCAGTCAGATTATAGCATAAATCAAATAAAGTTTTTGAGTTTTGATTATGTTCACAAGGAACAATAATAAATAACACTTTGCCACCGACGAAATTTCTCCCACCGACAATTGTTTTGTCGGCCACACGATCTCAGTTATATGCAACCGTAGTTTCGTTGATACTTGATACTATGGTTTCTCACATGACATTTTCGTATATAAACCTCACAAAATGGGAAAAATATTGCACTATAGTCCACTTTGTAAGCTGTAAAATAATGGTGGGAATGTTGTCGGTCATGGATCCTAAGGGTTTGATATGTTTTACAGTTTTTTAGTTTCACTTGTATCATATCAAATTCATGAACCTATTTTCATTGTTATCATCTTCACCATCATGTTAACATTGGTGCAAAAAATTGGCGCGTAAAAAAATAAATAACAGAACAGGTTTCTATATAACGGCATGGTTTTTCAAATACAAAAATACAACTGCACAATATGTAAAACAAATCAAATAATGAAACTGATTTAAGAATCTAGGCAAATTAATTATAGCAAAATACAACATCAAACTTCACATTATACAACGTTATACTCCAATTGATTGATGCACGAATATATTATTTTCAGAGACAGATCACAGAATCTCCACCGTCCGATTTCGATATCGAAACTCATTTATCGTTGGCGCTTGGATTTGCAGGAGAGAGGAAGAGTATCGGAAGAAGGATCCATGAGACTGCGGATCTGAGATCGGAGCTTGACGAAGACGTGCATTATACTTCCTCTGTTCTGAGAGCCAATCGATTTCGCTTCGTCTTTGTTAAGCTCGAGGTCTCTGATGAAAATCGGTTTCCTCGAGAGGATCCACGACCAACCCCATTCCCACCATTCTTTAACAGAGCTCCCTGCTTGCTCTCCCATGGCGGAAACCGATTTGGATCTCGGGAATCGAGCTGCGATCGCCGCTGGCTGGCTTGAGAGATTGAGGGAGAGAGATGAGAGACGACGGCGGATGAGCCCAGGCTCATCGTCGGTGGAGGCTGCGGAGGCGGAGGAAGTAGGGCGTTGAGAAACGGGGAGAGAAGCCGGTTTACGAATCTGGAGAGTTTCCATCATTGAGCTCATTGCTCTTTAGTTTGCTTCTTCAACAGAGAGAGATTGAAGATGAAGAAGAGTTATAATTTGAAACTAGAGAGAGAGAGAGAGTAGAGGTGGTGGAAGGTAGTGATCACAGCTCTAACACAGGCTGGGTTTTTATTCTCTGCTTTTTTTGGTTTTGAGGGGTCCATTTAATTTTGTAACCCAGCCAATTACATGCATATTTTGTTTGTTTTGTTTTAAATTTTAAAGTATTTAATGTTTTTAATTGTTTGTATAGTTACTTGTTTTGTGTACGAATACATCTACAAATTAGGGAAAAGGAAATACAACAATTTTTTGAATAATAGATACACATCGTTTTCATGTAGGTTCCATCGCGATCTTAATCGTTGTTTTTTCTTTTCTCAGTCCAGAAAATGTTCGATTTATAATTTTGATGCTTGTTTGTTTGTGTGATTCGTTTCTTTAAAAATACTTTTGAGTCACTTTTTTTAATTCTTTAAATCAAAATCTTTTAGCAGAATCTGTGTCAAAAGAGAGTACAGATGCGGCCACCATGCATTGGACTAAAGCCCAATATAATTCAAGCCCAACAAGAGAATGCTAAGCGCTTTTTGTTTTTGTTTTTGATTTATTTTTGTGTGTGGAAATTAATCTGTCAAAGTTTCCATTTTTTAGCTGAGAGTGTATGTTTGGAGCAGAGATCACAGACAGAGAGATCTGAGAGAGCTTGAACAATGGAGTACCGGAAAATTAAAGATGAGGTTCGTTTCTTTTTAATTCATTTCTTCTTCTTTTGATTTTCAATTTTGCTTTCGTCTCTCTATTAATGCTCAATTTCATACTGTGAGCTCCAGGACGATCATGACGTCGCTTCTGATGTCGAGAGTTTGAAGGGAAAATCTCATACCGGTGAGAATTTATTTTCATTTCTTCTCAATCTCCACTTCTATTGCTCGTTTCGTATGCTCATTGGTGAATCGATTTGTCAGCTGCTTCGACTAATATCGCTATGGCTACTCTGGGTGTTGGATCCACCGAACGAACAAGCTGGAAACGAAAGTAAGTTCTTCAAATTTGCTTAATTTCCTCGGCGAAAGTACGAGAATTGAAATTTCGTATGTTTGAATTAGGGGTGTAGTAACAATGGCACTGACGATTCTGACGAGTTCACAAGCGATACTCATCGTGTGGTCGAAGCGAGCTGGGAAGTATGAGTATAGTGTTACCACCGCAAACTTTTTGGTGAGTTTGTTCTCTGTATTTACTCTGTATCAAAATTGAGTGATGCAATGTATAGTGTTACAAGAGCTAAGTTTAATCTCTGGACCTCAGGTTGAGACTCTGAAATGTGCGTTATCTCTGCTTGCATTGACAAGGATATGGAAAAACGAAGGTGTTACTGATGATAATAGGTTTTGTATTCTTCTGCTACTTTATTTGTTTATGGGTTTGCTATGACCATCATTGGGTTTTTGACTTACTGATATTCCCAAATTCTGTCTCTGAATCAGGTTAAGTACAACATATGACGAAGTTAAAGTCTTTCCCATCCCTGCTGCATTGTACCTTTTCAAGAATCTGTTACAGGTGTGGGCTTAGGTCGATGTTTGTATTCTCTGTTTTCCTTTTTAGTATGTTTCTGACTACTTGTGGTGTTCACCTTTTATGTGGCAGTACTATATTTTTGCATACGTAGATGCCCCAGGCTATCAGATACTGAAGAACTTGAACATCATAAGTACCGGTGTCTTGTACAGAATTATACTGAAGAAAAAGTAGGTATTTTTGTTCATCCAAATGGATTTCATAGCTTGCAATGAGTATGAGTTAGTTGGAAATCCATCAGTTTTTCGGTTTTTATTCCCCTCAATTCTTTCTCTTCTTGTTCAGAACTTCTTGATTTAATTACTAATCTTCTTCTATCAGGTTGAGCGAGATTCAGTGGGCGGGTTTCATCTTATTGTGTTGCGGATGCACCACTGCTCAGTTGAATTCAAGGTAGATATGTCTTGATTTATTTATTTATTTATTTTTTGATCTTGCCTATGATGCATAATATATAAAAGCTCATTTGTGATCAGTTAATGTCTATATTTTGGCTCTGTGAACTTTGAGGTCTATTGTTTTTCCAGTACTGGTCTCATATTTGAAATTCGTTTTGCAGTTCTGATCGTGTTCTCCAAACATCTCTTCCGGGCTGGATTATGGCAATTGTAAGTTCTTAGCCACATTAGCATGCTAATACCTACTAAGAGTTGTGAAGCATCTGTCATGTCCACACCAATTGATATAATCGTTTGTCGTCATTTCTAGGTTATGGCTCTTTTAAGTGGTTTCGCCGGAGTGTATACAGAGGTGAGCTGATTTAGGACCTTTTACTTTTTATACTCAAAGCTAGCACTGATTTACTTTGTTTAAAACAGTATTTTGGTCACTCTATTGATAACGTATGATTTTAAAGCCTAAAAGGGTTCTGCTTTCCATTTTGCCAGGCTATTATAAAAAAGCGTCCTTCAAGGAATATAAATGTACAGAACTTCTGGCTATATGTCTTTGGGATGGCTTTCAATGCCGTTGCTATAGTGATCCAAGATTTCGATGCCGTTGCAAATAAGTAAATCCAAAACCCCATCTTCTTCTATATCCATTCATATTTGCTACTAATTAATACATGTGGTTGCTTGCGTCTCCACTGAGATTTGCCTTCCTATATAACATACTTGTGTCCATAGAACTAATTATGAAAATACAACTTCCGTATAGTCTTGGTGTCTGAGAGTTCATTGTTTTATGCCATTATGTAACACATCTGCTTTGGTATTGAATGGGTGATTTTCTATTTTCAGGGGATTTTTTCATGGTTACTCATTCATTACATTTCTCATGATCTTAACCATGCTCTCAGGTAAAAGCTACTTCAGAGGCTAAGCTCTACACTTACCTCTCGTGAAGTTAACACATTAAATCACCATTTTCCTTTTTGGTTTTGCAGTGGCATTGCTGTGTCCATGGTGATGAAATACGCAGACAATATCGTCAAGGTAGTAAATGTGCAAAATGCTATTCATCATCCAGCAGATTCCACAAAGAAGTCGCTTTTCTAAACACAGTGATTGACTTTTTATCAATAACCGGTTATGTAGGTTTATTCAACATCAGTGGCAATGCTTCTCATGCGGTTGTCTCCGTATTCCTCTTCAACTTTCATCTTTCCCTTGCCTTCTTCTTGGGTTCCACGTAAGTGCAATCATCTTAACTTTTTTTTTAAATATTGATAGTAGCTGCCAACAATTCATGCACATAAGAGCTAATGAATGCGTGAGAATTCATTACTGTGCTTGCACTTTGCAGGGTCGTCTCTGTTTCAGTATATTTGCATTCCGCCGGGAAGCTACGATAGTAAAGAAAGATCTCTATACTTCCTCGGCCAAGAAAAAGTCCTCAATGATTCTAGTACAGAGATAAAGCTTTTGAACAATTTCGATTTTGTATTTCATGTAGAGTATATTCACATTAAATTGAGACTCTTTAATCTTTATAATTCCCTTGGTATATTTTAATAAACATTAAGATATCCCGGACTTGCAAAGCCTCGAATCTCTAGAGAGAGAGGCCTCTGCTACTTTCAGGTACAAAGATGTCACTGACTTGCCTAAATCGTTCTAATTCTGCATCCAACGTTTGTTCTTTCAATTCATTTCTACTTTTAAAACCCTTTAAAGCACATCATTCAGTTGATCATAAACATTGTGAATTGCAGAAAATCTTTGAAAGATAACATAACAGTTAATTTATTTCATATCAACTGATAGAGCTTACATAAGAGAGATTACAGAGGGAGAGACACATCGAAGAAACAGATCTAAACATTTTTTCATCTTTGGTAATAGATAGACGAGATCTAAACTTTTTCATCTTTACGATATGCCGATTTAGTCTTCCAAATCATAACCCCGGCTAATACCTGAACGAATATAGCTTTGCCCACATACCCCCTCCAATCATCCTTCGATTCAGCCAACGATGCTCTCACCATGCTCTCATTGATGTTACAAGAGAAATTGCAGTGGGGCGAACGGAAACCCGGTGGTGGTGGAGCGGAAGGTGGCGGAGCCTGAGACAAAACACGGCGGAGACTGAGGAAGGTGGCGGAGTCTGATAAAACACGGCGAAGAAGAGACGATATTTCAGAGAAATATTGATCGGGAGGCGTCGGAGGGTTAGGCGTCAGAGGGTTAGGCGTCGGAGGGTTAGGCTTCGGAGAGGGAGGTGAATGATGCATCATACTGAAATTCATAAAAGGAGTCTTGTATACTTGAAGGTATTTATCGATATTTTTTAATACGTCCGGTCTCGAACAAAAAAGGAAAAAATACCCAATAAAAGTTGGGTATCACTTAGCTATTCTTAGTGGACAAACATATTGTGTTTCTAGTGTCTATAAGTTGAGTGGTACATTTAACATTTCGATTCAAATATTTCTCTTTCTCTACCTTTTTCAAAATTAATTCAAAATTTTCGAAGCAATCAAATGAAGATAGACAATCGAATTTTACCATACACAACAAAAAAATAAAAAAAGGTAGACAATAAAAGAAGATCAAACTCGAAATGTTTCAGATTCAGAGAGTTTGGGAGATAACCATATCCCTGATTCAATTTCTCAGACAATACAATACAGAGAGAAAAAGAAAGAAGAAGGAGTGTTGAGAAATAACAGTTCTTTGACAGTTTTTATTTAATAAACAGCAACCCAACAAAACCCTAATGAAAGGGTCATATTAACAAAACGCGGCCCAATTAGCAGGCCTAATAAAGTTAGATAAATATGGATATAAAAAGAGACCCAATAGAAGATTAAGCGGATGCTATGCTCTAGAAATTCTTAGATATAAAAAGAAGAGTAACAAAAAAAAGGGTGAGTCTGTAAGCTTGCTTTAAACTGGAAGAGATGCATGTAAATAAAGCGTTGATTGCTAAGAATTGAAATCTGAATTAGGAAAACAGGGCCAAATGGAGAAGCTGACAGGTTGATTGACATATAAAACAAGCAGTGTGGTGTGATGAAAGAATGTAAGCTTACATAGTCTTTGTATAATTGTACCACATGAACATCAAAACTCATACAAAACTCATGTACAAGCACAGTTATATTTGAACTTCTAAGAGACAGGCCGATGTTATCTGTTATCTAGATCTGAATTTGGAAAACAGGTAACATGTGATCTAAACAAATAACATGTGATCTAAATATTCTAGATCTAAAAAGAAGAAAACAAGAAATAAAATAAAACCCAACAACAATCTGAAACATAGCATGTTATGCTTGTATAAGAGGAACAAATTTTCTAGATCATACAAGAATAACATATTCTCTAGATCTAACGAAAAAAAAAAAAAAAAACAGAAAAAACCAGCACACAATTTTAACCTTATGAAATATAGCTACATACATAAGCATATTTTCAAGAGGATCGATGAAACATCGAATCCAAAGATATTAAGAAAGCATAATTCTATTTTATCTAAGACAGAAACCAAAGTAGTATAAGATAGAGAAGAGTTCGCTTGAAAGTACACAGAAGTCTAAAGTGTCAGAAAGTACACCTATTTATAACAATCGAACGATGTGACTGTTAGGGTTTCCGTGCAACAAAAATGGGCCAGGTTTTTCATGGGCTTCTACAAATATAAACTAAGTCGGTTTTGGTTCATTTTCTAGACTTCATAATGAACATACTCCGCATTTGATCGTCTCCTTTAATTATGAGAGCAGAGGAGGATGTATAGTGAAAAGTGAAAACTTATATTTCTGGGTATAGGATTGCCATGATGAAGCTCGTAGGAAAAGGGATATATGTAGTGTGAACAAAGAAAAGAAGTAGGAATGAAGTTTAGGGAAGATTAAGTCATTTGAGTTGAAACATATCACTTTATTGACTATGAGGCAAAATGATAGTTAGGATGGAAATGCCTATAATGAAATGAAATATATAATTTAATATCTAAAGTTTCTTTTGTTCCTCTTAGCTTATTAGTTGATTGGGTTTATGTATTCGTTAAATCATCTTCATTTGAAAGTATTCGCTAAAGCAGACTTTTACTTTACCCGAGACATGTTATTATACTTATACGGTCAACAGTAAATGATACTTTTTAAGGAGTAATAATGTGTTTAACGACAAAGTGCGACTGAGTACTTGAGTTTGAAGCTAACAAAACCAAAGAATAAGTTTTGAGGAACCTATCTTAACAGAACCAAGTGAATGATGCATCATACTGACATTCATAAAAGGAGTCGTGTATACTTGAAGGTATTTATCGATATTTTTTAATACGTCCGGTCTCGAACAAGAAAGGAAAAAATACCCAATAAAAGTTGGGTACCGCTTAGCTATTCTTAGTGGACAAACATATTGCGTTTCTAGTGTCTATAAGTTGAGTGGTACATTTAACGTTTCGATTCAAATATTCCTCTTTCTCTACCTTTTTCTAAATTAATTCAAAATTTTCGAAACAATCAAATGAAGATAGACAATCGAATTTTACCATACACAACAAAAAGATAAAAAAAAGGTAGACAATAGAAGAAGATCAAACTCGAAATGTTTCAGATTCAGAGAGTTTGGGAGATCACCATATCCCTGGTTCAATTTCTCAGACAATACAATACAGAGAGAAAAAGCAAGAAGAAGGGAGTGTTGAGAAGTAACGGTTCTTTGACAGTTTTTATTTAATAAACAGCAACCCAACAAAACCCTAATGAAGGGTCATATTAACAAAACGCGGCCCAAGTAGCAGGCCTAATAAAGTTAGATAAATTTGGATATAAAAAGAGGCCCAATAGAAGATTAAGCGGATGCTATGCTCTAGAAATTCTTAGATATAAAAAGAAGAGTAACAAAAAAAAGGGCGAGTCTGTAAGCTTGCTTTTAACTGGAAGAGATGCATGTAAATAAAGCATTGATTGCTAAGAATTGAAATCTGAATTCGGAAAACAGTGCCAAATGAAGAAGCTGACAGGTTGATTGACATATAAAACAAGCAGTGTGGTGTGATGAAAGAATGTAAGTTTACATAGTCTTTGTATAATTGTAACACATGAGCATCAAAGCTCATACAAAACTCATGTACAAGCACAGTTATATTTGAACTTCTAAGAGACAGGCCGATGTTATCTGTTATCTAGATCTGAATTTGGAAAACAGGTAACATGTGATCTAAACAGATAACATGTGATCTAAATATTCTAGATCTAAAAAGAAAGAAAACAAGAAATAAAATAAAACTCAGCAACAATCTGAAACATAGCATGTTATGCTTGTATAAGAGGAACAAATTTTCTAGATCATACAAGAATAACATATTCTCTAGATCTAACGAAAAAAAAAAAAAAAAAAAGAAATAGAAAAAACCAGCACACAATTTTAACCTTATGAAATATAGCTACATACATAAGCATATTTTCAAGAGGATCGATGAAACATCGAATCCAGAGATATTAAAAAAGCATAATTCTATTTTATCTAAGACAGAAACCAAAGTAGTATAAGATAGAGAAGAGTTCGCTTGAAAGTACACAGAAGTCTAAAGTGTCAGAAAGTACACCTATTTATAACAATCGAACGATGTGACTGTTAGGGTTTCCGTGCAACAAAAATGGGCCAGGTTTTTCATGGGCTTCTACAAATATAAACTAAGTCGGTTTTGGTTCATTTTCTAGACTTCATAATGAACATACTCCACATTTGATCGTCTCCTTTAATTATGAGAGCAGAGGAGGATGTATAGTGAAAAGTGAAAACTTATATTTCTGGGTATAGGATTGCCATGATGAAGCTGGTAGGAAAAGGAATATACGTAGTGTGAACAAAGAAAAGAAGTAGGAATGAAGTTTAGGGAAGATTAAGTCATTTGAGTTGAAACATATCACTGTATTGACTATGAGGCCAAATGATAGTTAGGATGGAAGTGCCTATAATGAAATGAAATATATAATTTAATATCTAAAGTTTCTTTTGTTCCTCTTAGCTTATTAGTTGATTGGGTTTATGTATTCGTTAAATCATCTTCATCTGAAAGTATTCGCTAAAGCAGACTTTTACTTTACCCGAGACATGTTATTATACTTATACGGTAAACAGTAAATGATACTTTTTAAGGAGTAATAATGTGTTTAACGACAAAGTGCGACTGACTACTTGAGTTTGAAGCTAACAAAACCAAAGAATAAGTTTTGAGGAACCTATCTTAACAGAACCAAGTGAATGATGCATCATACTGAAATTCATAAAAGGAGTCTTGTATACTTGAAGGTATTTATCGATATTTTTTAATACGTCCGGTCTCAAACAAGAAAGAAAAAAATACCCAATAAAAGTTGGGTACCACTTAGCTATTCTTAGTGGACAAACATATTGCGTTTCTAGTGTCTATAAGTTGAGTGGTACATTTAACATTTCGATTCAAATATTCCTCTTTCTCTACCTTTTTCAAAATTAATTCAAAATTTTCGAAGCAATCAAATGAAGATAGACAATCGAATTTTACCATACACAACAAAAAGATAAAAAAAAAGGTAGACAATAAAAGAAGATCAAACTCGAAATGTTTCAGATTCAGAGAGTTTGGGAGATCACCATATCCCTGGTTCAATTTCTCAGACAATACAATACAGAGAGAAAAAGAAAGAAGAAGGGAGTGTTGAGAAGTAACGGTTCTTTGACAGTTTTTATTTAATAAACAGCAACCCAACAAAACCCTAATGAAAGAGTCATATTAACAAAACGCGGCCCAATTAGCAGGCCTAATAAAGTTAGATAAATTTGGATATAAAAAGAGGCCCAATAGAAGATTAAGCGGATGCTATGCTCTAGAAATTCTTAGATATAAAAAGAAGAGTAACAAAAAAAAGGGCGAGTCTGTAAGCTTGCTTTAAACTGGAAGAGATGCATGTAAATAAAGCGTTGGTTGCTAAGAATTGAAATCTGAATTCGGAAAACAGGGCCAAATGGAGAAGCTGACAGGTTGATTGACATATAAAACAAGCAATGTGGTGTGATGAAAGAATGTAAGCTTACATAGTCTTTGTATAATTGTAACACATGAGCATCAAAGCTCATACAAAACTCATGTACAAGCACAGTTATATTTGAACTTCTAAGAGACAGGCCGATGTTATCTGTTATCTAGATCTGAATTTGGAAAACAGGTAACATGTGATCTAAACAGATAACATGTGATCTAAATATTCTAGATCTAAAAAGAAAGAAAACAAAAAATAAAATAAAACTCAGCAACAATCTGAAACATAGTATGTTATGCTTGTATAAGAGGAACAAATTTTCTAGATCATACAAGAATAACATATTTTCTAGATCTAACGAAAAAAAAAAAAAAAGAAACAGAAAAAACCAGCACACAATTTTAACCTTATGAAATATAGCTACATACATAAGCATATTTTCAAGAGGATCGATGAAACATCAAATCCAGAGAGATTAAAAAAGCATAATTCTGTTTTATCTAAAACAGAAACCAAAATAGTATAAGACAGTTTTTATTTAATAAACAGCAACCCAATAAAACATTCATAACATAAAGAGACCATAACACAAATGGAAACATATCAATAGCGTATTACATCTGAGGTCGAAATTCCTAAATGGCAGGGTGCATTTTGTATCTTTGATTAGTCATTACAATACAATTTTAAAGTAAAAACAAAAAACTAAACATTTATATATATATATATATATATATTTTTTTTTTAATATAAATATCTAAATTATACTAGTAAACTTGATTAGTCTTCAGAGATATTACGACATTTTATATTCAATTGACGCATACTTTGTAGATGTTACAAGTGTCGTTCGTACACGATCAAGACTTAATATTGGTTTGATTTTCTTAATTGTTTTATTTTGCAACTATTTTAAAATTTATGGTATTTTTAAAACACGTACAATCATTTAGATCTAGCTGGTGCACTGCTGTATATCATATGGATATTTAAAAATGAACGACATTTGCTTAAGAAGGAAAATAGACCTCAAAAAAAATATCGAAGTAAACCGAAGAAATATTAGACAAACATAAAACTTTTCTGATAAAAGCTATCAAACACATTGTAAAAGAAAGATAAAAAAGCTTTTACTCTTTTAGAGCCAAAGAAGGTCCTCTTCAGTGACAATTCAAAACACTACACGTGGCGAACGCTAATCTCTTGCATGGGTCCCACTAGCTGAAGTTGGTGATCTGACTCTGCCATGGTGTCACGAGAAACGTCCGATTTTATTTCCTTGGACGGTGAGAGATTACGCTGGCTTTTCCTTTGAGAGCTGACCCACACCGACCATATCTGGATAAATAAATGAAAATGAAATTACATGGAAAATGATTTATTTTTGTAATTTATCATTTCCAAAAAGAGATTCGTAACGTAATAGATTGGGTTATATTTCTCGCCCAATCTATAAAATGAATGTTGAATTTAGTCCTCTTTATTTCTTTAAGTAAATCGTAGCTCTCGTGCATGCACCATCAGTAGTAAGTACGTTTCTAGTCTTTCTGCATTTTGTTTAATCCACGCATCAAATGTTAGGAAAATGGAAGTTATTGGAGAGAGACATAGTTGATCAAAATTCATACGATCAAGTACATGTCGAAAATCGAAGTTTTGAATATCATTCCATGGTCTATTGTAATCGATGCTTCAACGGTCAATCTTAGTTTATGACTATGTATTGAAGTTAATGTTAGAACATACGAATTGCTACATACATAATCATATTTTCAAGAGGATCTTTAAAACATCGAATTTAGAGATTAAAAAAACATAATTCTATTTTATCTAAGACAGAAACCAAAGTACAAAAGGTTAATAATACTTCGATAAAGCTCAAAATCTGTAAGTAGAAGAGTTACACGTTACGACAAACAGTACGCCCTCGAGTTCAATACGGCATGAGTCATGACCACATTTATATTTTTATTTATTCTCATGTTTTTGTCGACCATGGTCACATTGTATTTTGAACAAGAAGGACAACTATTTTCAGTTTCCTGCTTTTTTTTTAACATTTGGCAATTAAATGACTCAGATTAGATCTTATTAAAATCTAAGTGCCCGTGGAACATGGGCGGCGGACACCGACCACCAACAAGTTTTGATGTTTACTTGACACGTGGAAACTACTGCTCCTTAACTTACAAGTCCTGACTGGCCCCACCATTCTTTCTTAGATTTTCATTTTTATTTTCTGCTGTGTTTTCCATTTCTTTATGGAATTAGATGATAGCGGATTGCAAAAGACGAGGTGAAGGATGAAAGCATGAAGCATGAAGCTAATACCCTCTATAGAATAATTGAGATAAACATTAATCTGGAAATGTGTCAGAAAAGTTAGATCAACCTCAATTTATCAATCAACGGAATGTCAGTTAACCAGTCAGGAAAAGAGGAAAATTAAAGTGTTGTTTATTTTGTCACAAATGTTCTTTATCACTTATTTTACAACTTTAATACGAATTTGACTGTTGACCAACAAAAGTGCCATACTTTCTTTAGTGACTATAATAGTGTGACAAAAGTTCAATGTTCTCCATATACATACATGTAATTTAAATGTAACTAAAATTTAAAGTTCAATGTTTTTCTTGATAAAAAAACAAAGCCATGTTTAAGTTTCTTCAAAAAATACACACCACAACTTCTTGTGAACAAGGTTTTAGACCAATGCAATTTGCTTCATTGATGAATGAGAATAGCCAAATCCTCCCCCAACGGTTTGTTTATTCCATAAATAAAATAGCAACGGCTACTTTCAACTATAAATCAAAATAACATTCAACTATGGAAATGTAAATATCCTGTTATGGTAGTAGCCGTTTAACTGTATAACACAAATCTCAAACGGTCAAATTCGAAAATAGAAGCTAAAATATAACAAGTTCGAATATCTCTTGTGATTGGTCAAAAATCATAACAATGGATTGTGATAATCGCGAAGTAAAATTGATTTAAAGTTCGAATATCTCTTCTTATGATTGGTAAATAATATTTTGATTGTGATATCCCCTGGTTTCCTCAAGTTCCTTGTTAAATCATGATTAAGTAAGGTATTAACATTTATTAATTTATATTATAACAACTATTGCTGTTTAAATCAATTTTGATTGGACTTTTAAATTACCTATGCAAAGGCCTCAACCCAGTTTAATCTCATAGGGCCCAATAGGATAACGCAGGCCTATTTGAAGCTATTTTAAACGACACACAAACACAAACGAGAGAGAGAGAGAGAGGAACACACAAATCAGCGAGAAGAGAACCCTAGTTGTGCCGAAATGCAGAGTCTTCGATCCGTTATCACGCAGGCAACGCGCGGAGGGAGATGGGTTTCGTCTCGCCGTAATTTCTCGTCGTCCCCCGTTCCCAAAGGTAACGTTTTGGTATTTTGATGTATTCCTGAGAAGAAATTGATTTTTCAGTTTGTCATCTGTTCTTTGATTCCGCGTGAAATCTATCAAATTTGTTACTCCTTTTGTCATGTGTTTTGATGAATTCGTATTCGGTGTGGTATTTTGATGTATTCCTGAGAAGAAATTGATTTTTCATTTTGTCATCTGTTCTCTGATTCCGCCTGAAATTTACTCTTTTTGTCATGTGTTTTGATGAATTCGTATTCGGAGTGCTTTTTGAAGAAGAGTCCTCATCTTTTTTTGTCGTGTGTGATTGTAGAGACGAATGGAACAGTTCGCGTGGGAGATGCGGAAGGTAACGTTTCTTATTTGGGTTCTGATGGCAATTTGCTTGTTTTATTTGTTTTATTTGTTGGGCTTATGAGTCTTCATGTTTTTTTCATCTGTGATTGTAGAGCCGTGGGGAGCATTGAAGAGAGAGATAGAGAGTTTTGGCGTGAAAGATGCTCTTGTTAGCAGCGGATATGCTTGCTTAGGTGTTGCGCTCTACTCGGCTCTTGGTAATCTTGACTATCAAGATTGTTAGTTATTATTATTGAGATAAAAAACAAACCATAATTCTTAATTTCCTTGTTATCTCAGCATTTGGCAGGAGAGAAATTGCCTATCAAGAGCTATACAAGGCGAAGAAGCTTGCCATGTTGAAGAATGAAAATTAGTTATGTCTTACGTTTCTATGTTGAAATGTATGTTTTCAACAGAAAATAATATAATGTGTCTGTGATGTTGTGTTTGTTTAACGTTTAATTTTGTGGAATAATTTTGTTCTTGTTCATTTTAATTTTTGAAAAAACTTCGGAGGGATCATTGTGTTTTAGAAAAAGAAAAACAGATACGAGTACGACTAACGCTGGTTAATTTGACTTTGGCCTGGAACAACGAAATTACCGTATATGCAAGGTTAACTTAATGAAGAACTCAATGTGTAAATCAAACTTACAACTAGCAAACTAGTCCTCAACGTGTGAATCAAGGCTGCGTCCTTGTTGAAGCTGCTCGATCTTTCTCAGGGCATGGTTAGACTTCTTGGTCTCCTTAGGCGCGGCAGCAGCAGCGGAGTTGCAGCTTCACCTTCCTATAGATTAAACAAGTTTCACTTTCCTGCTACGGAATCAATTTGTACAAGAAAAATGAAGAACGGTCTCATCTCTCACCTCTCCCTTCTTGGGCGGCAACCTTCAACACCGTAGCATCAACCTGAACAACGGCACTCTCTTGACAAGTGTCTTTGTACGAACCAAGTCATTCTTGGAAGCGTAGTAGACAACATCAAGGACTCTGTTCTTGCGAGTAACTGCTTCACTTCCCCAAGAGTAGTTTCCGATATCGAATCTCAAATGCACGCCACTTGTCAGTAGACACAATTTCTTTAAATTATGAAATTATCTGAGAATGAGAGTTTGAGTTTGAAATCTTCTTCTTCGACAAGATTAGATCACACACATTGGAAATGAGTCTTAATTCAAACAAAAGAGCAGACAAACTAGTACCACACCACCACCTAACATAAAACGCTGTCAGTTAAGAAGCTATTTTTATATATCTCTCTCCCACCAAACTCTTTTACAAAAATGCGAAATATTTGAGAATATCAGGAACTCACTCACTCACATTCACAATAATGGCGGCCTGGCGAACTCTTTCCTTGTCGGAAACAATACTCAGATCCCATCTCTGAACCCCAAATCAACATCTTAATCTCTTCTCCACCTCAGCAAACCAAACACCGTGGGCCTCGCCGGAAAAGCCAAGCTCGTCTCGCTCAGATGCGTCGCCGCGACGGCTGGATCACAAGAACGCGTCAACTTCGCGGCGGGTCCATTCATGGAGTTGAATTCAAAGAGTACCCTGTTCCTAAAAACGGGATCGTGGTGGCTGATATGTCTTCCAACTACTGCTCGAAGCCAGTCGATGTGTCAAAGTTCGGTGTGATCTACGGCGGTGCGCAGAAGAACGTTGGTCCGTCTGGTGTAACATTCTCCTTGGTAAGGAGGTAGAGGAAAGGATCGAGAGGATTAAGAAGCGCACAGAAGAGGTATTATATAAGCCGGCCCATTGAATTACTTTGTGACCATTGCTATTATTTCATTCCTGTTCATCATTGTATCTCTGTATTTTTCAGTACAAGACTGAGGTGGCAGCAGCAGATATGTAACACCTACGATTTGTGTCCTTTTAATTCATTTTGTGAGAATCATGTTTCAAACTCTCTAAACTCTTTATTATCTCCTGTTCATGCTTGGTACTATCATGGCATTGTTGTTTGTTGTTTTACTTTTGTTACAATGTGTGATTTTTTTATTTGCGGATATATATAATGAAGTTTATTAAAAAAAAACATTACAGCTACCTACCATTTTGTCTGAGCTCATTTTACATCTTTGTTTATTTCATTTTCAATTTTTATTTTACTTTCCCATTGTAATTGTTAGTATTTGAAAATGATCGAGAGACTCTATGATCTCCGGTCAAACTATGTATGTGCAAAACCTTCTAGGACCTTTTAAAAGGTGAATCTTCATAGATTCGAACATATGTACCACCAAAAGTTTACAAAGCAAAATATTATACTTCAACTGCTCAAAATGATTATCTTTCTTCCTTCCGATGATTTAAATATGGTTTTTTTGGAAATTCTTGCGTTTTTTCAATTATACATGTGTTCAACATCAATCTAATCGTTTGAACTCTGATTTTGGTTTATTGTCCGACTTCATAATGAACATACTCAAAATTTGATCGTCGAGCAGAGGAATATAGTGAAAACTTATAATTTTGGGTTTATGATTGCCATGATGAAGCTGGTATAAAGTGCAGTAAGAATAGTAAAAAGGGAGGCCAAATGATTTTTTAATCGGAGACTTGTAACGAAAAACGGCACACAGTCTAGTAATTTTTGTCTCTCCCTTTTTACTCCGGCACCAGACCAAAGTGAAAGTATCATCATATCTTCTTCTTTCTCTTCACCGGAAAGACAAACCAGCTCCGATTTGACCTTTTTTTTTTCCGTCGTCACTAAAATTTGTAGAATTGCGCCTTTCAATCACCGAAGGCTGTTTTCTTCTTCCCTTGTTGATAATTTGTTTCTGCGTTGTGTGGTCAATTGACAATGTATCAAGGGGTCAATAATGGGATTCGAACCTGGACTATAGGGGTCATTACATTTCACAGTTTTATCATATTGACACCGTATCTTCCTTAGTGGCCTCGCCACTGTGTGGGCATAGTTGGGGAGATTTATGCACGCATGTTCCTCGACGGAAATTCGCAGAGAATTTTGTTTGCTGCCTGAATTGACTGAGAAGCTGGTCTTGCGCAGGCTTATATATGAGCAAGCAACCATGGCAAATCCGCCACTGTGAGCTTTCGTCACTCTCTTTTAATGCTCAATTTCATACTGTGAGCTTCAGGACGATCATGACGTCGCTTCTGATGTCGAGTGTTTGAAGGGAAAATCTCATACCGGTGAGAATTTATTTTCATTTCTTCTCAATCTCCACTTCTATTGCTCGTTTCGTATGCTCATTGGTGAATCGATTTGTCAGCTGCTTCGACTAATATCGCTATGGCTACTCTGGGTGTTGGATCCACCGAACGAACAAGCTGGAAACGAAAGTAAGTTCTTCAAATTTGCTTAATTTCCTCGGCGAAAGTACGAGAATTGAAATTTCGTATGTTTGAATTAGGGGTGTAGTAACAATGGCACTGACGATTCTGACGAGTTCACAAGCGATACTCATCGTGTGGTCGAAGCGAGCTGGGAAGTATGAGTATAGTGTTACCACCGCAAACTTTTTGGTGAGTTTGTTCTCTGTATTTACTCTGTATCAAAATTGAGTGATGCAATGTATAGTGTTACAAGAGCTAAGTTTAATCTCTGGACCTCAGGTTGAGACTCTGAAATGTGCGTTATCTCTGCTTGCATTGACAAGGATATGGAAAAACGAAGGTGTTACTGATGATAATAGGTTTTGTATTCTTCTGCTACTTTATTTGTTTATGGGTTTGCTATGACCATCATTGGGTTTTTGACTTACTGATATTCCCAAATTCTGTCTCTGAATCAGGTTAAGTACAACATATGACGAAGTTAAAGTCTTTCCCATCCCTGCTGCATTGTACCTTTTCAAGAATCTGTTACAGGTGTGGGCTTAGGTCGATGTTTGTATTCTCTGTTTTCCTTTTTAGTATGTTTCTGACTACTTGTGGTGGTGTCACCTTTTATGTGGCAGTACTATATTTTTGCATACGTAGATGCCCCAGGCTATCAGATACTGAAGAACTTGAACATCATAAGTACCGGTGTCTTGTACAGAATTATACTGAAGAAAAAGTAGGTATTTTTGTTCATCCAAATGGATTTCATAGCTTGCAATGAGTAGTTGGTTTTGGAAATCCATCAGTTTTTCGGTTTTATTCCCCTCGTTTCTTTCTCTTCTTGATTTTAAGAAGTGAATATGCTCTGTTTAATCAGTTTTCTTACCAATTTCTTCTATCAGGTTGAGCGAGATTCAGTGGGCGGGTTTCATCTTATTGTGTTGCGGATGCACCACTGCTCAGTTGAATTCAAGGTAGATATGTCTCTAGATTCTTTTACCCTTTGATTTTTTTTTTATCTTGCCTATGATGCATAATATATAAAAGCTCATTTGTGATCAGTTAATGTCTATATTTCTGGCTCTGTGAACTTTGAGGTCTATTGTTTTTCCGAGTACATGGTCTCATATTTGAAATTCGTTTTGCAGTTCTGATCGTGTTCTCCAAACATCTCTTCCGGGCTGGATTATGGCAATTGTAAGTTCTTAGCCACATTAGCATGCTAATACCTACTAAGAGTTGTGAAGCATCTGTCATGTCCACACCAATTGATATAATCGTTTGTCGTCATTTCTAGGTTATGGCTCTTTTAAGTGGTTTCGCCGGAGTGTATACAGAGGTGAGCTGATTTACTTTTTTCAAACAGTATAATTTGGTCACTCTATTGATAACGTATGATTTTAAAGCCTAAAAGGGTTCTGCTTTCCATTTTGCCAGGCTATTATAAAAAAGCGTCCTTCAAGGAATATAAATGTACAGAACTTCTGGCTATATGTCTTTGGGATGGCTTTCAATGCCGTTGCTATAGTGATCCAAGATTTCGATGCCGTTGCAAATAAGTAAATCCAAAACCCCATCTTCTTCTATATCTCTAATTCATATATGCTACTAATTAATACATGTGGTTGCTTGCGTCTCCAATGAGATTTGCCTTCCTATATTAACATACTTGTGTCCATAGAACTAATTATGAAAATACAACTTCCGTATAGTCTTGGTGTCTGAGAGTTCATTGTTTTATGCCATTATGTAACACATCTGCTTTGGTATTGAATGGGTGATTTTCTATTTTCAGGGGATTTTTTCATGGTTACTCATTCATTACATTTCTCATGATTCTTAACCATGCTCTCAGGTAAAGCTACTTCAGAGGCTAGGCTCTACTCTAAACTCTAGTGAAGTTAACACATTAAAACACTGTTTTTCCTTTTGGTTTTGCAGTGGCATTGCTGTGTCCATGGTGATGAAATACGCAGACAATATTGTGAAGGTAGTAAATTTCCAAAATGCTATTCATTATCCAGCAGATTCCACAGAGAAGTCGCTTTTCTAAACACAGTGATTGACTTTTATCAATAACCGGTTATGTAGGTTTATTCAACATCAGTGGCAATGCTTCTCATCGCTGTTGTCTCCGTATTCCTCTTCAACTTTCATCTTTCCCTTGCCTTCTTCTTGGGTTCCACGTAAGTGCAATCATCTTAACTTTTTTTATTAAATACTGATAGTAGCTGCCAACAATTCATGCAAATAAGAGCTAATGAATGCGTGAGATATTCATTACTGTGTTTGCACTTTGCAGGGTCGTCTCTGTTTCAGTATATTTGCATTCCGCCGGGAAGCTACGATAGTAAAAGAAAAGATCTCTATACTTACTCGACCAAGAAAAAAAAGTCCTCACTTATTCTAGTACAGAGATAAAGCTTTTGAACATTTTCGATTTTGTATTTCAATGTAGAGTATATTAACATTTTTGCTTCTGTATTGATTTTTTCCCTTCCTGATTCCCACTATTCTCATTTGTATGGAACCTAAATTTATCAAGAGCAGTAAAAAACTTCACAAATTGAGCCTCTTTATAACTCCCTTGGAATATTTAAATAAACATTAACTGTCTGAAAGCGAAGCTGTTTTGTTGAAAATTGCATGCTTAGAGCAAAAGGCATAACTAAGAAAAAGATCCAACCGTGAAGACTCAGAGACCGGCGTACTTTGTTTTTAAATTAATCCTTGTCTTTGCTTCAAAGCCAATACTTTGAGACTCTTGTCTTGTCTCCCACTTGTATATAAACCACCTATCCATCTACTCTCTTTCACACCATCTCTTCCTCTTCTCTCGCTTGAACAGCTTTAGCTATGGCTTCACTTGCCAAACTCTCTCTTTTCTTCGCCATTTCAGCATCAGCCCTCCTCAGTTCTGCTCTTGCTCGTGATTTCTCCATCGTCGGATACACACCTGAGCATTTGACATCCACTGATAACCTTCTAGAGCTCTTTGAGTCGTGGATGTCAGAACACAGCAAGGCGTACAATAGCGTGGAGGAGAAGGTACGCAGGTTCGAGGTCTTCAGAGAGAACCTGATGCATATTGACCAGAGGAACAACGAGATCAGCAGTTACTGGCTCGGTTTGAACGAGTTTGCGGATTTGACTCATGAAGAGTTCAAGAGAAGATATCTCGGACTTGCAAAGCCTCAATTCTCTAGAAAGAGAGAGGCTTCTGCTAACTTCAGGTACAGAGACGTCACTGACTTGCCTAAATCCGTCGACTGGAGGAAGAAAGGCGCTGTGGCTCCCGTCAAGAACCAGGGCTCATGTGGTAACATTTCTCTTTTTCTTGATCTCAAGATAGATAAGAACCAAAGATTGGAATTGATCTTTTAAAAACAATCTTATTCTTGTCATTGCAGGTAGCTGCTGGGCGTTTTCGACAGTTGCAGCTGTTGAAGGGATCCACCAGATCACAACAGGGAATCTGAGTTCGCTTTCAGAGCAAGAACTCATAGACTGTGACACAACTTATAACAGTGGCTGCAATGGAGGTCTCATGGACTATGCATTCCAGTACATAATTTCCACTGGTGGTCTCCATAAAGAAGACGATTACCCTTATCTCATGCAGGAAGGAGTTTGCCAAGAACAGAAAGTAAAAAAAAAAAACACAACTTACTATGATTCATCAGCTTACAAAACATTATCATTATTCATAAATCTTTTTACAGGAGGATGTAGAACTTGTGACAATCAGTGGTTACGAAGATGTCCCAGAAAACAATGACGAAAGCCTGGTGAAGGCTTTAGCTCACCAACCTGTCAGTGTGGCTATTGATGCTTCAGGAAGAGACTTTCAGTTCTACAAAGGGGTACATAACAGATCATAATGATATCTAAACTGTCTTCTATGTCATTCTCTCAAAAACCGAGTTGGTGATTCTTTTTTTTGTGTGTATACAGGGAGTGTTTAATGGGAAGTGTGGAACAGACCTAGACCATGGTGTAGCTGCGGTTGGGTATGGTTCATCAAAAGGATCAGACTATGTTATTGTCAAGAACTCATGGGGACCAAGATGGGGAGAGAAAGGGTTTATTAGGATGAAGAGAAACACCGGTAAACCGGAGGGACTCTGCGGTATCAACAAGATGGCTTCATACCCTACCAAGTCCAACTAAGAGAGATATATCTATCTTCTGATTCTGCACCCTACGTTTTCTTTCTTTCTTTGTTTCAATGCATTTCTGTATTTACACGTTTCAAGCACATCATATTGTATTTGATGAATTTGAGATTTTCAAATAATATGAATTTGGGATCATTCTCTCAAATATGAAACCTTCAAATACCATATAAGGACCAATCAGAAAGACTGGTGCGTTTACGTGTTTTTCTAATAAAGAATGTAGAGAGAGTTCTCAATTCTTACATGTGAATGTAGAGAGAGTGGGATTTGGATCTCTAGCATACAAAGCCTTACAGTTTTGAATATAATAAACTGACTGGCTGGTTCAGTAAAAATGTGGCTGTGAAAATATAAGTTAACTCTGAACTTCATTGTATTTGATGACACAGTCATAAAGCCGTCCTCCGAGAAACTGTGCTACTTCTGGATGCTTCACCTGCATAACAAACGAATAACAGACCAGAGAAATGAGGAGGAATCAAGAAACTCAGTCCCCTTAAACAAGAGAAGGGAAAAAAATTTAATGTAAGAACGTCGAACTATTACCATTCCAATCTTGAGGGAATCGCACTTGAACTGAGCATAAAGGTTTGTCTCTATTCCACGTCCCTAGCGAGTACAATCTTGGAGTCAGTTTACTGCAAGTAGAAACTTAAGACTAGATAACACATATTCACAGTGAAGGGATTGATAGGTCTTACCATGCCTTCTAAGATGACCAAGTCTGCGTCGGTTGAAAGGTACGCAACCTCCTGTGATACTCTTGAAAGATCAATAACCTGCAACAAGTATCAAAAGGGAGAAAGCAAATCAATAAACAGGAACATGCAGTGTTGGAAGTCAATCCTTCTTATGAGAGATTTGGAATATACCGGTAAGTCGTTTCCTGAATTTGAAATCAGAAGACCTGAGATATCAACACCCATCAATTGTCCATTTTCATCCTTCAGCTGATACATTAAGATTCAGTCAGAGTCGAGTTTCTTTAATCTGTAATGGAAGAAGAGAATACCCGAATGATTCCATTTAAGCACCTTTGACAAGATCTCTGCAAGCTCGGTATAAGTTACATCGTTGATAGAAGGAAGCTCATTAGCAGCCAGCACCACCTGCATTCCTCGACGTAGCATTTCTCTTGCAAACGGCAAAATACCCAAAATTATGTCTGCACCAGAGTTGTCGACAAATATCACTGCCTGCATTAGGAAGAGAAAAGTAGAACAAATCAGTTTGTCCTCTTATTAAACTCTTTAGCAGGAAAAAAAAAGAGTGAAGACAAATGACTGACCTTCTTCCAAGGCTTCTTGACCCATCTAGCTTGAAAGTTGTCCAGATCATCAATGACCCATGGCCGTGGAACCAAGTTTTGACAGCTAGCCAAAAATGACATCCCATCGTTTGAGAATACCTCGGCAAGCTTCAATACATGAAAAGGCAAAACAAGATCCATTAAATAAGAAGATACTCAACAAAGGAGAGAGGTGATGGAAGGAAATGAGAGAGATTATATATACCTGTGCAGAACCGAGATCAAAGATGTTTCCAGCGAAAATCCCTCTTACAAGACTCTCTATGCGTTTGCCTTCATCTTCAATAGCATCACTCAAACGGACAACTTCTGGAAATAGTGATATAGCCTTTGCATTCTCATCATCCTAAAAAGTTTACCATTTGGACTCGCCGGATCAGAAAAGAACACAAGCGAAAATATGCTTTATGAAAGAAAGAAAAAAACCCACCTTAACTTTCTTGAATATGTCCCTAAATCCCAGTTCTCTGAGAATTTGCTCACGGATTCTGCAGAGAAGCTGCCAAACAAGAACAAAAGCACCGAAACTAATTCATGAGCAACAAAGCTCGCTACAAGCTTACGGTTTACTAAGGAGAGTTAAGTTTTGTACAACTTACAATGCAATCTGGTGGCCCTCCATGGCTCTCCGGATCTTTCTTCAAGTCCTCAAGAATATCCGCATACCTTTCAGGTTCCAAGGAAGAAATCAAACGAAAAGATTGATGCTCTTTGAAGCAGATCATTGAAAAAGAATCCTCTTTGAAACTATGAAAACGAAAGGGAGGCAAACCATAGATAGAAACACACGAAATGTACCTTTTTGCAAACTTTTCAGCTCGAACAGGAGCATCTGTAACGGTAGTATCACTCTCTGCACGACTCCTACAACAAGTCAACAACAAGAACAAAAACACAGCTTTAGAACAGTGAAAGTTTGTGTTTTTATAATCATGAATTCTCTTGTTTTCCTATAAGCTTCCATAGACAACAAGATTTCCTACTAATGAAAACCCAGAAAGAGTAAGAATCAGAGATTCAACAGAGCAGTCGTTTAACCAATATCAAACAAACGGATCACAGCTCATGATTACCCAGCTATTAAAATGAGCTAATAAGCGTATCATCTAGATCAATTGACTAACACATCAATAAATCCAAGAAATTTCATACTGAAATGATCACAAAAATCAAAACTGGAGCTCATGAATCTGGATTACGGGCAAAAGGAAAAAGTAAACAGAGAGGGAAAGAGAAGGAACTTGAAAGAAGGGATGGAATTGAGGAAGAGGTCGATCCAAGAGATCTCAGTGGGAGTAGCCTTTCTGGGATTGTCAGAAGGGAATCGATAAGGAATTGTGGAAGCCCTGTAGTTTGATTCTATCGGAGTCGGTAACAGAGGGAACGCAACCATCTCCGAGTCGCTCTCCATTCTTCGTTCCTCGATGCTCTCACTCACTCACCAAAAGCGCAAGTGTACAGCACGTACCGTGTGAGGTATCAAAATCAGATATGTGTGATGGACTCCGTCTGGCTTGTTTTTCAATTGACTTTGTTTGTTTCTTGTTCAATATTGATGATCACTCTGATTCGGTTTAGTTTAGTTTATTAGATTTTTCGGTTTGATAAATTTAAATTGTCATTTCTCAAAATAATTTTTACATTAAAATTAATTAACAAACTCACACACATACACACATGAAAATTAACCATTACGTGACAAAATCTCAACTATATCATGCATACTTTCAAAGTTTTTTTTACTGTAAATTTGTTTACAAAGAAGAAGATCCACAATTTTAACTTATTTAGTGTTTTGGTAATACCAACAACGTTTTTGATGGTAGACTCGATCTTACAAATTTACTCGATTTATTTAACAAATTATAAATTTATCAATAGATTTTTGAAATAAACAACACATTTAATTAACCCTTTAATTAACAACTTACACTTTTCTTATTGTCATAACGAATGTTGAAGTAAAGACAAAACAAAGTTTCTTAAATAAATAATCATTATTATTATTTATTATTACCATCACGATTATGGTCTTTCAAATAATCTTTTTATATAGATTCATTTGTATGATTTTCGTGCAGTATTATTCAACATGAAAGTGTTGTAGTAGTTATGTGCTATGTATGAATATGTTGTTACTAATGGTAACAATTCACAAGAAACCATATCAGGGTAAATTGTGTTAGCCAAATATTTGTGATGATGAATAAGTGCATCATCCTGATTAATTGATTGGTACATCAATAAATCCTAGCAATTTCATATGGAAATGAGCACAAAAATCAAAACTTGAGCTCATCCATGAGGTATCAGAATCTTCTGTAGTGAAAATCAGCAGATTCCTTCAACTCCCAAATACCAAACATCCGCCTTTCGTTGCCAATGCCATTACCATATTTCTACCACGGTGATCGTGGTTGAGAACGATTCATATAAGTTATGTACCTTCCTCTATCTCTACAGCTAAATCGCTCATTCACTATGTTATAACAGAAGCATGACTGGTGTATGTGACATTAATTTCCACATTGTGGTTGATTGTTACTGCGTACAACTTTCTGTCCCAGACTGTTCCTATATTCTGGATTTGCGGAAAGGTTGAAGAAATCACCTACAACAATACAACAAAAAAAAATTAAGTTATATATCGAAAATAATTATATAATCCAAAAACATAACACAAAGATAACGTAAAAAAGACCAACCCGAGGATGAAATGGACGATCTGGGAGAGGTAGCGTCATCCCAACCAGTTGGCAAATTAAAGTTCCATCAATTTCCATCACTTGAAAAATTAAGTGGTCAATTTCCATTACTTGTACCACTATTAAAGCTCTGCATGCATGACGACGTTCGTAATCGATTACTTCTGTACTGTGGGTACAATTATTAATTTTAGAGTTGAACAGAAAAAGAGTGTATATGGGTTGTTTACTTTTTGTTAAAGAGAGCTAGCATATATATTTATTGTTGTTACAATATATACTTTGTTTTTTATATTTTTATTAATTATTTCTTTTTTTAATACATTTTTATATTTTTGATGAAATAATAAATCATGAAAGTGTATGTATTAATTGAATCATTAATTTGATTTAATTAATTTATATATTTTTTTTGCTGATGTGGCACTCTAAGAAAGCAAGTTTTTAATTATATACTTTTTAATCTATTATCTATGAACGGATGATTTGGTCCAGGGAGGATGCCTCCGTTTAATAACACTGTCACATGTCAGCAATTATATCACCATGAATTTCGGAGTGTCCATCATCAGGTTTCCCACACTGATGGTTTTAGACCTTTTTGTTTGAGTTTTGTTCGCTTTATGGGTTTATTAAAATGACGGAGGAGATAGAAATTGACCCGGTTAAGTATTGAGCGTAACTAGGTTTAACGGATGAATATGATGAGGGAGTTGGTTTAACACGGTTTCATTGAAAATGTGTACACCTTTAGAGGCTAAAACCACGATGGGAGAGGGAAAGACTAGATTTCATGACGTTCTTCGTCTGTGTATTGAGGGGAAAGTCTTGTTTGGCGTTTGGGCACAAATTTGTTTGGATTAGACCCACGATAATATATGTCCTATGGTTTAGAAAATAAGACAATAATCATTTCAAGTGTATGGATTAACCTTTTTGTTGTGGATTGATTGATAAGTGGTGGCCGATTCTGGAGATATTTCTTGTTTCTATTTGGTCTGAATAATACAGTTTCTTAATCCGAAATGAAAACGTAAGTAATTTTTCTCCAAAATACATAAACCCAAAATCAAACAGTTCTACATCATCATAGATAAATAATCTTTCCCAACCAAATGTCATAAAAAAAAAAGACTGATCAAAAATTATTCGAAGGGAATCATATTCGCCACTTGTTACTATTACGTTCAATTACTTCGGATGAATAGAATAAGTTTGATTTCAATTACGTTCAATTACTTCAGTTACTTCACCATTTGATAAAAATTAAGTCCATACGGAATAGAATAATTTTTTACCTCAAGCCATGTATTAAAATTCAAATATGTTATTGCTCTTTGTTTTTCTAAGAAAGACAAATATGTTATTGCTCTTTGTTAAAATTCAAATATATTAAAATTCAAATATGTTATAGTACAATACATGTGTGTTTTTTTGTGCAACATGAGCAATACATATCATAATCATTATCTATAAATATATTGTCACCATGCATTATTCTCCATACTAAAATACTTTTTATAAATTTGTAGTTTAATTATCTTTTACGAGAACGTTATGTATATCAGTTATTATTGAGTTGCTTACAAATTATACTTTTTAAAGTGTTAGGAACATAATAATCTCTTTATTATTTAGCTAGGATATATATTTATACAAGATAAAACTTTACATCTTCCTCATTCCATCAGCATTTCGTAGATTCAACCAAACACAATTGCTTGCTTTGAAAACGTCAACTTGTGAATAAACTAACACAAAATTAATGCAACCAATCAAATATCATTTATATGAACTATGTAAAAATTCATACTTTTGTAGAAATGACGAGGGGTTATTAATACACATGTCACGATCAGTTTTATATCCATTATAATCTTCTATGTTAAGAGGGGAAAGTCTTGTTTGGCGTTCATGGGCACAAAATTTGTTTGGATTAGACCCACGATAATATATGTCCTATGGTTTAGAAAAATACCACAATAATCATTTGACTTGTATGGATTAACCTTTTTTCGTGGATTGATTGATAAGTGATAACCGATACTGGAGACATTTTTTATTTCTCTTTGGTCTGAATAATATAGTTTCTTAATCCGAAATTAAAACGTAAATAATCTTTCTCTAAAATACATAAAACCAAAATCAAACAGTTCTACATCATCATACATAAATAATCTTTTCCCATATTATATAACCACCTAAAACTTCTGAAACCGAGTCAATCTACCAAATTTTAACCAAAATGTCATAAAATGACTGATAAAAATTGTTCGAAGGGAATCATATAATCACTACTTACTACTGTTACGTTCAATTATGTTACTTCGGTTACGTTTCATAAAAGTCAACTAAATGACTAATTGAGGACATTAAGATACATTTACATATGGTATTTAAATATTTGAAACATTTCATTGGACGTGGGAGACGAGTGGGCTTATCAAAGACCAAATGGAATCACACGCGCCTTTCTTTTTCACGTGATGTACACGCGCTCTCCCTCTTCAGCAGGAAGCCTTTTACCGATTCAGCAAATCGACAAGGTATATAAATGCGAACACACTTTCACAAAAACTGAAACGTACGATCAAAGCTTCTTCTCTCTTTGAAATTTGACATTCCGACATGGACCAAATATAATTTCCGGCGATGTCGACGTCACACACTCTCGGCGGCGCCACCCGTTGTGGCCGGGTGATTGGTCCGTCGCTGGACAAGATCATCAAAAACGCCGCGTGGCGCAAGCACACGTACCTCGTCTCCTCCTGTAAATCCGTCCTCGACAAGCTCGAATCTCTCCCCGACGACTTTCACGATCCTTCCTCCACCGTCTCCGGCCTCGCCGCAGCGGACGCAGACTCCGTCCTCCAGCCTTTCCTCCTCTCCCTCGACACCGCTTATTCCAAGGTCGTCGAGCCTGCTCTCGATTGCGCCTTCAAGCTCTTCTCCCTCTCGGTCCTCCGCGGCGAGATCCAGTCGTCCCGACAAGAGTCCGTCCTCTTCAAGCTCGTAAACGCCGTCTCCAAGGTCGGTGCCATGGCGGAGGAGCCGATCCAGCTCGCCGTTCTCCGAGTCCTCCTCGCCGCAGTCAGATCTCCGTGCGTCCTGATCCGCGGCGATTGCTTGCTCCACGTCGTCAAGACCTGTTACAACATCTACCTCGGCGGATTAAGCGGGACGACGCAGATCTGCGCGAAATCGGTGCTGGCGCAGATGATGCTCGTGATCTTCACCAGATCGGAGGAGGACTCGCTTGACGTCGCCGTGAAAACGATATACGTGAACGAGCTGTTAACTTTCACGGACAAGACCGTCAACGAAGGGAGCTCTGTTTATTTCTGCCAAGGGTTCGTGAACGAGGTCATGGCTGCAGCACAAGGAAGCCCTCTTCCTCCTCCCGACGTGATTCAGATTCTGCTTCAAAACCCGGAGACCGAGACTGTCATGACTCCGGACTCACCGTCGTTTCGTGGCTATAACGGTGAAGCCGACTCTGACATGAGCAAGATGAGACAAGACGCTTTCCTTCTGTTTAAAAACTTGTGTAAATTGTCCATGAGGTTCTCGTCGCAGGAGAACAACGATGATCAGATCATGGTGAGAGGAAAGACTTTATCTTTGGAACTGCTTAAGGTCATCGTTGACAATGGAGGTCCTGTTTGGCGCTCTAATGAAAGGTAGATCCTTTTGCTCTGCTCATAACTCTGTTTTTTTACTCAGTTTTTACTCTGTTTTGTGAACGTGATGCAGTTTCGTTAATGCCGTTAAGCAATACTTATGCTTATCACTACTGAAGAACAGTGCGGTGTCAATCATGTCGATATTCCAATTGCAATGTGCGATCTTCATGAGCTTGCTATCAAAGCTTAGATCGGTTTTGAAAGCGGAGATCGGAATTTTCTTCCCGATGATCGTCCTCCGTGTGCTAGAGAACGTTCTCCAGCCTAGTTTCTTGCAGAAGATGACTGTTCTCAACTTGCTGGACAAAATGTCTCAAGATCCGCAGTTGATTGTCGACATCTTCGTGAACTATGACTGTGACGTGGATTCCTCAAACATACTTGAAAGGTATTAGATTAGTACTCTAAGAACTGTCACGAAATTGCATGGCTCGTTTAATGTATTAAAGCTCTTATAGATTCCATCAGATAATTGCAGGATTGTCAACGGTCTTCTCAAAACCGCTCTTGGACCACCGACCGGTTCGTCGACAACACTGTCTCCGGCGCAGGACGGTACGTTTAGGAACGAGTCGGTCAAGTGTTTGGTTAACATAGTCAAGGCGATGGGGAATTGGATGGATCAGCAGTTGAAAGTGAACGAGACGGTTTGGCCTAAAGGATCACAAGTTTATGCTTCTATGGACAGTAATGCAGGACTGATTGTTGAAGAAGGAACTATCTCTGACTCTGATTCACAGCCGGATACTACCAATCCAGAATCTTATGATGCTTCTATGCTTGAGCAACGAAGAGCTTACAAGATTGAGCTCCAGAAAGGTATCTCTCTGTTCAATAGGAAGCCTTCGAAAGGTATTGAGTTTCTCATAAGCAGCAAGAAGATAGGAAGCTCTCCTGAGGAAGTGGCTGCGTTTCTGATGAAGACGGCAGGGCTTAATGGAAGCTTGATTGGAGATTATCTTGGTGAAAGAGAGGAGCTTCCGCTCAAGGTTATGCATGCATACGTGGACTCGTTTAACTTCGAGAAGAAAGATTTTGTGGAAGCGATTAGGTTCTTCCTACGTGGCTTTAGGCTACCGGGAGAGGCACAGAAGATCGACCGGATCATGGAGAAGTTCGCGGAGCATTACTGGAAATGTAACCCTGATTCTTTCACGAGTGCAGACACTGCTTATGTTCTTGCTTACTCTGTGATAATGCTCAACACAGATGCACATAACAACATGGTTAAGGATAAGGTATTGCTTCATTTCTTGCGTTGGAAGTCATTGTTATTAGGTCATGATGGTATAAGATGGGAATGTTCATTACCTCTGTTTTGTTTTTTTTTTTAGATGACGAAAGCTGACTTTGTCCGGAACAATCGAGGAATAGATGATGGGAAGGACTTGCCTGAAGAGTATTTAGGCTCTCTATATGATCGAGTTGTGAAAGATGAAATCAAGATGAATTCTGATACTTTAGCACCACAGAGCAAACAGGTGAATGGATTGAATAAACTGTTGGGCTTAGATGGAATCCTCAATCTGGTTTCTTGGATGCAACCAGATGAGAAACCTCATGGTGCCAACGGACTTCTTATAAGAGATATCCAAGAACAGTTCCAAGCTAAGCCAGGGAAATCAGAGTAAGCATTGTTTCTACACCTTTGTGCATTATTCTCTGTTTCTTGCTAAGATCAAGAAATCATTTCAATCTGTTTTGGTCTGTAGGGAGATTTATCATACTGTGACAGATGTCTCAATCTTGAGATTCATACTAGAAGTCTCATGGGGACCAATGCTTGCTGCATTCAGTGTCACTCTTGACCAGAGTGATGATAGACTCGCAACGTCTCTGTGTTTACAAGGCTTCCGTTACGCGGTGCACGTCACTGCAGTTATGGGAATGCAAACTCAGAGAGATGCCTTTGTCACTTCCATGGCCAAGTTCACAAATCTTCATTGTGCTTCAGATATGAAGCAGAAGAATGTTGATGCTGTAAAAGTATGTCACTTTGCTTTATATCTATAACAACATTGTATGTAGATGGTATTAACAGTCCCTAACATTGTATGCAGGCGATAATAACAATAGCTATTGAAGATGGTAACCATCTACAAGGATCTTGGGAGCATATATTAACTTGTCTTTCACGTATTGAACATCTGCAACTCTTGGGAGAAGTATCACCAGGAGATACACGTTACGTCCCTACAAAAAAAGCTGAGGCAGATGAAAAGAAAGCCTTAGGTTTTCCGAATCTAAAGAAACGTGGAGCTCTTCAGAATCCATCTGTGATGGCTGTTGTTAGAGGAGGTTCTTATGATAGTACTTCTTCGCTTGTGAAAAGCGTTCCTAAACTAGTTACTCCAGAGCAGATCAAGAACTTCATCGCTAATCTGAATCTGTTGGATCAGATAGGCAACTTTGAGCTGAACCATGTCTATGCTAATAGCCAGAGGTTAAACAGTGAAGCTATAGTTGCTTTTGTTAAAGCTCTCTGTAAAGTCTCCATGTCAGAACTTCAGTCACCATCAGATCCTCGTGTCTTTAGCCTCACGAAACTAGTCGAGACAGCGTAATTAAACTTCCCCTTCTGATGACTTTTCTTATAACTCTCTCTCTGATCAAATTAACTGTGGTTTGATGCATTGTGACAGGCATTACAACATGAGCCGGATCCGGTTAGTGTGGTCACGGATATGGAACGTTCTCGCTGATTTCTTCGTAGCGGTTGGCTTGTCAGAGAATCTCTCTGTTGCAATATTTGTGATGGACTCGCTTCGTCAGCTCTCTATGAAGTTCTTGGAGCGTGAGGAGCTAGCAAGCTACCATTTCCAGCATGAGTTTCTTCGACCGTTCGTCGTCGTCATGCAGAAAAGCAGCTCCGCTGAGATCAGAGAGCTAATAGTCCGATGTGTTTCTCAAATGGTTCTCAGTCGTGTTAGTAACGTACAATCTGGTTGGAAAAGTGTCTTCACAGTAAGTCAAACACACAACATTTAGTACTTCTCTGTTTTACAAAACCATGATGTTTTGTTGGTTTTGGTTTTAGGTCTTCACAACTGCAGCGATCGACGAGAGGAAGAACATTGTGCTGTTAGCTTTTGAGACGATAGAGAAGATCGTGAGGGATCATTTCCATTGCATAACCGAGACAGAGATATCGGTTTACGCAGACTGCATCAGATGCCTCATCGCATTCACAAACAGCAAGTTTGAAGGAGACATTGGTTTCAACACCATTGAGTTTCTTCGTTTCTGCGCTTTGAAGCTCGCACAAGGAGGACTTGTCTGGAACGAGAAGCTCAAGAACAGTAATATCTCAGCTTTGAAGGAAGATTCATCTGATGATACACAGAGTTTCACTGAACTTGACGAACAAGTCTCCTATTGGGTTCCTCTGCTTTCAGGTTACTAACAGACACTTAGGTATAATTTGCATCCTCTGCTTTTACTAAATGATTTATATTTATTATATGCTCAGGTTTATCTAAACAAGCCTCAGATCCGAGACCAGCTATTAGAAAGCGTTCCATTGAAGTACTGTTCAACATTCTGATGGATCATGGTCATCTTTTTACAAGACCGTTTTGGACCGGAATCTTCAGCACAATCATTCTTCCGGTTTTCAACAACATACGTAGCAAAACCGATATGCTCTTTGAAGAAAGCGTTGACTCTCCATCCTCAGCTTCTTTAGACACTGAGGAGACCACATGGGACTCTGAGACGTCAACATTCGCATTGCAGCTTCTCGTGGATCTACTCGTCAACTTTTTCACTTCCGTGAGGTCTCAGCTTTCGAGCGTGGTGTCAATCCTCGTAGGGTTTATAAAGAGTCCGTTTCAAGGCTCCACGGGATCTGGGATTTCTGTGTTGCTGCGTTTGGCGGATGGATTGGCTCCAAACGCAACTGAAGATGAGTGGAGTGAGATTTTCTTGGCTCTCAAGGAAGCAGCCTCGCTTACTTTCGCTGGTTTCATGAAAGTCTTGAGAGCCATGGATGATATTGAAGACGTTGAAACAGTCTCCGGTCAAAGCGTAAACAACGATGATATCGATGATGATAACCTTCACATCATGTCTTATGTTGTCTCTAGAACAAAGAAACACATTGATGTTCTGTCTCAAATCGTCGAGGTCTTTCTCTCTCTCTTTCTCTCTTACTAAGCCAAATGCTCTGTTTTTTTACTCTGTTTCGTTTTTTCAGGTTGTGGGTGATTTATACAGAAAAAACCAGTTTTCATTGTCCGCATCACACGTGGATATTCTCGCAGACATTCTCTCTTGCATCGCGTCTCACGCGCAGCAACTAAACACGGACAAAGTCCTTAGAAGGAAATTCAAGAGAGCATGTTCAGTCCAAAACCTAACAGAGCCTCAACTACTTAACTTCGAGAACGAGTCTAACAAGTCTTACATGGTCTTCCTCCAAGACATGGTCACTTGCAACCCAAACGTCTCCAAAGAACTCGATCTCGAGTCTCGTCTGGTCGATGAATGTGCCAAAGTCGTGAAGATTTACCTGAAATGCACAGGTCAACAACAACCGCAAACAAAGCCGATCCATTGGATTCTTCCGATGGAAACAGATCGCGTTGAAGAAGCGACGGCGAGGACTTCGCTGCTTGTTTCGTCACTCGAAGCCTTGTGTTCATTAGAAGCAGAGTCTTTGAAAAGACACGTGTCGAGCTTCTTCCCTTTGTTGGTGGATCTCGTGAGGACTGAGCATTGCTCTCCACAAGTTCCGTACGTTCTAAGCAATGTTTTGAAATCGTGTATTGGTCCCATTTTGGCTTAGTTACTTGCGTTCTAAGTTATGATACTTCTCTATGATGTGTGTTTTCTTCTTTTGGGTTTGGCTGTTACATGCACCCGAATAAATTTTGGCCATAGGTGTTTTATTTTATTTTCTTCAAATTAACTTTTTACGTTGAGAAATGTTAGAGAAAGCGGAACAGATTTTCTTCATGTGCGTTCGCTTAAATTTTAGAAGAATTCACGTATAAATCAAGAAAACGTGAAAAGCGGTACGCACTAAACCGGATCGAAGTGAATCAAAAACGTTTACGTTATGTATTTTTGTATAAACAGCTTAATTTAGGATCCAACAGAAACAAAAACATAACAAATTTGGTGTAAAAGCAATGAATTAATAATACTCTTGTGTAAATCAAAACAGTTACTTGTTGACAATCTGTCTTTGAAATTATAAAACAAATAACAAAGGTCAAATGTGATTTAATTTGTTACTCCGACAGGAAGACAAACGTCAAAGAAAGTAAAACTAAAAACCTTAAAATAGATACCGTCACTACAAATACACTTTTATAAATTCTCTCAAAAACATCACTAATGCAAACCACAATTGAATCCTATTTCCTCACAACAAGAAAACAAATCTAGCAAAAAGAGAGTCAATTGTTCAAATAAGAGATATGGGTGCAAAGGGAATCAACGAGAAAGTGGTAATTTTGATAATAGTGGCGGCTATGTTATTGAACATGGCATGGTGCTTGAACAGTGAGGAGATAAAGATATCTCCAAAGAGATCCGATGGAAACAAATCATTACATGCAAGCCAAGTCGATCCACATGTGTGCAACAGCAACTGTTTCAGCCACAGTTGCATGCCTAAATATCAAGATGGCTTATTTTGCTTTAGGGCGTGTGAGTATTATTGTTTTAAACGTGGTGATGACCGATCTCTCTATATCAAACCCACTATTCCTAAAGTTAGGAAAGCTCTTAGTCCTTCCTGTTGAGCTTGAATTATTTCATGATTATGATGTAACCATGGCTTAATTTCTTTATTTTATCCGACTTTGTTATGTGGTATCTATGTTAAGATTTTGTGGGTGTTCCACATATAATGAAATGATATGATGTTTTATTTTTGGCATACTACTGTTTTACGATCGTGTGTGGAAAAGATATGATGCTCAGAATGTCCAACTTTAGTTTTTGATTGAGTTATTCACTTTCGTTGCACCTCAACTTTATTTCCTTTCATAAGTGAAACCGAAATTGGGTCTATTTACCACCCAAAAAATAAAATAAAATAATTGGTTTTTAATTTTTATATTCTCTGTTGTAATTAAACTTATTAATAATATTGACAAAACAAATCCCCTCTGTAAAGTTTTAGCAGTTTTAATATTTCACAATTAAAAGGAAAACGAAGCCATGCTATTGAGTGGCTCGAGAAATTTAAAAGGTCTAGTTAAATCAAGAAAAGGAAGAAAGCAAAATGCTCATCATGTGAAATCCACCACTCTTTTCACGATAACAGCCAATGGGGAAACCCCATTGTCTTCTTCTACTCATGACACACACATTTTTTATTTGAGCTTTACTCGTCCGATCACTTCATCACCACCCAAAAGAAAATATTCAAAAACTATCCACATGTATGAGTTTATATTTAGCATTGTTAACTAGGCAAGAGACTAAAATAATTGACATCAAAGTTTAAAACAATTTGTTATGTAATAATAGACGTTGTTTTACATGTAACCAAGAAGCTGAATTAACTATGTAAAGCAAAACAATCAAATGTAAATGTTCTCAACACATCTCTCCATTACGAAACAAGAAATTTCTTCAACCTCAATGATCGATCAGCTACAATACTTGGGCCATGGATCATAGTGGAGTGGACAAATAAGCGTAGTCGTTGGTTTTTTTTTGACAAATAAGCGTAGTCGTTGGTTAAGTTTTTCCTTTTGGTGTTACCTTCGATTAAATTGTAATAATATGTAATATTCGATGTATTAAATCTGTCTAAAGAGTAGTATCTGCAATTATATATATAGCGAATAAATGAGAAATGGCACGAGCACGTGAACTATAAGAACTAATAAATGAAAACGATTTGTTTTCACAGTTACACATACCAAAAACGTGCATAGCCTATATATATCTTTACCCAACCACTACACTAACATTCGGTTTCTTTGCTTTAACAGTTCTGTTGTTGATTTAAATTGAGGAGATTAAAGAAATTTAAATACTACTGTTACTTATAACATTCGGTTTCTTTTTTTTGGTCCACTTTCCATTAAGAGAGTGCTTGTTATCTTATTCAATAAAGTATTCTTATCTACTTCATTTAAATCAATTATCGTAAGAACTATACTTCCAAATTAAGAAAAAACTATATTATCTAGCTAGCACAAAGCTCATCTGATTGAACGATAATTTATTTTAGAGAGCGGAGGAAATCAGAAGAACAAAAATAACATCAAAGTATCGTTATTTTATATAAAATTTTCACCCAATAAAGAAACCAAATTATAGCAAATAATGCGCATCTCCCATTCTTATTTCCCACTTAACAAATACTAACAACAATCGGAGCTTGTGGTATTAAAACTTTTGTTCGAAGAAATTAATCATGGGTCATAGAATATGAATCCTTTGATTTTCTTTCTTTCAAATAATTGTTTTTGTCATGTTAAAGCATGTGATTTATGTAATAAAAGAGAACGATTAGTCCATATATGTTACCGACAAAATCACTTGCAGAACAAGGTCGGTTATTGTCCTTGAAATTAAACAGCATAACTTGGCTTTGAAAAACAATCTACAGTTCGCATTTTTTTGGTTCCTTATACAAAACAAAAAATAAAAAAATCTACTATCATCATATCATCACCAGTCTTCACCGTCACAAAAGGTCTCTCTCCTTTAATTTCTCTTTGTTTTTTGTTTTTCTAGTTTGCCTTCAGCTTTATCTTGGAAACTGATCAACACAATCTCTTTCTCTCTTATCTCCGTATTTTCTTCCACAGATTCCTTCTTTTGTCTCCCTTAGGAATCCATCATCTTCAGTCGTCAAACATCTTAATTTAGTTTTTTTTTGCTTTCCTCGAGGAAAAGCCACTACACACCAACTCTCTTTATATATTTTTTTTTCAGCATAAAAAAAAATCTATAAATTAAATATGTATAATTTAGAAATACCTGTGTGTTTAAATAGTGTTTTGATGCTCTTGCTTTACTCCTTTCTCTCCTCTCTCTCATTTCATTACTTCACATGAAGATCTAGATCTGGGTCCAGACAAATTTCACCGACCCTCTTTCACATATGTTAACCTCTCTCTCTCACAATCACTATTCAGTAGGGCTTTGTTCTCTCTTGTCGTCTTCTTGTTTTGTCCGTAACATTAATGGAAGTTTAATCAAACTCAGTCTCTGAAACACTCTCACTGACAAACCACTTCATGACTAAGTTATCTGTCTAGACTTTTGTCTTGTCTATCTCTCTATAAACAAAAAAATCCAAAAACCAAGTCACAGTTTCTTGTTTTTCATTTTTCATTTTTCATTTTCTTGTTATCAATGTCTGGTTACATGCACCCTCTTCTAGGGCAAGAGCTGCATCTACAGAGACCTGAAGATTCCAGAACCCCACCTGACCATAACAACATGGAACTCAACAGATCTGAAGCAGACGAAGCAAAGGCCGAGACCACTCCCACCGGTGGAGCAACCAGCTCAGCCACCGCCTCTGGCTCTTCCTCCGGACGCCGTCCACGTGGCCGTCCCGCAGGTTCCAAGAACAAACCTAAACCTCCAACTATCATAACCAGAGATAGTCCTAACGTCCTTAGATCCCACGTTCTTGAAATTACTTCCGGCTGCGATATATCTGAAGCTATTTCCACCTACGCGACTCGCCGCGGCTGCGGTGTTTGTGTTATAAGTGGTACGGGAGCGGTGACTAACGTCACGTTACGGCAACCGGCGGCTCCGGCGGGTGGAGGTGTGATTACACTGCATGGTCGGTTTGAGATATTGTCTTTGACCGGAACAGCGCTTCCACCGCCTGCGCCACCGGGAGCAGGTGGTTTGACGGTGTATCTAGCCGGAGGTCAAGGACAAATTGTAGGAGGGAATGTGGCTGGTTCGTTGATTGCTTCAGGTCCGGTAGTGTTGATGGCTGCGTCTTTTGCAAACGCAGTTTTTGATAGGTTACCGATCGAGGAGGAAGAAACTCCGCCGCCGAGAACCACCGGAGTGCAGCAGACTCAGCCGGAACCGTCTCAGTCATCGGAGGTTACGGGGAGTGGGGCTCAGGCGTGCGAGTCAAACCTCGGAGGTAGAAACGGAGGAGTCGCTTTCTATAACCTTGGAATGAATATGAACAATTTTCAATTCTCCGGCGGAGATATCTTCGGTATGAACAGCGGTGGCAGCGGAGGAGGAGGAGGTGATGGTGGAGGTGGGGGTGTCGCTAGGCCCACGTTTTAGCGCTTTTGGCGTTTTGGTGAAACTTTTTGTTGCGTTTGAGTTTGATCTCAAACCACTTAGCTATAGCGTTTGGGTAATGCGAATCTTTAGGGTTTCTTTTGGGGTTTTTTCATCCTTCAAACTTTGGTGTGTAAAAATGAAAACGGAAGCTTAAAAATCATCTTTTCTTTGTTGTTTATTATGAATAGAATCTGTAAGTGTTATAAAAAATATATATTATTTTGTGACATAGCTTGGACTATTGTTATAAGATGTTCTAGTTAAATCAGGTAATATTATTTGTGTCATAGCTTGGACTATTGTTGTCAAGTGATTATGTTCATTAATTGATGTTCGCATAGACCCATATGTTAAGGCTTTAATTGAATTACTACTACATATACAACATGTAATAATTTGTGTGCTTATACGGGCAAAGGCATACTAGTTATATATTTATTGCTCATAAAATTGAAGTTATTGAACTTCCACTGTCTGGCAAAGAAGGGAAAGAATATTTTGGGAGAACAGCTAGAACCCTAATATCGATGATGTCAGCTTCAAAACACATTGAAACTTGAGAAAAAAACAACACAATTAAAGAAAAACGAAAATAAAGCCTGCATGCAGAGAATATGCCTTCTCTCAAAGCGTTCGACTATACATAGATACCTGAGAGATGTTTCTGTTAATGTTGTCCATTTGACCATTACACGTTTGTATTATTTTCTAAATACCTAAGGTGTTAAAAAAATACATTGATCAAATATTTGTAACATGTTTTCACATAGACAATGCGTTCGAAATTAGTGGTTATTATCTATGTGAATCTTCTGATAATGTGACTCACTGCTACTTTTGTAAATAGATCGATGTTATTACCAAAATAGCATAATTTTTTAAGACCGATACAATCATCGAACAAAATGATTTGGAAAATTTGGCTCGGATCACTGGATCCGACCCGGCAATGCACTCCACTTTTAATGAGCTAGAATTACTATTATACCCCTGCCGTTAGACAGTCTGAGCAAAGAAAGAAAACATTTTTCTCCGGGGATCATCATCGGCTTCTTCTGGATTTTGCTCCGTCTCCGAGAGTTTCGAAATCATGGTAAAAATCTGTACACCCTTATAACAACGATCGATCTTCGATTCTATGCAATTTTATGTTCCTACGATACTCCCCCATAAACTTCATTTTGAACATGAATTTCTCATCTCCGATTCGTTCTTCATTTCGATTATTAGTCTGATCCGATGTTAGCCTTCTGCTTGGGTTTAATCTTTCTCCCATTTCTTTCTTTTATCTCTCACGAATTGATCGGTTGCTTGAACGTAATTGGATGATTTTGCATTTGCTTCGTGGAGCTTGAGAATGCTATGCTTTCAATTTCAAATTATTCCTCGCAGATACAAATTCGGCACCTTTATTTGAATATAGCTTCTGGGTTTGATTTTCGTATCTTCAATCTTCCTAATTAGCTCAATTGCCTCAAGCTTTGTTTCTCCTTCTCTTTCATAAGCTGGAAAATTCGAAATGCGTGACCATTGAATTGCTATATGCTTTAGGTGAGACTTTGTTTGTTTGTTTTCAGATACATTTCGTGCTTCTAGTAAGCAGGCAAGGCAAAGTAAGGCTTACCAAATGGTACTCGCCGTATACGCAGAAGGAAAGATCAAAGGTAATGATGAAGAACACCAAAATCATTCAGCTGTTATGTATAACATTTTGGATCTTTACGTCGTGAGTATTGTATTGATGATAGGTTATACGTGAGCTGAGTGGAGTGATTCTGAGTCGAGGTCCAAAGCTCTGCAATTTCGTCGAATGGAGAGGATACAAAGTTGTTTACAAAAGATACGCGAGCCTCTACTTCTGTATGTGCATTGACGAGGATGATAACGAGTTAGAAGTCCTTGAGATCATTCATCACTTCGTTGAGATCCTCGACCGCTACTTCGGAAGTGTGAGTTTAAAAAAAAACAATTTTTATGATCTTTTTATCTTTAACGGATGTTTAATCTATCTGGCATTCGTCAGGTGTGTGAGCTTGATTTGATCTTTCACTTCCACAAGGTAATTATAAGTTATAACATACCACAGAACACTCCATTGATTCTCTACTCTCTGCGTCTTTGATTCATTGATGAGATTTTTTGTTGTTAATTTCTTAGGCGTATTACATATTGGATGAGCTGTTGATTGCTGGGGAGCTTCAAGAGTCGAGCAAGAAAACTGTAGCCAGGATTATATCCACCCAGGTACTGATGAGCTGTATAGTTTTGAAGTCATTGACATGAAAAGATTAGTCTTGTAAGGATCTGTGTTGACAAATGAGTCTGTTTTTGATGATATTGAAGGATCAACTGGTGGAGGCTGCAAAAGAGGAGGCCGGTTCCATAAGCAACATCATCGCTCAGGCTACTAAATAGTCTCTTTTTTTGGCAACTGTTTTGAGAAATCTTGTTCCAATCTTTCTTTTCTTTTGTTTCGTCTTAAACCATAGACTAATGTTTTGTTGTGATTTTTGACCGAGCAAGATTTGTGAACAAAATCTTGTCAGATGCGTGTTTTTAGCCTAATAATTTGCAAAAGGAGAGAGGAGACGTGTTTTAAAAGCTGTTTCCTTAACTAAAATTGAAGTAAACCCTAAGAAAACCACAACTTCTATGGCGGACGAGAGCGCCACCGCCACCGCCGCTAGAAGTGTCCGTAGCCACCGCAATGGTGGTTGTGGTTTCCGCCGCAGCAAGGGGAAAGGAGCAGTTGTAGACTCAATCAGCTGTCTACCTGATGTGATCCTCCAACACATCCTCTCCTTTGTTCCGACGAAAATCGCCATCACAACTTCTCTCTTGTCAAAACGATGGAGACACTTATGGTGTGGTGCACCTTCTCTCTCTTTCGATAGCTGTTCTTGTCCAATGATTAACAAAACCCTAGCTCGCTACACTGCTCCCAAGATGATGCATTTTCACCTCTCTACCATAACCGAACACCATCTTCCCTACATGGACATGTGGATCGAGTTCGTCATGTTCCGACACCTGGAGAATCTGTTCCTCGGATTCTATCTTGACCACGGCTACACGTATCCTGATTTCTTCTACACCAATCCCTCTCTCAAGCAGCTCACCCTTTTCAATGGTGTTATGATTCCCAGATGCTCTGTGTCTTGGACATCTCTCAAGAACATGTCCTTGCTTTGTTGTAGTACTCTCTCTGATGAATCCATGTCTAATATTCTCTCTGGTTGTCCCGTTCTAGAGAGCTTAACATTGGATCACTGCGATCAAATTAGGTCTCTTGATCTCATCAAGTCACTCCGTCTGAGAACATTAGTAGTATACCACAGCAGTTGGGCTGCAACGAAGATTGAGGCACCGCACATCCATCGTCTCCATTTGAGAAACTCTGAGTCACCATGTACTTTACTTGATGTCTCGTCTTTAACCGAAGCTAATCTCAACGTTTTGTTTCAGTCCGTTGAAGCAACCTTCAATGCTGATAATCTTCAAGATAAGTTGCTAGCTATTCTTGAAAAGGTACAGCATGTAGAGAAGCTTACTCTTGGAGTAAAGTTTCTTCAGGTAACGTGTTTTGGACTCATTCTTGCATATTCCTCTAAATGCCTAACATGAGTTGGTATTGGTTACACAAACGGTTTGCCAATTAATCTTTGATTCTTTTCTGTTAGATTTTATCTCTAGCCGAGCTTTGTGGTGTTCCTTTTCCGGTGTTGAAGGTCAAAGCATTGACACTGGAGACGACAAAGATCTTTCAGTATGTTATTCCTGGTGTAGAAAGGGTGTTACAAAACTCACATGGTTTAAAGAAGCTAACAGTCCGCACAAGCCATTGCGACACCATACCGGTATATGTTATACCACAAACCTCTTTTAGATTCTTTCACTTTCTAACTATCACTGAATGTTTTTTATGTTGTTGTTGTGAAGGGGGAGCATCTTGACAAATACTTGGCTTTGGAAGGCTTGGATCCGGCTCAATGTTGGAGATCAAAAGATGGTGTCCGTTGGAACAAGTCTCGTTTGGTTTTAGAGCCAAAGCACTTGGTTTCATTCGTGGAACTTGTGTTTAAAAACACAAAGACATTAGAGAAGGTGTTCCTACTGTTAGACCCTTGCCATAAGTTTAAAGAGATGGTTTCAACACTTTCTCACTACAACAAAGTCTCTGTTGCCTTGAACCACAGGGTTTAGTCTCGAGTTTTGTTGAATATGCTAAATGAAAACTTTTATATTCTTTATTTGTATGATTAGTTGACATATTAATAATTTATTGTGAAGCTACATAACTACTATATATATTATCTCAGCCAAGTCTAATGAAGAGTTAAATAGCCTTGCTCGACAAATGAGGCAATGCAGTCATCGAACATCTCTTCAAGGGACTTGAACTTCATCCCCAGTCTCTTTATCTTGGAAGTGTCAAAGTCGTAATGCAGCCTATTCAGTTCCTCGAACCTCTTGGGGATAGGGAGTGAAGGGTAACGAGAGGACAGGAAGGAAACTAGTTCCTCTAGATCGACAACGTTAGAGCTGCAAATGTATCTGCCTTGAGCTGCTTCGTGTTCGAAAACGAGGATGTGCGTTCTTGCCACGTCATCGATATGAACATACCCCATCTGTCCATGCCACTGGAACTTCTCTGTTTCTCCTGTTGTGTGTCCAATAACACAAATTATAAAGCATCTGCCTAAAACAGAGGAAAAGGGAACTCTGTTTTTACCTTTGAGCAAACCGAGTACATCGGATGCTGTAGAACACAGATCAGGAGGCAAGCTTGGTCCCACGAGGAAAGATGGGAGAACAGTGACAAGGTCAATACCATTCTCTTCACAGAACTTCCATGCAGCTTGCTCGGCCAATGTCTTTGATAAAGCATACCAAACCTGGTAACGCTTGCAGAGTTCTATAGAGGTCCAAACTGATTCGTCAAGAGGGACTTTGGGATCAAAGTCATCTCTGATCCTGACTGTTGAAGATGAAGAGGTGAGAACCACACGCTTCAGTGACTGATTCTTCCTGCATGATCTCAGTACGTTCAGTGTCCCTTCTATTGCTGGTTTCAAAATCTCCTCCTACCAGATCATAAGAAAGAAATGGAGAAAAGTATTAGAGAATAGATTGTCTAGTAAATGATATTGTGATTATGAGAGACATTGTAGCGGCATGCCTCTGGATTAGAGGTAGGTTTGAGCACAGGAGAAGCAGTATGGAAAACTCCTTGGCATCCCATTATGGCGTTATCAAAACTTCCCTCTTCCACTAAATCAGCCTTCACCAACTGTAGTCTCTCCTTTGCCCCTTCCAACTTCCAAAGGTGCGCGAGTTTCTTCTCGTTTCCTGTTAGAACAGAAGAACTAACTTAGCCAGACTTGGCTAGCTTTCAAAGCAATGACAAGGAAACAAAGATGGATAGAAGAACCTGGATCTCTGACTGTTCCGATAACTTCATATCCCTCAAGGAGAAGCCTCTTTACAAGCCAAGAAGCTAGGAAGCCGGAAGATCCGGTAACACATACTTTTCCCTTTGCCTGATCCATTCTCTGGTATCCGATGGAATCAAACCAGAAAATTATATAGCATATACCATGTTGGAGGTAAGTATGGATTAGGTTGGTCATTCAAACCATGTGTGTTGCTTATTCATATTACCTAAAAATGGTTTAAGGATAGTTGTTGAACCAGCACAATGGCCTGACTACTACCTGTTAATGAGCGAAAGAGACACCATTGTTAAGGGAATTCCCTTATGGAAAATACAAAATAATGGAAAAAGGAAACCTTTCATAGTCTTCAAGTAGTCAAAACTTTCTCATTATGATATGTATAAGCCAAGTAGCAATTTGCAAAATTATCGACAAAAAAAATTAAGTACAGTAACAATCTGTACAAAATAAGATGGAACCATTACGAATCACCTGACCACAGTGTCTGTGGTTACAAAAAGTAGAAGATTTTCTGAGTACCAAAGTTCCATGTTTGTATTCCCTTTTGGATTGCTCCACACCTTAAGAAGGATATGGGAGCTTCCACCATTTCAACCAACAGATGGAGAAGACCAACTTCTATACATGCTGCATCAGCCAACTCTTCTTCTCCCCAAAACTCTTAATCACAGGAGAAAACGTTTGGAATCATCCTGGTCAGCTCAAGAGATGTTACAAAGTGAACCAGTTTACGGATGGAGAATTGACTCAGTAGAGGAACATTCTGGTTGCTAGAGCTCTGCCACATCAAACGAGAGTAGTTAAACTTAAGCTATAGAAATTAGCACTCTTTCCACACACATTCTTGCCATATGGAACACTCGGTGAAATGGGAGGAAGTTGAAACTGAGGGAAGATAGATGTAGGCGTACCTGCGTGTTATAGTGATACATTCTCTATCTAGGACCCCAACAGGGTGTATTCTGGGAGAACCAATGCCGCCTGAGACGACTGGAACATGAGAAAGGTCATGCTTGTTCATAATTGTTTGGGCAGCGAGAAGGTCCATATCAGGTGTAACAGTCCACGGCACTTTACATCCTCCTCCGCTCATCGAACATAGTTCATCAACAAAAAACTCCTAAACCAAAGAAACAATTCCCATATTTGATCAGGTTACCACAAGAAATGCTTTTATTTCAAAGGTTGAGGCAAGAACAGACTATTCAAATTCGTACCTTGGGTCCTTTGTTTCCTTCTTTTCTCGCTTTACTGAATTCCAGAATGTCTGAAAGTGTAAGTAGACCGAGAAAGATATTGTCAGGATCAACAATCAACGCACATGATTGTTTCTCGACCAGCATACGAGTAATTGCCTCTTCCAGAGAAGTACTCATCATAACTGTGGCAAATCTCGTTCGCATAGCTTCTGCAACAAAGATACTCTTCGGCAGCTCCTCAACTTGGAAATTTGAATCATCATCAATGCATAGAGAACTTTCAACTTCACAGAGGTTATTCGTTGACGATCCATCATCAGAAGGCTTCATAGCCTGCACAGCTTCTTGGCTCTTTCTTTTCCTAGTTTCTTGTCTCTTCGATTGTCCAGATGTAATCCATGAGGACATCCCTACAGCTCCCAGTAGAGGTAACACTATACGATAGTCCTGTGTAAGTTCAAATAACAGTAGCACCGATGTAAGAGGAACTTGACAAACCCCCGCAAGTGTAGCAGCCATTCCAACCTGTGAAACAACGAGACGGACAGAGTCATTGGCAATGAAGCTGCAAATTTTTTGAAAACTATTAGAGTATGAAACATAAGAACAGTACCAGACCATAAGCTTGTGGCGATGCCACTTCCAAGATAGAGAGATGGATTTCAGGATTCTGAGCCAAAGCAAGTCCAATAAACTTTCCATAGGCCATTCCTGCTGCTCCACCGATAAAGAGAGAAGGAGCATAGTATCCACCGACCAGTCCAGAAGCACGACACAACGCGGTTGCAGCAATCTTGACCGCTACCAGCTGAAGCAAGAGATCAGCTGAAAGACCCTTCACAAACGGACGAGACTCCAACAGAATATCAACGTTCTCAAAACCCCAATACAAGACTTCAGGGTATACCAAAGCTATGATGCCAACAGTTAAGCCACCCATCACAGGAAATACAGCCTTTGGTATCCCGGAATCCTTGTTAAGACTGTCAACAGCAGATGTCATGTATGATGTACATCGAGACAATGCCAACGAGACCAATCCACACAAAGCGCCCAGTAAAAGATAGAGTGGAAGTTCTGCAAAATTAGTGACGAACTCTCATTTTCCACCAAGAAAGCACAAAAGGAGAAGAATGAGAGAATAAGAATGGCAATGTAATATTACCTCCAGGAGAGCGGAAGTCGTAGTCAGGGACCTTAAACGCAGGTTCAGAGCCCAGGCCGATCTCTGACACCACGGAAGCAGTCACAGCACTAAGAATGACTATTGAAGTTGTGTTTGGAAGCGATGTTGATGAATCACTTGACGAAGGCCACAAAACGGATTCTACTGCAAAGAAGCATCCAGCAACAGCTGCATTGAACCCTGTAACCAAGAAAGCAAACTTGAACTTTGAATTCAAGCAAGAGAACAAAATATAGCAAAATAGAAGATGAACAAACCAGAGGAGATTCCAGAGGCTGAGCCAGCGGCAATAAGTGAGAGCCCAGTTTGAGGACTTTTATTGAACAGAGAATTCACTCCTTTAGCAATCGACGCTCCAATTTCAACGCTAGGACCTTCCGGCCCCAGCGAATTTCCGGTCCCAAGCGTCACACATGCAGCAGCAGCTTTAAGGAAAGGACGCAGCACCGCCTTCAAGCGATCGAGACCGGAATCAGCTGTAGCGGAATCTGCGGCGGCTTCACGAAGCTCGTTAAGGATGCTGACAAGCAAACCGCCGATAGTCGGAACAAGGATGACGCGCAGCCAAATGGACCCGATCGGTGCTTCTCTGAGCCAGGAAGCTCCACGATCGGGAATCCCATCCCAGGAGAAGTCTCGGAGCAAGTGAACGCAATTGTTGAATAGAACCACACTGATTCCGGTGAGAACACCAACTAAACACGCCGACGCTATCGCGAGCTCCTGCGACGGCGGTTGATCGAATCCAATCTCTTCAGTATCAACCTGCTGCTTCGCAGCCGGAGAAGAACTGAAATGCCTGCCGCCGATAGAGACGGAACGGAACAGCCGTGGCAATGTAAATGTGGACGACGGTGAAGGGACGACATTGATCTTAAAAGGAGTGTTGGTTTTGCGAATCGGAGAGAAACTCCGGGAAGAGAGTGGAGATCGGAGAGCAGCACAGAGTGCAGGCGTGGCTGCCATGAACGGCTGCTTCCGACAAGTGACGCGTGTTTATCCATTAACGGATAATTGAATCCTTAACGTTACTGGTAAAATCATAAATCTGACGTGGCTCAGTCTCCCCCACTACGATTTGGCCTAAATTCCTGTATTAATTTTGGTTTAAGATTGTTACGGTTAAATAAATTATTTAACCATTAAAATGGATTTACCGTTATCTCCGTGGTTGTGAAGAAAGCAGAGGCAAGAGACTGGGCCCAAATAGCGTACAAATTTGGGCCTACAAAATTTATGATTAATTTGATTTATTTTAAAATAACTCTTAGCCTCTAGGTACAAACTTCAATGGAAGCCAGTGGCTGTTGTGCCTCGTCTTCTTACAATCCAATCCAAATCCAATCCAGCTGACAAATTATTTTCTTTTTCTGTCGACATATTAAAATTTAAAAGAAAAGTTTGATTATCTGTTCTCGTCTTTCTTGTGCGTTTGCCACCACAACGTTGTCTTCTCGAGTTCTGTCTTTGTTCTCTTTCCCTTCAGATTTTACCCATTTCTCTTTGGAAGGTCTCGCCTCCGTCTTTTCATCTTCTTCCACGATTAATTTCACACTGTTGATTTCATTTGCATGCTTCTTCTGAATAAATTTTTGTGAAATCTATTCTTTTTCAGGGGTTTAAGCTCATCTCTAATGGCTTCCAATCCAGAGAAAAATCCGCCTCCGTCAGGTAACATTTGCTTTCACCCAGTTTTTGCCCTCAAATGATCAAATATATATATGTAATCTGATTCAATCTCGAATTGAATCGTTTCTAGTCAGATTTGTCTGTTGGTTTACTGTTTGTTTATAAAATTTTACAATTGTGGCACTGTAGATGAGAAAACCGAATCAACGGTGGAGAAGACGAGTCCTAAACCGGAATCAGCCTCTGGGAGCACACCTTCACCAGCCATTCCTGGCCCGAATTTCAATGCTTTCGATTTCTCAAGTATCGCTGGTATCCTCAACGTAAGTCCATCACCTTTGTTTTTATACCAAAATTGAAGAAAAAAAGTTATCTTCTTTCTTGGAGAGTTTTCAATTGATGGGTTTTGGTTTTGTAGGATCCAAGCATTAGGGAATTGGCAGAGCAGATAGCTAAAGATCCAGCATTTAACCAACTTGCTGAGCAGCTTCAGAGATCAGTTCCAAATGCAGCTCAGGCAGGTGGTTTCCCAACCATTGATCCGCAACAGTATGTGAGCACAATGCAACAGGTTATGCATAACCCTGAGTTTCAAACTATGGCGCAGCGACTTGGTAACGCCTTAGTGCAGGTGATAAAACAGAAAAGGAAAAATGTTTCTTTTCCGGTAATTTGGTTATTGAGGTGTGGCTTTGAATGAATCTGGTTTTTTTTGCCTTCAGGATCCGCAAATGTCTCCCTTTTTGGACGCTTTCTCGAACCCTGAGACAGCGGAGCATTTTACTGAGCGTATGGCGAGGATGAAAGAAGATCCGGAGTTGAAACCTATACTTGATGAGATTGATGCTGGTGGTCCTTCTGCCATGATGAAGTGAGTGTGATACAAACTTCTTCTCTTAATGTTTTGTAAAGCTTGTTTTTGCTTATGGAGGAAGATTTTCTTTTCTTTAATGGTGTTAGGTACTGGAATGACAAAGATGTGTTGAAAAAGCTTGGTGAAGCAATGGGAATGCCCATGGTTGGCTTGCCAGAGCAGGCTGCTTCAGCTGAACCCGAGGCAGCGGAAGAAGTTGAAGAAGGTGAAGAAGAAGAAGAGTCTATTGTTCATAAAACTGCCAGTCTTGGTGATGTTGAGGTAACATTGCTTTCTACTTTGTTCAGCGCATTAATGTGTTGCTCGAGGAATTAGGTGGAACAGGCAGAGGTTTTTTTGCCATTTTCCCAATATATGATTGGATTGAATTGTTAATTTGATTAGGGTTTGAAAAATGCTTTGGAAGCCGGTGGTAACAAAGATGAAGAAGATTCCGAGGGAAGGACCGCATTGCATTTTGCTTGCGGATATGGCGAGGTATGCAAGTCTCTTATCAATTCAAGGCAACTAAATATTCTGATTTAGGTTCTCTTTTTCTTAATTTTCACTAGCTGTTGAAGTTAAGAATCTTAATCATCATTCACTTGTTAGAGAAGTCACCGTTATGACAAGATTACTTGTAGCATGATTAGATATGGAATTGGCGATTACTTCAATTTCGTTTATAACTGTGGATTGAAATGAGTTTGACCCTAGTGAGTCCTCTTTACACAGTTGAAATGTGCGCAAGTTCTTATCGATGCTGGAGCAAGTGTTAACGCGGTTGACAAAAACAAGAACACGCCTCTGCATTACGCTGCTGGTTACGGGAGGGACGAGTGTGTAAGCCTTCTCCTAGAGAATGGTGCTGCAGTGTAAGTCTTTACCTACACAATACTTGTAAATAAGCGACTTCATTAAACAATGTGTCACCACCACTTTTGCTTATATAATATTGCAGGACTCTGCAAAACCTAGACGAGAAGACACCAACTGATGTAGCCAAGCTTAACAACCAGCTCGAGGTGGTCAGGCTACTTGAGAAGGATGCCTTCCTTTGAGCTCATATTGTCTTTTGAGGGATTTGTCTTTTGTGTCTCCTTAAAACAACTTTTGTATTATTTATTAGTTGCTCGCCTCTCTCCTTCTACATTGTCTCTCATGTTTTCATTTGATTAAAAGTCAATAAGAAAGAAAGAGTAACCAATGGTTTGTGCTGCAGTTACTTATTCATTTTGATCTGTTTCTTAATAGTTTGAATTTCCTTGTCCCCATTTTGATTTGTTTCACCTCTGTGTAAACTTCTTAAGAATCATTTTGGTATGGAAGATATGTAAAGACCAACTACTTCTTCATATCAAAGTGATTCTATTCTTGTGTTAGTGTGACTGTTGTCCCAAGGCTTCACATATAATTTATGCAAAGCTTAAGAAACTTTATAATTTAACAAAAAGAGAAAGATTCATTATACAAAGGAGAAAAATTAAATAAACCTTAAAGGTCTTTTGTCTTTGTTGTATTCGTCCGCAATGAGTTGTATGAATCGTTTGAGGTTTTTAAACTCTTTGCTAAACAGAGCACGAAGCGTTGCGCGGCTCGGATCCACTACTCCTCAGCCGCAACCGCCGTCTCTCGCCTCCGCGTTTTCTTCATCCGCCGTCATGAACGGCCTCGAGACTCACAACACGAGGCTCTGTATCGTAGGTAGTGGCCCGGCGGCACACACGGCGGCGATTTACGCGGCTAGGGCGGAACTAAAGCCTCTTCTCTTCGAAGGATGGATGGCTAACGACATCGCTCCCGGCGGTCAACTAACGACGACCACCGACGTCGAGAACTTTCCCGGGTTTCCGGAAGGTATCCTCGGCCTGGAGCTCACTGACAAATTCCGGAAGCAATCGGAGCGATTCGGCACCACGATTTTCACGGAGACGGTGACGAAAGTCGATTTCTCGTCGAAGCCGTTTAAGCTGTTTACCGATTCCAAAGCCGTTCTCGCCGACGCCGTGATCCTCGCTACCGGAGCCGTGGCTAAGCGGCTTAGCTTCGCTGGGTCCGGTGAAGGTTCGGGAGGTTTCTGGAACAGGGGAATCTCCGCTTGTGCGGTCTGCGACGGAGCTGCTCCGATTTTCCGGAACAAGCCTCTTGCGGTTATCGGCGGAGGCGATTCGGCGATGGAGGAGGCGAATTTCCTGACCAAGTACGGATCCAAGGTGCATATAATCCACAGGCGAGACGCTTTCAGGGCGTCTAAGATCATGCAGCAGAGAGCTCTGTCGAATCCTAAGATCGACGTGATTTGGAACTCGACGGTGGTGGAGGCTTACGGAGACGGTGAAAAGGGTGTGCTCGGAGGGTTGAAGGTGAAGAATGTGGTTACTGGAGAGGTTTCGGATTTGAAAGTCTCTGGATTGTTCTTTGCGATTGGTCATGAGCCAGCGACGAAGTTTCTGGATGGTGCGGTTGAGGTGGACTCAGATGGGTATGTGGTGACGAAGCCTGGGACTACAGAGACTAGCCTTGCCGGAGTTTTTGCCGCCGGTGATGTCCAGGATAAGAAGTATAGGCAGGCCATCACAGCTGCAGGAACTGGTTAGCTCTCTACCTCTGTGTTCTCAAATGTTGCAATAGTAATTCTAAAAGGACTGTTTTTTGTTAGCAATTTTAGTTATGTGAGCAACTGTGTTTTAGTTTTAGGCTTTTAGCGATTTGGAACTACTTGAATTTGTGTGCGATGCCTTTTCTGATAGATTAGTCTATAAAAGTAGTACCTTTTAAAGCTCTTCTGCAACCTTATGGCTTCCATGCAAATTTGTGCTCTTGAAGTTTAGTCACTAGTCAGCATTCATCGTCCTCACAACTTGTTTGAATGATTGTGTAGGATGCATGGCAGCTTTGGATGCGGAACATTACTTACAGGAGATTGGATCTCAACAAGGGAAGAGTGATTGAGAAATGCTCACAAGCCTTGGGTCATTAGGCTGATTGTTGATCACTGGTTCCGGACTAGAGATTTGATAGTTAATGGACTTTGATTTGTTTATTTCTTATTATTGAGTAAGGGTATTGTTCAAAGTTGTAGCTCTAATGATAACTAGCTTACGACAAAAGCCTTTTACGATTCATATATTGAGTGATTTATGACTTATCCGGAACTACTTCTTACTGCAAATTATAATGTCATGTTACTATTTGTAGTCTTAAGAACATGAATATGGTTTTCTATAAAATCTATTCGACATGAAGGCGAGCCAGTTAAGGTACGCAGCAGAGCTTCTGGAAGCTCTTGAAGTTGTGGTGGCAGATTTTTTCAGAGGTGACGCTTTGAAGCATTCAAACTTTAATTTGATGTCAGAGAAGATTGAGATGACGGCGTCAGGGGGGGAATTTTAAGTTATAATATGAGAAAATTTATAGCGGAAAATAACCTCTACTTTATAATATAAGAAAACTTTTGACAGTTATCTTCTTTCTTGTGTCGGCCGTTTAACTTTTGATTTTGATTTTGTTTGAACGAAAAGTCAAGAAAGGATGTTGAATCCATTTCTATGTCATGTTTTAGAATCCTGAAAGTACAAAACAACAAGATCTTTAAAACACACGGATATTAATTTATAGCATTGACTAAAATTCTTCAACTCATTACCATCTTGCAAAAATAAAACAGTTTATTTGTAACGATTCACTATTCCAGAAAACCTGACAATACCAGAAAATAAAACAGCAACAGCTCGCAATAGTAAAACACATTAATGCATATAAATAAGAAACTGTATTAGGATGATCAGTCTTCTATGATGTGAGGAATTCTTGTTTTCAATAACATGTACGAAACGATCTTTTTCTCTGACAAGAATTTCGGATTTGCAATGAATATATTTTTGTTTTGTCTTTACTTTGTGGAGTCTCTAAAAGGAAAAAGGAAAAATAAAACAGTTATATCAAATTAAAGTGAACTATCATATAATGCAGCAAATCCCCGAGTTGTTGAATTAAGACTTCTTTTTAAATGGATAAGAGTATAAGACTTACTGACACACTTGAGTTACTAAACTAATTGTTATTTCTCGTAGAAGAATATACAAAGCTAGAATACAACTCACCATATATACTCCAGGAAAATATAATTTATAAAACAAAATATCTATTTAATCAGGCAGCTTTATTCAAAGTATTCGTGTTATCTTGACATATCTATTTTCAAATAGTTCCAGAAAATATAAAATTAGATATCCCCAGATATGCAAATGCATATGCGTATTATGCAAGTGGGGACTGTGAATGTGACAGCTGGATACAGGTTAAAGGACAACACATCATCGGCCCAATCCCCGACACGTGTCCCATCTCACACATGGCGACGACGTTCTTTCTTCTCTTTCACTAATTTTACTTATTTTTTCTTGTTCTTTTTGTTTATTCCTGGCAAATTTTGTATGTTCATTTTGTCCTTATTTATAATGTTTAGAAATGATATAATTTGCATTACGTATTATTAAAACCAGGGCAATAAATCAATAATGTGTATTGAGTTATTTAATGCTTCACTTTCTTACGGACATAATTATCTCTGATGATCCCTATAACATTCCTAGTTCCAAGTAATGCATAAAAAGAAAGTAAAAAAAGCTAACGGTAACGAAGAATAACCTTTTTGGGGACAGAAAAATGGAAATAGGCATTGATCTCCGCAGAATCTATTGCATGTAAGGCTGCATAATAAAAGTCAAAATATGTTTTAAACTTTTTTTGTCTCTTCGAAATGAGTTGATTATTCACATAAATACGTATATAAAAATACGAAAAGGAAGCATGTATAAGGAGAAAATGGGAATAACGTGATATGCAAATCCACAGATAAGCAATAGGTCACCATCCCACGGTTCACGTTATTTCCGTCTGATTTTATTTAATTTTAAACTATCCTCTACCGATAATAATAATGTTAATTAAGTAACATTTTAATAAATAAATAAAAACTGCTATTTTAAAATTGAAAACAAGATTCATTATGTAGTTTCCATTAGTGACAATATAAAAAGCACGGATAATCAATTATTATCATTTTTGATAGAAACAGAAGAAGAAGAAGAACTGAGGAAGCAGCAGAAGAAGAGAAGAAGCAAAAAAAAAAAAAATTGACAGAGAGAGAGAGAGAGACAGAGAGTGATGGAAACAGCTGTATTTATTAGGCGAAGCAAAAACCTCTGAGTTTCTACATAAACTCACTTTCCTATCTCACTTAAAAATCGATACTTTTGAGCAAAGAGAAGAAAAAAAAAAGGTTTTTTTTCTACTATCTTCCTCCTCCTTCCAATTTCTGAGTTCCAGGTGAAATTTTCGAAATGGATTTGTTGCAAATGGATAAGGGTTTGGATTCGACGCAGCAAGTAGTTGAAGAAATCATGAGAATTCACAGATCTCTGCCACCGAGACCAGGAATCGACGAGGTCGAAGCTGCGAGGTCTCTGATACAGAACGTCGAGAAGGAAGACCAAGCTTGGTTAGAAGCCATTGCTAACCAGAGGAAAAGCTCCGAGGTCCCCGGCGAGCTTTTCGCGGTGCTTCAGGAAATGAAGAAAGGTCTTGTTCGGTTTCGCAGCAACGAACAGAAGAGAGAAGCTGCGAAACTTCTCGATCTGGAAACTGCCCACACTCTGTTCGACGAATTTATTCAGAGAGCTTCCGATTGCATTGCTTCTCCCTCTAACGGCTCTGCTCCTTCTCCGTCTCCGGCAATTCGCTCCGATTCTCCGTCGAGCTTGTATTTCTCCGAGAAGCCGCCTCTTCGCCCCAAGGAAATGGTTTCACGAGACGATAGCTTCGTCACGAAAGCTAAACCTTCTCTCTACAGCGACGGTTTCGCAGCTCCTCGTAAACCTCAGATTCTCGATTCAACACTTACCGCCGGAAAATTCGCCAGTAAGTTAACTCTTCTCCTCCTCCTTCTTCTCAATTAGTACTCCAATTTTGGTATCCTCCAGATTTAGAAACTGTAGGAAGTAAAGATTACGCTTTTAGTAACTGTAGTGAGAATCATTTCCTCTGTGTAGGCAATGATGGAGAGAAGCTGAGTTTGATAAAGTTTGCGAGTTTGATTGAGTCATCATTCAAGAAAGCTGCACAAGAGCTAAACTTACAGAACAAGCTCACTGAACAAGTCGAGTGGCTTCCAGATTCTCTCGGCAAGTTAACGACTTTAACGTCTCTCGACTTATCAGAGAACCACATCGTCGTGTTGCCAAACACCATAGGAGGACTATCTTCCTTGACAAGGCTCGATTTGCGTTCCAACAGAATCAATTTGCTCCCTGAGTCTATCGGAGAGTTGTTGAGCTTAGTTAACCTCAATCTTAGCGGCAACCAGTTATCTTCTCTTCCCTCATCGTTCAGCAGATTGTTGCGGCTCGAGGAGCTTGATTTGAGCTGCAACAACTTCCAGATCCTCCCTGAGTCAATCGGTTCTCTTGTGAATCTAAAGAAGCTCGACGCTGAGACTAACGAGATCGAAGAGATACCGTACTCGATCGGTGGTTGTGCTTCGCTTAGAGAGCTCCGAGCAGATTACAACAAGCTCAAGGCTCTTCCTGAGGCTATTGGGAAGATCACTACGCTGGAGATCTTGTCTGTGCGTTACAACAACATCAGGCAGTTACCGACGACCATGTCTGCTTTAGCTAATTTGCAAGAGCTTGATGTGAGTTTCAACGAGCTCGAGTCGGTGCCGGAGAGCTTGTGTTTTGCGACTTCGCTTGTGAAGCTGAACGTTGGGAACAACTTCGCTGACATGGTGTCGCTGCCGAGATCGATAGGGAACCTTGAGATGCTTGAAGAGCTTGATATAAGCAATAACCAGATCCGTGTTCTTCCTGACTCTTTTAAGATGCTTACGAAGCTGCGTGTGCTTCGTGCTCAGGAGAATCCGTTACATGTTCCTCCTCGTGATATAGCTGAAAAGGGACCTCAGGTTCGGTTCTCTTTCTCTCTCGATCGATAGTCTCTTGTTTTGTCATTGTGTGTCTTAGTTTCTGAATTTGTTGCTCAATACAGGCCGTTGTTCAGTACATGAATGATCTTGTGGAGACGAGGAATGCGAAAGCTGTAATGGTGAAGCCGAAGAAGAGCTGGGTCCAGATGTGCTTCTTCTCCAAGTCCAACAAGAGAAAACAGAGCAGCATGGAGATTGTTTAAAACTCCTTTTCATTAATGTCTTTGACAGGTAACACTTTCCTTATAAAATCAAAGAATGAAGATTTACACACTGTATTATACAAACAACAAAAACACCTGATTTTTTTTTGGTTTTCCCTCCTTTCCTTGTTTCAGGTAATATCGTTAATGCTGTTGACAGCAAAAGTAACAGACAAATCCAGCTATCTTCACACGACACTGCAAAGAAAGAGAGAGAGAAAGCATTGATTTTGGATTGCAACTGCCAGCTACTGTAGATGTCTCGCTGTTCATTCTTTGTTTGTTTGTTTTCTTCACTATTCACATGTATCATTTGTGCACAACCTTTTTTCATTCATGTCTCTCCACACACATGTTCTTACTTTACCCGGTTAGATCTGAACCTTAGAGCCCGTACCACTTTTGTGTTCAGTCGTTCAGTCTTATAGTCTCTGGTTGTTTTGCTTTGGTTTGAAACATAAGACACTCGCACCTGCAAGCATCTGTGTGTATGGATAGTGATGTGATATGATGTGATTTGATGTATAGAGGAGAGACATGACATGAGTTGGCATTGGCAATGAACGTGGTTTTGTCTATAGAGTAAATTGGTTAATTAAATACTCCCGAGTAATAATGCAACTTCTTTTTTTTTGTTTTGGCAATGTGTAACCGTCACGAGACATGGTCTTTCTTTCTCTTATTATGTGTTGTGATCATAGCATCATACATGTGACTTCACATAAGAACCACTGAATGAACATCATCTACAAAACCCAATGTCTCTGAATGTCAAAAGAAAGACAGTTGGTCCATACAGAGAACAACAATTGGCTCATACATAACTCTTTATTGGGCTTTTCTATAAGGCCACATATTTAATGTGTGCTTATCTGCAAGACCTGTCAGGTGTGTATCGTATGACGAGAAATGATAAGTGAATTAAATAATTTTATTTTACTTTCACGTTGTAATTGGTAGTTTTTGAAAATGATCGAGAGACTCTATGATCTCCGGTCAAACAACGTGCTAAACCTTCTAGGACCTTTTAAAAGTTGAATCTTCATAGATTCGAACATATGCACCACCAAAAAGTTACAAAGCAAAAAAATCATACTTCAACTGTTTAACATAATTATGTTGTTCCTTTCGATGATTTAAATATGGGTTTTTTTGGAAATTATTGCGTTTTTTCAATCATACATGTGTTCAACACCAATCTGATCGTTTGAACTCGATTTTGGTTCATTTTCTGACTTCATAACGAACATACTCCAAATTTGATCGTCGCTTTTGATAATGAGAGCAGAGGAGGATGTAATATAGTGGAAACTTATTATTTTGGGTATATGATTGCCATGATGAAGCTGGTAAAAAGTGAAGTTAGAATAGTAAAAAGGGACATATATATAATGTGAACGTTGAAAAGAAGTAGGAATAAAGGTTAGGGAAGATTAAGTCATTTGAGACTTGAGAGATGAAGGAATGAATCTTTGAAATATATCACTTTATTGACTATGAGGCGCCAAACGATGGTTAGGAGGAAAGTGCTTATAATGAAATGAAATATATAATTCAAAATAAAAACAAACTTTTTCAGTATACTTTAAACCTCGGACCACCCTCTCTATCTAAACTTTCTTTTATTCTTCTTAATTATTTGATTGGACTTATGTATTCGTGAAATCATCTCCATCTGAGAAGAAAATATTCGTGAAAGCAAATTTGCACTTTACACTAGACACATGATACGCTTAACACTAGATGATAATGTGTTTAACGAAAAAGTACGAGAGACTACTTGAGTTTGAAGCTAACAAAACCAAAAGAACAAGTTTTGTGGAACTTGTTTTAACGGTAACCAAGTGCATGCATCAAATGGAGCTGCGAATACGTTTGGTCTTAAACAAGAAAATACCCCCAAAAAAAGCTGGTCAACGTCGAGCTATTTGTAGAAGATAAGAGATAAAAAAGGTTAAAAAGCGAAGTTAAATGATGAAAAAGTGCAGGCCGAAATTAACCTTTATTGCCTCTTGGGTGTTATATATAATAAAGACTTGGAGTGGAAAAGAGAGGAAAGAGTAAAGAGATAAGGCATAAGATTCCATTAAGTGAAACTGAAAGTTGGATAATATTTGGGCTTGTCATGCGTTTCTAGTGTCTATAAGTTGGGTGGTACGTTTATCGTTTCGCTTCAAATATTCCTCTTTCTCCACCTTTTCCCCTTTAACCCACTTAAATTATATTCCCAGATTTTTTTTAAAAATGATTCTATTACTCTAGCTGCATTTGATCGTATATATCAGTAAGTGAATTCCTAGGTAAAAAATCATAGATATAACAACGAATGAGTTTTTACATCAGTCAGTGTTTATAAGTTTGATGCCCAAGTTACCAAGTATGAAATTAGTTAGATTCCCACACAAATAACCATTTGAAACAAAAATAAATAAATATCCGAAGATAGTTATGTGAATCTATAAGTATAGGTTTAAAACAAAATAATTAAATTACTAAAGTGGTGAAAGGGGACCTAACATAATCCTTTGTCATCAAATTTATGTTTGTTTCATATGGAGTAATTTGTAGATATTTTGAGATATTTTGTTAAATCCATTAATGTTTGTTGCATCATTTTATACTCATCAACTTGCATTACAAATAACCAAAAAAACTCTTTAAAACAGTCGATAATATTAATAACTACCTAATCCATAAATGAAAATGCAAGATTTTCTTTCTTTGAATCGCTATAATGGTGAAAGAGACCTAACAAAGCTCATTCTCATTAAATTGATGTCTGTATCATTTATAATCTCTGGGATATTTTGTAGTCTACACACAATCATACAGGAATTCATAAAAAAAATAGCTTATTGTTTCATGAAGAAAATCATAAAATACATTGGTGACTTATATCTTATGTACGTGGTCGATTTATATAAGTTTTTACATTATGAATTTGTGTATTTTGGTAGATGATGTTCTAACACTATATGATCTGCATACAATACGAATACAAATCTATAACTTGGAATAATTTTGGTATGTTTTTAAAAAAACTATCAATTTATGAAGGCCTTTTAACAAAAAAGAAAAACTATCAATTTCTCTGCCCATTCGGATTGAATGAAGGAGACTAAGTCATCCTTGTTTACGGGTAAAGAAGATCAGACAATACGCGCCTTCTTTGACTTATGACTGAAAACAAGGTAGGCTTTTAAATACACTCGCACATTTATCATCATCTATAAATTATTTTATCGTATTTTTATAAAGAAAAATGGTCTAAAGTACCGCTATACTAATTTGGTCGTATTTTTGTAAGATAAAATGGTCTTATTTATAGTTTTATACACAGTCTAAAGTCTACACTCTAAATTTTCGCCAAACTTATTTTTTATTAAAGGTCCCTTTTATTAAATGATTAAATACTCGCCAAACTTACCCTAAGTTGGACTTACAGTGTGCCAATTTTGGTAATATTCAAACGAGAAGAATTGCTAGTTTCTTACTTGTACAATTTATTACCTTGTTGATAAAGAAATAACATTGTTAACCAAAAGTAAATTTAGTTAATGTCGACTGTCGGAAAAAGATAAACGACCAATCACTCGCTAGATATTTTGCAAAACATTACAAGGAAATTAAGGAAATCACCCAAAAAAAATATTTTTCTTTTTCATTAGTCTTTTATTCCTTTTTGGGTTTTTGCTCACAAACGGGTTCACATGAACGATTCTCTTTTCTCAGTGCTCATTTTGTCCAATCAATTAAATCACACAGGAGTATATTTTTGAATCATTGTTTTTACTCGAATTGTGAGTTTCTGGGAAAAAAATGAACATCTCGAATTTCGAAATTTCCATTTGATTGATTTCAGATTCAGAACAAAGTGTTACAGTCGTACAATGAGTGAAAGATCGACATAACTACAAAAGATCACTAATTGTTTCCTAATTAATTAATACTTTACTTTTCTTTAATCATGCCGATAATTTTTCGCAAATTATAAAAAAGAAAGGAAGAGAGAAATTAAAAGTTAACTTTTCAAGGAAGAAAAGCTGGAATAATGGTGGTAGTGAACTGTGAAGGATGTTGATGAGGATGGGAAGGCTGATCTTTGATCTGACTCTCCGCCGTGGAAGCGTGGTGGCCACACCGATCACACTTCACCGGAACCAAAATCCGACGGCAAGAAGGACACGAAGACCGAGAAGTCAACCATTTGTCTATGCACGCCACGTGGAAGGCGTGGCTACATAGCGGCAAGATTCTGATTTCTTCACCGTCTGAGAATTCCGTTAAACATATGGCGCACTCGGTGGAGGAGTCTCCTTCTCCGGAGGAGGAGCACGGCGAGTCGGCTGAGGCGGTGAAGGTGGATTTAGGGAGGGATTGAAGTGCTTTCTTCTTGAGGCCTTTGTTTGGCGGCGGAGGAGATTCTCCGACGGCCAAGGAGTTAACACCGGTGAGACGTCGGAGCCAAGCGCAGCGAGCTACTGCGGCTAAGCCGGCTACGCATATGAGGGCGCAAAGAAGAGCTGAGAGAATCACAACCATGTCGGTCTCTGCGGCGAGGATTTCTTCCGGCGGTGGTGGCGATGCGGTTCCAAGGAATCTAGAGGACCGAGTCATATTTTTTTTTGGTGTTTGGAGAGAATAAGGAAATGTGAAGATTGAGAAGGAAGAAAGGAGAAAGTATTGTTTTGAAAGGAAGATGAAAATCTGATCCAAGTTGTAATAGAGACACACATACACATGTATACTTATATATACATATGTCCCTAATTGCATTTTTAAAATAAAGATAATAAATAAAATCACTACTAAATTTAAATCCATGTCATATCGGCTGAAAAGGTTGTATGAATAAGAAAACGCAGTTTATACAACTTTACGAAAATAAAAGATGAGATTGAAGTATCCACAAAGCCAAACATTTTTTTGAATCTTTGATTAGGGTAAACCGTGAAATACTGGATTTTTTGTTTTTAATTCAACCTTGATGTTTTAAAATCTTCATATTGCAAGAACCAAAGTTTATTCGAGTGGTCTCAATTTTTTGATAGCTCAACCCGATGTTTTTTTTCCTAATATATCTAAAATATTTGTTGTGATTAAATCTTGGAAACATACGTCAACGTAGATACGGGGTGAAGATTAGATATTAGTTTTATTATGCGATCTAAAAAAAATCTTGTATTAGAAAATTGTTTTGGAAATATCGTAATCGTATAGAACAAAAAGTATAATAAGAATCAAACTGACGTATATAATTAGAAAACCAAGCAGAGAAAAAGATGGGTAGGTGTGGGCAGTCTTTATAGGTTCAGTTTGACGAACTCATTATCAAAAGGTATAAGCATAGACGACTACTTTCTTTCCTAAACCTACTTCGATTAGACTGTTCTGTATAATTGTTCTCTTCATTTCTGTTTTATATACGATCCACTATTTTATTTAATTAATGACATCGAGAAGAATCTCTTCAAACCAAAAAGGGCATAACAGTTGAGATTTCAGAAAAATATGGAATTGTTGACAGCTGGTTCCGAAGGTGGATTCAGTGGATTTCGAAGTTCTTGCAACCTTATCTAGTTTTCTTTAAATATTGATCTTCAATGCTAGAGAATTTGTATGTGAAGCTATTTGATTTAGTTAAACTCAGTAGCAATAGTAGTATGAGATTTATTTCCCTAACAGTTTTTGGTATGGATCTACAATATGTTTTGGATTTTGTCTAAATGTAGGCGGGATCTTTGTAAGTATATATCAATTTTCAGAATCTTTGAAATGGATGTACGTGTCCTCAAATAGATTAATATTTTATCATATAGCATTAACGGCAGGTAACACCCATCCACGTGTGTGCATAAAGTGTTGGTGTTTCTAGACTCTAGTCATACTAATTATAAATTCAATTTTCATGCGTTGGTTTTTTTAAAGAATTTTCTGACTTATAATTGTGAAGGAAATAAAGTTTGAAATAAATACTGATATGTTTTGAAGCAGAAATCAAACCAACGATTCAAGTATAAACTTCATTACTTGAATATCATAAGATTTATTAGAGTTGATCCGTCTTGGGTGGGAGAGAATCAGAGAGCAAGATGGATGGAACTTGCAAGCATAAAAAACTCTGAAAAATAAAAAGTACACTCGAAATGGAATCTCTTTTGTGTGAATACGTGTGTTGTGAATCTTGACGTCGTGTACATGTAACCAAAAAAGGTAAGAAGCAAATAGAGTTAGTAAACCAATAATTAAAATAAGAAAACATTCGCACACAGGTTAAAAAACCCAGCAATAATGCAAACTGGAAGCATCCATTATTAGACGTGAAAAGTGTAAAAAAAAATAATGGAGACTCGAAGAATCAATTATATGATGGAGAGGAGCATCAATTATATGATTGATAGGAGCATCAATTATCCATAGTTTAAATAAAGCCAACTTATAGATTATCAATTGACACAAATAAAGATGCTCTATTTGTTATTCTTTTTGTCATATTGTTTTCACTGTTGTTTTAGAAAGAAAAATATCAGACTGAAAATAAGACCAGTTACGGAAGTACGGAACATATAATCACCCTAACCTCAAGCTCGAGAGACATAGTGTGTCTTAACTCTTCTTTCTTTAACATTGGATCTTCAGATTTTCGCCAAACCTCAAAACTTATCCTGAAGGTTTAGAAGTATGTACAAGTGTCTAAAATTTAAACTTTCCATTTTTAGCTTTATGAACAAACACCGACTACAACGACTAGATTTATCTTTTGACATATAATATGATAAGAGTCCATGCGATCCCAATTCCTAAGTAGCCATATATTACTTATCCATATAGCAAATGTTTTGAATCCACTACAAAGATGAAAGAGAAGTGGTAGTTTTGGATTCTGTTGAAGTATCAGCGCGAAGGTTGACAAAAAAATATAAAGAAAGCACATAAAGCCAGTTTGAGACTTGAAGAGTTGAATATGCAGATCAATAACGAGTCAAAATCATGCCTCATCCTTGTTGCGTGTACTATTTGTTTATTGTATCATGTGTCCATGTTGATAATAACGCAAGCCATATCATGTCGGTGCGCAAACTTGTGTTGACTTTTTGGGTCATGAACATTACATTTCAAAACTATATATATGCACATGACGTCATAAAACGATCGATGCAATCACCATGCCGTTATTATAGAAAAATGATACTATGGGTGGAAAAATCATTTCCCTTTATGTATATAGTCGTGTAGATAATAGATTGAATATTAAGTTTTTTTTCATCCTTCAATTTGTAAATCATTCTTTTCCATGTGAAATTAAATAATGCGTCTCAGTTGGCTTTTTCGGTTTCGGTTCATTTCTTTGTTAATTTGATTTAGATTGAATAATGCTATATCTAATGGGCTGTAACTAAGGCCCAAGTAATAGCTGAGGCCCACGAATATCAAATTATAGTAAAACCCTTGAACCGTCGTGGAAGCTCTTCACGATCCCAACAATGGCGGCTGCGAAGGAGATCCTGACACGACGACCAGTGGCGGCGATGATAAGGCTGACGGTTCCGGCTGGAGGAGCACGGCCATCACCGCCGGTGGGTCCGGCTCTGGGTCAGTACAGGCTCAACCTGATGGCCTTCTGCAAGGACTTCAACGCACGGACTCAAAAGTACAAACCGGACACTCCGATGTCCGTCACGATAACGGCGTTCAAGGACAACTCCTTCGAATTCACCGTCAAATCGCCGACTGTGTCGTGGTACATCAAGAAAGCGGCCGGAGTCGACAAAGGCAGCACGCGTCCGGGGCATTTGAACGTGACGACGCTCTCGGTGAGACACGTGTACGAGATCGCCAAGGTGAAGCAGTCGGATCCGTTTTGTCAGTACATGCCGCTGGAATCGATCTGCAAATCTATCATCGGTACTGCTAATTCCATGGGGATCAAGATCGTTAAGGATTTGGAGTGATTTAGGCATTTTTTTTCCTTTGTGTGTTTCTGATGAAATTTGTGAAATGTGGAATCAATCTGCTGCTTTGGAAATGGTGTTTTGTGTTTGAATAAACGTAAAAACATGAGTGTCAGATTAATTTACAGAATGTTTTCTGTTTGGTTTACTACATTTCTCGTTTCAGTGGATAATTGAGCTTCAAATTGAGAATCAAAATTATAGATTGAGTTTATGGAGGAAAGAGGAAACAGAAAGATTCAATTTTGCTCAGGAATCGTCTTAAACTGTTATTAGTAAAATATTGATCGTTTGAAGAACTTGAAAGATGCAGAGTTTGTGCGTTGGGGCTGTAGAAACTGAATCGTAAGAATTAGTAAGCAGAGTAATGTAAAGTTGGCTCCTTTATCTAGCAAACCAGATTCTGTTCTCGTGAAGGAAGAAGCTTTTGATCGTGAAATCGATAATGCTTTCTTTTGCGGGGAATTGTGTTTTCAAAGTTCAGTGATTTGAAGGAGGGATTGTGATAATTGTGACTACCAACTGTTGGATGAAATGTCCGGCTCGGTTAAGTTGCATCTGACCAACATTTGGGAGTAAACCGGTTCTATGAAAGTATTGAATTTTGGTGGATATCACTGAATATGTTTTGGTCAAGTAATAAAGGCATTGACTTTTGGCCCCCATGAGAAAGAAGAAGAAGACGACACCTGACCGGAGCAATAATAACTCAACAACTCTTCAATGGAAGGGGCAAAATAGGGAGAATTTGACCAAAAAAGTTTAAATCGGGAAAATCTGAAGCAACCCATTGATTAAAAAAAAAACACAGAAAAGAGCAAAAAGAGGAGAGAGTCTTACGTTTTCAGGGCCACACGCAATCTCAGTGCCATTCCTCTCTTTGTCTCTCTCTCTCTGTTCCTAGAAAGGGAAGCTTCTTCTCGCAAAGATCCAATTTTTACGATCGCGGTGGAGATATGTCGTGTTCATCCTCGTCTGGATCAGAAGGAGAAGAAGAAGGTTTCGATTCTTACCGGAAAGGTGGCTATCACGCCGTCAGGATCGGCGATCCTTTTTCCGGCGGTCGCTACATCGCCCAGCGAAAGCTCGGTTGGGGTCAATTCTCCACCGTCTGGCTTGCCTACGATACTCTCACCTCCGTACGCATCTCTCTCTCTCTTGCCTCCTTCCATTTCTATTGCTTCCCATCGCAATGCTGTAAACATCTGGGCTTTGATCTGTTTCATTTCTCATCTGAGAGTTTATCTCTGAAAAAATCGAGATCGAATCACATTCCAAATTCACTGTAGAAATCAAAAGGCTCTTCCTTTATACAATACGCATCTGTGAAACTCACAAGTCTTCTAGATTTTGAAATTGCGGATCATAATCCTAGATTTGGCACTGTAGTGAACCAGTTTAGCAGATTTGTTTGCTCAAAACGAATGCGTATCAAATTGTTCTGGAATCTCTAATCATTAGGACGATCATTGTTGATATAAAGTCTGTTGCTTTGTATGTGTTTCTTTGCAGAGCTATGTTGCTTTGAAGATTCAGAAGAGCGCACAGCAGTTCGCTCAAGCCGCACTTCACGAAATCGAGTTTCTCTCAGCTGCTGCAGACGGAGATGTCGCCAACACCAAATGCGTCGTTCGTCTCATCGACCATTTCAAGCACGCAGGTCCCAACGGGCAGCATCTATGCATGGTGCTTGAGTTTCTTGGCGACAGCTTACTCCGTTTGATCAGATACAACCGTTACAAAGGTCTGAAACTTGATAAAGTCAGGGAGATTTGCAGATGTATACTCACAGGTTTGGATTACTTGCACCGTGAGCTCGGTATGATCCACTCCGACTTAAAACCTGAGAACATTCTTCTCTCTTCCACCATTGATCCTGCCAAAGATCCAGTCAGATCCGGACTAACTCCGATACTAGAAAAGCCGGAAGGGAACGCGAACGGCGGTGGTGGTGCATCGGCGATGAATCTGATTGAGAAGAAGTTGAAGAGGAGAGCGAAGAGAGCGGTTGCTAAGATATCAGAGAGGAGAGTTTCAATGTATGGTGCTGTAGGTGAAGAGGAAGCATCGTCGAAGAGTGAGAGATGTCTTGATGGGATTGATATGAGATGTAAAGTGGTTGACTTTGGCAACGCTTGTTGGGCTGATAAACAGTTTGCGGAAGAGATACAGACGAGACAGTACCGAGCTCCTGAAGTGATCCTGAAGTCTGGTTACTCTTTCTCTGTTGATATGTGGTCTTTTGGTTGTACTGCTTTCGAGCTTGTCACAGGGGATATGCTGTTTGCTCCTAAAGAGGGGAATGGTTATGGAGAAGACGAGGTATGATCTGAATCTAAACCCTAAGAGTTTGTCTTTTCTTCTTCTTGTTCTTTTGTCAAATTCTTGATGTGGTTTTGGATTTAGGACCATCTTGCTCTTATGATGGAACTTCTTGGGAAGATGCCTCGAAAGGTATGTTCTTTTTGGTTTATGTTGTGTGGCTATTGGTTGTTTATTGATGTGGTTGATGGATGATGGAGCAGATTGCGATTGGAGGAGCGAAGTCAAAAGACTATTTTGATAGGCATGGGGATTTGAAGAGAATCAGGAGGTTGAAGTATTGGCCACTGGATAGGTTACTGGTAGATAAATACAAGATTCCGGAAGCAGAAGCGAAGGAGTTGGCCGAGTTTCTGAGTCCGATTCTGGAGTTTGCGCCGGAGAAACGACCGACTGCGCAACAGTGCTTGGAACATCCGTGGATGAATGTTGTAAGTACACAGAAGAGCAATGCAGATAATGTAGAGTCCCAAATGAATAACTTGCATATCAAAGGGTGAAAGAAAGAACAAAACTTTGTCTTTTGTTTTTGATCTTTTTTTTTTTTTTTGGTTTCATACCTTTGTTCGTGTTTTCTTTTTGGATAACTTTATGTTTTTTTTATGGTTACTTTTTATTTATTTGGGTTTAACTGTTCTCTGTATTTTTGGGGAGCTATGATTTATATTATTTGATTTAACCATCGATTTCATTTGCTGCTTACATATAAAGACCTGCGTTGTAGTGAATGAGTTGACCAACAAAATAGCAGTCAAAATTTATATAGATTTTATTATCAAATCAAATGAAAAAAATTATTACTCGTAAAATAGTCGGTTTATAAAGTAAAATTTCCTAAAAGGACGACTATATATAAAAGCAAGAGTTCACCGCCCTTATAAAAACAAGGACTATTATTCCTACCCAAAAAGCTACTTGGAAAAATATTGAAAAACGAAGAGATTATGGCAGAAGAAGCGATACTAGGGTACCTGGAGAGCAATGAGCAGATCCCGGATTCGCGTCAGTTCTCTGCCGAGCACAACTTTGACCACGATAGTGAAGTCTGTAACGTCATCAAAAGCCTCCTGTGTGATAGTCTCATAGAGGCTCAGGTACTCGTATTTATGATCTTATATATAGATCTTGTATCCGTCTCCGTGCGCTTGAAAATCTCGTTTATTAGGCTTAATACAGTATCTGGTTGAATTTATAGTATGCGGAGAAGAGAAGAAAACTGATAGGGGTAATCGAGTTAATAAGGGTTTAGTGAGTTGTTTGCTTAACAAGTTTCAGTTTGATGGTTAACTATTTATACAGGGAATTAAAGGGAAGGCATGTGTTTTACTTGAAGAAGGGATGAAATATGCTCAACAAGGATCACCAGAGGTACAACTTTTCTTAGCAGTGCCGGAAGAAGGAAGCATATCAGTGGTTGAGCTCAAGGTGATGATCACAATAGATATGATTTATTATATATGTATAGTGGAATTTGCTAAGTCAAGCTTTTAAAAAAAAAACGTCTTTAAAACTCTTGCTATTACAGGAAAGGCTAGGTGACTCGTACAGCAATTTTTCATGGAAGGCTAAAGAAAACAAGTGGGTGGAATTGACAGGAAACCGAGTCTCGAGGAAGGTTCAACATGTAGAAGATAAAGTGAGAGGACTGCTTTTACAGATACAAGAAGGGGAGGTTTGTGCCATGCCATGCATGTCATTTTAGTTTAAATAGAGTTCTATGTTGCGTTTGCCTTCATGTTTGGTATTCATTCAAGTGTCCCTTTCTTACCCTTCAGGAAATTGACGAAGCCAGTATCAATGTTCTTGAACGTAGACAACTCATAAAATCAAAGTAAATTGATTCCACTTTTTTTTCCTGTACCGTTTCTTTTGTGAGATTTCTTTTATCAAGATCTTATATCCTCTCTACTTCTTAGGACATGGAACGCTTATATAGCCATTACTAAAGGTCCTAAGTATGCTCCCGAGAGACCCAAGCTCGCCACCGATTTGACTCGAGAAAATATAGCAAAGTTTGTCCTATATATTTCTTGCCTCTTTTTCAACTGTATAGGTAGAAAATATGCAATAATAGGGATTGTTACTTTAATCCTGCAGCTGGAAAGAGTTAAAGTTTAAGGAGTGTAACATCAATGCTAAAGGAGCGCCTGTTGAGGGTGGTCATCTTCACCCCCTTCTCAAGGTAACTCAAACTGAGAGCAAAAAATAGTTGTACCTCTCTAGTGTATAGAATTTTGGGTAAACTTATCATTTTTAACAAACTTCTTGACTTCTTGTGTGTCTCAGGTGCGGAAGCAATTCAAAGACATATTTGTTCAGATGGGGTGAGAGAGAGAGAGACTATTGGCACATACTATTGTAATATTCTCCATTTTTTTCTGTTGATGGTCATCAATATTAATGGTGAGCCTTGTGTGTTAACAGGTTTGAGGAGATGCCAACAAATAATTACGTGGAGAGCAGGTATTAAATTAGTTAAGGCTTAGAGGGAGATCTTAATTACTAGACACTTGTTCTTGCTATTCGTCGGCTGATCTAAACTTGTTTCCTATACAATGTAGCTTCTGGAATTTCGATGCATTGTTCCAGCCTCAGCAGCACCCTGCTCGTGATTCTCACGACACCTTCTTCTTAAAAGGTTTTCAAATCTTGAGTGTTCTTAAAGTCACTGATTTTGTTTGGGACAGCTCTTTCTCGGTTCCTTCATCGTGACATCCCAATGACTAATTCTTTGAATGTTTAGATCCTTCTGAACCAAAGGCACTTCCAGAAGATTATGTTGAGAGGGTGAAACGTGTTCATGAGTCTGGTGGATATGGATCAAGAGGGTAAATTAAATGACTTGTATTGTCTCACCACTTACTGCCTCGTATTAATTTTTAATCACTCTTGACATGGCCTTTTTGCATTTGAAGGTATAATTGTGAGTGGAAGAGAGAAGAAGCAAACAAGAATCTTCTCCGTACTCACACAACAGCTGTCTCCGCTAGGATGCTTTATGCACTAGCACAGGTCTCACTAGACTCTTAGCATATTTATCGATTCAACTCTCAATCCATAACTTTGTTATGTTTCCATAACTAGACTTCTTTCTATCTCTCTCTCTGTAGAAGAAACCTTTTGTTTCCAAGAAGTACTTTTCGATTGACCGTGTGTTCAGAAACGAGCATGTTGATCGTACCCATCTGGCGGAGTTCCATCAAGTGGAAGGTATAGTAATAAGAATATAGGCTGAATGATTCATTTAGATGTAATGGTTACAATATATATAGTTACACGAGATTAGGGATTTCATAGTTACTAATCTAGCCTTTCCATATTTACACTCTACACGCCCCCTCAAGATGGAGGGAGATATCGAACTCCAATCTTGTTAAACAGCATGAGAAACCTCGTCCTTGGTAATGGTTTCGTTAGAGCATCGGCCAACTGATCGTGAGTGGAGAGATGAGTGACACGAAGAGCACCTGATTGTACATTTTCGCGGATGAAGTGATAATCGAGGGCCAAGTGTTTCATCCGCGAGTGAAAGATAGGATTAGCGCAAAGGTAGGTGGCTCCGACGTTATCACAATATATCACCGGTGCTGCGGGAAGAGTGACACCAAGATCTGTTAAGAGGGAGCATATCCATCGGATTTCAGAGGCCGTGTTGGCAACGGCACAGTACTCTGCTTCGGTTGAAGATCGTGCGACCCCTTTTTGTTTCTTTGAAGACCAGGCAATTGGTGTGTAGCCAAGATAAAGAATGTAGGCGTTGGTGGAGACGTAGTCAGTCGTATCTCCTGCCCAGTCTGCATCAGCAAAAGCATGGAGAGTGATCGGAGAGTCAGCTCGGAGGTAGATCCCATGGGATGGTGTTCCAGCCAGATAACGAAGCACACGCTTCGCGGCTTGCCAATGAACATCAGTGGGGCGATGCATAAACTGTGAGAGTTTATTCACAGCAAAAGCAATGTCGGGTCTTGTAAAGGACAAGTACTGCAGACTCCCAATTACCATCGATATTCAGTTGGTTCGGCGAGAGTCTTACCGGTGTTGAGAGTGAGTTTCGGAGATGGTGCCATTGGTGTTGTCACCGGTTTGCAATCCAACATCTCCGCGCTGCTTCTCCTATGAGGTTCGTCGTCGCTTACATGTTACTGTATCGGTTTTGGTTTCATTACATCAATAATCTCTTCTGATTACTATTTCCAAATAAAAAAAGAGCGAGTGTCTCGTTTTATATTCTTCTTTCTCTAGGCTGATAGTGATAGACATGGGTATCATACGACGGATGCTTTGGAAACACTTAGAGTATATGGAAAGGATTTAACTGACATGGCTAGACAAGGAAAACTCGATCCTGTCATAAGACGGAATGATGAAATCCGACGCTGCATTGGGATATTATGCAGGAGAACTAAATGCAATCCTGTTATCGTTGGTGAACCTGGTGTAGGTAAAACTGCTATTGCAGAAGGGTAAGGCTTGTAATTTTGATTTTTTTATTTTTTTTTTGGACTATCAGCATGTAATATTAGTTTTGTCTCAAACATTACTCAACCACGTAGTAATTATGAATTTTTACTCTCCTGAGACAAATTGACTGAGAGACTTTGATTAATCCTGTCAGGTTGGCGCGGCGAATTATACGTGGGGATGTCCCTAGACATCTCTTGAATCGGAAGGTTCTAACTAATATTAGCTTAATATTTCCGTTCAAACTGCCAGAGGAAGATTTTAACATATGGTTGCTTGATATAATTTAGTTGATATCTCTCGACGTGGGTTCGTTGCTTGCTGGTGCCATCTATCCGGGACAACTTGAGGAAAGAATAGAAGCAGTAATGAAGGAAGTAGCTGCTTCTAATGGGAAAATAATCTTGTTCATAGATGAAATTCATTCTCTTACTCGAGCAGGTGCTTACTAAAAAATATTCCATCGCCAAATTGAGGGCTAATGTTTTTTCGATGCTGCTAATATTATATATCCCTTGTGTAGCGACTAATCGTGGAGACATGTTGAAAACAATGCTTGGACGAGGTGATCTGCGATGCATCGGTGCAACTACGCTGACCGAATACCGCAAGTACATAGAGAAGGATACAGCTCTGGAACGTAGGTTTCAGAAAGTGTTATGTGATCAACCATCTGTTCAAAATACCATCTCGATTCTTCGTGGGCTAAGAGAGCGGTATGAGTTACACCATGGTGTAAAGATATCAGATGGTTCCCTTGTTTCAGCAGCGGTTCTGTCAGACCGCTACATCACTGAACGTTTTCTACCAGACAAAGGTATAAACTTGCACATTCCCAAGTGATTCTTTTCTGGCCAAACTTAATGTTGAGAAATACACTAAAATAGAACCCAAAAAAGTTTTAATTCCAAATCTAGGAAACTAAAATTAAATATTTCAAAAGTAGCACAGATTATTTTGTGAATACACTTGTTTACCCTAAATAAATTCCACAGAAAATAAATAAATTACGTTTGAGTTCTCTTTTTACAAATTAAGAATTATATTTCTTCCATTAGAGTTTTTTTTTTTGGTCAAACACCTGATTCCCTTCTATTAGAGTTTTGAATCATTTTATGTTATATTTTTGTTATTATTATTGGGAAAAACAGTCATTTTTTTTAATAAAAGCTTAAAAATTGATCATTAATATACTTTGAGAGTAGCTTTGTTTTTTTCAAACAAATGTTCTTTGTTTCAGCTATTGATCTTGTTGACGAAGCTGCTGCAAATATGAAGATGAAGAACACTTCTAAACCCACAGAACTAGATGAAACTGAAACAGACGTGATCACACTTGAGATGGAAAAACGTTCTTTGATAAAGGAAACTGACGAAGCTGCTAAAGAACGGCTACAAAAGATTGAGAATGATTTGACCACGCTCAAGGATAAACAGAGAGAGTTCACTGAGAAGTGGGAGAAAGAAAAATTCCTCGTAAACAAAATACGTTCATTTAAAGAAGAGGTACGAAATATATCAGCTTAAGATAATATTATACTTGTTGTGGTGGCTGGAGCAGTGAAATAAACCAGGCGTATATTTTTTTGTTTCTTTTAAATTAAATGTAAAATTTATTGAAACCAAAAAATAGTTTTTACATCAACTTTTTTGAAATGCGTATGTTTTATGTTTTACAGATCGATAGATGGAATCAATCTAAAACACTTGTGTCCGGTAAACATGCTTTTTGTATCTCCCTCCGTCGGCAGCTAGAAGAAGCGAAGAAAGATCTCACGAATTTCCGAGCGTCTGGAGAGTCACTATTCCGAGAAGAGTTAACCCATCTTGACATAGCAGAGGTAGTAAGCAAGTGGACAGGTATTCCACTATCGAACCTTCAGAAATCAGAGAGAGAAAAGCTGGTCATGTTGGATCAAGTGCTCCATGAGAGAGTTGTTGGTCAAGACATGGCTGTAGAGTCAGTAGCCGATGCTATCCGTTACTCAAAGGCCGGTCTTTCTGATCCCAACCGCCCAATAGCCAGTTTTATGTTCATGGGTCCAACAGGGGTTGGTAAAACCGAGCTTGCCAAGGCTCTTGCTGGATACCTTTTCGACACGGAAAACGCAATAGTGAGGATAGATATGAGTGAGTACATGGAAAGATCATCAGTCTTACGGCTCGTTGGCGCACCTCCTAGCTATATCGGTTATGAAGAAGGTGGGCAATTAACTGAAGCTGTTCGCAGGAGACCTTATTCGGTGGTTCTCTTTGATGAGATCGAGAAAGCCCACCCTGATGTATTCAATGTCTTGCTCCAGCTACTAGACGATGGAAGAATAACTGATTCTCATGGGAGGACAGTAAATTTCAAAAACTGCTTTATAATAATGACCTCTAATATAGGATCTCAACACATACTTGAGACTATAAGCAACAATGAAGATAGCAAAAGCAAGGAAGCGGTTTATGAAATGTTGAAGCAACAAGTTTTGGAGTTGGCAAGAAAAACTTTCAGGCCAGAGTTCATGAATAGAATTGACGAATACATTGTTTTCCAGCCTTTGGATCCAACAGAAATATCGAAAATCGTGGAGTTTCAGGTAATTTACACCCACTTTTGCTTTTTGCTTCGTATTTTATTTTCAAAATATTTATTCTTTTGTTTTTCAATCCTTTGTTGCAGATGAGACGAGTGAAGAATAGGTTGGAACAGAAGAAAATAAAACTTGAGTACACCAAAGAAGCGGTGAATCTCATTGCTCAGCTAGGGTTTGACCCCAAAAATGGTGCAAGACCGGTGAAGCGAATGATTGAGAATATTGTGAAGAAAGATATCACTTTAAAAGTTCTGAAAGGGGACTTTGGAGAGGAAGACACTATTCTTCTCGATGTTGACCAGCCAAACAACAAATTGATCATCAAGAAGCTCGAGAATAATGCTCTCATTGAAGAAGAAAGGGCAGCTTGATCATACAAAACAAAGTTGAACTAAACTCTGGTAGCCTTTATAAATCTTTGTTCTATGTTTTGTGGATCCATAACTTTAGGGCTTTCTCTTTAAAAATTTTAATTTTCGTTTCACGCTAAATGTTCTTGCTCTAAATAGATACTTCGAAAGGATTTGAATTCACCAAAACCCATCGCGTTACATTGAAAAACTCTGGATGAATAAACAAAAACCCAACACAAATCGAGAGCAAACCCTACAACATCTCATAATAAATGAATATTGAATCCGATCACATATAAGGAATAATGGATTCCAAAAAAAAAAAAAAAAAACCGAAAAAATGGCTAAGATCTCCATTGTTGGGGCTCAACTTCGTTATCAGCTCAATGATTTGTAACGTCAAATAAAAAGTGTAGTAACTTTATAAACAAGCCACAAAAAAAAAAAAAAAAAAAAAAAAAAAAAAAAAAAGCTGCATGTAAATTACTTGCTTAGTTTGATTGGATATGAACCAAACTTGGAACATAGTTGAAAATAAATGGCAACCATATATCACTTAATGTCAAACATGGTTCTTCCCTACAAGGGATTTCTGTGAAATATTTATCGTCCTCTCCAATAGTGTATAAGGCGTCCAGGCCTATCCGAGAACATGTATTGTAACACAAGGCCACTTTCTTCTCCTCGTCGATTAAAAGACACATGAAAGGACGAATACGGTTTACGCCCACTGAAAAGTATTTGCTCCATGACAACTCTGCTTTAGTATTGAATTTATTGGTCACCCATATGTCCATCTTTGAAGTATCAGAGCTGTTCCTTAACACTAAGAGTTTTTCCTCTCCAACAACTGATAGAGCCTTATAACCACGATTGGGAGATGTGGGAAGACACAGACGTCCAAATGTCTCTTTTGTAAAATCAAAACTGAGGAAGTAGTTGTCTTTTTCATCATGACAAATCCAATAAATATTTCCCTTCAAAGCCACGCCACGATGATAAATTGTTCTGACCCACTTAGGAGCATTAACAACTCTCCATGTACTAGAGCTAAACTCATAGACTTCAAATCCACTAACTAGGCCTAGGCCTTTTGTTTTGAAACCTTTCGAATGCATCAAGACTTTGTAGTTGCGGCCAGATTTCTTATTTTCATACCCTAGATTAAAGCTAGAGTAGTTCTTGTAACCATTTTCTTGTTGGATCCACCTTGCTTCTCCTAAATATGGATTCCAAACCACGAGTCTGTCGTCTCTAGTGATGCATAACAACAAACCGTCGAGGTGAGAAACTGTAGCTATATCGACTTGTTCTGAATTAGAATGGGAATCCTTTGGGTTCAGTGCACCATTAAACTCTATAGATGGAGGAACAACATTAAGATCGACGATCACTGGACAAAGTCTAAAATCCTTCAACATGAGAAGACGAGATTGCTTTGGAGCATTACGAAAGTGCTTCTCGGAGAATTCTGGCTCTTTGATTAAAGCTTTCCATCGTTTGCAAGTTAATCGTATTCGTTTCAAAGATGTGCCCGGAACCCTAGACAGTATTTCCTCTACCAAATCTTCCGGGAGATGGGACACCATCATTGTGACCAAGAGGGTTTTGTATCTCTCTTTGTGATATGATCTAACTAAAATTAGGGTTTAGGGTTTTTCACGTTCTCCACCGAATAAATCATGTCTTATAGTACAAAGAAACGATCTACCTTTCACGTACCCTTTCCTTTTCCTCCGTGGATTCTGCTTACTAGGTTTTTGACCCGCGCATGCGGGGGTCTGTTCTAATGAAATTTTAAACTGTTATATATATATATTTTTTTTTACAAACGCTTCACATTTTTTTTTGCTGTTTTTTTTATAAACTTTTCTTTGTAATATACTTTTTAATTATTTTTTTACTTAACCAATTTAATTATTTTATAATTAGTCATAATAAGTAGGTACTTTTTAAAAATATATTTTCTGTAAAAAAACATACAACAGCCTTATCCTCATTTCTTAATTAATCCCTTAATTTTACTATTCATTTTAATTTTTTATATCCATTAAAGGTCATTCGGCAAGTTTTTCTACAATCAATGTTAATTTCTTTTTAATTTTATTTATTAGTTTAGCTTTTTCCAGCTCTGAGTTTATGATTTATACTTAATTTATTTATATATTTTTTGTTTAATTATTTTGCATTCAATTCCATTTAATAAATTCATCTCTTTATTTTTAAATCACTGTTTTGATAGTTAAAAAGTCTCATATATTCCAAACTTTTCTTTTTCGTATCCTGTTTAATTAATAACCGCGTTTCCAATTCCCGGTTCCATTGTTTTGGTTTTTACGGTTCGTTTTGCTATCACATTGAAATTAGAAATGATTCGTTGTCTTTTCTTCATTTGCTGACAACAAAATCGAACAATGTTTCTACCTTATTCCCACCGGAACATTGTTAATCTCATCATCGAGATCCCTCTTCTTTGTTTCTCATCTTGGTTATTTGCCTTAATTCCCTCTGAGCGATTGAGACCTGTCAAAACTAATTTGATCAATTGATTGAGGGAACAGTTTCTGCTTTAATCCCTCTTCCGAGACTTTATTTCTCTGTTTCTTCTACTGATTCTCTCAAGCTAATCACTTCGTGAAAGGTTTGAATTTTCCTTATTTTGAAGCCAGTTTTGTTGATGTTGAGATTATGTGTTTAGCGTTTAATCTATTTCTTCCGATCCAAATTTGTGATAAATCTATAACTCTAGGTGATGCCAACTGCTCCGCCAAGTTCCAGAGACTCAGAGATATCTAATTTTTCAAAATTGTCGCCTTTCGATGGACGTTACTGGGGTAAAGCTAATGACTTTGCCTCTTCCATGAGCGAGTTTTCTTTTATCAATTTCCGAGTACTTGTCCGGGTACTTGTTTCTCACCCAAGTGAATGTTTATTATCTAATTTATGATTTTGTTCTTTTCATTTTTGTGTTGACTAAGTATTTGCGAGTTCTTTAGTTGTCTAATGCTCTTTTTTTTTTAATATATATTTTGGTAGATTAAATTGCCTCTGATATCTTTCAAAAGTCCCTCAAGTCACCGAAGTTCCATGCTTTTCAAAAGATGGTGATGTCTACTTGCAATTCATATTCGCTGTGTTTAGCATTGATGATACGTTGGAAGTTAATAAGGTCGAGAGAGTAGCATATGATGATGTGAAAGCTGTGGAGTATTTCTTGAAACAAAAGTTTGAATCACAGCCAGAGATTGTCAAGGTTGGTAAACTTTCTCTCTGTTCCACCAAGTACTTAGCAACATTAGATAATAGTCTTTAGATAAAAAGTAAAAGGATAAGCATTAGATAATAGTCTTTTAATCGAACATTAGATCTAGTCTATCTATTATAGCACGGCATGTCTTTGAACTCAGCTATTGATCGTCCATTGGTTCATAAGTTTCTCTATCTCCATCAAAGTGTATTGCTTTAGCTGATTTTCATTTATACGTAGGCTTGGGAAAGTTGAAAGTCTTGCGTTTTCTGTGAAGCATGTCTTCACCTAGTGATTTCCAATAGCGATTCCACAAATTTAGAGGACTCCCAACTTGACAATATATCAGCAAGCAAACAAATAGTCTTCGTAGTTGATAAGGTGTAGACCATTGAGTTGCTTCGTCCATCACGTCATGCCACTCGGAGTCTGAATCTAGGAGACCTCTATCATAGGATACTGATTTGTAATCATCATATTTCGTGTCCCCAGCACTTTGAATCTCTTCAAAACTTTCCACTTTTGACCATAGACTTCTATCGCTTGTTCCATGTAAATTTTTTTCAGAAATTCCGAATAAGTTATCTGATGAGCCTCTTCTGATTCTTCGTTTCTCTCCATCCATCGTCTAAACATACTTTTCTCAATGTCTTCCTTTGATTGAACTCTACTCATAATGAAAGAGTTATTACCATAAAGGTCCTCGTTCTTGTCAACAGATTCATTAAACTCGGCGTTGGAACGAATCCCAAAGTTTTGACCCTCAATAGTGTAGTCATCATGGTCGCTTGCACCATTGTTGTTTCCGGAATGAATTGGATGAGAAATCTGTGTGAGGAGAACTTGTAACTCGTTTTGTTGATGATGACAAAAAACTACCAATGTTGTAGACTTCTCCCGCCTTTTTGTTGTTGATGACCAGAAAGCTATTAAACTTGTAAACTTCACCAGCCTTTAATTTTTCTTCATAGTCTCCTAGTCTCTCATAGTCTCCTAGTCGATAAGCTGGTATGAATGCTTGGATTGTAGTTCCCTGTATTAAATTATGGTAGAAAAGAGTATTATAAGCTGATGATGATTTAACTTTCTATTGGTAATTGGTAAATAATGTTGGTGTCGTTACCTTTTGATCGATTAGAAGCAGTTCATATCCATAAGCAGACCTCATTTTTTAGGGTTCCTTGCCTTCCCAAAAGTGGATGTCTCTAGCAAACAGCTCTTTCTTACAAAATCCTTTAGTGAGTTCATCCAAAACAAAAGGACGCCGTAACAGATCAGAAACAGAAGAGCTGGAAGAAGACATAGCTATTTTAATAAACGCTCTCTCTTGAAGATGTTGTCTTTAGAACTCTTGTATGGTATTCTAAAGTTGAGGACTATTTATAGCCAATGTCAAACATTGAAATAGCTAAATTGTTAATTTCCTTTTTATTTTAATTAGTTAGTTTAGCTTTTTTAATAATATGTTCTTTTTGTTAGTTTAACTCTTTTTATGTTGAATTTCCATTAAACTATTTAAAATAATGGTTAAGCTAATTGGTGTCGTAATGTAAGTATTAAAATTCAAAATAGTACAATTTCCAGTCTTTAATACAATAATGTAATTTTTCTCAAACAATTATTTAATTTTCGATTTTAAAATTAAAATGCTGATTTGGCGAAATTTAATTGGTTTCTTAAAAGCTGATGTGGACACTCTCAAAAACTTATAGCCTCAACTTTTATATAGTACTCCCTCCGTTTCAAATTAGTTGTCGTTTTGGCAAAATGTATCTGCAAATATTTGGACGTATTTAGACGTGTTTTGCATAGGAGATACGTCCAAATAATTGCAGATACATTTTGTCAAAATGACAACTAATTTGAAACGGAGGGAGTATAGATTAATTTTACTTTTAATTTCTTTTTCTTTTTCTTTCCAGTTTACCTTTTTAGAAAAAGAAAAGAAGCCATCTAAATTTGTCTCCTCTTGATTATGAAATTATTTAGCCTTCATATATTTCAAATTAACCACATGGTAGATTTAGTAATTGTTGAAGACTTGAATCCTTTCAATTCCTATCTTGATCGAATTTGACGAGCTCACGAATCAAGTTATTCACTGAATCAACTCAAATGCTTATAAAGCTACAACTTCCCCATCACATATATACACATGTGACATGTACACTGGATGTGTTAGACGTCAAGCATTTGTATCGCTATCATTGTGAAAATGCGGATCCACGTTTGGGGACAAATCTTTTATTATCCAACAAGGAGAGCTTGGTATCATCAAGGAGATACAATCATATCAATGAATGCTGAGATTATTAAGCATACAAAATGATGTCAATGATTGCTGAAAGTAATTAAGGATATAATTATGTATAGCATATCTTGTAATTAATTACTAGGGTTGGACCCGCGCCCTGCACGGAGTGATATCTTTTTACATAAATATCATTCTAATGAAATAGGGTGTTAGACAATAAAAAATATGTCAGTTTACATTAGACAAAATTTTGAGTGATGTATATTTTTTTAGCCTGGATTGGAACATGACGAAATATTAAGTGACACAGTTGAATTCACATATATATCTTTTAATAAGTTTGAAATAGTTTTATATGGCATATAAATTTAATATTTTTGATCAATTTTAAATAACTAAAATAGTTTAACTTATATATTAAGTTATTAGATTTTATTATGATTTATTTATTTAGCTCAATTAAAGAACAAAATTAAATCAAATTAAAAACAAAAATAAAGTTTGGAAAACTAATAAATTAGTTTTTTTTACTATGGTTGATCATTATTTGGATTTTTTTATAATAGGTTTTTGAACTATCATCCCAAAATATAATTGATATGGAACTTTTAACAATTTTAGAGATTTGCTTCATTTTAAAATTTTCAAATCATAGCATATGCAGAAAAAACTAATTTTGTTTTATGAAATATTTTAATGTAATGATATAATTTATTTTTGAAAAAGTAAAGTTAAAAAAATGATAAGATAATAAATTAGTTTTTAAACAATTAATATAATACAATTGAATAAAACTTTCTATATTTTACTGATTGATTAATTTTACTGATTGAATAAAACTTTCTATATATTTTACTGATTGATTAAGGAAATAACAAAAATAATTTTAATTAATAATTATTCTTCTGATTAAATTAATAATAAATATTTCAGCACTTGTCTAATAAATAGAGGTTATTTTTAGAATATTCTGAGAGTGTGACAAATTACGACACCTCAGCATGACATACTTGAAATTAAATTGAAAACAAAAGGATTTTTATAAATGTCTTCTCTTATTGTATAATACCCTACCTAATGTCGACGTACAA